TAACTTTTAATAACACGTTTATATCCGGTACGAATAAATATTTTTTAAAATCCATTATATTATAATATTAAAAAAACCATTTTTTTTAAATTAATTTTAAATTAAATAACTTTAATAATAAAATAAATATTATTTTTCTTTATTAATAAATAGAAATTTATAAACTAATATATTTTTTTATTAACTTTACGAAAATAAAGTTTATTTTTAAATATTATTAAAAAAATTACGTTAATTTAATTTTTTAAAAAACATAAAAAACTATAATAATATACGATATTAAAATAAAAAAAACTTTAAAATTTATATTTAAAAAATTTTATAAATTTATATATATTATAATTAAAGAAATAAAATGTTAATTTTTAGATTATTAATTTTAAAATTACTTAATTAATTTAATAAAAGGAAAAATATTTTTATAAAACTTTTTTTACGTTATAAATAAAAAAAAATTTAATATTTTAAAACCTTAATTAAAAGAAATATTTAACATAAAATAAATTAAAAAGTTAATTTTTTTTTACGAAACATTTATAATGTTTATCGATAAATTAAACCCGAAAAATTTATTCCGACCGGTTATTAATTACCGAAAATTAAATAATATTATTATATTTATTCGTTATTTTATTTTTTTCATTATTAAATTTTAAGTTTAATTCCGAATTATTAAATAATATATTAAAATCGATTTAAAGTTTAAATTTTATTTTATATAAATTAAAAAAAATAACGAATAAAAAACGGTATTTTAATATAAATATAATTTATTTAAATATTTTATAATATTTTTCGAATTTATTAATATATTTATAATTTTTTAAATTATAATAAATAATATTTTTAAGGATTTTATTAACGTAGGGTTATTTATTTATTTTAACGATTTTTTAATTTATATTAATATTATTAAAAAATATAATATATTCGTAAAAAAAATATTAAAAAAATTTTTAAAATATTATTTTATTATAAACCCGAGGAAATTTTTTTAATAAATATAAAAAATAAAATTCCTTAAATATATTATTAATATTAATAATATTTTAATAATATAAAATAAAATTAAATGTATTAAAAATTAATAAGCTTTAAAATCTTTAAAAAAATCTTAATAATTTATAAACTTTACGAACTTTTACCGTTATTTTATTAAAGATTTTTTTAAAATAACGTAGTTTATTATTAAAGTAAATAAAAGTAATAAATAAAATTAAAAATAAATTAAAGAAATAAATAAAATGTTTAAAACTTTTAAATATTATTTTATTTAAATTTTAATTATAATATATTTTAATTTCGTAAAATAAATATATATAAAAATAAATATTTTTAATTATACCTTTAACGTAATACTTTTTTAAAAAAATAATAAAAAGAAATTATAACTTGTTATTTTTTATTTTCGAAAGTTTATACCGGTAAAAATAAATTATAAAATTTATAATAAAAAATTTTTAATAATAATAAATGTTTTTAATAAATAACATTAATATTTAAAAAAAGTTAAATATTATATTAAAATTTATTTAAATTATTAAAACTTATTATATTTTATTATTATAAAAGTTTTAAATTAATGTTAAATATATTAAACGTAAGAATTTTTATTATATTAATTTATTATAAATTATTAACCGGGTAAATAAAATAAAAAAGTCGATATTTTATTAAAATTATTATAATATTACTTTAAGAAAAAAAAAATTAAGGATTAATTTATTAAAATAATTTTATAAAAAAAACATTTTTTATATTTATAAGGATTATTTTTTTTTTCGTTCCCCGTTATTTTTATAATTTCGATAAAACTTTATAATATTTTAACTTTTAAATAATTTAAAGAATTCATTAATTAACTTAAAGAAATAATTTAATAAAACTTAAAATATATTTTATAATTCGAAAAACCCTTTAAAAATATAAAAATTATTAATGGAATTTTATATAAAAAAAACCGTTTTTAAATTTCGATAAACCTTTAAAAAAAAATTATTTTTTTAAAATATAATATTTTTATAATTAAATATATAAATATAAATAAAATTCTTAAATTAATTACTTAAAACTTTTAATGGTTAAATATTAAATTTATTATTAAAAATTATATATAAAATTATTTAAATTATTAATAAAATAAAATTTAACGTTATATTTTTTTTAAATTATTATAATTTATAAAATTATATTATATTTTTTAATAAATTATAACTATAAATTTTATTATAAACTTATTATTATTAAACGGTTATAACTTTATATAAATAATAATAAATATTTTTATAAAAATAATATATTTTATTTTTTTTAAAAAAAAAGAAAAAAAAATTAAAAATTTAATATAAATTTTTATTAAATAATATTAAAAATTATATAACGTTTTTTTTAATATAATTTTTAATTAAAACTTTAAGTTTATTACTTATTTATAAAAAGATTTTTTTAAATTAATAAATATTAAATTTTATATAAATATAACTTTTCATTTATAAATTAACGGTTAAATTAAACGGCTTAATTAAATTTTTAAAATTTATTTTTAAACTTTTATTAATTATAAAATAAATAATTAAAAAAACTTATTTATTACCGCTAAATTCGTTTATAATAACATTTTTTCGGTTTCGTTTAACTTTATTTTTTTTTATATAAATTATAATTACCATTTAACGGTTTATAACCCATTAAATAAAACACCCCGAAACTTAAAAAATAAATTATATACTTATTAAATAACTTAAATATATAAATAAATTAAAAAATAATTAAAAAATAATTATTAATATATAAAAAAATAAATTAATAAACGACGTTAAAAAACTTTTATATATAAATAAAGTTAATTAATTATATTAAATGTTAAAAATATTAAAATTAAACATTTTATTAAAAAGTTAAATAAAAAAATATTCGGTTTTTTTAAAATTTAAAAAATAATTTTCTTTATTATTATTAAATTTATTTTATTTATAAATTAAAAAATCTATAACTTATTTTATATTTCATTTATTAAACTTTACCGTGTTAATAATTAAAAAATATTTAATTTTAATTAAATTTTACGAAAAATAAATTTAATAAAATTTAAAAATTATTAAATAAATAAAATAAAAAACTTTATTAAAATTTAAAATAAAATAAAATATTTAATTAAATAAAAAAATTAATTAATTAAAAAATATTAAATATAAAAATTATATAAATATATAATTAATAAAAACGTATATAAAATAGTTAAAATATTTCATTAATTATATCCCGAAAAGTCCCGAAACGAACGAGTTATAATTTAATATTTAAAAATAAATTTTAAAAAAAAAAGAATTAATATTATATAACGATAAATGTTACGTTTTTAATATATATAAAATATAAAATTATTAAATTAAAATAATTAATTTATTAATTATTAAAAATAATTATTAAATTATTATATATATATAAAATTAATTAATAAAATGTTTATAAATATTTAAAACGTTAAAATTTAAATCTTAAATAAAATAAATTAAATTTAAATAATTAAAATGATTTTTTTTTAAAAAAAAAGAAAAAATTAAAAACTTAAAATTCCTAAAAAATTATTACATAAATTAAATTTATATTTTAAACTTATTCCTTTTATTACATTTAAAATAATATAATTAATAACGTATTTTTTTATAAACATTTTATAAAAAAACATAAAATAATATATTTATATATTCTTAATTATTATTTATAACATTTAATAAACTTTAATTTATTTAAAGTTTTATTACTTTATATTTCCTTACACGGGTTCGCAACAAAAACTAATAAATCACATTATAATAAACTTTTTAGTTTAATTATTATTTGTCACTTGAATGGCGAATAATATGAAGTGATAACAATCAAAACATCGCTTAATATAACGATCATTTCAGCCAGGACTGATAGCAGGTCATGGGGTGTATCTCATGATGTAATTCATGTACAAGGAGCAAAAGAGATGATAGATGAAAGACAAGCTGAGTCGGTTTATCCAGCCGGTTACTCACGAACAAACTTAAGTTACCTAATAGCTAATGGGTGTACAAATGCTCTCACCGTCTGTCAGTACAATCTGCTGTAAAATGAGAAGCTCTAACTAACTTGTGACAACCGTGGATGTCTTTCATCTAACTACCCCTTATCCCTTCGATTTTCTTTTATATGCTAGTCTATAAGCCTATGGTAGTTACGCTACAATACTTACATTGAGTAAGCTCCTCATCTGATTTCAGATACGGCTTGCGTGCCATAACTTTGTATTAGTTAATTACCTTCTAGTGTATCCAAGTAGCAAGTGCTGGTATAGGTCGAAAAGGTGATGGCATGAGGTAATGGCTTGTAGTATTATTGTCACGGATGATGATATTAATAGTGAATTTCTAAACGAGATTTTGCAAATCAACTATTCAAATTGCTTTCATAGGATTCTATCAATCTAATTAAATATATAGGTGACGATTTATTATTGATGTCTATCATACTAGGATATCTATCCTCAATGGTGATGAGAGTGTGGCTGACAACCACAGTGCCCAGTGGGAGAGCAATTACATAATATACGTAGAGTGGCTGAGATAAGCCACACAAGCTCCTTGGTCTGTGACGTTAAACTCAAATTGTACCACGACGTCAGAACCCCTGCTGTTTAAATTTCACCGAAGTTTTTCCTGAATTGACAAGGACCGGTGGAGTCGGTACCCCATGTCGCAACGGTTCGAAGATTGAATTCAGGAGAGAGCGAAACATTTGCGGCGCGGTTCATTCCTTTTACCACCCATCATCACTATCACCATCAAACCTCATCAATCGTTTCTATTGGGAATTCGCAGTCATTCTTTACGCTGCAGTCTCGTCACTCATTTATTGCATTAGTCATTCATTCATCTATTAACTAGATAATCTCCGCGACAATTACTACCTATCTCGCTCCGCTCCGCATATTCCCAATCGATTCGATCATCAATTCGGCGCGTACAATTTCGAGCTCGTGTTTCATTTGCATTTCTCGCCAGATTCCCCCGATTCGTTAAATCTTTTTCCGAGTGATATCCGTATCATATTCGTCACAATGCGTCCTTCATTCGCCGTCTTCACTGCCGTCATGGCCTCCGTCCAGGTCCACGCTGCTATGCCCCCGGCTTGTTTATTGTCTGCTCTCGGGTACGTTGGATTGACGGTGAAGCATCTGTGCTGCGAACGATAAGGACTAACCATAATGATGCGCACAGTGTTCAGCAGAATCCCACCGACATGAAGGCTGTATGCGGTGATCTTCAGGATGCTATACAGGGCAACTTGACCAGTGCTTGCCACACCGACGTTCTCCCTCAGGCTTACAAGGTCTACTCCTCCAAGTGCTTGGCAGAGGGTGTTACCGTGGCTGCTCTTCCCACCTCGACCTCTTCTGGCGCCTCCAGCTCCGGCTCTGCCTCTGCTACCGGATCCGGTGTCGCTTCTGTTTCTGCCACCGCGACTGGTAGCTCCTCTGGCTCTTCCGAAGCAAGCAACTCCGCCAGCGCTACGTAAGTGCTAAATCCGAATTTTGTTGAATCCATACTTTTACTAACAACTATTTTGCAGTTCCAGCAGCAGCTCTGCCGCTGCCACCGGTAACGCTGGCATGGCTACCGAGCCCCAGCCCTTCCTCTACGCTGCCGCTGCGCTTTTCGCTACGGGATTGACTAGTGTTCTCTTCCTGTAAATGGTCTATCGGAGGGGTTGTGGCGAGAAGCAGTCGATGGGTTTCGTTGAGGAGAGTTTGATAGATGTTGGTCTGGGCCTGTTATACCCCAATCTTCACGGGCTCAGATTTGCTTGGAATTGTGTTGCGCGCAGGGTAATGGAGAGAGAGTAGTCTTGACGAGGGCCTGGGCCTTGGTTTGAACATAGGTGGATATTTATACAATTGCGATTGAACGCTTATTCTATACATCATCGAGTGGTGTGACCATTTCTTCATCTAAGATATCTGAGTCTAGGAGTTCTAGTACTCTCTTTTCATTAAGTAGAAGCGCCCTATTTTCCTCCCACTTCAGCCAGGTTACGCCTTGCAAGAGACAATCTGTCAGGTCGTCAAGTTTTAGGGGCCAAGCTTGTGCTGGATCATCTTCTGCGTCGCGCGACCGAGACCTTCGGATACCACTTAGTCTCAGGCGGAATTGCTCTACAGCACTCTCAAGATCGCTAGTTGCAGGTAGGATAACTTGGTCTTCAGGTCCCCTCTTCAACCAGCCGGTCAAGACGCCGATCTTATGTTTCTTGGTCTGCTTCGAGTTGGATTTCTTGCGCACTTTCACCTCGCTTTCCATTGTTTTGCTGGCTCGAGCACGCTTCTTCGGAGTATCCTCCTTGGATGGCGCCGGCCAGAACCGTGTGACGCTAGGAGGAGCCACGGATATAAGTTCTCCATCCCAATGCCCCAACTCTCGCAAGGTGCGCAACGATGCGTGAAGCATGGCCTCCAACGTGTTGACCCGGAGCGTCCACTCGAGAACCGTAGACGCGCCACCGCTGCGCCATCGCTGCCGCTCGATGAGGATATGCGTCGGTTTCAGGGGCAGCAAGTCCCGCCGCACTAGCCGGTCCGCGGCAATGGCCAGAGACGTCGGGCTGTACTGGTCCGGGTCGACCGGGTCGTCCGGAGATGTGTCAAAAAGTTCGCGGCGCTGCCAGGCGTGTAGATTGACGCGCGGCGGACTGCGCACGGCTTCCCTCGTCAGGGGCGCAGACTTCCCTTTTCGCCGAGGCGAAGTCGCGGCGGCGGGAGATAAGAGACTATACCCCAAGTTGCGGATTCCCATGTCTATGCTTAGGATCAACGGCTGGCGTCTGGGTGCCGGAAGCTGGGCGAGCGAGAGCAGACGCTCGACGAACTCGGATTTCAGACCCGAGGTCTTGGCGCCGCATAGGAAAGATAATTGCTTCAACTGCCTGGCTTTGAACTTTGGCAGGAGCGTTTCTAGGGTTGATGGCATGGTAGGGTTGGATTATCCTGCGAACATACGTAATATGCGACCAACTTATCTACCTTACCTGCGTACAGAGCATGAAGCCATGGGTGGGAGAGAACTACTGTGGGTAGAGGCGGGATAGGAGTATGCAGGTGTCGCTCGATCCAATGTTGTCTGAACTAGATGCTTTTTCTTTTTTTTCTCCTTTTCTAACCAACCGCGGCCGTTTCCGATCCTTGCTAATAGTTGTAACACCTTATTATCGAGGCGTATACCAGTCAATTGGTAATTATGTACTGACTCTAGATATTCTCAAAGTCGCGATATTAATTTTGATAATTTTTAAGTGGACCCCGAACCTGCGAACATGTACTTAGGTACAACATCAGTTTACTTGCACGTTAAAGGTGTCACGTGCTCTGAGGAATTATGACCAGTCGGTAATCGCGCTTATTTTTAATCTCGGGTACCTACGGCAGATACATAAGACCTCCATTATTATGTACCCATGTTTTATTTCGACCGGCGTATACTCCCATTGGTAATGTTTTGGCTTTATTGAATAGATCTTAAACTTAACAACTAGAATCCACGGCCACACAAATAGTCAAACTAGACGTTAAACAAGGCATGACCAATGGAGCTTCTCATGATGGGACTATAGCAGCAATTTCAAGCCACGACTCTTCCAACACATTATACCTAATCACATTTCCGAACTCTGCCGCCTACAATTTATGTTATCCCACAATCTCATATCCCATGCTCAATGATATCTCCTAGAGAACACCGCAGCATGTGTGCCCATCTCCATACTCCCTCTTATCTTTTCAATCTAATATCTAAGGCAACTAGGGCATCGTCCATGCCCACACGGACAAACAGAGGTGCTCTGCGGTATTTCGTTGCGTTTGCAAACACACTCAGGTGGGTCAGTTTGAAGCAATAGCACATACGCATGTTATTATATTACTTACACATATCCAGCATATCTTTATCTCGGTCATTGTGTTCTTCGTAGATGTCGAGTTATCGACGTGGGAATCCATGATGCAGGGTTAAACCAACGTGAAGAGTATAGTGAGTAGCGTTGAACTGTCCCGATCAGGTTGATAGTCTTTTCTGAATATTTTCGAGTAATTTGATGTTTCGAGAAACGATTAACCTCCCCAGGGGAAGAGTAAGTTGGCTTTATACCCAAGCTTAGCCAACCTATTTCAATACGGATCAAAGTGAGCATATAGCAAAGAACTCGGATGGATAGAACACATCACATCATAGTCAACATCAGTGGCTCAAATGTAGCCACGTGATAATTGCCGACTATATCACACCGGTATCATTTCGCATACCATGCATCACGAACATCCCCAATAGCATATAAGCGTCCCCCTCCACATTGTTCATATAGGCTCATATAGATAGTTATCAACTCCAATCACTCCTATAGTCCTTAGACCAGGAAGCTCACGAACCGAGAATGGTAGATGTGGTTCATGACTCTGGCGTTACTCCTCCCGACATGTGATACAGGAACCAGTGTGTCAATGGTGCCATGTACCTTGCCAAAGACTATCCACCTTATTCATAGGCTGATAACGGCCACGATACTCCTATAGCTTAGACCTATGGACCTATCCGTATACTTCACCTCTTTGCTGCCAACCCCTCAGGTTAGCTAACGAATAATATGTGTTCGGTTCCGAAGATGGCTACATTCCATTCTACCTTTCATCTCTCAGGCCGCGCGTTTTATGGGAAAGAGGGATTATAACACCATCCGGTTTGGGCACACATGCCGCTGTCCTACCATCAAAATTTTCACCTTCTATAGTTCGATAGCAAGGACTGGAATGGAATGTGACTTCACGTCTTTTTCCCAGTTCCGGAGCAAGCGCCAGACGAAAATAGTTTACAAGGTATTTATCACAGACTGCTATGTAGCAACCATGTTTATATCCCCGGCGTGGAATTCCGTACCAATTGGTCAATAATTAGACAGAAATTGACGTCATGGTCGGCGATGGTGGGTACTTATCTACCTCCCAGATAGGCAGGATACAAACCTTAATCCGACATCAACGCGTAGGAGAGGTACACAATCTACATAGAATAAAGCTTTGTATACTCCGCACTACTTGTACCCGTATAAGTATATTAATTTCTACGATATTCGAAACTGATATAGATGGAACAGCATCCTTTTAAAACGAGGAAGCGGTTGATGAGTAACTATTAATGATCAGTTTACTTGTCCCCTTTAAATGATTTTAGGGGTATGTCGTTCTTTATGTAAGCGACTCTTGCTCTTAAAAGTGTTTCTCCTTTTTTTTAAGGAGAAAACGCTCTTCCGGAAACAGTCTAGAATACAACGCTCAAAGTTCCCGAGCTGCAAAAACATTAAATGAATAAGGTTTGAAAATAAATCTGTACGTGGCTGTATGTCTTTAATGAAGGGTGTCACGGGACCACTAGATATACATCCATACCTTTTAATTTACCTATAACTGTTTTGAAACAGTTCCAAAAATGATAACTGACTCATCAGGTAGGACCTTCAAAAGCGAATCAAATGAGCCAACTGCAGCTATTCGTAACGCGGGACTGGTAGATACGTAGTTGGACAAATGCAAGACTTTAAGTGCACGTGGATCGGCAATTTTTTTTAGAATGCGCGAATAATCATTGAAACTAATTCTACGCAATTGCATCGAGATACGTATGCGAAGAGAGGCGCGAAGGGTCTGGGGTATTGTAAGTTTTCGTGGATGATATCGTTCGTGACAATTGGGGCCAAACGTCGGAAGTAATTATACTCAGATCCATGCTAATCAGCCGACCTGCTTCGGAATATGATAGCACTTTTACTTTACGTTCTATACTTAATAAACTCTCTATGTGAGGCGCTTACTTAATTAACTTTTTAGCTACCTGATACTCTAATCTAACCTAGCCTTAGACATACAGTCAGTTTTGCCCCTTTAACTATTTCTCCACCAAACTTGAAGTCAATATGGAAACCGTTGGTTCTTTTCTCAACTTCTATTTTGTCTTGGTATGAAGCTAATCGGCAAAAAACTGTATACGCCCGGCGTCCAATCCTTGTTATGATCGTAGTACTCGCACCAATCATCGCCTTTTTAAAAACCAAGACTCGAGAAGCTTGGTTTCTCCGGCTTGGCCTTCCGGCTATTCGATGAGAAATAACCCGGACCCCGAAAATATGAGATCCCAATCGGGGCTTGCAACGGGTGATAAACCCCAGTTCTCACATGACTGGCTCCTTTCATTTCTCGGCGCCGTAGCTACCGCGGTCTAGTCCCTCATCGAAGATGGGATCCGGGCCCGTTATGCACAGCGGGCTGTCGCTCTATAAATAGGAGCTAAGTAACTGCGAGATCATCCAATCCTGTTAGCTACGCGCACATACGACAAGATGCCATTTGTGCGAATGGCGTATAATACTCGCGGCTTCCTTTTGTCGGGGCTCGTGCTCCTAGGAAGCCTTCAAGCTGCTGAAGCGGGTGTTGTTAGGAAGTTTACTGATGGAAACCCTACCGCGCAGGCGGGTCGCGAACGTGTTAGCATCAATGCGGGCTGGCGATTTTCTCGATTCGAGTCGAATCCCGACTCCTTATCGTACGACGTACTGAAGGATTGGATTCTTCCCACTGGCAACGACTTCATCGTCAATGGCGTCAAATACAATCGTCCGAGCGGAGTTGCTCCCGGTAGCAATGTCACATACGTCCAAGCAACGTTTGATGACAGTGGCTGGGAGGAAGTGGATGTTCCGCACGATTGGGCTATCAAGGGTCCTTTTCATGCACCTAACATCCCTAATAGTATGGGTGCATTACCTATTAACGGTGTAGGATGGTACCGCCGCAATTTGGCTATCGAATCGAGCAATAGCGACAAATCTATATTCTTGGACATTGATGGAGCTATGTCCAACTCCGCTGTTTGGATTAATGGTCAACTGATAGGTGGATGGCCGTATGGCTACAATTCCTTCCGTCTAGATCTTACTCCGTACGTAAAGACGGGAGAGAACCTCCTAGCTATCCGGCTCGACAACCCGCTAAACTTCTCACGTTGGTATCCCGGAGCTGGCTTGTATCGAAATGTTTGGTTGGTCAAGGTTGACCAGACTCATTTCAGTCAACATGGATCTTACATAACGACACCGGTGGTATCTGCTGAGTCGGCTGATGTGGATCTAACCGTCGAGATTGAGAACAAGAAAAACTCTAGTCGCCAGGTGGAGGTAAAGACCGATGTTTACGTGTTCGATACGAAGACCGGACGGGCAGGGGCGGATGTGATTGCATCTTTCCCACAAGCGACTGCAGAAGTGGCCGCGACCAGCAAACAGGCTGTCAACGCCTCAGTTACGATAGCGAACCCACAGCTCTGGGGACCTAGGCCAGACCAAGAACCTAATCTTTATGTCGCTGTTACGACACTTATTGCAGATGGGGCCGTTATTGATACCTACGAAACGCGTTTCGGTATCCGATCCATAACATACGATGGCAACACAGGTATTTCTGTCAATGGAAAGCGTGTTTACATCCAAGGGACCAACAACCATCATGATCTCGGCTCTATCGGAGCTGCCTTCCATCTTAGAGCGGCAGAGAGACAATTGGAATTATTGCAAGAAATGGGTTGCAATGCTCTTCGGATGTCTCATAATCCACCAGCCCCTGAACTGCTTGATCTAGCGGATGAATTTGGCTTCTTAGTCCTGGATGAGATATTCGATGTCTGGAAGCAGCAGAAGATTTCGGATGACTACCACGTCTATTTCGACGAGTGGCACGAGCAGGATCTCCGTACTTTCATCCGGCGAGATCGAAACCGTAAGCACCCCTGGTCACTATTAGCTGGAAACTTATTAACGCTATTATGCCCCAGATCCTTCTATCATGGCATTCAGCATCGGAAATGAGATCGTTGAGCAGACGACTTCTTCCGGTGGCGCAACTGCTCGAGAGCTCGTTGGTATCGTGAGGGAAGAGGATCCGGTACGGCACGTCAGTGCCGGAATTAATAATGCTCAGGCAGGGAGCGAATTCGCAGATGCCCTCGACATACCTGGCTTGAATTACCAGGGCGAGGGTCGTGGCACGTCGTTCACCTCAGCGTACCCACCCTACCACGCAGCATATCCGGACAAGGTACTGTGGAGCACAGAGAGTTCCTCAGGGGTTAGTTCGCGCGGTACTTATCTTTTCCCCGTGACGAGCGCCAATAGTACCACGGTCGAGGACGGGGTAGGCGAGGATTCTAAAACTTTATTCGTGAGCGTTTACGAGCTCTACGCCGTCTCCTGGGGCTCGTCGCCGGACAAGGTGTTTGGGATGCAGGATAAATTCCCCTATGCCGCTGGCGAATTCGTCTGGACCGGCTGGGATTATCTTGGCGAACCCACACCCTTCGACACCGAGGCTCGTAGCTCGTATTTCGGCATCATCGACCTCGCTGGCTTTAAGAAGGACCGCTTCTTCTTATATCAGGCTCGCTGGCGTCCTGACCTGGTATTTGCAGTCCTATTCCCATTTGAGGTCTCACCAATTGCTAACCAATTGGCAGTATGTGAACCAATATCTCCATTCTTTGTGTTAGGCTCATATTCTACTGGGGGACATTCGACGGCCCAGGGGAACCATGATGAGCTCTTGAGATTTGCACTCACTTTTGTTAAATGATTGCTGACATGGAGCTAGGCCTATGGCGCACATCCTACCCCACTGGACCTGGCCCGACCGCGTCGGCGAGGTCACCCCAGTCCACGTATTCTCCTCCGCCGACGAAGCCGAGCTATTCGTCAACGGAAAGTCGGCCGGGAAGCTGCAAAGGGAACCGTCCAACTACCGCTTCCGCTGGGACAACGTGACCTACTCGCCAGGCGAGCTTCACGTCGTCACGTACAAGAACGGCAGCCAGTGGGCAGAGGAGACTGTGAAGACGGCCAGCGACGCCGCGAAGCTGACTCTCACGGCGGACCGCACTACCATCCAGGGCGACGGCCGCGACCTGTCGTTCATTACCGTCGCCGTCGTCGACGAGACCGGGACTACCGTCCCGGAGGCGAACAACGCAATCACTTTCTCTATCTCGGGCCCTGCGGAGATCGTGTCTACTGATAACGGCAACCCTGCCGACTTCACCGCGTTCCCGAGCTTAACGCGAAACGCGTTCAGCGGTCTCGCCCTCGCTGTCGTCCGCTCTTTGCCGGGGGCTTCGGGTGAGATCACCGTTCGCGCTCAGGCGGATGGACTTGAAGGCGCGGAGGTAGTTCTCGAGGCGCAGTGACATTAAGTGGGGAATGAAGCTTGTTATATAATGCTACATAGCAAGGTATCTCGCCGTAGGCTGGGCTAATAAAAGTGTATATCTTGGTTGTTGTTATCATTCATCCTAGGTTTATGGGTTTACTTCATGGATAAATGCTTATAAAGGAGCAACCGTTCCTCTCCTAGGTCAGATCCTGTTGATTAAATAAACAAAAAAACTAGGCAGTCCCTTCGTAAACTCAAGGTAAACGACTGCTTAATCTAGCTTGGTAAATAAGGTCTGCAGGTTGCAGTAAGCCTTCAGGCCCTCTACACCATACTGGACGCCAATTGCGCTGTCCTTAAATCCTGGACACGGAATGCCCGGGTCCACCTCTGCATGTGTATTGACCCAAACCGTCCCCGCCTGTAGCTGTCGAGCAATGCGATCGGCTTGTGCTATATCTCTTGACCACACAGAGGCTCCCAGGCCAAAATTGGTATCGTTAGAACGTTGAACAACGTCTGACTCTTCAGTCCACCTCATTACCGGGAACACCGGGCCTAAGTATTATATGTTAATCATGGTTCTCTTCAAAATAGGCTAGATATCGTAGCATTGCTCTGCGACGTATCATATCAAAAGAGACTTACCAAAAGGCTCCTCGGTCACGATTCTTGAATTGTCTGGCGGGTTGTCAATGATTGTTGGGGATAAGAAGAAGCCTTGCTTGCCCTCAGGTGGCTTCGTATTTCCTGCGGCAATAGTGAGTTCGTCCTTCTCGATATCGGCAAGCAGCTCCTTGACACGCTCGTATTGAGGTTGGTTAGAAACTGGGCCTATGGAGGGATTTTCATCTTGTTTCAAGCTGACGCTGTTTGCGTATGCCACCATGGCGGAGAGGAATTTGTCATAGATCGACTCATGCACATAGACACGCTTGGGTATAGTGCAGATCTGACCAGAATTGGCGAAAGCAAAGTATGCGACCTTGGGGGCAGTCGACTCTATGTCAACATCGGAACACACAATAGCAGGATCGTTACCTCCTAGCTCAAGAACGCATCGCTTCAGCGTTTTGCTACAGGATTCCATCACCCTCTTTCCCACTCCAACAGAGCCTGTAAAGCTGACAACATTGATGCCTGAGTGCTCGACCAACCAGGGTCCCAGGTTATCATCACCACTCAGAGCTTGTAAAACGCCAGGCGGGAAAAAGTGCAGGCCTAGCTCGGCTATCTTAAGGTTGCAGTATGGAGCATGGGGAGAAGGCTTCAAGATGATAGCGTTGCCAGTGATCAGAGCCGATGCAAATTTCACACAAGCTATGAAAATAGGATAATTCCAAGAAACGAGTCCAGCTGCGACACCGAGTGGTACGTGTCGCGTGAGGACCTTGCGTTTATCGCTGTCTTCAATCACCTCTTCAGGCAAGGACAGGTCGGCAGTGCCGCGCAAGAACGTCAAGGTCAACCAAAGCTCAATTTGAGCCTCCCTAATCTATAATAAGGGATGATGTTAGTGCAAGGGGTTCCTTAGTGGTTCGAGCTGTACATAGCTAACCGATTTGCCCTGTTCATTCAGTAGCATTTGTAAGAAGCCTTCTGCGTTGGCTTCGAAAGCATCAGCGTATGCCTTCAATTTCTTCTGGCGTTCCGACCACGGTGTCGAGGCCCAAGTCTTCGCTGCATTCTGTGCAGATTGTACGGCTTTGTTGACATCATCAATTGTGCTAACGGGTACGCTGGCGTTTTCCTCTAGTGTAGCGGGGTTCACAGTGAATCGGGTCAATCCCGTGCTAGAACTACAGAGCTGGCCGTCGATAACGTTAAAGAACGTTTCAAAGTCGAGTTTGATCTTAGTTTCGCTCGTATTGCTTGCCATCCTGTAGGGTAGTGATTGTCAGAAGATACGTTATGTCAATGGGGAAGATATTTGAGAAGAAGCAAGCTTGAAGATGGAGAAAGTAGACGAGGTTGGTCATCATTTATACAGGAGTTGTTCTTGGGTACCTAGAGAGGTACATAATAACAAAAGGGGACCCTAATAAGGGATGGCAAGCGATCAATCAAATGTAGTATGTAATATTAATACAAGCCAACCTACAGCTGTTACACAGAGTGGTGTCACACAAAGTGCAGTACAGCAGGTTATACCTACCTATTCATCACGGATAGATCGGGCATCCTAGGTACCTAGGTAGATACTTCAGTACCTATGTTGGTATCAACTCTTCTCTCAGGATCTAGTCATTTAAGGGGTAAGTAGACTTTCGTTATTCACGTATGCATATTTAGAACCGAGAACAACTACTTTTCTTATTATGAAACTAGGTAGTCTAATATCTTAATTCGCAGTCGTCACCATAATTTATATATTGGCAGATGCGAGATCTGTTCAATTACTTGGGTATATTACATGTCAATTCCATGCTTCGACAAATTGAAGTTGGGTATCTCGTCAGACAAGAACTCGGGACTCTCTGTGACTCTCTGGGACTCTCACCCATGAACTTCCAACATTATTGTACCTCGTCAGTTAAATCTGATCCGTGACCATAATTCCACGGTGCCAACTAAGAGCAGATGATGATGATGATGATGATAATGAATTTGTTTACGTCCAGGGGCTATAGCAGTACTAAGTACACATAACGGCGCGTATCGGTGACGCATGGGACGTCTAAAGTACCTTCCAGGTAATACTGAATAAGCAGAGCTAGAGTTTCGCTTGACATAAGGAAATTATTTTGTAACTCTTTACTCCTGCCTTTAGCATTACTCTAGCTAGTAAGCGCCAGCCCTGGCTAGCCGATTATATTCAGGAAAAACCCTACTCCGGGTCCACCTTCTTCTAACGTCTTTCAAAACCACCCTCCAACGCCCAGCAAGCCCTAAAGCGGGGTAAAAAAACCTGAATAAATCGGACCGTTAGTTAAGTTGCCCACAGTGGGATTCGAACCTACTCGCTTCACGTAATCGTACGCTAATACGCGGCCAGACGCTTTAACCACTGCGCCATGTGGGAAAAAAACTAAGAGCAGAACTTTGGCCTTTAGACGTTAAACCTGTTGAGACTTGCACGTCGTATCCATCATCGTCGCCTCGCTAATGTCTGATACGTTCGAGTTCATCCGAGACGCCACTATTAGACGGACCCGAACTTCTATAGATGCGTCGATAGAGGGGGTCATATGTGGCAATAGAGGTTGCTATAAATCCCGTTGTGCATTCGAGGGTAGCAAGGAGACTAGACGGAACCATTTCCCCTATGGCAATGATTCCAAGTCAGTTGTGTGTCTATAAACTGGCGCATAAATACTCACAGCTGCTGTCTGCGGTACCGCTGAATTTACTGATGTACTTAAGCTGAACTATTGACACTACACAAGAACTGCGACGAATGAGCTGTGTTTTGTATGGATGGGAGTTGGTTAACTAACTTGCCGCCCGCAACAAATGCCAAGACCAGTCTTTATCTTAAGGCCTCGTATTAGTGGAATTGGCATGATGATGATAATCATATTCGTGAAGATGTTGATGATATATGCTACGAACGCTTGGGCAAGATAATGATTTGGACTACCAATTCGGTTACGAGGGCGGTTAAGATCCATGCTAAGCGCCTAAACCATCGTGTGGGCAAGAAAATGGTCCTGTACAGGCTAAGGATGCTAAACTTAAGGAAGGCAACAACGAGGACATAGAATTTCTCTCCAACGATGTTCACCTGTCGACATTTAAGATTATCAGTCGGTATTCTTAAGACAAGGGGCACTCTTCAGTAGTTAGTGTTATGAAATATTTGTTCATAGATCCCTGCCCATCAGCCGTATTAAACAGACCAATTACTTGCTAATTATATCATACTTAAATATGCGGCTGTTTTGATGGTATTTCTCCACATCGGGCAGAATTGCTCTGAGAGTTTTAATAACGAGGAATTTTCATCGCAACTCGTTATATTGTCTTCATTGCTTAGGATAACCGTAAAAGGCACTCCATTCAAATTCGACACTACAGAATGAGAACAGCTCACCGGGGTTCTAGTTTGATATCAATCTATTTAATACTTTTTGTAATTCCTAGCTATAAATAGTTATCCACCCTTGTTGGGATTCTGTCGTCCCTTATTAAACCCTCTCTGACTTTATCCTTTGAAGGAGCATACACTATAACATATGATATTGTCTCGAGAACGAGAAATATTACATACAATAATTAGGTGTCCATCAATCTTGCCGTTTATGCCTGTGTTGGGTATTCCACCTGTAAGCTCGACCCCTTTTTAAGGGACCAGGTGAGGACCTACACGTGGACAATGAAACGTGTCTTTGCTGTAAGGATTAGGAAACCTAAGTTCGAGTCGCGTCGTATGGAGTGGCCTGGAAAAGGGCAGTTTACACAGATATAGATTATTCCTTAGTGGCAGTAACGGCAACACTAAGGGGTGTGTGTAAAGACAGGGAGAAATGGGTGCTTATTTTTACGCCAGCGTAAGGGATACTGTATAGTAATTATGAAGGCTATGCAGCTTCTGGTGTTAAGAGAAAGTGTTAAAACTGAGCCTATGCTATTTATATAATTAGAAACTGTCGGAGCACATGTATGGAAAACTTGAGAATAGCGTGCCCTTTGAGAAAATATAAGAGGTCTGTTCAACCGGGAAATAATATGTGGTTGATAGACTGTAAACAATCTACATCTTCAACTCAGTATATCTCCATTTATACCTATCTTCCATTCCACTAGTATCAACATGGGACCAATCCACTGGAGCGTCCTTGTCCTTTGCTCGGCCAAGTATGCTATTGGTCTTCGCAGTACGTCACCACCGACTAGTCTTGGTTAGGTACCTGACTTGAACGAGTCAGTTCATATGTAAACCATTAACTTAACATATCTCTAGTACCTCAAGAGACCGGACAGCCGTCTCCCACGCAGGTCCAATATACTACCAGCACCGTCTTGAGGCAGAGAGATTGTTTTGACATTGGTTCCAATGCCTTCGGCGGGTCAGCAGATTGCGTGAGCTTGGGGAATCCAATACTCGTGTCAATCCCGATAACGGCGCAAGTCCTCACAGATAGTATTCCTACGACGACTGTTCAAACGCTTCCACCGTGTAGCCACTTAGATTTCGGCGAAGGTATTGGTCAAACTGGCGGTGCAACTACCGTTACGGGCTCTGGGTGTCAGGGCTTCCCTACTGATCAGAGTGTAGCCTTTGTTTTGGACACCGCTTCATAACATGGGATATGTGGTTGATGCAAGGATATGGTATGCCATAAGTCAAAGGGGATAAGAGGATAAGGGAAGATTTATACGCCTTGCATATGCTTTCAATTGAGATATGGATTTGTACCTATCTAAGCCAATCGTTAAGCTAAATGGAAACTATTCTGCTAGCGTCCGCGAAGATTTGTCAAAGACCCCTGTTTCGGGGAGGTCGGACACGGGATATTTAAATTTTAGGTAGCACCTGAAGACCGGCGAGAACCGGTATGCCGGGTTGCTTAGTGATCACCTCGGGCTTTAACGGTTTAGGCGCCGTTAGCTTCTTTCCTCCTGTAATTGATTTGGAAGTGATTTACTCGCGTGCCTTCCAAATCGACTTCACCTTCACTTCACCTTCGTTCTCGCCTTAGTAATCGCTCCGCATTCCGCATCCGTAATTGTTCCAATTTGTAAGCTGCGTGTTTGAGTATTACAGATTCCCAAACTTACGCATGCCTTAGGTGCATTATCTGATCCCGGTTCCTCGTAGGATTTATCTATTTTTATTCCGCGAAATCTTTCATATAAGACGTCATCCCCTCTGCCCCACCATCAATTCTTCTCGTCCTTTTGTTCTTCTGTCCTTGGGGAATCAAACCAGTCAATGCGAGCATTTGGGTTATTTGGTCGCATATCGGCTGCTTCTACTGCATCTGTGACCTCGAATTCTTCAATCGCTTCCAAGAGAGCGACCTACCGAATCGTTTCCCTCTCCAGACACTTCTCGACTACCCCTCGCATCATGGCTCCGATTTCCAAGGAAACCGATCTCCTCGTCATCGGCGGCGGCAGTGGAGGTCTTGGAGCCGCACGAATGGCCAGTGCTAAGTTCGGCGCGAAAGCCATGGTGGTTGAGGCTTCGCGACTTGGTGGGACCTGCGTCAATGTTGGGTACGACTCTGTTATACCTACTACTACCTTCCTATTCCCACCACTACGGCTATAGCGGACAGAACGCAAAGCTAATGTTAAGCCTCCCCTCATAGTTGTGTACCGAAGAAAGTAACCTTCAACGCCGCCGCGCTAGCCGAAGCGATCCACGACGCCAAAGCCTACGGGTTCTCGGTGCAGGAGACGAAGCCGTTCGACTTCACCACCTTCAAGCGCAAGCGGGACGCCTACATCAAGCGGCTGAACGGCATCTACGAGCGCAACCTGGCCAACGACAAGGTCGAGTACGTGCACGGCTGGGCGCGGCTGCTGAGCCGGAACGAGGTGGAGATCACGCTCGACGACGGCACCAAGACCGTCGTGCGCGCGGCCAAGATCGTCGTCGCCGTCGGCGGCGAGCCCACCAAGCCGCCCTCCGACATCCCCGGCGCCGAGCTCGGCACCAACAGCGACGGCTTCTTCGACATCGACACCCTGCCCAAGAAGGTCGCCCTCGTGGGCGCGGGCTACATCGCCGTCGAGTTCGCCGGCATGTTCAACGCCCTCGGCACCGAGACGCACCTGTTCATCCGCCACAAGACCTTCCTGCGCGCCTTCGACCCCATGATCCAGGACGGCGTCACCGCCGAGTACGAGCGCCTGGGCGTGCACGTGCATAAGGAGTCCGACCAGATGAAAGTTGAGAAGGACTCCAGCACGGGCAAGCTTGCCATCCAATACAAGGACAGCAACGGCCAAGGAAAGGTCGAGGGCGTGGACCATTTAATCTGGGCCATCGGCCGCACGCCCATGACCAAGAACATCGGGCTGGAGGAGGCCGGCGTTAAGCTTGACGAGAAGGGCTACATAGTCACCGACGAGTACCAAAACTCGTCAGTAGACAATATCTACGCGCTGGGCGACGTATCGGGGCGCGTGGAGCTGACGCCCGTAGCCCTCGCGGCCGGGCGGCGGCTCGCGGAGCGGCTGTACGGCGGCCCGCAGTTCAGCACGACGCGCATCGACTACACGAACATCCCGTCCGTCGTGTTCGCGCACCCGGAAGTCGGCAGCATCGGCCTGACCGAGCCGCAGGCGGAGGCGCAGTACGGGAAGGAGAACCTGACGGTCTACAAAACGAGCTTCACGGCCATGTACTACGCCATGATGGAGCCCGAGGACAAGGCGCCGACCAAGTACAAGGTCATCTGCGCCGGCCCCGAGCAGAAGGTCGTCGGCCTGCACATCATGGGCCAGGGCTCCGGCGAGATGCTGCAGGGCTTCGGCGTCGCCATCAAGATGGGCGCCACGAAGAAGGACCTCGATTCCTGTATCGCCATCCATCCTACGAGCGCCGAGGAACTAGTCACGCTCAAGTGAAGCGGAGATCAAATTCGAAAATATAAAAATACGTAAAGACAAAAGATTTTGAGGAAAATAAAGGAAAAGGGGTGGGGGGAGCATTTTGATACCATGTTGATAGATCGCATGATGATAGAATCTAATAGAAAATCTATCCCAACCTATAAGATTAATAGGTTTCAACGAACGATACCCAAGTTTTTGACCAGATATGACGAAGTGAGACTGGGGGAATCGATTCTGCAGGTGGACGGAGGTTTGAATTTATGTGTGATGATGTGCGCATTGTCTCCCGGTAGTGTATCAAGCAAAGAAAAACTTACGTGGTCCTTACCCCTTTTTTATCATCTGTGCTTACAGAATTATCCGTATAGGAGACCAATCTATCACCTTTCACTCTATTCGATTCGACCACATAGGTACTAGTTGTCATCCGGGTTCATAATATACCTCACGGCCAATCCATTGAAATGATGTAACAAGTATATGCAGTTCTAGATTCATACTCCTATTTATCTATACCTTCTAATTTCTACCGCCTCGAGGTCATCAGGACAACATTAACAACCAGACCAAAAACCGTAATTAGCAACAGCAATTAGATTTTGTTTGGTATTCAGACATTATAATTGACACATTGATTCGATCCACACATTATTTGAACAAACGCCGATTCCATGCGTTGCTCAAGAGACTTTTCCGATGTAGAGACGACCAAACAATAAAAAAAGACCACGCAAATGACTGACTCCGCGTCCTGGCACCGCCATAGGCTGACTCCTGCCTCGCCTCTCCTTTGTACTCGAGGATGATACCTTCGATGCAACATATTTGGGTTAGATAAAAAGCAGAAAGGAAACCGATATTCTTTCCGAACGGAACCGGCGCGAAATCCCGAGGGTTTCCTTCCAGCCTCGTGATTGGATACGTAGGTGATAAAATACTACACCGCTGCGAAATTTATGTACTAGACAGTCGATTCGCGAACTTATGCCTTTGCTTTGTACTGATATAACGTAGGGATGCATGACATATTCGTTAGCGGAGGGATGAGGCCGACTTTCCCTAGAACGTCGGCTTATTTCCACCGTTAAGTCGGTACGAGGCTGCTAGGCCTGTACTGCCGTTAGGACTTACTATATTCGGTATGCCTTGGCGTTCATCCTGCGACGAGGTGGTGGAAGAGAAAGATGAGTTCAAGGACGTAGAGACACTATTCATAGTCCCGGAACGAGACATCGACAATCCTCCCATGGATATCAACGCATCGGCACGCTCGAAAACGTTTCCATTAAAAGCGTTAGCAAAAGACGCACTTTGCGGCGTTGAAGGCACCGTAGCCTGCACGGCCGGTCCGAGAGCGGCGCTCTGAGGAGTCATAGGTAGCTGTATCTGGGCAACTCCGGGACTAGGCGCGTAATGGCTAGGGGAATAATGATTGGGCGTGTTGCTATAATTATCAGCATGTCGAAGAAGATACCCCCAAGGGGAACTCATTATAATTTGGTTCGTCTCCTTTACGCTGGTTTGGATTGGTCGTAATCTAGTTCGAATATCTTGCGGGAAAGATATTTGGTTCATGGAGGACTTTAGCCTACCCCCAAACTCGGCCCAAGAATCGATGAAACTTTTGCAGAGACTCCAGAAGAGAGGATCGTTTCTCACACCGGGTTCCTTCAACTTAATAAGCGATAGTCGGTCCTTAAGGCGCTCCGTGTCAGCAATCGCAATAGAACATTTGGCGACTAAGCCCTTCCAACAATGTACCATGTGCTCTGGCATTCGTTGGGTTTCGGCATTGCGTCCGAGGGCCATGAATTGCTGATTGATATTTGGAAGTATACGCATGACAAGATCCGATGATTTCTGTAGCGCCAAGAATACTTTCTCGAATAAACGCTCGTCGGCACTAAAATTGACGGGAAATCGGATGTCTCCATTCGAAGATGCGAATGATTCTCCAGAACGGGGTGTTGCAGAGGTAACTTGAGCCATTCGCCCAGTACCGTTAATGTACGGAACTGACACGTCTGTTGATACTCGGAGGTTGCTAGGGTTGTGGACGAAAGCACCAGGTCGCGGTCGGGCGTTCAAACCAGGTCGTTGTATCGTTGGTGTCATCGAGCTGTCTCGCGAATGGACTCGAATCGTATCCTCGATTCCTAGCCGGGGGTGTTCCTGGCTGAACCCAGGCCCATACGAAGCCCCGGAAATCTCATTAAAGGTAATGCGGAGCTCCATGATGCTGTGGTACAAAAGCATCATCATGGTGCGAATATAACGCGGGTCTGCGTTGTCCACAATGGTGTCCATATTATTCATTAGAAGTTGGCATATATGGCTGTAGGCATTAATCAAGGTCAAGACAGCCCGTTGAACATTCTCGTTCTCGCGTGCTGTGTAAGGACTGTTCTCTGCGGCAAACTCATGCTTCTGAAGCTCCTGCTCGAGTTGTTCAATGTGAAAGTTAGTGTTGTAGAAGACAATCTCAAGGCTTGATCGCTTTGGTGTACCATCATTGGTCAGCCTCGTAAAGAGTTGAATCATAGGATGGACCTGGAAGATCGCATAGAGAATACCCTTCGCAGATTCGATGATGGGATCGAAAACTTTCGATTCCCTTCTTTGCTCTGGTAGAACAGAAAGGCGCCGTACATAATTCGGTCGATTGAGTAAAGGCTCGGCCGGGCTATTCGGGCTGGCGGCAGAGGTTGCATTCGGATCCAGGTTGCCCGTCATGGACGAGCCGTGGCTCAATCCTCGGTAGTGACTGAATCTGTTGTTCGCCTGGCCTTCTTCTAAGGTCCCGAGCTCGGTCGCCTTTCTAGACACAATCCCCATGCGCCTGTGTCGTTCTGACGGCCGACCTTGTCCCGATGCTTGCAACAAGGTTTCGCTGTTCGAGCGCACCCTTTCGTTAGGGTTGCCTATGGTGAGAGGCATAACACCGGGTTTGCGAACGGCCGTGCTTTGCTGGGAGAGACCCCGAGCATGTGATCGGGACGGTATGGGCGGCGCTCGTAGCACGGCCGGTGATCGGAGATCCGACACATCGCTACCGTTCACTCGGATAGGAAACCGGCCACTGACTACTCTCCTTATAGGCATTCGAGGTGTCTCGGTTCCATCGCTGAGCTCATCTCCTCCATTTTCGCCGTCTTTCTCTTTCCCATTCATGCTCAAGGCCTTCTGCTTTAGATATTTCTTGATGTGTGCCGTAACGGCGAGCTCCGTTATCTCGCTCTTTTCCAAGAAACCTTCGTTGGGAGGACTGCTGGCTTGAACGCGGAGTACCTCTTTAGGAGGAAAGGTTATGTCATTTCCGTCTAATCTCAGCATTTGCAACGAGACCATATCAGCTAAACAAAGCGGAAGCTCCTGTATTCGATTCTTCTGTAAGGCAAGCACTTTAAGCGAGGTTAATTTCCCGATGTCCGGGGGGAGCAAACGGATCTTATTCCTCCCCATATCTAATATCTCCAGTGACTTGATGTCGCAGAGCTAGAACACGAGTGAGACACAAATCCATACGCCCGGAGAAAGGAGGATGTAATTACCGATAGGGGAAACTCCCTAATTTGGTTGGCTCTCAAGTTAAGATAGCGCAAGTGAGTACATTCGGAGAATCGAGATGGTAAAGACGACAACTTGTTGTGAGAGAGTGCTAACCTATACAGAACCAAACGCATTAGCGCTTCACCGGGGTACGTATTTGACGAAGAGAATACTGACCGCTCCAACTCATTCTTAATTATGTCCACCACCTCGTCGGGCAGTGCCTGTATATTCTTCCTACTAAGATCGATAGTGACGCCGGGCTTGAGCTCGGTACTGACACCGCTAGCGCCAGCTGCCTGAGTCTCATTCTCTCGTAGAGCACTACCCATCGCCTGCCTAGCGAGATTGATAACCTGATTAGTAGATAGGGGACCCGATGCAGACAACATTGAGCCCGAGCTACCGCTGCCGTTGGTAGCTGTATTGAACTGCTCGGGTATTGGGGGCGGTGGTGGAGGCATTGCGAAGGCGGGAGGCATTCGTCTCATTCCCTGAGGTAGACCGGTAGATAAATTTCTCGATGCCGAGGATTGAGGTGGTATGATTGTAGCAGCCATGCCGCCGAAGGCAACATCCATGACACACGCAAATCCGATCTACCGAATGGCGCAAGAAAGCCTTACGCGGCGTACGTACGAAACCAGGTAGGAGGGGATCAGGTCGACAGTGTAGGATCGACGTATGCCGTTCCGGGGAACCCTTAACGAATATCTGCACCAAATTGATCTAGAGGAAAGAGGTCGGTGAATGGTGTGAAACAGTCGAGTTCATCGTAGTAGTATAGGGGATCACTTTCGAATAGGTATTTAGAGAATTGAGAAGATCCAGGATAGGTGATGGGAGAAGAAACGAAAGGTTGGAAACATCGACAATTCGACTTTCTATCTCAAGGATAAATTGGAGAAAGTATAGGTAGAATCAAAGTGTAAGAGATAAGACGTTTCGAGAGGTACTCTTGGGATCAGGTCGTGTCGATTCGTGAAAGATTGGAAAGTTGAAACACGTCTAGGCGAAAGGGTGAAGGGTGAAGCACTGATGTAGTCGAAGTGTCGAAAAGTGTAGAAGTTCATCCGCTAGGTACCTGTGGTCCTATGCAAACCCGTATGCAAACCCCTGTTTGTTGGAGCTCTTTGAGGTGGTCGTTAGGGGGGATGTGGGCTAGGCGCGACCTAATGAAGACACAAGGGATCGAGTCTTGGGCAGCCAGGGCGCCAGGGCACCACGGCACCACCTGAGCAATTAGTGGGAAAGAAGGGGGCTCAATGTTCTTTGTCGACCTATGCAAGTACCTAAGACCTGCGTACATGCTGTAGACAGTACATGCTTTAGGTACCCGTCGTACTTGACGAACCTTGGAGCCCAGAAGAAAGGGGTCTGACAGCTGCACGGTGGTGTGTGTTTTGTGCTGGGTTTTTGAGACAGCATTTCGAAAGGAAAGGGTGCGTCGCCCGGATTGATTACCTAAGGTGGTGTATCGAAAAGGGGAAGTCGGTGTGAACCAATCAGACCAAAAAGGAAAAAGGTGTAAAAAAAAAATAAAAAATAAGATAATAAAAAAAGAAGAAGGTGGGGGCTGCACTTGGGGTCCCCCCTGCTCGTGTTTTCAGTGCGCCGATAATCCTGACTCGTGCGAGAGGCTCGAGAGGCTTGAGATGAGCCTGCCAGCCGCCATTTATTTATTTTTCCTGTTTGCTCAGTGGGTGATGAGAAGTGAGAATCTCCAAAATAGGATTCTTTGCGGCGCATCTTTGTCCAGTCATACTTTGTGCGTATTATAAACTCCTTAGAAATAACATCGTCGATATCGTATTTTGAAAAATCGTATTGCATAAGAACTTAATTGGGAGACAGAAATAACCAATCCAATAACACAATTGGTGATAGTGTAACTTGAAAATGAGTCGTGGTACTTTGTACCTTACAGTTGTGGCGCCAATTAGTGAGCGTTAGTCGGCGAGAACGGGCGCTAGCGGCGTATCACTAAATCTCAAAATACGCACAGACCAAATACTGTCCTCGGGTCCAATTAGTCTACCACCAAGAAATGCAAGGCACGTTCCATTTTTCCCACGCGACAAGTGGAGATGAACACGATTAGGCAATCAAGGAAGGTTAGTTCAGAAGTCGCGACGGAGATAGATACTTGAAGGATCACCGAATACAGAAGTAGTCAACTTCGAGAAGGAAAGAACAAAGTGTATCCCAGGTAGTTTCATACTCTACCTCCTACTTGGGGAAGGTACGTCAGTTCATAACGTCAGACCAAAAGGCCCTTTCCATCTTATCTCTGTAAATCTAAAACTCAATCTATGTACATAACTCTAAATCTAACCGTCAATTTAGGCACACTTTCTTTCAAACGGCTCGAGATTTATCGATGATCTTGATAACACAAAGTCGGAGTGGCCGTGTCTTGTAACGACAAACATCCATTGCAATTATCAAGGACCACGTCCGACTGTAATGCATGACCCAGTTGCAAATTCATGTACCCACTCTAGGTACTCAGTGCCTCATCTCGATTCTGCAGACTGGGGAAAAGCGAAGCCCGTTCAATACCTAAAGAAGAAAGGCTCAGTTTTGACCCACAAAGACTCATAAGGAAGTCTACGCTGTGCCATTCATTATCCATAGGGGCCTTGTATAGGGGTCCTGCAAGAACTCGACTCGAGCTATTCAGGTGTTTGATATTCTGACGGTCGTCCATTGAACACAAGATGCCCGCTCTTGTCAGATCCAACTCCTTTATTTTCCCGGACCTAGACTTTACTTTACGCCGCCAATTCAATAAGACTGGTTTTCGTCCATTTCAACGAGAGATCATACAAGCCGCGCTTGATGGAAACGATGTTTTCGTTCAAGCAGCAACCTCCTTTGGCAAGAGTTTATGCTTCCAACTTCCGGCTGTAGTAGATCAAGGCAGTACGTGCTCAACGTCTCCCCTCTTATTCTAGCATTTATTGCTCACATGAGATTATAGTCACTATTGTTGTGTCGCCGCTGTTGAGTCTCATGATGAACCAGGTAGAAGCTCTCCGGGCTTCTGATATCGATGCTAGTTCGCTGAACAGCAACACGCCCCTAATAGAGAAAGATCGTATCATGAATGACCTCAAAACTGGTCATCCACGTATTCGGTTGCTCTATGTCACTCCGGAACTTTGTGCTCAAGACCGTTTTCGGGATAGGCTGAGGGTGGTCCATGAACAACGAGAGCTTGCACGCATTGTTATCGATGAAGCCCACTGCATCTCAGAATGGGGTCATGACTTTCGTAAAGATTTCAAGAGACTGGCATGGTTTCGTGAATCGTTTCCCGACGTGCCGATTATGTGTCTAACGGCGACGGCCAACAATCAGGTACGCCAAGATGTGCTTAACATTCTTGGGTTAGACACCAATCTAGGGAGGCTAAAAACGTTCACGATGACAGCCCATCGACCAAATCTCCATTTCGAGATACGCTTTACACGCGACGAGGATGATCGACGACTAGATGATTTCCTTAAGTGGATACGGGGCGTCTATCAGCGTAGGGCCAAAGATGAGCGAAGAAGCGAGCTTGACGCCCTCGGTGAGCGTGCTGATAATGTACCAGGCATTATCTACACTATCTCGCGGGACGAATGCGAAAGCCTCGCTTCACAACTTAGACAAGAGGGCATCGGAGCTCAGCCATTTCATGCCAAGCTGTCTAAAGAAACCAAAGAGCGAGTTCTTGCCAAATGGGTTTCTAACGAACCCGGATACGATATAATCGTGGCTACAACTGCGTTTGGCATGGGCATCGACAAAAACAACGTCCGTTTCGTTGTGCACTGGCGGCTTCCTAAATCCTTCGAAGGGTATTACCAGGAAGCCGGACGGGCTGGACGCGACGGAAACGCGGCGTACTGTTTTCTATATTACAGTCGCGAAGATAGGGACCGAGTCAGCAGTTTAATTATACGGGATCGAAATACGTCGACCACAATTTCATGCTCTAACTTCGAGGCACGCGCCAAGAGCTTGCAAGCGTTAGCCGAATATTGTGAGAGTACAAATGCTTGCCGTCATAAGCTCATCTGCAACTATTTCGGGGAGAATGATACCCCGCCATGTGATTATGCATGCGACTGGCATAAGGATAGCGTCGATCTCCAACGACGTTTCCTCAGAGGCCTGGCGAGCGAAGAGTGGGTCAGCACGCAGAGAGAGGAAGGTCTGTATGATGTAGATTGGGACGAATAATTTACGAAGAATCTCGGTTGGCAAAATAGGTCTGCCGTCCAGACTCATCGTGTAACATCTGTGCCAGCGTCTGACAGGAATGAGAGGGTGAACCAATATACGGACGATGCTGGCTCTCACGCATGACATACTGCATCCCTCCAATCGGCTCAATTCTCAATTAGGACCCCGCATACGTACGTCTAACAACAGCCCGCAGGTCTAGAAGCAAGCTCCTTCTTACCTTGAAAATAGCAACATTCGATATTTTTGCGCGACTTTCAAGTGGGTTACAATTCTGCACTCACCCGTTTCCAAAGCGTAACTAGGTCTCGGAAGAGTACTGTCTCGAAATGTCAGCTCCGGCGGCATCCAGCCCGAGTAGATCGGCGAATCATGCACCACCCAACCCTCCCGTTCCCGAAACCCTGGGTACCACCTCGTCAGCTCACCCGAACAACGCGACAGCCTTGTCTAACCCCTTAACTTCGCCGATTCTCTCACCATCATTGCAGTCTAGCTCCTCACGCCCGCAACCGTCTAATTCGGGCTCGGCATCTCGTAGCGCCACTTCACCTCCTACAACTACAACCGCAACCGCAACCGCATCCGCCGCCACCGGATCACAACCCCGCGTGACCATGGATCTAAACCCGACTCTGCCCTCTCGGGCTACGCAGCTCCATATCGACGAAGCCCGCGCTGCGCTCGTAGCCTCTATGTCGAACATGCTAGACTCGGAGCTGCAATCGCGTGCCTCGCTGCTCCACTCCAACGCCGCGGCGCTGACTAAGCAAGAGAAGGACGTAGCGAAGGGGACCGAGGCATTGCGGAAGGAGAATGACAAGCTTGAGAAACTAGCCCGCGATACGGAGCGCAAGATCAAGGAGCTCGGCAACGTGCAGAACTGGGCTGAGGTTCTGGAGAGGGACTTCCTGGTCTTAGAGGAGACCATGCGCATAGTGAGGGAGGGCAGCGGAAGCGGCGACGACAGCTGTAGCAAGTGTAGCGGAAGTAGCTGGACCGGGAGTTACAGCGCTGATGATAGTAGGGCGGGGAGTCGCCGGGGGAGCGTGACGGGCGATGCCGATGGTAACGTTAAGAAACCCGAAGAGCGGGGGTTAAATGGGCACACCGCCGTAGATGCTGCTGTCGAAAGTGGAAAACTGGAGGATAGAAACGATATAAACGTCACCGTGGACAAAGCTGTTGCAGAGAGCATTCTCGAAGCCATGGCTACAGACTTACACGAACCACTAGGCTCTCTGTCCCTAAACCCGGTTTCGTCCGAGTCTCAAGGAAGCTCACTCAAGGGTAAGGAACCAGCCGTCAATGACAGCGGAATAGAAGTCGATAACGCTCACGACGTTCTCGAAACACGTGAGCCGGTCCAACCGCCGGATACTAATAGCGCAGGTGCTGTGGAAGATGTGGTTCTGAATAACGATCTAACTCATCCTGCGACAACTGATGGCAAAAGCTAATTTGCTTAGTGCAAACGGTTATGTCAATAGTATATCAGGTACGGAGTTATGGTTTAACGGGATTGGGTGGCTGATACGCTTATACGGACGACCGACTTATTCAAAGAGCTCATTGTTCATTGTCCGATGCTCGGTATATTCCAAGCAATTTACCACGAACGAGATCTTATATCATGACGAATAATGTATTATGTATGTTATTTACACACGATAGTATATTAACTAGGACTCATTAGATTAGTTCGGTATTAGCTCGATACAGCTCCGTTTCTACATCTTGCCGAACTCCTTTCGCTTCTAATTATTCTCGTGTCTCTGGCCCTGCGATGCCCCCCCTTTGCTTTCGTCTAGAAATATACCTAGGCAAGGACATTGAAGGCAGAACGCGGACATCCATCTCTACATTAGTCGTATCGTCAAAATGCCGCAAAGCTTAACAAGCTTTTATAGCAGACCCGGCAGCATGACGCAGCGCTTCTTCTTGTACTTGTCGCCGAACTGCTTGCGGTACGTCTTCTCCTTGCCCCAGCCCCAGGTGTACATGTAGTACGAGCCGACGCAGATGAAGGCGAACAGGGACGGGCTACGCGTAACGATGATGATACCAATCCACGCAATGATTTCATACATGTAGTTAGGACACGTCACGATGCTGAAGCCGTGGCCGCGGGGTATCTTGCGGTCGGTCTCGCCCGGCTTACGCAGGTGGGCGAGATACCAATGCACGTCGAAGTTGAGGATCTCGCCGGCCGCGAAGAGGAAGAACCCGAAGTAGGTCAGCGGGCTGGGGCCGTCGGGGGCGAGGGCGGCGGGCGAGAAGGGGGCGTAGATCTCGAGGGCGCCGAGGAAGCCGGCCATGGCCCAGTAGAAGACGGAGTTGCGGAAGATGTACGCGAAGGGCATGGTGGCGGCGGAGAACTTGTGCAGGAACATGGTCTCGAGCTCGCGCTTGGCGAAGTGCGCCATCACCATGCCGAAGGCGGCCCGCTGCGCGAAGGAGAGGCTCGGGTCGGCGCGCGCGCCGTACGGCGCCAGGTACGGCGCCAGGTACGGGTACGCGGCCGGGTAGAGCGTGTGCCGTAGGCTGAGGAAGAGCGGGTGGAAGAGCAAGGGTCCGAGGTACTCGATCACGTAGACGAAGCGCCAGCTGATTTGGGTGCCTGTTTATATGCCAGTTAGCTCTTGCTCTCTGTAATTCTACATAATTAGGTATTGGGTAGCAGCATACCAAGGTCCTTGACGAGCAGCTCTCCGCGCTTTATGACTTCGTCGTGGCTTCGAAGGAGGGAGTTCCTGTCCTTGATGGTCTTCTTGGACACGGGGTCGAAGATGCCGATGCGGTAGTGGTCGGACACGTTGGCGGCGCGCGCGACGATCTTCTTCGCGTCGTTGACCGTGGCATCTTCGGGCACCTCAACGGTTGAAGGAAGTCCCTTAAGGCCCTTCCGGGACCTGTTGGTGACTTTCAAGGTCAATTTACCTGCCATTTTTTACCTACAGCAGGTTCCCTTCGACTCAATCAAAGCGATAGATAGTAACAGTCGCCTTCTAGATGTAAGAGAAGGTGAATTGGGTGCCCCCGTGGATGTGGTGAGGGAGGTGAAGTGTTATTTAGACTTTTTTGTGGGAATTTGTTGAGTTGTCTTTCCTTTAGCTGCATCGGAGCTGAACCTAGCAGATCTAATGGCGTACTTTTTTTACTTTTTCGAGGCGTACTATAGATAAGATTAATTATTTGCCGAGGTCGGGGTAGTGTATGTACATCGTTGTATTAAACAAATTGCTAGATAACTCATTCAACGCATTATCATGTTCTCTAAAAGCAAGAAAATCGCATTGGACGGTGACAATAAACTTATTGATTGCTCTAAATGAGGTTATCAAAGTAAAGATTGCATGTGGTGTCACAAACTCCGTCAGTCTACCCAGGTACAAGCAACCTTGATCCCGAGAGAGCGGATCCCGGTATCCAATATTTTGACAACAATTGCCATTTTAAGCTACGGCAACGCTTCGATTTGTGCAAGTGTATGTGATAAATGCATGATTATCAATTTGGGGAAGAGATATACATTTATCCCAGACGGATTTAGCCCCTCCATATGTCATAAGATGGTATGTATGTATGAACTTACAACAGCTCCGACTTACAACATTAAACTTCCAACGTTCATCCTCTAATCTTGTCAACATTGACAATTGCCACTATTCCGATGTGGCCGAAGTCCTTAGGACTCAATAATTCATGACACCTATGAAAGCACACCGTCTCAGAATATGCCACCGCCCAACACTCCGGAGGAAGGAATAGTGACTACTACCGCCACCTTAGCTCTCCGACCTTTTATGGGCGGCGAGGCTCCCGCCACAGCCCTAGATCTGAGAGCTCTCGACTACGAAGGCGATGTTGACGAGAACCTTATTTGTCCGATCTGTCGAGTCCCTTTTATAGCCCCTGTAATTACCGCCTGCGACCACGTCTTTTGTCAGAAATGCATCATCCAAGCTCACGCATTAAACCCCGTCTGTCCGGTCGACCGACTTCCTTTGAAGCTAGTATCCGACACACGCCCCGCTCCTAAGATCATTCACAACCAACTAGACAACTTATCCGTCAGATGCCCAAACAGCATACGCGGTTGCGGTCTCATCGTGTCTCGGTCCTTGGTCGAGAATCATGTCGCGCGATATTGTGACAAAACGCTCGTGCCGTGCCCTCATCCCTCCTGCGATAAGACCGTAGTCAGGAAGGACATTGGCAAGGGATGTCTCCACTATGATGTCAAATGCGAATACTGCGACCAGGTGAAGCAGAAGGCCGACCTGGAAGAACACCAGGACCTCGAGTGCCCTAATCGAAAGGCGGAATGTGTGCTATGCAGGGCTGAGTATGTGCGACATAAGCACGAGGAACATTCTAAAGAGTGCCCCGAAGCCCAAACCTCTTGCAAATTCTCCCCCTATGGCTGTGCGCAACAAGTCAGACGTAAAACATTGGAGGAGCACGCCCTCATATGCGCATACCGGGTCGTCGGACCCGTAGGAGAGCAATTGGCGGAACTTCGAGCCGAAATTGGCGCACTGCAGGAAAAGGACCGGTTGAAAGATCGACGGATCAAGTTCCTGGAAACACGCGGCTTTCCCATGCCCACGACAAGCTCCCCGGAACCTATCTCAGACATCAGCTTACCTGAGGGTGCATCGGCCCACGAAGAGAATGCGCCTTACGAGTCTAGAGATCAGTATTTCTTGTCCCTATTCGAGACCATGGAGTCCAAGGTCGAGCGCCTTTCTTCGGCGCTCAACGAAGTGGAAGGTCGTCATTCGATGATGCTCTTCAACGAGAGCTCGCAGATCAAAGATCAGCTTACCGAAATCCGAAGCACTATGGGTGTACTTGGGATGCATGTAAGATGGCTCATGAACTTCCGGTTACAAGAGCGAGGCCGGGTGGGAACCGCATCCCCCGGCATTTCTGGATCCCTTTCTGGTGCCCACGGCAGCCATAATGACCCGAACCTACCTCGACGTATGAGTGATGCTTTACGGGAACATCCTCCACGATTATGATCCATGCTACCAGCTCTCAATCGCATATGCTTATATAAGAGAATGACTGATAAGACGACACCAATCAGTACAACGTTGTTGCGCAAATATTATCATGTATCTGGTACATTATCCATTGCGCGTGGTCGAGAGTGCAGACAGAACACGATCTCGCCCCTTTCTGTTACCGTCTTCTTTCAACTCGGGTTTTCCAGTATGCTATCGCCAGAGTCTTTACTTCATTTCAAAATATGCGATATCACATATGAAGACGAATCGAGTTAGTTTAAGGACTTGAATGATATTCGTTATCCCTCACGATGGCTGCTCATGTTATTCTAACATACCGGCAATGAAGGCTTCCAAACTAATTCGATTACGTGAGAATACTCGGAATGGCTAGAGGAAAGAAAAAGCAACCCAAGATTCTCGGGAGAGCGGTGATGGCGAAGAAGGGGGGAGCCCTTTCGAGGATACTACAAGCAACGTCGAAGCTCATTTCGATGGCAATAATGGCGCCTGAAACGGCACTAGATAGGTCGCAAGAGCAGGCAATGATACGCATTTCTTTTTTCCCGGCAGGAGAAAGATTAGGGTGGCCCCGATTGTTTCAGAGAACATTATGGCGATGATGTTATAAACCATGCCCCCATCGAGAAGCACGGTGGAAGACACAGTTAGGAAGCCTCAAGATTGAGTTAGGGAAGGGTTACTGGCGTTCCGAGTGGGGTTTACAGCTTTGTAACTATAAAAATGTGATAGGGCTAGTGTTGCGGGAGTATAGGACGGGAAATTCGGAGGCTAGAATTAGTCTAGCCACTTGAGTATAAAATAATATGTTCATGAGAACTGCTATATCGTTTGGTTGGGACGATAGGTTACATCTTGCTGAGTAATAGATGAATCCTCTATCTCGTTATTCCGCAAGGAAGTAACATGCTGCTTAACGAGCAAGAAATCACTGACGAACGACGTATTCCATAGACTCGAAGCTTGAGTTCAAATGAAGGTGGGGGTGTTGGTAGTTTTTTACGTCGTGACATATCCAAAGACGCGCATACTCCTCATTGCTCCTCATTGCTCCCTATCGTTATTCCCTATTTTTTTTCCTTTCACGCAGTATTTCTCCCTGCTGTTTCTCCATACTACTTCTTCATCACCTCACCATTGCCATGTACCTTCTATTACGCCAACCAACCCTGCCACTGTATCCCAAGCTTCATCTTAGTCGACGTTCGGTTAGACTACCCACCAAATGTGTAGTCGACGACATCCCAATCTCGTCACCCGTCGCCCCGGGCTCCTCCACGCAACGCCTAAGCCCTGAAATTATCGCCCTCGGAAAAAGGAAGACCGTGTGTCTCCCGAACAAACTATTAGGCCGGGTGAGCAATTGGAGCCCCGTATCCTCGGGGCTATATTGCACAAAGTTCGGGTGGTTCAGGTCGAAGAACGGGCGGAGCGCGGGGCCGAACCGGTCCTGCAGCTCCGCGCGGTGGCGCGCCTCGACAGGACACCCGAGGGCCAGGATCCAGTCAATGACCTCTTGGAGGACGGCGCTTTGGTCTGGGAACCAGAAGGATACGAGCGTCCTTAAGTCGACGACCTGGCCGTATTTTTTTATGGTGCGGAGAATGGTGGGAGTCTCTTCGATGACGTAGCGTCTCTCGCGGCGTCTTAGTATACGCATGGTCTGCATCCCATGTTCCGGGTCTGGCGAGAACTGCTCCGAAGTAAAATATACCTTGAAAAAAGCAGGGCACTTATTATTGTGCGAATAGGTATATTTCGTCCTGCCCATCACTAAGGCAAACCTTGGATTTATGCCGTGGTACAGCATGAAGGCGACCGCTGCTAGGTTCAGTTTTCTGCAATAACACCAGTTCTGGAGCATCATATGGAACGCGGATTCTCTGCCGGAGATTATGCTGGAATCGGGGGAAGCTCCGTGGTCAAAAAGGACCCCGAGAAATTTCAAAGTCGTGTTCCACATCTCAGGACCATGATAATTGACGAACCCGAAACTGAGCAAGGCGACAGAGGCGCAACAAGACATCAGCTCGCAGCTAATGTTCTGTTTTAGAATGAGGTACTCGTAGAAGCCCATCTGCGCACAAGCTATCACAACAAGGTCTTTAGGATCACAATGGACAGCCAAATCCGAATCGCGCACCACTAACGTACACCTGTTATTCGGAAAATTCCTTTCCAAGTTACTGAGTGTTTTGTGGGCGGCATCTAGAAGTTTATGAAAGCGCGAGGAAGCTCGTTGGCCAGAAACAATATGTCCTAGAATCATGGTTTCCAATTCATGCCTAAGCGATAGGTAGAGAGGGTTATAGAATACCCCCTCGTTTGAATATGGTCCATCGTAGAAATTGTAAGGCATCGGGTACTTAGGCCTTGTTTTAGATGCATAATAGGAGGCCGGGAGACGAACACGTTGTAATAGACCGAGGTACGTATGGCAATAGGCGTCCAGAGGGTCAAAGTCTGGTAATTCCGTATCCATCTTTTGCTTAAAATCTTGGCTTTCCAAGAACTCGGAGATTGATCGATGTATGAGGCGAACCACACTCCTAAATACCTTTGAAAGTTTACACCGGGCGTCGCTCGGGCGTAGCTCAAGAAGTCCCTTACATAGGCCATATATTCGTCTCTTGGACCTTGCTAAGCGTTCATCTCTCTCCTTTGTGGTCAATAGGCTGACACCCGAATATAACGCGAAGTTCCTGTCTTCGATATACTCTTCCAGGAACGAAAACTGCATTAGGGGAGTGTTGTGCAGGTGCAGATGACAAAAATGAGCCAGAGAGAGCATGCTGTATGCTAATCTTCGGTTATTGTGGGGTATTGATTCTAAGAGTTGTTGGAACACTAGGATAGTAGTCATGGTCAATATCTGTTGTAAGGAGGCATATCGTAGAGGACCTCCTGTTGCATAATTTAGACTGAAATAGATCGAAATCGACGTGAAAAAGACAGGCACTTACTAGGCTCGAGGTCAGTTGGAAGAGACTTAATCAGCCTTACTAGATCTTTCAGCTGATCACCATTCGCCAACCCGTCCTCGACGTGTCGAAGGACAATCGATACCCATAAGAACACGCCATCCGATTCATCCACAATTGTTTTCTCAAAGTCTTCAATACCGAAGATACCTGGGGCAACCCAAGAGCTGTCGTTATTTAGCAAAGTACTAATACGCATCTCGCGAAACCGATCCCTAACGAATAGTCGAATGTCGGAGCTTGTGAGATCATGTAGTCGAAACTTAGGAAAATCCCCAAAATTATCTCTGAATATAGCCCATTCCCGACTAGATACGCAAATCTTCACGTTCGAGTTCTCGTTTGACCACGCAAGTAGTTGCCGGATCAAGGCCGCGTGATTCCCTTCGAATTCGTCCAGGCCGTCTACGAAGAGCGAAATTTTATGCTCTCCACCACGTCTACTTGCAGTAATAAGTCTCTCAAAAGCTCGCTGGCATTCATGATGTTCAATGTGAAAATTCTCCCTATTAGCCGATGATTCCCACTGCGTAGGAAATACGATAGGAATTAGATCGTGACATTCTGAGAGGAGGCAGTATAGAAGCCCCCGAATGAGCCCCTTTATACTCCTCTGAAGGGCGGAACCGGGCTTCCAAAAGAAGAAAGCTCCTAAGACGAGCTTTTTATCGCCTGCCCAGGCACTTAGGTAGTCTTTCGTTCTAGGATGCTGTGTAATATATTTCATCAAAGTCGATTTGCCTGACCCCGGCTTACCTGAGATATAAAAAATGCCGGAATCTCGTTGAAGCCAGCCAATGAAGCTATCCCGAGCTTCACTTAGATTTTCTCTTGCAGAATTAGGTACACCTATGTCCGAGAAGGCCGACGATGTTTCCCGCTGCCGCCGTCGTCGTTGTTGTCGAGTAATCTCCGAGTGGGCGGATCCGCCGTCTGACATAAGTGAATCACTATCACATTCGCTTAATGGTAGATCATATAATCCCCGCTCAAAGCTCGAGCTGTCACTTAAGTCATTTTCGGGAGGACGCATAGATACACCATCGGGCATTATATACTCGCCGGCCGTATCTGCTTCGCCTGCGAAAATCCAAGAGAAGGTCTTTCGATGAGCCTCTTCAATGTCTTCCAATCTTTCGTTCATATGTTCAAATCGCAAAGCATCCAGAATACGAGTCTGACGAACATCTAGAATGGCATCGTCAGTCAACCGAAGTAATGATCGGATTTGATCCAAGGCTTCGGAACCGAGACAGGAAACGTTGATGCCCAAGCGTAGGGATTCCACATTTTTGATGAGTGACCGCAACTCGAATTCATTAGCTTGGCCGTGGGCGAGAAGTTTGTTAAGTCGTTCCAATGACTCGGATCTGTGTTGATTTCAGGGTCAGGATTAGGTAGAATATATACGTCAGTTACACCTTACCTGGATAAGCTCACAAGCTCTAGGCTCAGCTGCTGTCTACAACTATCTAATTGTAGCTCCAACTCGGCCTTCTCATCTTTCTTGCGCCAGTTTCGTATTGCAGCCCGAAAGGCGCCTCGCATAGACTTTGAGTTCGGAGCCTTTAATTTATCGAGTAAATTTGCTAGTTCTACCGACACACTCTCGCAGTCACTAGCAACTCGAAGAAGAGACCGTTCTTGTTCCGAGAAAGAGCCAAGCGGGTTAGCCACCTTCAAGTTGTTGACAAGTTGCTGAAGTTGTTGCGTCGAATGAGACAAGTTGTCATTATACGCGCTTGAACCGGAGGCCGACGCGTGAATGCCCTTGGCTATGGAAATCAGCTTGTACCCGAAATCCAAGAAACTAATGATGTTGCCTGCGAGCCCAATCGCCGTGAATGGGTCCATGTCGCTAATGGTAGCAGCATGTCAGCTATATATGTGGCACTAGATTGTCTTTTGAAATGACATTTGGACATCTCGAATACAGCCTTAAGCTTCCCGCTGGATGCCTTATAAGCTTATAAAAGAGTCACGTGCTATTTGCAGAAATCATGCAGTTAGTCGTCCTCTGTTCCCAACCCCTGCCCACCCAATCTGTTGCACGCCCTCGTAAGTCGGCATCAACTAAATAGGTGCATAACATGCCAGAAGAAGCCACGGGAAAGGGCGGAATATCCGTCTTTGGTCAGCTTAAGTTTCTCCCTCGATGTTGTTCACATTATAAACACCGTACATTATACGGGAAGATACGTGTTGAAGATTTATATAACGTTTGGCGAACGGTCCCATTCCTCACGACAGCAAGGGTTACTTCTTGTGCGGATTCAGATTGATTCGATTATCCTATCTTTTGATAACCTTTAATAGCGAGGCTATCCTTGTCCGTTTGCTGAGCCCGACCCGATACGGTACTTTGGGTTGGGAGGCCGTGGGCGTGGGTTTGGGGATTGCATGCGCTTTCTCCTGAGATTTAGGAGGTATATTTGGACTGGCTGGCGATTCGGTGGCAGGTTTTGCATGTACGGCTTCTGTTGACATGGATTTTTGGGATTGTGTCCTAGTGTTGCTACTGATTTCCTTCAAGGGGGACGCATCTCTGTCTCCATTCTCGTTCGCGGTTGGCTCATTTATTGATACATTTCCCCCCTCCTGCTTCTGAGCCTGCTCTTTATTTTTCGGCTTCTTAGTCGTCCCAGTCCTTTCCGAAGTGGATTCTTCACTCTCAACGTCATTTCCGGGAGTCTTAGGTGAAACGATAGGTTCAGGTTCTGAAGCGACTGGAGCGACTGGAATTTTGGTCTTCGCCAGCTCTGACTTCCGAGGCCGACCTCTTCCCTTCTTAGCTTTTACTGGCTCAGCTGGATCCTCGGAGGCTTTGGCAGCGGTGTTTGGGTCTTGATCGGTAGCTTGGTTCTGAACAGGAAGCTCAACCTGATTGGTTTGCTCGTTTGTAGGCTGTTTTTTCTTACGCCCACGTTTCTTCGGCTGGGGAGCCGGTTTCGGTTGGGCTTCCAACTGGATGGGTTCGGGCGCAAGAGCAGGAATATATGGTTCTGTCGCTGATGTTTCGGGCTTAGGCTCATCGATCTTGTATATGTCTTCTCCTGGCAGTTCTTCGCACTCCATTTCCCGAGGAGGCAGTTCCTCATGGGGACGTGAAATGAGTTCGATTTCTCCGTCGTCTTCATTTAGACTAGGCGAATAAACCCAGTGTTCATTATGACGCTGGCGCTTGTGGTTGTCTTGCTTGCTATTGTCGGTATTAAGGTCCCATGATTGATCCTGTACGAGCTCGTCTTCATCCTGTATATCCTTAGGCCTCTTCCTCTTCTTATTCGGTAGGTCACCCATTGTAGAGCCACCAACCCGCGCATCAACTTCACGGGCCACTGTATGTGTAGATATGTACGGTGGACCCATATCTGCCATTGGAGCGTTTCTATGGTGATCAGCGGCAATTACATCCGGAGAAGATGCTATCTGAGTTTGAATTAGTGAAGCCCAGAAACTCAATCTATGTGGGTACACTTACGTTTATGACATCAGGGATTTCGGCAGGTTGAGTATTAGCTATAGGACTTCTTTCCCACGGAAGTGGTGGTCCAGAAGACGCGTATCGGCTCGGCGTCGAATACGCAACTGTCGATACACCGCTTGACTTTGGATTGGGGAGCGTCACGGGTAAACCAGAGTAGACATTCTGTGACACGTTGACCCTCTGATACTCGAGCTTCTGCATGGTAGTGAGATTGCTCTGGGCAATGTAAAAATTCGCGGGGGCGGGCATATCCTGAAGCACGGAGTCATGAAGTGAAACCTTCCTCCGCTTCGTTGCCGACCGTGGTGATAATTCATCTTCATTATTTGTAGGATGGGCTCCATGTGCAGGATCATTTCCCATGAACATCTTCGCCGTAGCAGAACTCCCCGTAAATTTTGATGGAGTTCTTTTCTGTTTTCCATACGACTTGTCCTTCCCCTTTGAGCTTTTAGCAGGTTTTGATGTCGTTGCATTCTCGGCACTACTAGGTACATCCCATTCTCCAGGAGTACTTTTTCGCGGTGACATGTCGCCGGATGCACCATTAAAAAGTGACGATTGATTTCCTAGATTGTCCAAGGCCACCGACGTCGTGACATCAGAAGCGGAAGAAGCATCGGGCTTTTTAGCTATGCCTTTGGCCGGGTGCGATACGTCACTACCTCCGCTTGCCTTTTGACTCTGGCGGACAATTTGCTCGATAAGTTGAGATTGTTCAAATGCCCTGCTCTGCTGCTCATCATAGACACTGGCGAAGAATGACTGATCCGTAGTATCAGATATCGGCTTCTGAGTATCTGGTAACTGAGGGCTCAATGGCTCTATCTCCGGTGGGATTTCCGCGTCTTCTCTGAGAGGAGTCAATGGACGGTCGTCGCCATCTTCGTCGTCAGAGTCTGCAATTACCCGACGAGACGCCATAATTCAGCCACTTGACGCGTTCCGACGCGACTTATGCGTGTATAAATCGGGCACCGAGGAAAATAAGAGTTATGGTATCAGAAGAGCAACAACGTAGCGAACAATACCGATATACCAAGATAGTTATATATAGGACCATCCACAATGAAGTTAAGATTGAGGCTCGTTCATCGTGAATCTAGGGATCTATGAATAAGAACGATTCAACTTCAAGTTCCAAGGTTGTCTTTCTTGTAACTTGGTACCTGCTAAAGAGCACGCATATGTGGGGCAATATAAATTCAGTCCGTGCGTCATGCATATAGAACAGGTCAAATGTTGCACTTGCCAGTCTTACAGAATATATGCAGTAATTACGTACCATGCAAGTATATCAGTGTATGTTATCTATCACATACATACATGCATGCCATGTCATTCAGGAAGACATCAGTCAATAACAATTTTTTCATACTCGAGGTCACCAAATGATCTTGGTTTGGTGTTTATTTTTATACTTCATAGTGAACTGCACACAATCCAACAGAATGGGTATCGTCATGGATAACCCTATTAGCTACGTAGCCAATACCTTCTCGGCGGCCGCTAGCCTCTTATCCTTCGCCTTTTGTTGGCGTCTCCTGCTTGCTCTTCCGCATCATCCTCGGCTGTGTTCGCCTCACCACCCGCTACACTTAAACTACGGCTCACTGATGGCGGCACACCTGTGGGTGGAGGAGCATTGCGCTCTACCTCATTACGGAGGTCGCTTAAAAGCTTCTCGACCTCCCCAAACATGCTGCGGGTATCTTTGACGACTCCGTTCTCGTCTACTTCATAACCCCGATAATCCTCCCCGTCGTCTTCTTGACTAGCCCGCCGATTCGACCTTAGAAATGAAGGCCCGAAACCGCGATAGGGATCAGGGTTGTACATGATTGCATTGGCAAACATGTGAACCAATTCTCTCTCCAGCTGTGCGATGTTGATTATACCTCGCGGGGGCACTAGATCCACAGACATTGGAAGCCAGACATTTGTGGCATTCGCTTCTATATCAGACATTGTCGCCACGGCCGCTGCCGCCGCTTTGGAACCCGCCGTGATAGCCTTCTGGATACCTTTGAGATCTTGTGGTCGAAGGACGATTTCGAAGTAGCCAGGGGCAGTCCTCGGCTTGACGGGATGCGCAAACATATTAGCGTGGCGATGGCTAATAATTTGATCTAAAGCAGACTGGCTGATTTTGTTGAATGAGCGTGTCCATAAGACGTGGGTAGCCGGTGTTGGTGGCGCCCTATTCGGGGGACTATCCTGGCGCTTCCGCTTATTAGATGGTTGACTGAGCTCTGTCTGAGCTTGGCTTTGAATATGCTCATCTACTGCAACTACATCGCCAATGTCTTCGAGAGCTCGAGGAGTTGCCTCTTCATTCTTAATATTGCTCCCTAAAAGATCTGGTTCCGCTGGAGCTTCTTCTGACTGCGCTAAAGGAGTTGGTTTCTGTGAAATGCGCGGTCGGCCTCTAGGCTTACTAGTTGACTTATCGAGCTTTTGTATAGCCTTTCGCGTATCCTTCTTCCCTGGTTGTTCGGGAGAGGCTTTTGGTAACTGAGCTGGTTGAGGAGGCGGGCTGATTGGCTCGAACATCGGGCTATCGAAATCGAAATAACTAGTCCCATCCTCCATCCGAGGCGTCGCGGGGGTCGGCGTTGAAGTCCACTTCGTACCATGTCCCCTTACGACATGAGGCGAAAGAGCTATTGGTGTTTGCAATTGGGTCATCGATGGCGGACGAATAGTCTGAGATACGGCCGCCGGGGTCTGCAGCGGAGGCACCTGAGGGCGTTGTGGTGGTTCAGCAGTGCTAGTTGGCTGAGCTTGTTGGTTGTATGGCGAGTTATATGATCTCGATGACGGTTGAGGTTGATCCTGGTGAGGCGCTGGTGTGGTAGGCGCAGGGCTTTGAGGAGGATAATTAGGCTGGGTCGGGCCAGGCGATTGCGCCCATTGAGCTGGCGTTACAGGTTGTTTCGCAGAACCTACAGCTGGATGTGTGGCTGATAATGCGACAGGCGGCCGGACGGGTGTCTGAGTTGGCATGTGCTGACCCCGATGCTGAGGGTAAGGGCTGGATGCCGCGCTGGGACTCGGAGAGGTCGCCGCGGGCACAGATGCTGGACGCCGCTGTGGTATTGGCTGTCCCGCACCATCCGGAGCCGCATTTAAGGGCAAAGACTGAAGAGATGGTGGTATTTGACCGGCGCTTTGTGGCGGTAGTAAAACGGAAGGGGATGCCGGCGTAGATCCCTGTACTGGGGGCCGAGATTGCTGACCATACTGCCCTGGAGTCTGCCTACCGCCTGAGTAATTCTGAGGGAACTGAGGAAGAGCGGTAGGGGGCTGGGAGGGAAATGTGGGGGGCCTAGTGACTCCCGCGCCGTAAGGAGGACGGGGAGACGGAACAGGCGTTTGTTGAGGTAGCTGATGTTGTAATGGTGTTGCTGGTGGCGGCGGAGGTTGGTGAGGTATTTGATGGGAGGGCTGAGAAGGCTGATGGGGAGGTTGATATAGAGGCTCCCATTTCAAAGGAGCGGTTGTAGAAACAGGAGTAGGAGCAGAAGTAGAAGTCGGAGCAGGGATATGAGGTTGGTTGGACGGTATCGGGGCAGGACTTCTTCCTTTAGGTATACCCTCGGGTCGTTGCAGACCATCCGCAATGGGAGGCTGCGGGGTGGCAGAACCTGGGCGTGCGGTGTACCCTTGGACAGCTTGAGGATGCTGTAGAACAGGAGTCGGTCCACCTATCGGCCGGCCTAGCTCTTGTGACCTATTGTCAGGCGTAACATGGCGTGTGTCGTTCGAGGGTCGAGCAGTTGATGGGAGGGACGATGGAATTGGATGTATAGGTTTCCTTTCTTGGGGTGGCTGAGGCGTGTGAGGCGGCTCAACTCTCCTCCCAGAATCAGGGGCCTTATGCAAAGGCGGAACTAGCGTTGATGTGGGTATTGGTGCTGGAGCTGGAGCTGGAGCTGTTGTTGGCGTAGGCGTCGCTGCCGCCGCCGGTGGTGGCGTCGAAGGGGTTACCGATGGTGGTGCTACAGCTCGTTGAGCCTCCGGCTGTGCGGGTATTGTTTCGTTGGCGCCAGGGACGCCATTCTTGCTTGAATCCACACGTTGCTCTTGACCAAGCCTGTCATCCCATTCACCTCGTTCGATCTCGGCCAGCTCGCGTTGCAGTTCTTCGAATCGTCTCTCATCTTCCCTGATTTCTCTAATGAGGCTATCCCGGAATCGTATGTAGAGTTTCTCCACTAATATCGGGAGTTTGTCGGTGTGCTCCAAGGCGTCCTGGAAGGTGGATAGAGGGGGGCTTTGAAGCTTCCTTTTCTTAGAAGTTGGTGATTGCGCGGCATTAGTCTTCTCTATCGTAGCTTCGACTTCCCGTCTCTTCTCATCTCGTAATAATTGTAGGGCAATGCCCTGGAGAGAGTCGGGGCTCAATCTGCTGGCATCGTACCCGTCTTGTTCGTATATGACCGGTGTTTTCTTGAGGGTGTCGGAGATGTTACTGAAGGTGCCGATGACTAGACCGTTCTGAAAGTTCCTGTTGAGCTCTTGGAATAAAGCAAATGTTTCGAGAGGTGTGCAAGAGTTGGTAATATGATTCATGCCCCAGAATCCACCTCGGCCGTGGTCGAGGGGACCGTCGCGTCGTTGTAAGAGATGAATCGGCGCCACGATCTAGAGTCACGGTCAGCAAGGGTTCAGGCCGGCTTCCTAGGCCATTCCGACTGGGAAAACACGATATTGACGCGTACTAAATGGTTCAGAGACGGTCGCGGAAGTCGGTTGAGATGATCCCGACCACTTTAATGACGGAATAACGACGATTAAGACGTATTTTTGATGAAGCTATTCGCGATGAATATTTTCTACGGTTCCTTGTCGTTGGCGGTAAATCACGTGATTAGTAATAGTATTCGGTAATCCGCAGATAGCAAGTTCTACGGTGTCCATACGGTAGTGTAGTATGATTTGTGTGATGGATCGGCGAACGTTGCCAGATTGATGGTTGGAGCGCGGTGTTTGGGAATGTGGAATCTGGGGACTTCATTCGATTGATAGGTCCAAACAATTCTGCTAGCGTGTGTGGCCCGTGCGTCTTATCTAGAGTGCCCGGTCGTTCTTCCCGATGCTTCGAAGTTCAATTCGAATTTCAAACTACTAGGTAAGTACCTAAGTATCTTTATCTCATGGGCCTGCTCGACTACTATGTAGGTACTTCAATTGCCCAGTGGTGTATATCAAGGTTTGGGTGTTGGTAATCTATTGTCTCTTAAATATTCAATGCTAATTCTATATGTGTAGGTGCTTTGCTTCCTAAGAACTATGCCTACGTATCTTATACATGAGTTACTTAAGATGGCCACTATTATAATAAAATTCAAACTCGTCTTGCAACCTCAACTTCAACTATTATTATACAATTTTATTCATCTATTCTACAAAGCGTCAACTTCACGATTGTTGGAAGGGAACTTAAAAGAGTCTAGAGTTATCAGGGCTAATAACTCTTCAGTTGAAGCGATGACTATAAATTCCTAGACCTTTGAATTTTCACATGTGAAAGCAGCACGCGACCCAAGGACAATGCACGTGCATAGATTATGGTTGTCAATTATGAAAATAGTGACAGCTTAGTTTATGTCATAGGGTTAAAACATCAAGATGGCGTCTAAGAAGTCGGAATCATACAGAACAATATTGCGCAGGTGATTATTCTTCCTAGAGATAAGCTGAGTATGCATGATCCACTTAGCACCTTAGTGAGAGACATTCGACGAAACTACTATGTAGATAACTGATGCTTGTTCTTTTTAGAAGTCGTATGAAGCTTGAAAGTCATTATCTAAGTAGGTAATTAGAACAAATAAAAATGAAGAGTCGGCTCTACTAGGAAAACGGAAGGGGACGCTAGCAAAGCCGAGTCTATCCAAATAGATCCATTAGTTTACCTTCCCACCGTCTACCTACATTAGAATCAATCGTTACAAGTTCGATGGAGTCTCCGAACGAATGGATAATGTCAAAAATGTCTGGTCTGGAAAGGGTCGAATATGAATACTACCTGAACTGGTTATTGAAGGTCCTGCGAGAATAAGGGGTTCCTTTCAGCCCTGGAGGTCGTGCTCAATATGGGCCATCGGTCGCGAAATGCATAAAGGTAAAGGAGATTAGATACGACCTGCATTGGTACGCCTGGTAAATATGCACTAAATAAATAAAATCAGGAACGTTGCGGGAAGATGAGAGTCAAAGCACAGTCGTATTGGTTAATGAGAACTGATTCATGCGAAATGCAATACTTCTAACATATTATGCGTATACGTATACTTTTTTTTTATAGATGTATATACAGCACAGCTACTTATGCAGATTATATCACTTTATCGTCAATCTATTAAAAGTAAAGCTTGGAAGTCAGGTAACACAACACGAGCAGCATGAGGTAGGTGCCATGTACATAATGGAGCAAGCAAGGATTAGAATAATAAGATTTCGCCAACAATAGCACAACAATGGATTTGAATGGCACCTGGCTGATTGATTTGGATCATCGCTGTAGAATTAGAATTCGAGCGTATGTCACGCTTTCGTCTAGTGATGAGATCGTCTTTAGATCATCCTCGAAAGCAGTTAGCAGGTTAGATGCCAAGAAGGCAGTTATTACCCAACTGCGGGTGATACAAAATTCTACACCTTTCCTCTATTGAATCGACTATTACTATTCGCTGTTTTCTACTCTCTGATCTCTATCAACTTCTCGAGTCTTTTGTGAAGTCAGAAGCAAACTATTATCGCCAACTTATTTTCACTTGCCAACGAGTAATCGTTAATAACCCCCGTCTTCGTCGATCTATCTAATATTATTCAAGGCAAAGACAGCGTGTCCCTTGTTCTTCTGTTTCTTCCATGCGAAGGGTTTCAGTAATCTTTTCCTTAAATGCCTAAGACGACTAGGTAGTTTAGGTACTTACATTTTAATCAGGTACGGGCATGGCCTTGAGTTCCACTGGTTCGCCTGACCCCCCTTTTTTTAATATTCGGTCCCTTTAATCCATTAAAGGTCATCAGTTCTTGTCCCGGCCTTCCTCAAGACCCGCCTTTCATTCCCTCCCCCACCGCCAACTCCAATACTTTTAGCAATAATAATAACACAAGCTCTAGCACCCTCCCAGCTCTCCGAACTCTGAACTAAATCACTTCTGCACTACGACTTCTACTATCCGGCATTTTCTTCTTTCTCGACACGACGAGACAACGCCTATGTATCAAGACACAACCGACTTCCTGCCCAAGATGAATCCTACCGATGAAGAGCTCGACCGCGACTGGAAGCCCAATGGCCGCCGACCGCAATCGTGAGTACCGCCAATACTTCCATAGGTCGCCTTACTCTCTTCGTACCTGCCGTCGCCGGTACATGAGGAGGATACGCCAAAAAGTGAATTGTGACCTTTGGCAAGACAAGAACTGACATGCTCTACTTTGTAGCACAATTGCCCGTTCCTTCAGTCAGGAGTTGATGGACATCTTTCGCATTGAAAACAGCATTGCCGACCTAGACGAGCAAATTGACAAGCGGTATGACCCACACCTATACCTAATACCCCTATTAGCTTAGCGCCCACGTCTCGATATGCGACCTGAACCAACGGGCACCAATACTGACCTATTGCTGCCGTCTAGAAAGCAACAGGTCACAAGTGGGCAAACTGAACTAGAAGCCCTCGAGGCCAGAATTAAAGAGATGGAGGAGAGACTTAAGAAGCAGCACCCTGGAGCAGCCACTAGTTCGACCGCGCGATCTCAACGGCAAGCTCTCAGCGACGCCTTCGACAAAGCACAGGCCGAGAAAGAACAGCTTGTACAGCAACAGCAGAGATCCCGGCCGGGAACTGCGAAACAGGTTCAGCAAGCACCTGCACATGGAGGAGCTATGCCTCCGACCCCCACAGCCAGCGAAGGTGAATACGTACTTGTCAATCATAGCTCCTCTGGTAACCGTGGCGCCGATTCCCGAAATTTTACTGACTATGTCTTGATTCCTAAAGATGGTGGCGACCGCGAAAATTAAGTCGTTATTTGCTTTTTAACAACTCTTCCCCGCCTGCGCCCCCCTTAGCCCGTACGACTGGTTCTTCGCCTTGGCTTTTGTTCCCATCTTGCCCCTCTCATCCAACGACAGACCGAAGGACAGAATGCGTAATCGACGACAATTACTGACCCCGAAAGCCGAACTTGGACAATGCTCGAGAACGATTCAATTGGCATGCTTGGATACGCATATCAGATGAGATGGGCATTGGCCCTAAATCCGGGATTCAATCGCAAGCGCGAGCCTTGGACCATTCGATGTGTCACCGAAAAGGGGGGTTTTCCTGAATCGCATTTTCCCGGTTTTACACGGCCCAGTTTTACACTCTTAAGATATCCTCTCGTTTGGAAGAAAAAAAGACGACATCACTTTCCTGTCCGTCTGGCGTTGAAGGCGTCCATCTTCTTGTTTCTCAATCCATCTTTTATCGTAGGACCATTTAGTAGTATCATGAAACGGAGAGGCGGCTTGTAGGGAAGGAGCCGGGGGTCCTGAGAGTAGTGGACGGAGTGTGAGGGACGCTCATCATCGCATCTTGGCATGGCATAGGGTCTCCTTATGTTTCTTGAGGTCGTCGGCAGAGGGTGGAAGGCGTGAAGAGAGGAGCCTTCCTGGGCTGGATGCATACGTGTCTCATCAGCTTATTTAGCCGATGGGTCTATTATTGTACATAACCTGCCTCTTATCATTTTGGGGAGCACCGTTGATGAAACCTGGATAAACAAATATCTCAGTTCACCTAATTTGAGTCGTGATGATTTATGTAATATTTGCCTTACTTCCCCGCCTAGTATAGCTAAAATGGACGCGTCAACCAGCGTGGCATCCATATTCCACATTCCATCTCGGAGGAAACAATCGAATAGGGTTGCCCCGGAAGCGCATGAACCATACATACATGACTAAGGAGACATCGTATCAAACTCTCGCGCCGTCGTTAGGATACCTGACTCGCCATCCCCAAGCTGCGGGCCGTCATCAGCATGTCAGATCCCGTGTTCCCGCACCGCCGCTAACCATCGCGTTGTCGTCAGGGAAATCAACGCTCGATGAACGAATTCCGACTTAGGTACGTAACCCCCCATGTGAGTTACCTATCTACTAATATAATGGGCGATGCTTTTACTAGATATCCAATAACTTCTCGAAATTTGGGATAGAATACCTAGGAAAGGGAAGGGGGAAGGCAAGCACAAAAGGCAATGAGCACTGCTTCATGGGAAAAGGGGCAATAAGGGCACTCAACTCATATTCAAAAAGTTTAGTTAAGGTTGGATACATGCGGTGTGTCCATAATCAAACTTACATAGGGATACGATATGCATGGACTAAGCAAAAGGAAGGGTAAAACTTACAGATGTCCTCGTATAAGTGAACATATATAGGCCGGTACTACATGCCACTACATGGGCATCTAAATCAGAATAGCAACCTACAAGTCATTCAAGCGAATTTAATAAATTAAATATAAGAGAAGAAGTCTCGTCGCATTAGGTATGTGGAATCAAATCCATGATAATTGCCAATCTATCTCATTCGTCTATGTTGACAGAGAATCGTAAGCGCATACATAGGTACGCAGATAGACATCAGCAGAGGCCGCATATGTTGGCGAACCTCTCCAACCAAGTCAGCAAATATATCGAGAGCAAACGTGATCTCAATTCACACTCAATTTAGAAGACAGAGAGTGAGCAAGGTTAGTCCTCCAACCATCTCTACTTCAGCTACCTCCACGACTATTGCCCACCATGCCACGGGTATCAACCTTCCGTTTTTCATTGCTCAAGTTCAGAGGCTTGGGGGCCATGCCAAATCGTTTGTTCGCGATATCAAAGACAGCAAAGCCGCTCTTGAGGAACACATCGCCGAAAATAGCCGGCATCTCGGTAAACGAACCAAGGGACTGAAGGCCGGCATAACATTGTCCACCAGAAGCCTTAGCATATATGAAATATGCACCCGGAACTGTACCAGTGATATTATTTCCTTGATCGTCACTGAGCTCGAAAACGAAGTCGGGTGGTGTTGAGTTGCATGGTATCAGCCATCCATATTCTCTGTACGAATAGTTGGCACCGGGGACGCTGTTGAAGTACATATGGACTGCCTCGTTAGGGGCAAAGAATAATGTAGAACCGGTGTCGATAATGACATCTTCCGGCTCGTTGAACTCGTACTTGATATCTGACCCTCCAATGCCGAACCCCGTCTGTTGGACGGACCAGTACCCTTCCGATATATTTACACCCACATACTTGATTTCAGAGTCATGTAGGCTTTCATTGATGTAGCCGAAGTTGAAAGATCCCTCGCTGCTGTTGTGGCGTAAATCAGCCGTAAACACCGGTTCGGATAATACCTGGGGCAAGTAGTCAAGGAGAGTCTTCTGCTTGGGGATTGTCTGCACAATAGACGGCCAGGCCAACCCAACAAGACCAGACATGTATGCAGAGTCTGTGAACATGGAAGAGACTGATGTTGCCGACTCAATTGTCATGTCGGGGACCGAGAGGTTGCCGAACGTAACCGTGTCCTTGTAACAAATACCACTGGATGTAGAAAAGTCACCATAGATGATAGACCATGAGCAGTTCTTGATCAGGTGGGATGTAGTTGATTTTTGGGGATCCCAGAGAGTCTGACCGGCTACCTCTTCTTTGTCCGTGTCAGTAGAAAAGATCCAGCTATATCAATTGTCAGTTTATATCTAATATCACCCCACGAAACATGAAATGGAACTAAGGATTTATCATACGTGTCAGATGAACCAGTGTCGAGATCTAGATATAACTGCTGAGGTGGCGAACCAATCCCGACAGGGGTAAGCCAAAGAAGATCGCCAGCATGCGAAGCTGCCGGTGCGGTGTCTCCTAGTACCATTGTTAATTGCAAATCTCTAAGGGGATTGGGGGAATGCGTGTCTGATTTCACTTACCAATGTTACCGGCGACGACCTTGTTAGACTGAACCTTGGTCTTATGAGAGTCAACCACATCCTGCAATCCCTGTGGAATTTCGAGCTTGTATTTCTTTAGGACCTTAAGATATTCGGTAGGGCCATGTCGAGGGACGTCGGCATTGTGGGCTACAGGAAGAGAGAACGTCTTGCCAACTTTTGAACCAAAAGCTGGAGAGGAGGTAACAGTGGTGAGGAGGGAGAGGTAAAAAGCTACTGCCACGAGGATACCGGTAAAGTACGCCATATTGATAGATCTATGTGACCTATTGGCAAGACTTGGGGCGTTGAGGTTGTGGGAAATAGAAAGGAGAAATGGTTTGAGGGTAGAAGAAGAGAGTTTATATTCGAAAAGGAAATAACCAAGTATACCTCTTGTGTTTGTGCAGGAACATGCTGCGATAGTGTAATTTCCACACTCGAGATTAAGTACTTGCTTCATATAAGTTAAAAGGTAACCTCCTCGTCACGTACTGTGACTAACTTACACGACCTAGTATATACCTAGGTTACATGTACTCACCAAGGTGTGTTACCTGAGGCGTGCTCTCGAAAAACCGAAGGTGCTAGGTAATGGAGCACATCCTTGTGGCAGGTACAAGCTTGGGCGATTGCTTCTATCTACCCTTAAGTTTAAACTTCAAACGAAGGAGATAGGCCGGGTTTGTCGATGATCTTGCCAAGGCGGATGCTCGCAGCTTCCTTTAGGAATAGAGGATCCGCCTAGTCCGTGTGATCTTGCGTAACTGCATTTTCAAGAATTACATATGACACCCGGCTATACCTAGGTGTATGAGTAGGCATCTCAATTGCCGATGCGGACAAACATGCAAACATTGCCGAGTAGCTGTTAATCACGACGGACCGATGAACGATGAAATATGTCGTCCGACTTCCCAACAGGTTTTCAAGTGATTCTTTTGTTCTAGATACTATATCAAACCTACCTATACAAGCTAACTCATCAGAATTGGATCGGTTTAATAATCTCGTGTTTAAAATAGGGGCATGGCTCAGGGGTAGAATCAAATCAAACAAAACCCCTTCTAAGGTTATTTCCCCTATTTTTATCCGTTGGGATTCTAGCATATTTACAGGAAGAAGAGTGTACAACGTAGGACAACGACAAACGGCCGGTTACAGAGTCTGGCGTCGCAAAGATGCAAAGAACAAACTCGGGTGGAGCTTTGTACGAGCCTCAGCACTCTATTCGGCCAACTATAGACCGCGGGAAAAGACAAGCATACGTACCTACCTGGTAGTGGGCCTACTTAACCTAGATCAGCACATGCATGTTGGAATATCTGGTATCTATCTGAGTATAAGAGGATCCGGATCTGGATCGAGTAACACCAGAATTAATAACATCCTGCCCGCTGGTTTTTAGAAGATACCAAATCAGTTCGGCTGCATACCATCACGCGTTAGACTTGGAACTCTATAGAGGTAGTTAACTAAAATTGTAGCCCTCACCAGGCAAGTCATATCATTCATCAATGTCTATCTATAGCTTATATTATAGCTCGTCGTGCTTTGTCCTGGGTTCATCTTTGTTTTGTTGCTCCTTGGACATGCGCTTGATCATCTCCTCAATCTCCTCCATCGACGGGCCCTTGCCGTCTTCCCCGAACTTGATGTAGTTCTCCCCGTCTTTGGCCTCTATCGTCGGCTCTGCGCCGTCGCTACCCGTCTTGGTAGCGCTTTTCTTGGCTTTCGTCTTGCTCGACTTCTTCGAGCTACTGTTCTTCTTCTTATTCTTGTCAAAGGCCTTCACGCTCTTCATGGCTAAGTCCATTCCAGCCTTCTCTAGCTTCTTCGTCTTCTCAGTCAGGTCCTTCACTAGCAGTACAGGATCAGCAGTCTCCGGAAGCTTTTCCTGTTCGGCAAGTTTCTCCTCTAACCAATCCATGACAGACTTTGAAAGATCCGTGATCTCCTTTAGGTCATCAAGAGTGTATACTGGCGGCACCGGACCGCTATCCTCCACAGTGGCTGTAGTCGTTGATGTCGTTGTTTCTTCTTCTTCAAGGCCATCAAAATCACCAGCTTGTGAAGGGGCCGAGGTAACAGAGCTTGCTTCGGTTGTCGAAGTGGAGCTGGAGCTAAGGGAAGACATGTATGCATCCGCCTCAGCAATCTTCCCTTTGATAGTATCAATAAAGGTGTTTGTCTGGTCTAAAGAACTCTTCAAACTCTTGATGAGTTCTGGTCTCTTCTGTGCTTCCTCTATTCTTTTCTCAACAGGAGATACAAGATCCTTGAGACCCTTGAGTTTGGATTTGAGTGCTTCGCGGGATGCGTCGGCTCCATCATCGTAGAGCCATTCACTGACATCTCTAGCTTTCTTCTCTAGCTTGGCTCGCTCTTCAGGGGTAGAAGCAGCGACAAATGACTCCGTTTCTAATAGATCTCTAACCTTATAGGTAAAGCCTTCAAGCTGATTCAAAGCTTCTTCTCTCAACCTGCGAGACTTGTCGGACGCCTCAAATGCCTTGATGCGTTCCTTTGCTTTGGTTAGATCTGTTTTTGGCAGCGATGGAATTCCTGCCTTCTCCATGATGTAGTCAACAGGGATCACGACAAGTTGCTTCTTCTTTGGAACAGGACTGCCCTCCGGAGAGTCGGCAGAGGCTGAGGATGAAGTTGCGGTTGTCGAAGTAGTGCTAGAGTCAAAAGAAGTTGTAGCAGTTTCAGTAGAATCCGTAGTCGAGGCATCTTCGGCAGCCTCTTCACCATCCTTCAAGGGTTGTTGGTCCTTGTTCTTGCCAAAGCCGAAGAGATTCTTGACCCCATCCATGACAGAGCCTTCCTTCTCCTGAACCTCAGCTTCGCACTCGACAGATGCCTTATCAACCTCTACCTCGCCATCTTCAGGGCTGAGTCGTAGCTTAACCTTGAAATGAATATCGGTGTGAGAGCATCCCTTCTCAGCCAGAGATGCAACAGATGCTGTCAGGTTCTTGGTCGTGAAGCTCTTTGTTTCCCTGTTCACAGTGGTTCCCTCCGTTGAGGGGACCTGTTGGTAGAAACGAACCGAGAAATCTTCATGGTTCGTAAAAGTAACTTCCTTCGGAGCAGCACCAACCAAAGATCGTTCGGTCCAGAGTCGCTGTTGTTGCGGTTTATCCTGAGGGTTTGTCCACATCATTCCCGCTGGGTAGAAGGCAGCATCAGAAATTCTGATCTCCTTAACTCTGAAGCTGGGGCTAAGTTCCGCAGCTCGGAAGGCGGCGCCGAATACTGCCGCTTCATCAGAGTTGACATTGCTTCGAAGCTTGTCCGCACCTGCAACCTTCTCAAGTTGCTTTTGGACGAAAGGCGTGCGAGAAGCGCCGCCATGAAGGATTATCGAGTCAAGTTGCTTGATATCAAGCTCGGCTATGTCTAAGGCCTTCTGAACGGCAGCGCCAACTCTTTCAGCATGCGCCTCAGCTAGTTTTTCGAAATCTGCTCGAGTAATCTTGTATCTGAAATCAATATCATCGTAAAGGCCCTCGAAACTAGAGCCGGTGTCGACATTAGCACTGAGAATATGTCGTAGCCTTTCAGCGTCCTTCACTAGCTTCGCCATGGCCCGACCGTGTCCTCGAACGCTTTCTGCCGTCACAGAAGCTCTCTTCGCAGCGGCAGACTCAACAAATTTCGATATCATATCATCTACGATCAGGTAGTTAAGTGCGTCGCCTCCCAGCGTTCTATCCCAACCGCTTCCCATTACCTGTACTTCCTGGACTGACTTATTGAATTTGCCGATGTCCTTGACCGTTCGGCCCTGGAACTTCAAGACGGTTGCTTTGGCGGAACCTGCACCCATATCGAATACCATGTGATATTCAGGTTTGCCTCCCTCGTTGACGTTAGGGAATGTTCGACTTGTAGCGTAATTTAACCCGACAGCAAGACCGTCACTGATGAGAGACAGCACCTTCAGACCAACAAGCTCGGCAGCCAGTTCCACAGCGCGCTTCTCCTCCACAGTATAGAACGGAGGGACCGTTATAACCACAGACCTAACAGTGCTGTCAGAGCCAGCTAATGCTTCCGCATTGCGCTGTATGCTCTGGAGCTCCATAGCCAGCAATTCTTCTACTAGCCATGCTTCTTCGTGGGCAGTAGCCTTGCTCTTGAATGCGACAGTACCACGAGTCTTGTGGGCCTCCAGCTGCAGGTCTGGGTGTCTTGCAGCATACTCCTTCACAATCGCATCGTCTGTGGGAAGACCGAGGAGAGTCTTAAGGTTGGGGTATACGTCTCCGGGAAACCGGGCGGCTAGAGCTATGGCATCGGAGCCATAGACCCTCTCAGGATACGAGCCGCTCTTCGGGGCATTTTGTGAGGGTTTGAATGCGACTGCGGAGGTTTCCTTTCTTCGCGAATCTTTGGTTAAGACGATCTCGAGGGGTATTCCGGGTTTTACGAGGGTAGCTTTGATATATTCGGTACCGAGATCTATACCGAGAACGGCGGATATGGCGAGGACATTGGTAGAGAACAAGAAAACTACGCAAAGTAGTATTGATCGAGGAGAGAATGTTTGCGCCATGTTGGGCGAGATTAGGAGGGGTGTATTTTGGCGAGATGCTCGCCCGGAGAAAGATTGAGACCAGCTACTGAGGATGTGTTTCTGGGAAATACAGAAATAAGTCAAATCAAAAACAAATATGGTCGTTGAGAACTGAACACAGTTCTATGTGCAAGGCTCCAGCTCAATGCCTTGTATATAAAATAAGAAAATGTCTTAATTTATTAGAATCTGGCCTCAACTAAAATCATTTGCCAGCTACTCCCTGCGCCATGTGAACTTTCTTACCTCACCGCAGCTGTCTTTGTGAAGGTACGTACCTACTTTAGGTATTATTTCATGCAAAGAGGACAACTTGTTGAAAGCTACACCCCTGGTCGTGGCTGATATCTTGTGCAAAAGCCACTGATAGCGACCTGATTGGCTCGATAATCAAATATGGGCCCAAAATGAGACGAATGTGGAAATTCCTTTAGGGTTTGCTCTTAAAGCGGTTGTGGCTGATGATCTTACCTGTACCCCCGCCCCCGCTTGAAGCGTGGAGTACAAGCACCCTCGGTCTCAGACAGAAATTACCGAGTATTCAACTGGTACTTATATGTAGACGAACAGGTAGGTCCTAGATGTGTTGATATAATTTTATTATAGTAATAATAATAACATTGAAGTCTTCATCTATTCATTCTTAATATGTCGAAAGTCGATAATGAGATTCGGGGTCGCCTAGCCCTTATAACAGGTGCTTCTGGAGGGTATGTGCCAATATCACGTCTTCAGCTCTAGTTTGTTCTATGTATCTGGAGTTGACATTTCATAGTATTGGCTCCGCATGTGCCCGGGACTTATGGGCCAATGGAGCTTCCCTTGCTTTAACTTATTTCAATAACAGACAACCTGTTGAAGAATTAGCTCATGAGCTTCTCAAATCACCTGGTAGCGAAGGTCTCAGGATCAGTTTCCACAAGGTTGACACCGGCTCGGCTGAAGATATCCAGCGGCTCTTTCTTGAGATCAAGAAACAACACGGCCAGGACGGTCCAGATATCCTAATCTCAAACGCCGGATATGGCAAGAGGCGTAACGGCATTTTAGATGTAACCTTGGAAGAATTCGATTACATGATCAACGTAAACCTAAGGGCCTCGTTCCTCTTGGCCAAGTTGAGCATTCCTCATATGGAGGCTCAGAAATGGGGTCGGATCGTCTTCGTCTCTTCGATTGCTGCGCAGGGCGGAGGAATTAACGCTTGCCACTACGCCGCGTCCAAGGCTGGCCTAACCGGCCTCATGAAGAACCTGGCAATGAAACACGCCAAGCTAGGTATCACGGTCAACGACATAGCTCCGGCTATGATAGGAGAAACTGGTATGATCCCGGGCGCAGCATTCGTTGAAGGTACGCCGGGTGATGTGAAGAACATCCCGGTTGGGCGGTTGGGGACTCCGCAAGAATGTGCAAATGCCGTTACTATGTTGTGTAGGACGGGATATATAACCGGTCAAAGTATTTTGCTGAGTGGCGGGCTTAAGTAAGTAAGCCGTTACATTCTATGGCCTTTTGGGTCTCCGCGAGCGAAAGGATACTCGTTTTGTATGACCAATCATAGCTCAATCCAATTACCTACCTAACTCATGAGCGGGCTGAGTGGATATCTATATTATGTTTATTCTTATTAGTGTGATGAATCTCCCAGTAGAATTCTAGATTCAACGATAATTCTCATCGGCAAGCTTCGGTGAAGGTTCCACCGTATTTCCCCGGTCACCGCCCCACGGGGGTAACGAAATCCGACGCCGGGTGCAACCAATCGGCTCCGTGCGACTGCCCCCCCTCGCATCTTGTCAGCCGTAACCCGTGTAACTTTGGAAACCGTTACATATGATGAGTCACGACGAACATCGATGAGCCTTGGCGACGATCCCTCGTTTCAGTTTCATTCTACAACATTGGACATTGCATTATTCCGTAACCCTATGTGCCGTCTGCGCGAACTCTCATTAGTCACGGGATTACTCGCCCCTTGCTCCTGACGTATCCATCTATTCCTGGGAGCAGACCGGCCGATCATATACCTGAGGGCTGACGTATATTACTTTCCCCCAGGAATCAGGCTGTCGGACGATTTTCGTAGTAAGCAACGAAGGGATATTTGTGTGATACCTAGTTGTCTTTGAAAGGAGCGAAACAAGCAACCCGGTTCTCACCTGCTAGTATTCCGTACATCCAGCCCACCTCCGGAGCTCACCTGTCTCACCACCCCGGACCCCATAATAACCCCCTTCCCCCAAGAAAAAAGGCAAAAATGGGCACACCCTTCATCTCGCTCCTAGAGCCGACCCGTCTCGACGGGTACGACGCCAACAAGCCTTACACATCGCAGCCTGCGCACATCCCGAAGCTCTTCCTCGACGCGATGGAGGTGCGCGAGACCGTCTTCGTGCGAGAACAAAAGGTCCCGCTATCCTACGAGCACGACGCCGACGACGCGCGGTCGTGCCACTGGGTCGTCTACGCGAGCGTGAACCGGACCACCGCGCCCGAGGAGCGGGACCCGCGCACCGGCGACGTCGTCCGCCCGCGCCGCTCCGAGACCCGGAGCACCCCCATCGGCACCCTGCGCGTCGTGCCCTTCCCGCACCCGCCGCACCCGCCGCCCGGCGCGCGCTACGTGGGAAACGTGCTGCAGGAAGAGGACGAGGACGACGGTAGTAGTAGCCGCAGCGCGCCGCCCGGCAGCTCTAGGCCGCGAGTCAGGGCCATGTCCATCGTAGACACCGAGCGGCAAGCCTCCGCGCTCCCCTTCGGCGTGGACCGACCGACCACATACCACGACGGGAAGGAGCCGTACGTAAAGGTCGGCCGCGTAGCCGTGATCCCCATGTTCCGCGGCCACCACATCGCGAGCCAGCTCTGGCGCGCGGCGAAAGCGTGGTTAGAACAGCACCCTACTTTCTTTGATCCCAGCGTCACGGAGATGGGCATGGATCAGTTGAAGGCAGGAGGTGCCGAGGATATACCCAAGTGGAATGGGTTGGTCTGCTGTCATGCTCAGGAGAGTGTGGTCAAGATCTATGAGAAGTGGGGTTTCAAGGTTGATGAGGGTATGGGAAAGTGGTATGAAGAGGGAATACCCCATGTAGGCATGTTTCAGCGGTTGAATATCAAGCATGAGAATCCTAAAGTATGATTTGGGGCAGATAAGAGGGAGGCTGATCTACGTTGCCAGGTGGCGACACCAACCATATGAGGATCTCGTCGTAACTGTTGCTATTCCTACTGCTGTTGCGGTTTTTACTATGATACCAGGTCACGATTGGCCAATTTCGTCACTAGCTATTGCATTTGCTGCCATACTGCCTTTACGGTTATAAGATCAATAGAATCCCATTAACACCAGAATCCTTTTTAGAGTGACTTAATTCAGTTCATGATTTGCCCGCACGGGCAGAGCCTTTATTTTTGTAGCCCTATGTGACTATGATGCCATAGAACCACTTCCCGCCTGAGCCAGAAACGCACAAATGCAGAGAGTAAAATGCCCAGATGGTCCACGCCGAAGAAAACCCAGAAACAACACCCCGTTTATCGGTTGCTCTTGGCGACACGCTCCAACTCGTCCTTCTTCTTGATGGCGTACGAGTTGCTGCTTCCCTTGGCAGCGTTGATCAGCTCCTCAGCCAGGCACTCGGCAATAGACTTGACGTTGCGGAAAGAAGCCTCTCGGGCACCGGTGGTGAGAAGGGCGATGGCCTGGTTGACTCGTCGAAGAGGAGACACATCGACGGCCTGTCGTCGGACGGTACCAGCGGAACCGATACGGGTGCTGTCTTCTCGGGGGCCGCAGTTGACGATAGCATCGACGGCGATCTGGATGGGGTTCTGGTCGGTCATGAGGTGGATCTGTACAGTGTTAGAAATTATGGCAATCTAGATCAATTCTTTTCCTCGGTAGTCCTTACAATCTCGAAAGAGTGGGCGACGATTCGGACGGCCATGAGCTTCTTGCCGTTGTTGCGGCCGTGCATCATGAGAGAGTTGGTCAATCGTTCAATGATGGGGCAGTTGGCCTTGCGGAATCGCTTCGCGGCATAACGACCAGCGGAATGGGGGATGTAGACGGGAGATCGGATCTGGATGTAATCGCTATAAGATTTCCACCGTTAGTGTGCCATTCAATCCATCATAATTATCTTTCTGCGTTCGGAATATGAAGACTGCTGTCGCGCCGTCGAAGTCGAATATTTCAGATATTTCGAATCGGAAAATTACACGAATAAATAATCGACTTACGTCAAGGAGATGTCGCGAATCTCAACATCCTCGTAGCTCCCTGCAATAAATATTAGTCGTGATGCTCAAGCGATGCGAAGTTAGAAGAGACGGTAGAATAGAACATACATCGGTTGAACAGCTTGATGCTGCCAATCTCGGAGGTGACATCCTTGGGTAGGACCTGGTAGGTGGTGGACTCGACCTCGACCTCGCCGGTTTCAGACATCTTGAAGTTGTTCTGGCGTTCAGGCAGGAAGACTGGGTGTTGTGGAAAGTCGAACTGAAGTCGAACGTAGATGGTGGGGAGGATCGCGAAATTCCACTGATTGAATGTAAATTCAAGATTGAGAAATTTTGGCCGGGTACATCCGATTCAAAATTCGTGGGTAGAATTGGTGCGCTAGGGCTCAAGGTTAGTTCAACTTTAGTGCGAGAACCAATTAAATTGCCCGTCTTAATGTAGGCGGTAGCAGCTGGCAGCCGACAATTCTTAGCGTCTTTGAGTGTGGGGCATTCACGTGATGCAACCGAACCTTAACTGTGTACCTAGATACAGTGCATACGTCCCTTGATTAGAGGCGTCTAATAGCGCATCAATGGCTTTCTCTTTCATGATTCTCACCACATCCATGGACCTCTCTTTTCAATCTGAATTAAACACTGAGAATATTTTCATATGTCGAATTCAAAATACCTTCTATCTTCACTCTCGTATACGTCAAATCTATACACCTAGAGATGTCCCAAGAACTAATCCAATTCCTTCACCTCTCAGCAGAATGCCTCTCCCTCACCTGGCTCATCGATCCCCAAAGCCATCTTCCCAATGGCCTTCCCCTCCTCAACCCGTCTATGAACCTCCTTAATTCCCTCAGCTGTGGCCCTGAACCGCTGCATTAGATGGCACTTGATAGTTCCATCCTCAAGATACTGACCCAGCTTCTCATACCATTCGTGATGCTTCTCTTCTTTATCATTAACATAGTAATGGTACGCTCCCGTAGCCAACCAGCACCAAGAGAACGTCAGTGACTTGCTCATCATCTGCGACCCGTACATATCGAAGCGTGCCTGCACGATACTGCAGATCTTGCCGAACGGCGTAAGCACCTCCGCAATTGGGAACAAGTACTGCTCCGTTCGCGACGTGATGTACGCGTACTTCAGGGGCACATCAGCCGGGAGGTTGAGGTCCCTGATCTGCTTGACGATATCCTTGCGGTGGTTGACGACGTGAGTTGCGCCCATCTTCCTAGAGAATTCGGCGGTCTCTGGCCTTGAGGCTGTGGTGATGATGATAGGCAATTTTAAGATGTGCCTGGCGATCTGGGAAGCGATGGAACCCATTCCGCCACCGCCGTTGATAATCAGAATCGCAGCTTTCTCGTTCTCCTTGATTTCCAATCTATCAACGAGAGACTCGTACGCAGTGGCGTAGGTCAACGGCATTGCCGCTGCTTGGACAAAGTCCACCGACTTTGATTTGTGGCCGGCGTGGCGCTCATCTACGAGGACTTGTTCGGCATATGTACCTTGAAAGACGGGATTCGCAAGGTAGAGAATCTCGTCGCCGGGCTTAAAGTACTTCACATCTGACCCCGTCTCTAAAACAATTCCCGCGCCGTCGTAGCCGATGATGTGGAAGTTTGGCGATTTTTGAGTGAGTGACTTGACCCGATCGTAGTAGTCAGGGGGATCGTCATATGTACCATTCCGGACCTTCATATCGATGGGGTTGACGGAGATGGCCTTTACTTGGACAAGCATTTGGCGCCCGGTTGGCTTTGATGGCCTTGGAACTTCTTTCGAATGTAAGTTCTCAATAGCACCGTATTCTGTTACGCCCACCGCGTGCATGGTTGAGGAAGCCATTTGGTCTGATATAAAATGTAATTAAAATTGCGTGATACAACGTTTCGATTTACTATATAACCTGTGGGCTTTACTCTGCTCCTCGGGAGGCTACGTTGTCGATATATATAGACAGCCATGAACACCCTATGTTGATGTGCTGATTAAGTCACGATGAGGGGTATTCCAACAATATCCTTATGCCTTGCCGAAGGGCGAATGAGAACCGACATACACCTGCGGTGATGAGTGAGGGACATGATGATCGTGAAGAAGTTCACCCGCATCTTCATATCTACACAGACTGCTTCTTACAAATACAATTTTCGAGAATCATGTCAAATGAAGGACGACGAATCAAGAGCCGGCCGATATAACTCGGTCCCGGGCAGGATACGGTCTATGATGACAGTATTTCAATGATAAATAGTCCGCGTAGATCCCGAACTTCCAGAGTCTCAGCCGGTTGCCCGCGAGAACGAAACACGGCCGAGGTTGTGATATGATCTCATATCGCAGCGGTGGATTGATTACCCCTATTTCTAAGCTACGTAATCCCCCTTTTCCCCTCCGCCACAATGTGATGTGGCTAGTTACTTTACCTAAGCCCACTTAGTGCTGCTAGAGCCAGAACCTTGGATCCTCGGCGAGTTTCCGAGCTTCCGCTTCCTCCAACCACAGCCAACCACAGCTCCCTAATTCGCAATTCGCGGAACCTGGAACCTCCGTCGTGAAAGCCAAGTTTAGCTGCCTGGTAGCATGAACCATTATACGAAATTATACGAGCTCTAACTCGCGAGAGCACGAGGGGCCACCTTGCTTTATATCTTCCGATTCCTACTTTCTGTATTCCGTCTTCTTATGTAAATTATATATGATTCAATACTATCTTTAATCAAATTCCATCCCCCCTTGAAAAACTATATAGAAACGATCGAATTGTACCCAACCTTTCTTCCGCCATGGCCGAAATACGTCAGCGGAAAGGCAAGGGCCCCGCGAAAGACGAGAGCTACCGGACCGCCATCGTCGAAGAGCTAGACACGTCCGAGTCGGACACCCCGGCGCCGCCCAAGCCCAAGCCGAGCGTCAAGGAGCTCGTCACCGACGAGGAGGAGTACAGCCCGTGGGTGGACATCCTGCGCGTGATCTCCTTCCTGATCGTCGCCTCCTGCGGGCTCAGCTACCTGGTCTCCGGCGGCGAGTCCTTCACCTGGAACATGCGCGCGCCGCCCAAGTACATGCAGCTGGACTGGTGGAAGACCCAATTGGTTCGTTCCGAGCTATTCACCTTTCCCACCCTTACACCTTCATACCCTATATATGCCTACCTACGTAGGTAAACCCAGCAGAAGGCAACAATTCTAATTTACAACCCCAGCGCGGACCGATCTACCTAACACCCGCCGAACTCGCGCAATACGACGGCACCGACGAGACGAAACCCATCTACCTCGCCATCAACGGGACCATCTTCGACGTATCCAGCAACCGACGCACCTACGGACCAGGCGGCTCGTACCGGTTCTTCGCGGGCGCCGACGCCGCGCGGTCCTACATAACGGGGTGTTTCGCCGACGACCGGACGGCGGACCTGCGGGGTGTCGAGGAGATGTTCCTGCCCCTCGACGACCCGGCGGTGGACGCGCACTTCGACGCCGCGGAGCTAGCCGCGCTCAAAGAACAGGAGTTAAAGGAGGCGCAAGAGAAGGCGCACGAGGCCCTCGCGCACTGGATCCGCTTTTTCGAGGCTAGTCCCAAGTATTCTAAGGTTGGGTACGTCAAGAAGGACAAGAACTGGCTCGACAGGGAGCCGCGCCGGAAGCTGTGCGAGAGCGCCTCCAAGGGCAGGAAGCCGAGGAAGATTCCCGGGACCGAAGAATGAGCATCTAAGGAGTTTTCAAAGTGTGATTTAGCGGAAGCTTTATATATACTTGTACAGCGGGAGAATGGTTTTTGTTTCGGGTTCGGTTTGCTTTGGTATTTAATACGGGTAATGGAAAGGGGGGGAGGCATAAGGCATAAGGTATGTGTCTTGGTTGTAATAGATAGACAATTCATACCTATTATATATGCATGTATCATCCATATCATTGGAATATACCGAATGCTAGGCTCGGGTTACGAAAAGTAAGACTATTGACAACTTTTACGTTCGTAGTATTCAGTCAGTCTAACAAGACAATTTAATCACTGAAGCCGCAAACCAGAAAGGTTTACCATTTCACACAAAGTTTATAAACCCAGTTATTTCTCAATGGGATCAACAGGTATTATTATTCAAAAGTCAGGGCATTTCATCTAACTGCGCAATAATGCAAAACCAAGCCGCTGCCAGCCCCCTGGGGCGAAGAATCCGAGGTACATATGATGGATATATATACGTGATGTTTTTCTCTCTGGGTCCGCGGCGGCGTGCTCACCCATCCAATGGGTTGGGCTCCGCTCATCTCTTTCGGGTTATACTACCATAAGCCTAAACCCGAACGGGCGCCGCGCGACCTGCTCCCTCCCATCATTAAGTCCTAACATCCGAAGACTGTAAACAAGTCTCTGATTATCTTATTCTCGATGCGGTCCGATCATAGCATGAGCATGGCAGCAACCACACCAAGGAGACCCATAGAGCTCGAGACACCGATCGTGGTGGCGGCGCCTGTGGCGACGGCAGAGCTAGCAGCGCTAGCTGCAGATCCGCTTGTGGTAGAGTCGGATCCGCTGCTGGTGGTGGAGCCGGAACTAGAGTCGGTGCCACTGGTGCTACCGGAAGTGGTGTTAGTGCTAGCAGAGCCACCGGCAGCAGTCGAGGGAGCGACGTTGGCGGTCTGGACCTTGGCAAGGGCCTTGAAATTCGCCAAGCTTCGCGAAGAGTTGGCAGCAGTGCTATTGAAGTTAGTTATGGGTCCATATTTGCTGTTACGACGCCAGCACTCACTTCTCGTTAACAACCATCACCATGCCGGCCTGGCAGTGCTTAGCCTGGGAGCAGTAGAACCATAGAGGAGTCTTGGCCGCAACCATGACGGTGTAGGTAGGGATCATGCCCATAGCCTGGCTGGCTGCCACGGGTTGGTAACCGGAGAAGATACCAGTCGTGTTGGTGTGGTCGGCGATGGGAGAGCACGGGTTGTCGAAGTTGGACTGAGCTACACTGTGGTTGCCGCCTCGGAATTGGAATTGAAGCATATCACCCACATCCGCCGTAACACTGTCCGGGCTGAAAGCGAGAGTACCGTTCGTGGAACCGACCGAGACAACGTGAACCTTCTGGGCGGAGACGGCACCCAAGAGAGTAAGGAGAGCAGCAGTAGTGAATTGCATTTTGGCGGTTTAAATGGTTGTTTCCTGACTTCTGAAGAAGAAAATGTCGTTTAAGTGATCGTAATAAGCGACTCGCGCTGGTAGGACTAGCCTGGAGAAGATTATGTTTACAAAAGTGAAGAGAAGAGAAAACGAGGAAATGAAGATCCCAAAGAAAAATGTATAGCACGGAATTGAATTGGGAGAGAAAAGACGAAACTTGGCATCGACGGGAACAGCATGATACTTAAAGACCATGAAGGATATGGCGGCAAGGAGATGAATGATCGCCATGCTAGGGGACCACTCCATGACCCATGTCCCGACATCTAAAGTCAAGGGTGAGGCTGGAAGTGAAGAAATCTGTGAAACACGTTTTGACCTAGGACTGGATATCATGGATTAGGGGATATTACTACGTAGGCTACCACATCGACTGGGGTACCCATAAGACGGGCTCTAGACAGCCGGATATCTCATCTCGCCCATGCTGGGCTGCTGGTACTAGCCAACACTACTCATATCGGGATGGGCTTGGCAATGGCAAAGCCACACGGATAGACGTGGTTCCCGTAGATATTCGTAATCATGGGGACAAAGATGAGGCTCATTGGCGATGCGCGTCATCTCGTCGATACAAATAAATTGGCTTCCGAGCCGAGCCCGTCCAGCCCGTCTCACTTCGGAATTATGTCGTCCATACCTAGTAGTAATGATGGCAAGTACTATCTCTCTTGACGGCGTCAAAGGGTCACGGCCCAGGCCCATTCAGCTCATCATAGCGGCAAGTCAAAGTTGCCTCCCAGATGGAGAGTGCCAAAATGTTTCGAAATCCGGGGGAAGTTGAAGTTGGAAAGTTGGCCGGGGTGGTCAAAGGTACTCCACAAAATAACGCAACGGGACTGAATAGAATTAAGGTTGGCTGGCTAGGCGGCTAAAGCTAATCGGGACCCGGTCCAGGGGCTCTTCGGAGCACGGATCTTGCTTCAGCAGGGTCTTGTGTGACACCCGCCAAACCTGACGGGTTTCATCCCAGTAATTTTTCGTTAAAATGGGTTAATACGTTGGAATTCTTAATGAATTGGACCGTTGTTTCTCGATAAATCAGGCATAGCGCGTTGGCCGCTTTTGCTCCGGTTCGGCTCAGCCCAGTATTAGCCACAGCACTTCACTACCTATGTGCAGGCAAACCTCAAGTCTAAAGCGGCGTGCCTCAAGTTTCAATTAAGCACTTAGTCCACATTAATCGGGTTAAGTAAGCGAGATCAAGTAGGTACGAAAGCCGGAGCCTCAATTGAACCAGATTCGCCAGATTCGTGAGTAAGCAACTACAACATACAATAACCTCTCTTATAAACAGGGATAATTCATAGCTTGAAATTGTTGAACGTCTGAGAGCTGAGAGCCCCCAAACTCTTTCTAGAAATGAGAACAGCCAACGACTGGCCACTGAAGTCAAGCCCGCATTTCCAGAAGTTCAGATGAAGAACCATTGTCGGTATCAATCCAGTATCGGCCAGTATCAAACCCATACTCCAGTTACGCGTCTGACTCTTCTTCACTATATGATCTACGATGATCTACGAAGATGGAACTTGTCACAATTGAAATGTTTCTTAGTTACGCGTATGTTGCTTGAAACGAGTCGAAGTTATCGTCTCGACCTGCAAAATTCACACGAGCATGGTCACGCTTAAAATATACCATCATTTTTGGAACCGTCATGAAGCTTTCTTGATACTAAATTGAGAGGCAAATGTCCATAATCGAGCCATCGTAGTACTCAAAACGTATTCGGGCCATGCAGAAGAGCAAGGGAGTCTTAGAATAGATAGGCGCTAAAACATTCTTGTGAAGATATGACGATGTCGACGCCAGGCTGTGGCATTGTTGCCGCGTATTCATACGAGGCTTTAGTAACAGGCTTGCTGTCAAATAGTATTTCCGCTTCTGCATAGAAACAGATCTTTCAAAACCCTCCGAGAATTCAGCCTAGCGGCAGGACGAAACGAATGAGCATTAAAAGGTGCCAAGGTTTTCACGAAAGTGGTACCGTAGATCGATCTCATGGGTCGCTTATGTAACTAAAAGTGCCGGTTGATACTGTTTTGTTACAGTCGATCTTGATGTTCATGATGTCCATGATGCTCATGCCAGGGCACATCCTCGCGTGGAACAACTGTCAGTCGTGAGAAACATAACTAGTGGAACGCAAATACTGTCCGACTTACCCATAACGCAGATTATTCACACGCCAATTCTTGCCGTTAGGAAGCATACAACTTCCCATCCCAATCTTGGTCTCTCATAGGTCAAGCAACAATTGCGGCGCGACCTTCTCCAAGTCCTCAACCTGCTCTCCGTTAGCACTCCACTCCAACCTTACCAACACGCCCAAAATAACTCACCTCAAGAAACCCCTTCTCCTTCTCCACCACCGTCCTCGCAATCGCCTCCCGCACGAAGATATCCATGTACTTTGCGATCGCCGCATTAGCGTCCTTCGACACCCTCGTGCCGTCCTTCTCGAAGAACTGGTGCAGCACGTGCGTCAGCAGCTCCGGCGGTATCGTCTTCCTCTCTTCTTCTTCGCTCTCCTCCCCATCTCCTCTCTCGTCATCAACTTCCATAGCGTCGTCTTCCCTCCCCCTTCCCCTGCCCCGCCCCTGCTGTTGCTGCGACCTCTCGTCCTCCGCGAACGGGTCCTCGTCCGAGCCGATCACCTGCTGCGGCGACTGCAGGCTCTGGCCGCGCGCTCGAGAGGAGGACCCCGCCGTCGTGGAAGCCTGGGCTTTGGACGCCTTCGTGGATCGGGAGGCGGCTGAGGACGCGCCTCGGCCGCGGGTGCTGGTTGAGGATTGTTTCGGTGGCATCTTTCAATTCGGGTCTTCGGTTCCTCGTATAGATCGAAAAAGGCGATGAATAGGTTCGCAAGGTTCGTTACTAGGATACCCAATTACAACTTTGAAAAAGTGAAAGTAAAAAGAGAAAAAAAATGGTTGGTGGATTTGGAGGTGGAATGCGATTTACACGCAAAGTCAATTGCAAGCGCGACCTTGCTACAGCTGATTGGCACCTGGCTTGCATTCTCCAATCACAACGCCAGCTACGACTACTCCATATTATAACTTGAAGATTTCGTCACCATTTTTAAGTAGAAATGTGGTGTTCGATTTTCTTAGGTTCGCGCAATGCACAGAAGATAGGCCATTTATTCACGTAATGCAAGAAGCCCAAATTAACCAGAACATCACTTCATTCAGTGTCTATCAATCGTATGCAACCGTGGGAATCAGGCCGAGTCGAATGCCGAAACAAGCGGAGATGTAGGACGCAGAGCAGAAAGAATACAGTCAAAGGGAATTGCCTAGGATCTAAATTACAGCGGCTAACTAGCTGACGAGACATGAACCTCATCAAGTGCCTTGCCTTGCCAGTCCGTCCGCAAAATCAAGCTGTTCCAGAACGCCACGGCAATGAGTGATGCCCTGTAACAACTTTCCGCCGGAGCATCCGTCACGCCCCTTTTATCAACGGCCCTGTCGCCCATCCACTGTATTACACCACCACGCCTCCCAGTTCTATTGGGGTATGAGGAGGGTATTTAACCGGAACCGCCCTTGAAGGCCTTGCCGAACAGGAGAACTTGGAGCTGGTCGTAGATCGACAACACACCAGCACCGGCGACACCACGGAGAATGTTGGCACCGGCGCCCTTGAACAGGGAGCGGAAACCCTCCTTGGCGACGATCTGGCGGGCAGCATCCAAGGTACCGTTGTACTTGACGGCCTCACCAGAGGTCATCATCATACGACGTCGGATAGTGTCAAGAGGGTAAGAGGCGATACCGGCACCGGTGGTGACACACCAACCGAGAAGGAACGAGGCCAAGAAGTTGTTCTGGAGAGAGCCGACCAGGATAACAGGCTTGATGGAGTCGTACATACCGAAGTACAGACCACGGTAGACAACGATACCGGCGACGGAGGGCATGAAACCACGGTAGAGACCGGGAAGACCATCGCTAGCAAGGGTCTTCTTGTAGACGTCGATGAGACCGTTGAACTGACGCTCACCGCCCTTCTTGGCGTTCTTCGCATCGTTGGCGAGACGGGTACGGGCGTAGTCGAGGGAGTAGACGAATAGAAGAGAAGTGGCACCAGCAGCCTGTATTACATTGTCAGTATCAGTAGCTGAAAAATATATCTAGCAAAGTTGGGATAAAAACTTACACCACCGGAGGCCAAGTTACCAGCCATCCACCAGGCGTATCCATCACGCTCCTTCTTGAAACCAAACATCTTCTTGAACTTGTCACGGAAAGCGAAGTTCAAGGCCTGGGTAGGGAAGTATCGGATGACGTTGGCAGTGTTGCCACGCCACAGCGACATAACACCCTCGTCGGCGATGGTTCGCTTGAAGCACTCACCGATACCATCGTACTTTCGGTCAAGACGGCCAGCCTTCAACATCTCATCCTGTTTAAAATGTTAGCGCTGTACATTTTGGCAATTTATTTTCGAATATATGGCAGCTTTTAATTGCTCAATGAGCATGTGAAGCTGTCCGCACATATTGTGGGTCCCGGGTTCGGTAACCCCAACTGTGAAATTCTTGCAGATAGGGAATCAGGGAAATAGGATCTGCATATTTACGTACCTGGTTCTGGATAAGAAGCTTGACACGCTCAATGGGAGCAGCGGCAGTCTTCGAGACGGCGGCGGAGACACCACCCACTGAGATACTGATTAGCAAAATTATCGCGCGTCGTTAAAAAGCATTATGCCGAGGTGGGGACCGAGATATTGGCGACAATGCCAGCATTCAGGTTCAATTGCAAAGGCAGTAAGACATACTCAGGAAGTCGGCCAAGAAGGGCTGTGATAATCGCTGTTAGTAAAGTTCATGCATAATAGACGTACTTGCGTGATAAACCATTGCGAGCAAGGTAGGGAAATATCGTGAGAATTTTTCCAGCGCCATCTACGCCAATGATAATCCCGACAATAGCAATAAATCATCTCGAAAAAATTCGAAGACCCGTCTCAATCATGTTGTAGAAACCAATTGAGGCAGTCGATTACATGCGCTGGGATTATCGAAGGGTATATGGTGGCGGATAGCAGGCGGAGCTCGTGCGAGGGATTTGAGGGTTGCGAGGACGAGGGTTACTGGGAGGAGCTGCGAAACTTACCGGCATGCCCAAGACCTTGGGTTGTTCTGTAGACGACATCGTGCCGGCTATTCAAAGATTGCTTGATCTTTGAAAGGTTCAAGGAGTGAGTGGAGATAAGAAGTGAATGAGGAAAATGGATAGAGAGGAGAGATGAGAAAGACGGACAGACGCCGAGCGAATATTTCTACCTGCGACTGGGTCGTGCAGAAAATAAGTTTTGGGGAGGGAAAAAAAAATTGCTACGGGTAACTGCCAAAGAGAACAGCTTTTTCTAGCGACTCTTCCCGGACCCGCCGCTAAGACCTGCGCGGAGACCCTTTCCTTCGCCTTCTAAACCTGCGGTTGCCCCGAAACCAATCAATGTCACGTGCAATAATGGGTCTAGCACTCTTTTTCCTCCCTCTTTTTCTTCCAAAATCCTCTAAATTCACTAAGATAATTGAAGTGATCACTAAAGTCCACTGAAACTAACCTCCAGGCTTAACTTAGGCGGCAACTTGAGCGGCTGATGGCTGCCAGAAGGTCGCTAAACGCTGGCAACAGCTGGCCTACGGCTAACCTCCAGGGCTTCTGCCGGACAATTTCGGAATGAGCTATTCGAGCTAAGATATAACCCCAGCAATCTCACTTCACTTGAGAGATCAGATGCGAGCTATTTTTTAACGCTAATTTCCATACTCGCAACTCGTGCCCGTACCTATCGTTTTTGCTTACTCTCCGTCCTATAATCCTACCAAGATATTATTACCCTTTATTTTATCTCATTGTACTATTTAATTTTTGAAGAGATGGGATCTAGATAATGGCAAACTTTCGGTTTAGTGCGCAGATCCCCGTCCAGACTCTTAGACACTTCTGGCTGGCCGATTTCGCGTGTCGGTAAAAAAAGAGTCAGGATGTCCATCCACATGCATCTAACATTCAGGGGTCTATAGGTCTTTTATCCCGTCCCCCGAGTCAAGTTTTCGGCTCAAGTGGCGGGTCCAGCCTTGGCTGGTCGGCTGTAACTTTGTACAGACAGACGGCAACCCACGCCGCATGAATAGTTATAGAAATTCATCAACCTGCTTTTTCATTGGATGACGATCGGGAATTTATCTACGTGCTATAGTTACAGGAACCCGGTTACGTATAGGACAAATGTTAGAAGTGATATGTTGTAGAGTCTATTATCTAATGAATGCCCATGCATGGGATATCTGCGCTTAAAATAATGACATTAGAACCCAGTATGAGTTATGGAAGTTACTAGGTTACAATTACTACATACATCCCTACGTACCCGTTACGGGCCTTCATACATAATGAATATACCAATAAGTAGTAGCCGTGACAGCTATGAGCCTCCAATAGTAACCATGTATAACCAACCAGTGTGATGCAATCAGCATCCATAGATATCTATAGTCTCGGATATACCCTAAGGGTTCACCGCCAACCCTACTAGATCGACAAGGGAGATACTAGCTACTTGATTCGTGGATTCCAAGATCGTGGTTTGAACGTGAATCGGTATTTTTTGATAGATACTATCTATAAGCATCTACTAAGTAACTCAACATGCTAAGCTATATACATACATACCTTAGATATCTCTATCCTACCAATACGTATTTCGATATTTCGATATTTCGACATAATAGTTAAGCATGATACTTCATGGCTTGTTTTAAGGGGAGCAATACACCAGCAGAATCCACAATAAGTGGAAAATAAGGAGGACAAGGTTTCACACAGAGTAATCAGGGATTTTTTTCATTTGGTCCCTATCTGAATGCAATTGCAAGCGAAATACTGAACCATAACCGTCCCAATGCTACGCCGAGGACCGAATGCCTGAATCCATCATATCCCTATCCGCGATCCATCTAGTCCGTCGAGCTCTGTTGTCGACCGACCGAACGTCATTTTTTCATCATGGTATCGTGAGATTGATGGTTTAGTCGGAGGCGCCGACAGCTCGGGCTATATCAAAGGTCAGCATCCAACTCAAATATTCATAAATTGGGCAGTTCATCAAGACGTACTGTAGATCTTCATCTTGCTGTGCGTAACGACGGGCTTGATCTGTCCCTTCTCCTCAAGATCCTTCAGGCATGTTCGTGCCAGCGAGCCGTTGATCTTTAGTCTGTCGACGAGAGTGGCGACTGTGACGAGGCGGTACGATTGGACGTCCTTGTAGAGCTTCTCAGAGGTCGTCTTGTCGAGGAGGACGGCGTGCTGTGCCTTGTCCTTGACTATAGTGAATGGAAGTTAGTTGAAATGTTCGTAGAATCGTTGCGCAAGAGTTCTCGTGGTGTCCTCTCGAAATGCGCCAGTCGCTCATCGCGAAATTTAGTGGTACTTGCCTTTGCCCCTGTAATGCCAAAGTTAGCCAGAGTTCTAGTCAATATTAATTAAACAAACAATTTACTTACTTCGACCACTTCTTCTTCTGCTTCTTCGCGCCGGTTGCTGCGGGAGCCATGTTGTCTGATTTCTGAGATTGGCGTTGCAGTTGTAGATGAAAGTTGAAGGTGGAGGGGCCGAATAATGAATTTTGTAAAAGTTCGCTTCAGCGTTGTGTGGGCAGCCTTGATTAGAGCACACGTGATTTCAGCTTTTACGTAGAATTACGTAATACAGAGTTTTCCTAATTGTCTAAGTGCATATCCTAGCATATGCGTTCAATAGGAGGTAACATTGAAATGAGGTTGGCTCTTAGATCATCAGCCACAAAGTTAGCTACACAGCCACTCAGTTCCATGTGATCCTTGGCTTTCTCACCAACATCCCCACCAATGTGGAAACTATCTGCATCCCTATTTGGTCAACCGTTTAAACTTTTAAACTGTCCCTTCAACACGCATCCCGCTGCCTGTCTTTTAGGGGATGTCCGGATTGGATAACTAGGTTCCAAGATTGCGAGACAAGATCGCAAATCTATGGAAAAGACTTCGTTGAAGCCATGATATAACCCTCAGTTTACTACTTTACATGCGAACAGTTCCAATTTCTGTCATTCCTTCATTCGACGTACCGATTACGAAATCTATGTTGGCACGCGTGGCCTCCCCCATACTGTACCTCGTTACTACCAGGTAGTCAACACGCAATTATTTAGCGCTTCAACGATCTTTTGATTTTTCTCTTCTTAATTGTACATATACTTGTAAACCTCCGGGTCCCGCATCTCGTCTTCGAACCCAAGTTCCCAAAATGCCGAAGCACGGCGCGACGCTTGGGCTGCGATTAGCCCCACGGCGAGTCACTCTGCTCCTCGTCCTTGTTGGCATATTTGCGCTATTCACCCTGCTTTTCACACTTCCTAATGCCATACCAACTGGGCCAAGCCTGTCAAAGTCGATCGCCGACCATAAGTTCTCTATACCGAAGTACAAGGACAAGTTCTCATCGAGCATATTGAACCCCTTTCGCCCTGCTTCGCATAAGCCCCCAGAGCAGAAAAATTCGACATATGGAGGGAGCTCGTGGTACTCGAATTGGAATTGGAGGAGCCCGTTCTCTTCTTCTATTACACTAGATGAGAATCGCGCGCTTCTTCCGCCTCTAAAGGACAGGGCCCCTATCTACTGCTATTATGACACCACCCTCCAGCGGGAGGAGGCTACGAAGGAAGCCGAGAGTGCGCTACTACTTACGTGGAGGCGTGCTTGGTGGGCTCAGGGGTTCAAACCTATCATCCTTAGTGCGGCAGAAGCAATGAACAACCCTCTCTATGACGAACTTCAGAGACTAGATGTGGAGCCTGGTTTCAAGAAAGAGATGATGCGCTGGCTAGCATGGGAAAACATGGGTGGTGGACTTCTGGCACACCATTTACTATTTCCGATGGCTTCTCATGAAGTTCCACTGCTCTCGTTTCTGCGAAGAGGGGAATATCCCGGCCTCACGAGATGGGAAGGCTTTGACAACGCTCTTTTTGCTGGCCCTAAGATCCAGATCGCAGACGCTATCGTTCAGGCTCTCCGGAACCCCAAGAACAAAGCAGTCAAGGATTTTATATCTGCTGTGACCAGTGACACCTTTCTAGTTGATCCGTCACACGATTCCCTCGCTTTCTACGACGCCAAGACTGTTGAGAAGAATTACCAAAAGGTCGCCGAGGAAACAGCAGCGAACCGTGAGAAGGGTATCAAAAGCCTAAACCTTCTAATCAATTCACATCTACACAATACGTGGCAAGATATTTTCTCCAACGGAATTGCCGTCCTCAAACCCATGCCAGCTCATACAACGCGCATGATCGAACCAGCTTTAGAACTGGCGACACTGCTCGCGACTTGTAGTGAAAGTCCAGTGCCATCATCTTGTCCGCCGAACCTTCCGAAGTGCTCACCGTGTGTTGCGTCACACCCCATGAAAATCTCGACTCCGGCGCGGTACCGGAATACTACTAGCCTATACACTATCGGAATTGTGCCCCATCCGTATACTCTACGCACGCTAGACGCCTCCAGGGACACTCTAGACATCGCTTACATCAGGCGTGAGATCAAAAAGCGCGACGAGTGGCTATACCTCATCTTCCAGGAACTCCTCGGCACGGGGATATCCGGCTCGGTGCGCGTGGTCAAGTTCAAGGATGCCGTGGCCGGGGAATACGCGACCTCGCACTCGCTCTGGCTAACGGCGGAGAAAGAGTCGGTGCCCCACGACCTGGATTGGTGGTTCGGCTTCGAACTCCCGAGCAATACGACCGACGACGGCAAGTCCGAGACGCCCGTGCCCGGCCCCGAGCGTAGGCCAAAGCCACAACACGACCCCGCCGACGGCCCGGTCCCGACCCTCGATGATTTGGCGCAGGAGCCGCGCCTTCTCGAACGCGCGAGGGAGGTTGCTAAGAGCAAGGTCGAAGAGGACGTGCGTATTCGCAGCGCGATAGAGGCTTGGAATTTGGCTGATACGGAGGCGTGGCGGTTCGCGAGGGCGTTCTTGGCGCGCGCGAGGGTCGAGAGATTGAAGTGGGAAGAGGAGGAGAGCAGATATGCTGGCGGCATGGGCAGCGATGCTGACAGTATACCGGGGAGCAGCTGGCTACGGTGGGGAGACGACAAGGAGACACATGATTAAGGTTTAGGAGAGGAGAAGCAGAGTTTCAAGAGCAAGAGCAGATAGGAGAGCAACGACATGTACGGATGACATGGACGTTTATTTAAGCCCTAAGTTCATTGTTTTGCGGGTTTTGATGCTCAACGGCAGCAAGGCGTTTGCGCGTTATGGAATTTTTGTTAGACTAGAGCTTGCTGAATTCTGTATTGGAGATCCTGCTGCTTGACGCAGGGGCAGGTGTACCATAAATACCTCATTAAATGAATAGCCTTGAAAGCCTTAAAACGAACGTTTGCGCCCTAGTTACTGACTATCTCTATGGATGTAGCTAGGACTTTGGATGAGTGCTATACTATCTGCTGTCTTTGAACCGAATAAGGCCAGGCTGTTGAAGACTGACTTGATACGCGAATGTTAGATTCGAGAAGGAAAATGCCTACGTGATAACCGAAATAACCAAGAAAACCCCCCATTCCCTTCAAGATCCGGTGGCTACGATCGTATCACCACCCATCTCTCCGCTCAGCTCCCGTGACGTCACGCCGCGTCTGGTTAGTCCGGCGGCTAAGACATCGTTGGCTACTCCGAAGCCATTGGCGTTTCCTCCGCCAATCTTGCCCTTGACCGTCGCAGAGTCGAGGTAGGATGTCAGAGCGATCCTCGCGGCCTCGACTACCTTCTCGGCGTGCTTCAAGGCGTCTCTTAGCGCCTGGGCGGTGGCGTCTTCGGCCGCCGTCGAAGAAGGAGCATCGGCTTTAGTAGTACTACTGCCATTTTCAGGTTCAGGTTCCTTGCCGCCGAGCTCCTGCTCCCTGAGCAGCTCGTGGATGTGTCCGTTGAGCCACACGCCTTCCAGCTGGGCTCGGGTCATGTCCTTAGCGCCGCTGATGCGGCCGCGGCAGGTCGGTTTGCCGCAGAGGCAGTCGAAGGGCTGGGCCATGTGCCATTCTGTGGATGGGTAGAAGAACTATGGCGGAGGTAAGCTTGGGCGGGACGGAAGTGACGGGCTCACCTGTAGATAGGTAGGTTACCTATGTAAGCAGGCAGGACAAGGATAGGGTAGGTTTAACGGACGGTCAGCTCTTCGCCGACGCGCAGGCCATTGGGCCCCGCGACGATGTTCTGGGTGGCGGTGTCGAAGATGAGGGAGGGCTCGCATGAGTGGTTGATGTACAGCAGGTCGCTGTTTAGGTTCAGGTGCTTGTCTCGGCCGCACTGAACCGTGGCGTATGTCGGCTCCGAGGCGAGGGTACACGGAGGGAAGTCCATCTTCGCGAATAGCCCAAAGGGCGGTAGCGAGATTTTGGACAGGCTCTTGGATGTGAATTCATGCGCGTTGATGATCACGTCCTGGACGTCGGGATGCGAGGGCTGGGCCCAGTGTGGAGTTAAGGGTGCCATATTGCGATTTCGTTATTCCTCTCGGACCCTCGGATTCCCTCTTTTGGTCTGTGATGTTGGTTGATCGGGCCGTGTTCGAATCTCTTCGCGAGCTCGTAAATATCCGAAGTCTGGTTCTGACGTCTCAGATCAATTCTTGGGTTTGGGTGCTTCGGTTTTCGGAGTGTGAGATCTGGTGGATTCTATATGAGTCCCGGGGTGATGGAGACGATGGAGACGATTGAGACGGAGACAAGATGAGGAATCAATCGTCTCCATGTCCCCATGTCTCTCCGTTTTCCCCTCGGCAACGGCGCACATCCTGTTTTGCGCTAAGGATCTGACTAGCTAAGATAGGTGACTAGGAACACTACCTAGGCACTACTAAGAGTCAGTTATAGGCGCAAATACCGAGGCACACAAGCGACTGTCGAAGTTGCGTGTTAGTTCTAACTGTGTGTTTAACTGTGCGTCTTCCAAGTGCTCGGATTCTCGAACGCAGCCCTACGCTTTCGGTTATGTACATGGAACCTAGCGAAGCTTGAGTGGGGAACTCGAGAGCAAGAAATCGAGAGGTTGCGGGGATTGGCCGGCTGAGGGGGTAGGGGATACCGAGTCAAGAGCTATCACAAGCCTATCATAGGCCAATGCATCGCCCAAAGTGGGCAACAACTTCTGCAAGAAACTGCAAGCAACAGCCTGCTAACTTGATCTGGCTTAACATGGCCACAAGCTTACAGGGATAACTTAAAACTCTCAGCATCGTCACTGCAGCAGGTACACCTAGTACCGAACATGTTCATCGGCCGGTACTTACAATTTTCTCCTATTCGCACGTCGTTTTCTCTGTACCCCGCTCAGTGTGATTCGAAAACCTTATCCAGGCGTTCTGCTGGATTCTGCTGGGTTGATGGATGGTTAGGTTGGTAAGGTTCGCTACGTACCTACCCGCCATCCGCATTGATATCATCAATGGAAAAAGCAAAAGGGAAGCAGCTGGAGCAGAAAAGAGTTAACCGAAATGTTACCCCCAAACTGATCCAATCAGCACCCCATGCTTGTGTACCCGTAATCCAATATGGATCCACTTCTAGGTACGTGAAAATGCACGCGAACATTACTCGCGTCTGATCGGATGCGTCTAATCGGAATGATTTTCTATGCCTGATACCTAATACGCCATACCCACCAACCGTATACCGACATACATACATCCAGATTCGTTCACCTTTTTACCTTTTAGGATATATCTTATGCCATACCTGTATAGTACGTAAGATACTATTGACGATATTAGTTGACCTACAAGGTATTATGTGCGACACGCTATATTCGGGATCAGTCTCCATATCAAGGCAAGCATAACATAACGCTTTACATATTCGAGCCCTCAGACCGTCTTTGTCGGGTCTAATGTTCCATGTCCGGGCTCTAAAAGGGCTCCAAGTCGCCCAGCCAGGTTGTTGGGCACCCTAACTGGGATAAGGGGTATTAGGGATGAATTCTTCCTTTCGAAACGGTTACGCTCGCTATGCTGTGTTACCGCTACCTACCAACCATGGAAGGTAGTGATTTCGCTACATCCCGGATGAATTCAGTATGGAGAGGCTACGCTGAGAGGCTTAGTTTGGCTCACCTAAAGAGACCAAAAAAAGAAGAGTTCTAGAAAACCGGCAACGGTGTCCAAAGTTCTGACAGCCAGCCATTCCCGGCATGCGGCTGACTCTCGATATTAGGCTACCCGCCCGGCCGCCCCAGCGTGCAGAGCCTAGCGACACCTCCCGCGATGCGGTGCTGGGATTGCCCTCTACTATGCAGTATAGCCTACAGGACCACGCGCATTGGTCCTGGCGATCGTGATAAAGGTTCCACCGACTGATTACTCTGAAACATACGTATACGACTTGGCACGGCACAGGCCAGAATGTGAACCCAGGCGAGTTACGCTGGGTAGGCTGCCTTGATCGTCACCCGTTAAAATACCGCCCTGTCAATGAGATCGCCGTGGTAGCGCGTGGCCGGCGTACTATGGAGTCTATGGTAGTAGAAACCTCGATATTGGCCGTCCATCCAGGTTGTCCTTGGGCCAGACCCATTGACGCTCCTTCGCTCAACTGATCTGGGGCACGGCTTCGCTTCTCCGAAACTTACCAGATGGGCACTTCCGTCCAATCCAAACCAAAGTCTTGGCTGGATGGCTCAGGTTGTCGCCAAAAATATACCGGACATACCGAATATACCAGAATATACCGCAGGTATATGCCATATATTCGAGTCAGGTGGAAGTCGGGTCCTTGGTTCGACGATATCAGCCTTTTGTTATACATATGTCGTAACCCTCCGAACGTCACCGGACCTCCCTTTGGGATGGTTGCAGTGAGGTCGGCGGCTTGGGGAGGTAGCCCGTGTGCCTACGTGATTTTCATAATAACCTGTGATCAGATTGTCCTTGATTTAGAATCTACAAGGTTACACCACTCGCTTGGAATCCCTGCCCACTAGCTTTTGTCAGGGAGAGTAAAGCACGCACGCAGGAGGGCCGCTTGGGCGGTATGTTCGGGAGCCTGTGCGCTGAGGCGTCATCTGCCCAGTACCTAGGTAGGTAATCTTCGAAGCTGTCTCGAGATGAAGACACCATCACTTAACCGAGAATCAAACTCTGAGAAGGTTTCAATGCCGATCTATCACCACGTGTGTGGGTCGGTAAACATTCTCATAGGCATATGTCGACCGTACGCCAGAAAGGGAGGCGTGACTCCTCGACATCCTGTGGCCGTGCCCAGTAATTATCAAGGACCTAGAACGGTGTCGGCCCGGAGGTCAGGGTGGGGGTTTATTCTGGAGAGGATGGATTCTGAGAGATCTGGTGGTTACGAAGTTCTTTAAAGGCTTGATTCCCATGCCCTTCTTGCGACGATCCTTTCATGAGAAGAACTGCCACCGAATACCTCGTTAGACGACCCTACTCTTCGTTACACATCGCTATCATCGGCACTCGATATAGTGAATATACCTACATTTAAGTTTACATATCACATACCAAGAAACACAATGGCTTTCAACTCAAGCTATGGGCAAACTGAGCCCAATCGGAATTTCCAGTCAATAGACAATGCTAAGGGGGTAGTCGGTTATCTGGAGCACAAGCCCCAACCGCCACCTCAACCAGAGCCGCCGACTCCGAACCCGCCCACTCCTAATAACCGAAAACCCGCAGATACGTGATGCGTATCTAAGCACCATCGTTCAAGGAGCAATTCATCACGACTTGCTTGAAATCTGGCAGTGTCGAGAACGGCATAGGTGAGGGGTTTAAACCTTCCTAGCATTTTAGGCCATATCGTACGCACGTGTCACCTAATGATCATTACTAGTTAATCTTTGTGAGATCTGATATATACATGGCACAAGTGCAAACTTTGAGCGAACCACGTCGGGTCCAATAACCATCGCTTCGGCCGTTGCTTCTCTCCGGGATTACCGGCGCTGTTACTCTCCCGGCCCTCAATTTACGATATCTCTTATTGAATGTTTGGTTCTCTGCCGTCTTCTGGGTTGGTTGTCTGGGACACCAGTGTTACGAGCAGCATTTTTCCTATTTATCAATTTGGCGTTTATACTTTGTTACTCGCAAGGGGATATTGATTGCTTTTTTTTCCTTGCGCCTTATAACTTATTCATTGGTTCGAAGTATACGTCGGGTTGAAAATCCATTAATATTGTCAAAATAAGGTGTTTCTATCTATATATATGTATCCATCTCGCGTTAACTCGCGGTATTGCCTAGAAAGTCTTACTTTTACTCCGTAACTTGCTCCCGATTATCTCGTATTCGTAACTTACTGGGTTTTACAACCAGATTACTACTTATAGGGACACGGCCAGCGTCTAGGCTATGGTACTTATATGATGGATCTTACTTAAATATGATATGGAGCTCGAATGTTATCTAAGGTGAACTCGCTTTCCTCAGATGGGATAGAAGGGCTGCTATGAGGTTTACATCTACGCTACAGATCGGAGCCATGATATTAAAATTTTCTCCCGTCTTTGTATGATCTTACTTTTATGTTTACAGCCTTAGGTGTGGATGAAAGTCCCAAGTAAATGGTCGAATCTACAAGGTCGATAACCGCCAACGTAGCTAGCACCTACTTAAATGTAGTAACAAGCGGTGTTTCTGGAAATGCTTCTTGGATCAATCGAGTATATATAGCGATATTATGGATAGAATACGGATGCTGCTTAGCTACTAATTATCTATCTGTGCATGACAGTAGTTAACTTCATCTTCGTTCTTGGAGCATCATAGCATCACCAGTCTATAGGTATTTGATCATATCATCCTCTTTGTGCCAATATGTGAATTATGAAGGTGTATCTCAGCGTCTAAGGGTCTATGGAATAACATAGCCATTCGGTCATGAATCTGTGTTTTCATTCAAGGGCGCACTCTTTTGAATTATGCATGTGTAGGTCGGTAGTCTATCAATGGGACAAGCCAACATAATACTACATCAATAATTAGGCAGGTATCTATGCAGCTATATAAGGTCACGATCCTTGCAACTGGTTGTCATATTGGAATGTACGTAGGTAAATTCATGGATATACCTTTGTTAGGTACCTGTTGGGTACCTGGGTAGATACAATTTTTGTATTATCTGCTGAGTGATTCTATGTACTGATATAGGTACCGAAGTTGTCAGGAATCTCCAAGGTGCTTGTAAGTATACCTACTGCCTGCCTGCTGCTGTTGAGTTTGAGTAGATTGATGTGGCAGGACCTACAAGTGTTGTGGCAGTGGTTTCCTAGGTAGCGGTGACGTGGTTGTCGATTTTATTAGGTAGGTGCGTCTCATGGCGTTTGCCCTACGATAATACTTTTCTATTTAACACCAGGAAGCGACGGCCTTTTCTGATATCTTCTTACCCAGACCTTATTTTCGTTCTTCGATAATTTCAACTCATTCTCAACTTGAACATCCAACCCGACATCGCTCAGCTCGAGTTAACGCTTCTGAATAGCCTTCACAGATCTGTCCCGTAAGATCTTGCATGCCTATTAATTGCTTGATTGCTCACGTCTCTCACTCGTTTGGAATTTTTGGTGTGTGAGTACCGTCTTCCATTTTCAATCGCGCCTTGCCTCGCCTCACCTCGCCTCGCCCACCACCACCCAACGACTCCCCAAACTCGACCATCGTCGACTTCACGATCGAATATATGGATAATCAAAACAAAGCACAACCCATAAACAAATCAAAAATCATGGCTCCTCTAGGGCCATCGAGATTTCCTACCATCACACACATATTCCGTTTCTACCCACCGCCTTCATTTCCCCAGAACACCTTCTTCTCACACTCGCCATCCCACTTCCAACCACGCATTTCCCCCTTCTATCATTTCCTATTACCCCATTTTCATCATTAACTAGGTGATCAATATTGATTATTATTGAATACAGGCTATCTGACATTGAAGGCCTTCCCACGTTACCACAGGTATGTTCTATCTCGGTATTCCCTACCGCTACCCTCATCTATTTCCTCGAAGCACTTTCCGACGAGACTTCTGCTCTGCACCGGAGAATAATACCTCACACCACATAAAACACGTAAATTTACCAAGTAGCATCTTGGGAACAGTAACAATCTTGGCTAGATTACCGCAGTCAAGGGTGTTCAGTGTATCGCATCATCATTTATTCCATCGCCTCGCCAAACCGCATATATTGAATTTCTCTCAACGGGGCGCGCAAATATAACTAATATCATTCGTGTATAGGTTGCGAGTCTACCACTTGTCTAAGGTTTTGCCTCATTCGCCGGAGACCCGGTTTTGAACATCCTCCTACGAGTACTGTAATTATCAGAGCCGTGTTTATAACACCCACACTCGTTTCGACCATTTGATGGATTCCCGTGTTTACAGCAGAGAGGAGCTACTAAAGCTCAGAGAGGAGCTTCCTCGCAAGATCTTGAACAAGCTCCAGTCAAGCAGCGCAGCTGGTAAGCGTATATATCTTTCCCCTTCTTAGTCCCATTCCTACCCCCCTTTTCCCGCAGGTGTCACTGATCCAACCACACCACGTCTTTCTGCTCAACCTTTGGATATCATCTATTTTCGCGTTTAAATCGGTTTAAAGACCTCATCCTTTACGAATTCAAAAAGTTCTCATTCTAACGACCTTAGTTAATCTAGCCAAAAACCCAGCTGGTGGCAACATGTCGTCTGCCAAGGATCGACGCCTCAAAAAGGCTAACGAGGATATCTCTTCGTCAGCTGAAAGTGACGAGGTCATCTTCCAAGGCAAGAAGTCGCGTCAAAATAACCAGTGGCAGTACCGAGGCCGCACTGGTTCTGAAGTTACTTCCGCCGAACCGGTGTCTGCTCCTGTAGGTCTCGGCGCCCAACAGAGCGAAGGCTTCCAACGCTTTTTCAAAGCAGTTGTATCCCCTACTCATGTTCGAGTAACTGCTGGTGGTAGAATTGTTCCCAACACCCGCGGTTCCGCATCCCCTACAGCGAAATGGGACAAGGAACGCTCAGCTATTGCCGTACAAGACTCCGTGGAGACGTCTAAAGAAGAGAAGCACGCTTCTAGCAATGGGATCGGTACCAGCTTCCCTCATCCTTTGATTTCGCCACCTCTTACTGGCCATCCGCCTTTCTTTCACCACATGGGCGTACCCATGCCGATGTACCCCTTTCACCAAGGATTTCCGATGGCTTACGGAATCCCCCCTCACAGTGTTCATTGGGCAGGTAGACAACCCATGCCATCCCTGAGCCAACAAGATGCTGAGGAAGCAGAGAAGACTCTGAAGAGTCAAGACGGCGCCGGCGATAAGAAGCCGAGGCCGGCACCGATTAAGATTGCACCTCGAAGTGAGACGGAACTCAATAGACCATTCTACCACAATGGGAATGTGATCTACCCCGCAGCCTACGGACCAGGCCAAGGTCCAATGCCCATGATGCTTACGAGCCCTTACTATGCACCAGGCATGGGTGGACACCCAACCTTTGCCAGTGTTCATGCGGCTTCAATGGGCCAGCCATCCCCTGCAACGCCCATGTTCAGTCCTGTCGCTTCTCCAGCAGTATGTGGTCCTCTTAATAGCAGTAATGCTTTTCTCCAGCCATCCCCAGCGGCTGTCCCTGGATTTACTCCCCACATCACGTCAATTCGCCCAAGCGAGATCACTAGGCGTCAGCTTGAAGCGTTGCGAAATTCCCTCAAGTACTACAAGGATCAGCAACAGTTCAATAAGCACCAGATCGATGAGAAGTGGGTTGCGCAGGAGGTACAAAAGCTTGAGAAAAGCGTGAAAGAGTTCGAGTACAACTACGAGATGCAGTCTAAATTCGAGGCAATCCACTACCCTCCTCAGCCTGCACCAAATTCGGGACGCTCAAGCGCTAGGAGCCGCAGAGGACCTAACAATTCCCGAAATAGCTCGATGAGCGCTCATAGCCGTGGCCGTGGACGCGGACGCGGAAGTTTCCAGTCCTGTGAGCGAGGCGGTTCGTTGTCAAGTAACAGGAGGAAAAACCGACAGGCCATTGGCATCAACTCTAACATAGGGATGAGGTCCCCATTGGACCGGGATTCGGAGGAGTACATAGAGGCAATCATCTGCAAGAAGGTTGAGGCCATCGAAAAGGCTAAGGAGGAGGCTAAGGCTAAGGAAGAGCAACTTGCCCAGCAAGCGAAGAGCGTCGGATTATCTGGCAATGCTTCCGTGGCGTATAAACCCGAGTACGGACTAAAGCCTGTCCATACGCCTCAGTCCGAAGGTCCTGTGTCACAGGCTGGAGTACCGGCTGCTGGAGTTTCACCTTTTGATGGCCGAGGTGATTGGAATGGTGCATGCGCTCCTAGCATGTATCCGAATAACAGCGTGATGCCAACGAATGCTCAGCTGTCGCCTATGAACATTGTTCCAGGTAGTTACTCCCAGCCATACCTCGTTGGATCGTTGCCACGAGGAGTGACACCGCATAGTGCTCGTGCCACCGATTATATCTATGCACGACCCTTAACTGAGGAAGAAAAAAGGGCACGAAGTCACTACTGGGGTCAGTTTCCAAGTGCTGGAACCGGCCTGCCGAAGTTCGATGGAAAGGACTTTTATCCGCCCTCCCCTGTGAAAGCTGATGGAGCTTCAGCGCAATCTATCATCCGACAACCATTGCCATCGGGTAGCTTGCTTCCAGAAACCGATCCGTTTCGCCCTAGCCGTGACGTACACGGCGCACGCATCAAAGAGACGGGTCATCGAGTGAGCAAAGCTATCCCCATTGTGGCCCCGAAGGATGCTACTCAAAGTGAATCCAAAGCAGCAAGACCTTACCTCTCGGCGTTCCAGAGAGAAGAGGGTATTGAAAACGTTCAGAACCTCTCCAACTGGATGGGAGATATGGAATTGTCGTCGTCAGCTAAGTCACTTGAGGACTCTGCCTCTAAGACGAAGCAGGACAAGCTCGGTCGTCAAGCCTTCGAGAGATCCAGGTATGTGCTCAGACATATGATATGACGTGTATGCAGAGGCTAACATTCTGTAGCAGTAGATCTGGCAACGAACTTTGGCACACGATGCTGAAAAGAGGCTCGACCAGCGGGGCTGCACTCCCTAGTGCAGTATCCTCCACGACGGCTACGGGGTATTTGCCCCAGTACCATGGACACGCCGCAGCATCTCTTGGCCCGACAATCTCCAACACGAACGGGTCCACAACCCAGGCTTCGCCCGAGGGAAGTAAGACGGCGGACCGTGCTAGCTCTCATCTGTCCGCCGAGAAAGTGGGTGAGAATCGTCGCCCGAGCGAAACACGCTCGGAGGAGTACGATCCACTGAAGGATATTCAGGAGCGCATGCTCCGTGATGCTGAGCGACGTGGGGTTATTGGCTCAGACTGGTGATAACTCGACCGTCATACTTGTCTTTGCCTACTTCACAATGACAGAAGAAGAGCAGCTCTATGAGTAATAATCTTGTTAGAGTCATGGCAGTATGAATAGGTTTATTTCTTTCAGAAATCGGCTGATTGTATGAATAAGGATTCGAGTTAGCCGAGTAGTGTTTATTTTTCTCTTCTTGTCTCTACTGGAGAACCCTTTTTTTACGGCTATGTTGGTCCAAACCCGCAATATTTTCATTGTTACTGTCCAACGCTATTGACGGACTGGAATGATGTTAACTGGTGGCGGAGGCAAATGTACGGGCTACTACCGTTTAGGACCAAGTTTATTGTACGATGTTTATGAATTGTTTTGTGTTCTTGAAATTGTGACTGAGAAAGGGAGGAAGTTTGTGTTACTTTAAATTGTCAATTTGTGTCCTCACCTTTTTAGTTTTTGCCCATATCATAATATGGTATTGGCCTTAATACATTTTTGATTTGGGCTAATGGCAGCTGCTCTTCTGTGACATGAGTAATTGCTAACAGCCACGGGATGAAATGGCGAAATAAGCAAGTAAAGCATGCTAGGAGAAATAAAATATGTTTCTTTAAGTATTCCTTTTATTTTTCTTGAAATATCTATTTTTTTTTATATCATGGGGGGTAGTGTACCTCACCATCAAACTCCCAACCGCATCGATGATGAACATCTACCGGTTGAAAGTCTGCAGGCGAGGGGGCGAAGAATGGGGTGTGATTCATATATTTTCCCCTACGCTTGCTTTTCTCTTCGCCAGTCGTATACCTCGAAAACCAATGGGTTGAAGTTGACGCGGAGATATCCTGGCGGAATACATACATTTCTTGTCTTTTTTCCTTACAAGGCCTTGTATGGGTATATAAAGATGGGGTGCTGATGGATTGCTTACGGAGAACCACTTACATAGGTACCTTAGTACTTTGGCAGGATGTATGCCTGAGTATAATGTCTCATGTAGATAGGGAAGTCTTGTCCATCTTCCTTGGTACCTGGGTAGATACGTGCGAACAGATATGGGGTTCCTAGATCTAGATGTGAGTTTGTTCGACGGTTGCAATACTACAACACAACACCACGCACACACAGAGCTATGATATGGAGCAAGACTTCGGGAAGAACCTCCCATGGAACATTTCACAGAGTGAAACGGCCATTGTGTGCATGCAATTGTTTTTCATTCGGTTTGTCGCCGCATCTATATGCTGATTCGTCGAGTCATCATGCCAGCAAATACCGATCCCGTCATGTCCCTCGATGACGCCGGGGAACTTTTACCCTTCCCCCGTTAAGACGCCGTATGCCGTACTATCCGTTATGGACCTCGCAGATTCGTGAAGTATCTACCAAACGGGTATCTTTCCCCCCTTTTGCCAGGCTGGTTTTAACCGAAGAAAAGGTAGGATAAGATTGGTTCAGGTGCGATGCTTTCGACTTATATTTATTTGGCGGCAGCCTTGCCTTTGGATCGAAGCTCGCGGCCGACCTTGATGCGTTCGAGTATGTTCTCGCGGTCCTTGTCGAGCTTCAACTTGGTGATGACGACCTTGCTGGGGTGAATGCCAATGGGGACGGACTGGCCGGAGGCCTTCTCGCGGGTGACGCGCTCGACGTGGATCACGTACTTGAGACGGTACACGGAGGTGACCTTGCCCTCACGGCCCTTGTTGGTGCCTCGGACGATGGTGACCTCGTCGTCCTTTCGGACGGGGATGCTGCGGACCTGTAGGGCGGAGTTCACGTTAGGATGTTCTCGAGGACGCAATTGAGGGAGAAGGCAGAGCTTACATTGTACTTCTCGCGCAGCTCCTTGCTGAGGGGGGCGCTCATGATGACACGGCGCTCGCCGGAGCCGGCGCTGAAGTGCGCCTTTCTCGACTTTCGTCGCGAGCTGGCGATACCTGTCGAGACAAAACCCATTAGCATCGTGTGGTTTAATTCAAGCCAAATTGTACCGAAATATCTATTCGAGACGTAATTCAGCGGATTGTTTGAACTTACCTGAGTTAACCTTCGTCATCTTGTCGGTGGGCGTTGGGTGATGTCGGATAAAAAGTTCGAAGACGAAGATTTGGTTGGGAGTTTGGCGGTTCACGGTTTTAGGAAGTTGGAAAAATCGGTCGAAAAGAAATTGGTGGGTTGGGAAATTTTGATGTTTGCCCTAACTAACAGGGGTTGGGTCAAGCCTCGCCTAAGCATAATTCGATTAGATAAGAGTGGTGGCTTGTGCTTTTTTATGTGGCTAGGTATACCCCACACCGAACCTTATTCCGCTGCCCGGGGTCAGGGTACGTACCGGCATGGTGTGATTCTTAGGTGGGATGAAGCTCGTCAGAAATATTTCAAGGTCAAGAGAGAAAGGTCTTGGAAAAATCCAGGGTCGATTGACATCGAGATGTGGTCTAGATTAGTGCGCCGTAGGGCGCTCTTTTCAATAAGAAGCCAATTTACCTCTACAACTAGGAATCAAATCCAAAGGCGGACGCTAGTCTCGGCGCCCAAGCCCGGCGATGGCCCTCTCATGGAGAGACGTCCAGACCGGGAACTCCCAAGTGCGTCCTTCTAACATCTACGATTCTTCCCCCATCTAGGCCATAAGCCACTAACAAGAGCCCACCGCAGACATAAATACATTCAAATGGGGCCGCACGTTCCCGGTCTTCCTGGCGATCATCGCCGCGTCGAGCGTCGCCATCTTCAACTACCAGAAGCTGTCGAGCCCGGTGGTGGCGTCGACGCTGTACGCGCTGCGGACGAACGCGAAGGCGCGCGAGTACCTGGGCGACGAGATCTACTTCAAGCACCAGATCCCGTGGATCTCGGGCCAGATGAACCAGCTGCGCGGCCGCATCGACATCCGCTTCCCCGTCAAGGGCACCCGCGCCACCGCCGTCATGCGCTTCACGAGCGCCCGCCCCACGCCCCGCGGCGTCTTCGAGACCACCGAGTGGAGCCTCGAGAGGCCCGACGGCTCCAAGATCGACCTGCTGGACGGGAACGACCCGTTCAAGGCCATCGCGGCCTTCCCGATGGATGAGGACGAGCGGGAGGAGGCGACGAGGGGGTTTAGACAGCAGCTTAAGTGATTGGGTTGGAACTTTGTGGTTCTTAAGGGATACTATGGTTGGTTGGGTTCATACTCCTCGTGTGAACTCCGTGGAGGTGAAGGGATATGCTACGTAGATGCTAAAAGCAAGAGCATGTTCTAAAGGGACTATTCAGCTGGACACAGGCGGATTGCTCAGGACTTGGCTTAGTTCTGATGTTACGCGACTTCGATACCATGATATAACACACACTACCTTGAATATCCGGACTTGAAGTAAAAGGTGGGAGACGGAACACAAGAAGCAGGGCAGATATTCCGCCATGAGCTTTAGTATTCGTCGGAGAATACTTCGCGTGTACAGCAATGTCATATAGTACAAAATATGTATATACTACTTCTTTCCACAGCTACAGCTTACACCATAGCGCGCGCCATAGCCATCGCATCTCCAATCTTGCCCTCCTTCCGCATCGTCTTGAGCGCGACGTGCGCCTCGCGCGCGGACTGCAGCCTCGCCTCGTGATCCGGGTGGCGCTCCAACAACAGCCTCCGCATCTTCGCCATGAACGTCTCGGGCGGCGGGTCCTTCTTGACGGCGTCGGCGATCTGCACGATGCAGCCCTTGGGCCCGGCCACGTGCCCGTTGATGACCACGATCCCCATCTCGTTGTCCACCTTCAGCACCCGCAGGTTCTGCACCGTCACCCGCTCGTTGCCCATGCGCCCCGGCATCTTCTTGCCCGGGTGCACGCGCGAGCCGCCGCCCTGGCTCGGGCCCGTCGTACCAATCGTCCGGTGGTTCTTCGAGTTACCGTGGCTCGCCTCCTGGCCCTTGAACCCGTGCTTCTTCATGCCGCCCGCGAACCCCATGCCCCGGCTATTACTCCGCGCGTCGACGTACTGGCCCACCTTGAACCAGTCCGGCTGCAGCTGCACGCCGACCGGCAACAAACCCTCCTCGCCGCGGACCTTGAACTCGGCGAGGTGCCGTTTGGGGGCGACCCCTTTGGCCTCGAAGTAGCCGAGCAGCGGCGCCGTCACGTTGCCGGGCTCCTTCTGGCCGCAGCCGAGCTGGACGGCCCAGTACCCGTTCTTCTCGCGCGTCTTGGCCGCCACCACCTGCACCTGGTCCATCTGCAGGATCGTGCACGGCATCCGCATCCCCTTCGCCGTGTACATCGCCGACACGCCCTTCTTGACCGCCAGCACGCCCGTCCGCAGCGGCGTCGACTGCGACTTGCGCTCGAGGGCCGCCGCGGGGCCCGTCGTCGGCGCCGGCAGCCCCGAGGATACCTGGTTGAATCGCTTGGGCTTGGTTCGCCGGTCTATGGTCGACCACCCGTACTTGACGCCCCGTTGGGCTGTGCGCGGGAGCAGCGTGTGTCGTTCTGTGATGAGGATTCGTGGGTTGCTGGGGTGGAGGAGGGAGGGGGAGCTTCTGCTGAGGGCGGCTGCCCAGCGGGCTGGCTGTCGAGACGCCATTGTCGCTGGGAGCTGGATGCCGGGGGGCCGATTCACTCGGAGGATATCCGGGCTTTATTTTATGTCGATTTTGTATCTGTAGATTTTGAATGGCCTCAAAAGGCCAATCGCTGAGGTTGTGATTTCGAGGTGGATAATTGAGAGCTTCAATTCCCACGTTGAAAAATTCGAGTGGGTCCTCTGATGGACGCACTTTTTCGGGAAATTTACGGGCGGTAAGGTACGTACCGTCGGGGATCTAAGCAGGAACCCTGACATGGCCCGGGGGAAAGAACTTCGAGACCGCCAAAGGCACCATAATTACCTCTGTTATTGGCATAATAGCTATTTAATTTTGACTTACTATAGGTGCCCGAAAACATACTACACTCAAAGCTTAAGTGTATATCTGTAGCCAATAGCCGTGGAAGCCTTTTACATCTCATCCTAGTTGTGATTTAGATAGGATTGACTGAGATAAGATAATTAGAGGCTTAGCTGCTGTTATGCTACTAACAGAGGTAAATATGGGGCGTCCGCACTGGTCTGGCACCTGACTGTATTTCTTTCATTTGTAAACTTTGTCTTCTTAAACAATTCTATTCACTTTGATTTGGTAACTTTCGGATCATTTTTAAGATGGTTTATTATTTTAAGTCGACCGTTGTAGATCCTCCGGCGTTCGTCTACGTCGGCAAAGACAAATTTGAGAGTGGGTGACCTCTCAGCCCCCGGTATAAGTCGACCCAGGCCTAATTAGATGCTAATAACTTCGTGAAGATGAGGAGTTGATCAAGTACGGCTGGGAGGAAGATGTCTGGTAAGAATCATCTCATGCAAACTTTGTCCAAGCATACACATATTCATATCCTCTTATTAGGGTATGAAAGCTCCTCGACCTGTTAAACTGCACATTTCACCAAAAATTCTTGGGTCTCATGCGATAGGGGTTACTATGAGCAGTTTCACGTGGACAAGCTCTCGAGTGCACATATCTACCTCAGACTCAACGAGGGCGACACATGGGACAACATACCGCAAGATCTCCTCACGGACCTCGCCCAGCTAACCAAGGCCAACTCCATCGAGGGCAACAAGAAAGATAACATCACTATCATCTATACTCCCTGGTCCAACCTCAAGAAAGATGGAAGCATGGCCGTTGGACAAGTGAGCTTCAAGGACCAACGCAAGGTCAAGAAGATCCTGGTGCCCGCGAGAGAAAATGTCATTATCAACCGCCTCAATAAAACCAAGGTTGAACAGCACCCCGATCTTCAGCAGGAGAGGGAAGATCACCGCAGAGAACTGAGGAAGAGAGATCAGGCTGCGCAGCTACAACGGGTAAGATCCATCATTTTAACAATCCTTTTATCTCCAATGCATGATAGGTTAACGACCAGAGCATTAGCGGAAGGAAGAGGCCAAGATAATGAAGGAGAGACAGGAAAAGAAGTGGCAGAAGGATCATGCCTATGATGATCTCTTCACGGAAGAAAACATGGAGGCGTCGAGCAACCAGAACCGGTCTGCGGACTGGGAGGAAGACTTCATGTGACAATATGAACTGCCAGATGAGAAACCAATACAAGACCTTATGATGACATGTCGATGCCACAAGCCATGGCCCCTTGGCCAGATTAAAATGTTTACTTGATAGACCTTTTCACCTTCTACCACTCCCGCCGACCGGCCCATCCATTAACTTAAACCTCTCACTACATGTTTAAATCCTAGACCTTAAGCCCCCCGTCCAACATCTTCACCCATACGATTCACCCCTGTCCCTTTCACAGCGTGGTCATTAGGGTTCGGCGCAGCTTCGTACAAGATCTGCGCCGGCGCGCGCCCGAGCTGCATCCACTCGCCCTTGAACCCGATATAGCTAATCCTCGTAACATCCTCTTCGCCGTCCCCGAAGTTGTCCTCGAAGAACAGCGTCAGGTGCCGGACCTTACTGAAAAGCGCGCGCTTCACGGGCAGTTCCTGGACTTCGGAGGTCTGCGATAGCTCTAGGGTTTGGGTTGGCGGCAGCTCCTCGGCCATGTCGAAGTCCAGCGAGTCGCGGTTGATGAAGAGTTTGAGGGACCGCGGCGCGCTGTCCGAGGCGGATGTGCGTAGGAGGATGGAGTGGAGTTTGACTTGCCCTGTGAACCTTTATGAAGGGCAGGAGTTGTGAGTTGGGTTGTGTTAGGTATAGACATAGGAGTATATATAAACGTATATGTGAACATAGATGAAATCCAACATCTTAAGATAAGTATAAGATGAGAGAGAGCACTCACGGGATTGTCATAAGGATCTGCTCATCCGCATCGCTCTCGAGCTCCGGCTCGGCCTCTAAACGCTCGGCCCACGTCTTCTTCACCACGGCTTTTCCAGAGTCGACTTGCGCCTCGTTCATGGTGTTGATCCCATCGAAATCAATGTGTTGATATAAGCTGTATTGCAGCGCCGGTGTGATATCGTCCGTATGATCATGTTCGTGGTCGTGGTCATGGCCATGACCGCCGTGGCTCTCGTGCTCGGCGTGGCAAGACATTTTTTTACAAAACTATGACGATTATTTAGATGGAAGATTTAATGGAAATGGAACTCTTGTTCATAAGAGATTTCGTGTTGATGTAGAAAATTTGCGGCTTGTTGAGATGAAGAGAAGTTGGGATGGATCGGGTAATTGCATATGTTGAAATGCGGGCAGCTGCGATGAAATCATCCACTAAAATAAATTCGGTTTTGTTGAAGCTTCAAACGAAATTTCAGGAAACAGCAAATGCGACTGTTGAAAGTTAACTTGTATTAAATTCTCGCTACTGTAGAGCTCTTTATACCAAATTTAAACATTCAACTTGTTTCTAGACTTTGGTTATTCCTTGGTAGAATTGAGAAAAACTGGTAATAATTGCGATTATGACCTGGGCAGAATACATCAGATTGCTCCTACGTGAAACTCTTCTTAGAATACATCAACCCCTTTTTATAATTAACAGATGATTTCAACATGAGAGCCCAGAAGTCCAGGACAAGGTTGGCTCTGTATCTACCACCATTAAAACCCGCCTTGCCGCTTTTTTACTTTCTTTTTCGGTCTCTCATCTCTGCGACCAAACATGCCGGCCATCGGCTGAGACATTGTGTGTAACGAATCCGATCTGATAGGTTGGCTCGAAAAGCCACCGGCAGGCTGACTGTACTGACTAGAGAAGCGGATATTCGGTGCCGGTTGGGTTGCGGGTAGACTTGGCTCTTGGTCCTTATGTATCTGGAGAAGTGTTTCGGCTCTCCGTCGCTTTCGATTTTCGCGAGCCAGCTTCTTCGCCCGCTTTTGCATGCCGGGAGTCACCTCGTCATCTAAATGGAGGTCGAACATATAATCATCTGGGTTGCCCCCGACTTCCCACTTATCTAAAAGTGCAGTGCTTTTCGTAGGTACGAATTTGCCGGTTCCCGTATATGACCTTAGAAGTGCCATGGCCGGGTCTTCTTCCGGGGAGTTCTCCGTTTTCGACTCCACTGAACTCGTGGTAGAGAACTCAGATTGTGATCTCGCTACGCTTCCGGCACGGCTTCCTTGCTGGCTATCAATGACCATCTTGTCTAGATCATGCGCAAGGGTTCGCTGAGATTCATTCAAATCTACATGGCGATCTACTTGGCGATCTACTTGGCGATGCACCAACACAAAGAGAGACAGGTAAACATCGCAGGCTATTTGTCGAATTACCGTTGATCGCATCTCTTCGATCCAGTCTTCTCTCCTATCATCGAAATTCGCACCCGCCACTGTGACACCGAGCGCGGAATGCAAATCATCAAGTGAGTTCGATAACTTGAAAATCGGGATATGTAGCCGATCGAGTGCCAATAGCACCACGTTTAGTTTGATGCGCCTCAGTCGTTCTATTTCGAGCCTCCAGTCGGAAGCTGCGAGACTCATATCAATAGGCAATTTCAAGTCCTCTATCATCTGGAAACTTCAGAAAAGGTCAGTTTTGAAGAAATTAAGAGGCATAGATGGTTTAGCTCACATGGTAGTAGCGGGCATATTTCCAGCTTCGATGACTCGCTCAATAGCAATATGAACATCGTCGAATAGATTGTAACTAAATTCTTCGTCTCCAACAGATAATTCTTGATGTTCTCTGACCTCATTGAACATTGTACGGAGGAATTCGTAGAGTACTCCAAAAGGTCTTCGTGTCACTGTCCACCTAGAAATGCGTGGGGTAATGGCTGAGTGATATTCGCCTTCATCGCCATACATAGCGACGTCGTCCGGGACCACGAAGCGTGCGGAAATCTCTCTTAATGCCCTTTTTCTCTCCTTGGACAGGTCTCTTGTTCGAGTCACCTTGTAGTCCGGACAACTTATCCGGTCAATGGACAACGAAAGGGTAGACACGCAAAGCGAAGAGACGACACACATGTCTTTTCTCAGGACAGCAAGCTGGTATAATTGTATCTGCCGCATGGAAAAACTACGTGCGAACTCAGTTGTCATTTTTGAAGGCTTTAAAGCAACCGGTATAGGATGAACGCATATCGTCAGGGGCGCTATCTCTGGGGACGCATGCTGGAAAGCATCCAGTACGACGGTTTCGCTATGATATTTAACCATCGAAGGATTGCTTTTCATCATAGCAACACAGAAAAGGTCGAGCCGAGCATTACTACTCGAAGAGATGTAGATCAAGGAGGTGTTTCGCTCAGGTAATGCAGCTCCTGAAGCAACCGTAAGTTTCAAACTCCTGTCAAAACTATCTCTCAGGTGAGATACCGCTAGAACGATATTCCAATGTTTCTGGATCTTCCCCCAATCCTGCCCTGGAGCCGAATACACTCTAACCACAAATAATTTCGACGTGGTTAGGACAAAGACATATTGGGTGTCTCGTGGATTTTGACCGACATCCAGAACGCAATCTCGACTTCTTTCCGCAATAAAAGGCAAGTCGGGTAAAGCCGAATTTTTCGTCAGGTCAAGCAGCCTAACGAGCTTCTTGTTACACAAAAGCAATGTTGATGATCGTACAAGCTGTGGAAATGAGCTCTGCGTTTCGGGATCTTCCGTGTCCTCCTCCAAGCCAAATTCTTGAGAGTCTTCTGATAGGCTACCAACCCAGAGTATTTTGTGACATTGTGGTTCTCCGGTGCCTTTCGGCGGGAGACGATCCAAAACACCCTGCTCAATATGCCCGCACTTGTTTAAGCGAACCTTCGGCTTTTTAGACGATCTGGATTTGGTATGAGCAATGTCCCAAATACTCCAAAATCCACATTCGTCGATGAGCCCAAGTTGGGGCGGCTTTGACCTTACACCGGGGTTAAACGAAGCATCTGAATGTAGACTCCCTCCGGTTTGGTCCCTTGAAAAAAAAAACAACGGATTCGCTACAATACGGGAGGTTTTCCCTCCACGATCGTACGCGGAAATCGTCGGGGATAATCGATATTCTGGCTGGAATACCCGGGTGCCGGTGTCTCTTTGGACAACTATCCAGCGCGTCGGATCGTACCTCTTCGAGTCGACCACACTTTTCAGACGGCGGATAGGCCCCGCAAACTCCTCTTTATAGAGAACCACATCGTCTTGCTCTGTCATGTCCCCGAACCCTAGAGAGACGTTCTCTTCGCCATGCCACTGCCATTCCTCTATACCCGGCTTTGCTAGACGAAGGACGTCATTTACTTCGCCTGTAACAATTGCTACTAGTGGAGCACCAGAGACTGACTGCGGCTCACTAGTGTCGGTTAATTCCCCAATTGCGAAAAGCGATGAGCTCCACGGTCCATTGTCGTGACTTTGCGACGACGAATGTGAGGACATTAGTTCATCATGAATACATTCATTACCTAGGCGAGCCTCAGGATTTGCTTTCAAAAGCCATTTTTGTTGTTTCTTGCTCGTATTCCAGCCAGTGTCTGATGAACCTGGAGATTGCAAACCAGTAGTTGGCCGCCATGTTTTATGAAGGCCAAGCTCCTTGAACACAGGGGCTTCGCACTACATTAGCGGACATAGAATAAATTGAGATTACAGCTACATACTTCTTTGGGTGAAGTTCCTAGTGGATTGCCATCCGCAATCCTCCGCCTTGGTTAACCCGTAAGGTAAATGTGAAAGGCGTCCTGCGAGTCCGATAGTTGATTCGGTGATTTGACGGTCAGTCATTCGGAGAGCACGGCTCAATAAATCTCGTTTCGAATGCTAACCGTCGTTGACCGTACATAGCGATGGCTTAAAGAGCCAAATTGCGCGATCTAAAATCAAGTATCGGATTATGCGACTAACGTCGGTTGAAGAAGATATTCAATATGATAGTTGACTCAAGAATCGATTTGGAAGAGTTAAAAAACAAGAAAAATCGCAAGGACCAAGTTGCTAACTTGGGACATAATTGGACCTTTAAGGATGGCCCTGCACCTTATCTTATCGTGCAAAACGCCCTGTGACTTCCGACTCTATCGTCTTCGTGTTATGTATAGTATACAAATATGATAGCGCAGGAAGTATTTAGAGTGGGCCCGTACCCACAAGGCTAAAGGAGCTCGGCAACCAAAATAAACATTTACACGAATTAGGTTGGGGATTTGTACTCTCCACTAATCAATCACAAGCCTAAAGTTGTCGCAACACCATAGAATCGATTTATCACCACCTACCGAAAGATATTACAGCCACATACTGTTGAACCGAATAATCAAGCGATCCATAATGGCGTCCGCATTTGAACCTTCCCTGTCTTCAAGCCTTAGTGGCCGACAGACGCTCTCAGCGGCGGCCCCATCTATGGCGGATTCGCTGCCCAGCATCAACTTCGGCTTCGACGAGCTGCGCGACCGCATGGCCAAGTTCAGCGCAAAGTTCGACGCCTTCATCGAGCAGGGGCGCAAGCGCGTCCTAGAGGAGCGGAACCAGTTCAGGATGAACATCGCCGAGTTACAAGGTACATCCTACCTCTCCACCTCCTACTTCTACTTCTACTTTGGGTGATGAGAGAAGAGAGCATAGGACAAGGCTAACGATGCATTCACGAAAACAGAGGACGAGCGCATGAAGAAGAAGGATATAGAGATCCTGCAGCACAAGACGAACACGCACCAGCAGATGATCTCGAAAGAAGCGGCCGAGACGCAAGAAATGCAGGCGGCGATCGCCTCGCTCAGCGCGCAGCGCGACAAGAACAAGGCGGCGCGCGACGCGCTGAAGCAGCAGATCGCCGAGACGCAGAAGGAGATCGACGCGCGGCTCGCGGCGCAGCGCGCGCACGCGCAGTACGTCGAGTCGCAGAGCCGGTTCAACGTGCCCGAGCTGGACTTCTGGATGCAGAACCTGTGCCTGAAGATCGAGGGCGCGGGGCAGACGGACCGGCTGAAGTTCGTGTACACGCACATCGACGAGAAGAACTGGGAGCGCGAGGCTTGGTTCGAGCTCAGCACGAGCTCGAGAGACTACGACGTCAGGCATTGCAGGCCCAAGATCGAGAAGGAGAAGATTGAGAAGGTGCTGGAGAGGACGAATGAGACGAGGGATTTGGCGGTGCTGTTGAAGGGCATGAGGGAGTTGTTTGTGGAGGCTATGAAGGCGTAAATGAAGGGGCGTGAGGTGTAAGTGTGAGGAGACGTCGTGATGTGATATGATGAACAAGATAGGGGGGAGAAGGTGTTTGGTATAGGCGTTCGGAGTTTGGGTTGGCTGCTTGATCAGTTGTGGCTAATTGAATTGGAATATGCCTAAGACAGCAGTTTCCTCCTTTTCTATTAAGCAGTGCTTATCTGATAGACCTCTCGAAATATCAATAATCGTGTGCTGTTAGAAACATGTCCGTTAAAGTCATATACTCCTTCGCCTTGAAAACAGTTGCGACCAGCTGTGCTAAGTCACCACCCAGTCACCGCTAATTTTCAACCCCGCGATCCCCACGCGCCTCCCTTCACTTACAACTTTCGTCTTCGCGTAGATATATCGTTGACACAACCTCGATATCTCAATTTCTTGCTAGACGTCTACCTGACTCTAATCAAATAGAGAACATTAGCTCGTCATCATGCCGCCAGCCGCTAGAGACGACACCGATAAGCAACAGGCCGCACAGCAGGCTGTTGACATTCTACATGAGATATCCACCATTCTCGTAAGTCTCGGGCCTCTCATCCACGTAGCCCAATTCACAAGTCTGATAAGATTACAACGGAGGCTAATGATTATTCATGCTAGAATTGTCATCTCGATCGTCGCACGCTGTCAATCTGCATCTCCATGATCGAGAATGGCGTAAACCCGGAGGCACTCGCGGTATGTCCGAGTTTCCACCACCGGGGTCTTAAGCTAACTTCCGCATAGAACGTTGTCCAATTTCTGCGTAAGGAAGCACAAAAGGTCGAGTTCGCGCAGGAAACCGGTCGATGAAATATAGTCTGTTATCATGCATAGCCCGTCGAGGCACGGCGTCTGGAGTTCTAGCCCAGCTCATCAAGTAGCCTAGTCACATTGATGGGGAATACAAGGCTACAACAAGCCGTAAAGGTATTTTATATAATACGGAGTAATGCTATGCTTTTAATTGTTTGTATGCAAAGTATACAAATTCGTCAACTCTCTCCCAGACTTCGTAGGCGCCGGAGTGTCGTGACAGGATACCCCTCTATAACCCATATGCCAATTTCATGTCAACCGCTCTGTGCTGCGTTACCAACCATTTGCCTGAATCCAACTGGTATTCCTTGCTATGCCCTCAATGCTGTACCCGAACGCCATCTCTATATCGATCATAAACCAGCCCACCCCGGTCCTGTTTCATTGCGCTCAGCGATGGCCAAGCAGCTCGAAATCATCTACGTCGTCATCATCTCCTTCCTCTTCATCTTCCTCCTCCGAGGACGACAGAGACTCGTCGTCCGAGACCTCCGCGTCGTCATCTTCGTCGTCATTGGACGCAATGCTGCGAGGAACCCTACTCCAAAACCCCAACAGATCTTCCCTATCTTCATCTTCAGTCTCCATGATAGAGTAGCCAGCTGGGGGGTTCCACGCGAGCAAGTGGGCAGGTGGCGAAACCGAACGTGCGAGCCTATCAGAGAAATCTGATCCCATGATAGGCTGCTGAATAGTCGACCGCGCGACATTAGATGAGTGACGCCTTCTAACATCACGAGCACGGGTCCCGTCGCTCGTTTCAGCTGTACCCGGACCTCGTGTGGCTGATAGTTCAGCAACCTGTGCTGCTCGCCCTATCAAGTCGGTTTCGAGCGCTTCGTCTGCCATGCCTAGTATTTGAAGCTGTGCAGTATTATATGATGAGCAAACGCCGCATTTCAGCCCCAACCAATGGTACTTAACCGAACTCTTGGCTGAACAATCGTTACATAAGACCAACGCTCGAGTGTCCTGAAATTCAGGTGGCATAGGTTGCGTCTGGATAGCCATATCAAGGTTCCGAAATTGTAGTTCCATATTCGCAAGACTCTTATTGCAAATTGGGCATTTATAAGCTACTTTCATATGTTGGTCGAGACACTGTCGGTGGATGCTGTGTCCACACTTCATGAAGCACACAGCTTTGGGTGACGTGAACATATAATCGCCACATATTGGACAGTCGCAATCGGTAGACCTTTCAATGCACTTGTGGTCTTTCTCCTGGCCGATAGCGATACATGCGCAGCATTTCTATCATAGTTAGTTAATAGACATAGTCTGAGATCAAAAAATATCATCACACCTTGCAATGGAAGAAATCTTTGCCAATCCCTCTTCCAATTCTGCAGATGCCACAGTCGTTACAGTGGTAAACTGGCTTGTCAGGGTCGTCATTCCATAACTTGCATATGCTGCAATAATACCGTGCCGCCGACGCACCACAGGATACGCATGCATCACCCGCTCTCTGGGCAGTCCCGCAGAACATGCATAACATGTTCTTGGTATCCTTTCTGATCAAGTCGTGATCCTCCACTTTATCGTGGCAGAATCGGCACGTGTACCATCGATTGCACGTAGAGCATTGCAACTTGACGTTTCGTCTATAATGTTCGCAGCCGAAGGGATGATAATCCAGGTCTTCGAGGTCCTCCGCATCTTCGGCATCTTCTGCTAGGTCCCTCGGCGGCGCAAACGTGGGCTGCAGATCCTGAGGGGTCAGTTCGAATTCTTCGTGGGGTTCGGTCTCGTCCAAGATATTCTGCCAAAACTTGAAAGATTCTAGAGGACCGATAGAGCGCGGCTGTTCTGAATATATAGGGCTGGACGGTGTAAGAGGTCGGTCTATCGGGGCTAATTTCTTCGACTTAGTGTAGTCTTCGGATAATAGCTGGTGCATCTGACGGGCTTTGTCCCCGGCTTCGACGTTTTGTGCTTGGATGGCGAATATACGCCTCCGCAACACACCCATCCCATCGTCCTCGGGCAAGGACTTCCGCCGTACAATTCCCGACGGAGAAATATCGACTGGAGATAATAAACCGTTTACCGCCATGTTCGAGCTGCTTGTGGGCATTGGCATCGATTCATATTGGTTGGCGAGGTTTCGAGTGTCGTTTCGAGTGTCGTTGGTGCGGGTATGTGTATCGGAGTTATTTGAGGCAATTCGACGTATTACATCCTCGGACTGGTCGGCTATGTCACTGCGTGGAATTGGATGAACGGAACTCCGTGAGGAAGGAGACGACGGTACGCTCCCGTCTACCTCATCACCCAAATAGGAATCCTCCTCGGTTTCCGAAATAGCATCGTCTTGACTTTCTTTAGATTCCCTAACCTTCTCAGGGGCCGAAACGGAATCTGAAGTGGGTAAGTTGCCTGATGATCGTGAGAAGCGTCGCGCTTGTCGTATGACCGGGTTGACCAGGAAGTCGGTGACCAGGGACGCCATGGGGAAAAGGAGAGGAGGATTACAATCGGACACTACGTATGAAGTCTGCTCATTGTTAATCCCAACTATATGAAATTATTGCTAGCACGAATAAGTCAAAAAGCCATAGTTAAAATAGACAAGGGAAAAAAAGATGTTGCAAGAGGGATTGATGGGCTTATTTCATTAGTCATGGAGATGTCCCGGTTTCTACGGTCTGGTTGTATGGATTGTATTCGCGTCTGACAGCTAACAATCAATTGGGTTGAATCAAAAGCAGTGACATCAGGTGGATCAAGATCAAGATCCAAATAAACCATCAAATGTTCCTAGTACAATCAATTCCGTACCCCGCCTAGCGCCCTCCTAACGCAACTTAATTACTTATTGAATTGGTATATCAGCGTAACCGACAGCCTCAGCTAAGCCTGTCAAGTACAAAGCCGCTACAAGATGAAGCACTAGAGTTGCGTTAGTGCGGATAGGCTAGCCTCGGGAGCATCGCGGCTGATAGGACGAGTTCAATATCGTACACCCTCTTTTTTTATTTGAACTTTTTTGTTTTTCATGACCACCGTGGGATGATATATAGAGGGGACTATCAAAGCCACATTCGTATTCGACCAATAGAGCTACAAGAGCTTCTATTATATGCATTGTGTGGCTTCCACCTTTCCGGAGTCTATTCAAATCAGAAGAGCTAGTGGATAATATTGACCACGCCACCACGAAGAGACTCGGAACTTGAAATATCCAAGAACACGGCCAACATAGCTCCAGGGTCGCAATAATGACCGACATCGAAGTTGTTCATGCCTACCGGCATCTATGGCGTGGGATACTACACGCTGTTCAGTTCTCATCACCCGCTCGATATATAGCTCGGGACCGGTTAAGGAAAGCCTTCCGTGAAGAATCCAAGATCGATATGCGAAGCGTAAATAGAACACTGCGCTTCCTAGAAGCAGCTGCTAGGATGCGCGGGTTAGAGCACAACATCCTCAAAAATATTTTGCTGACGGGTTATTATCGAGATTATAATACTCGGGCACCTTGGAAAATATACGAACAGGCACTGGACCGCCCCAAGTAAGTCTGGCCGTCAAAACTCACTATATTGATAATTAATAAGCCCTTAGGAAAGAAAAGGGACTAGAGGGACAACTTCGAGATACGGCCTACAGACATTATGATATGACTATTGCGATGCTTAACAAATCTATGGGTTTGTGCTTGCGATAGAGCAGCCGAATGCTAGGAAACCACCCATTTGCCGACTTCATTACGTGGCTCTTCAAATATCGAGGTTCCCGTAGATCCAGCTTTATCATATATCTCCAACCTTCCCCGCGAATAATTTCGTTCTAGGAATTGATTCGATTGGCTCTCTGCTGAGTGTTTGGCTGACGTCGACCTGTCACTTACACACCTATCTCTATATGAACGCCTGGTCTCCGCGCCAATCCAGAGCCATAACTGTGTCGCATTGGATAGACACCCCTCACGTCGAATCTCCAGACTCTATCAAAACTTGGACCTCAATTAATTCAACCTCAAGGGTCGATGGGTTACATGCAGAAGCTTAAGTGCTCCGAATTTAAGCAGGGCATGAGTAAGGCCATCGCCAAAGGACATGAGAGGGAACAAGCAGACAAAGATTTCAGCTTCAAGACAATGGCTTTCTAGGTTTGGAGTAGTTGGCCTAGGGCGACGGAAGGATTAGGGTCGTTAAATCCATCATCCTTGTGGAGGACATGGAAGCTGAATGTTTCGAGGAAGATTTGGCAGGTTCATCACGTTCGTCACGTTCGTCAAGGGATGATCGACTCTCCAACTTTCCCGATACGTCAACCAACCATCTGCCAGCGAGTCGAACCTGCAGATGGCACTCTACCTGGCGAAGAAGGCCAGCTTATCAGGGTAAAGGAACAATCTGGGTGGTAGTGACCGATCTACTACATATCTAGCACATTACGAATAGGACAAAGAAAAGCACCGATGATACATAGGACGTCAAAGGAACGGGTGCGTCCGCCTTACCTGATACTCAGTTTTCGACGAAACGGATTGCTTGGCTGTTTGTCTTTAACTGAGTATTCAATTGTCTGATGTATGTGGATGTGTATTTGGATGTGTATTTGGATGTGTATTTGGATATTTGGGGCAGTCCGTCCGTATATGCAAATCTTGAAGTTTTCAAATATGGATGTGTCTATGTATTCGTCAATATCTTAGACATTACAGCTATACAGGCTAGTGTAGCAATGACGCCACGAAATGGAATGAAAAGCATCTTTCGACGCGACCATTTGATATGTATACCTATTTGCCCCGCCCCAGGCACTCTTAGGGTTGGACAGATTCAGAGTCTAGACTGTGTGGCAAGTTGTAACAGACATCACCTCTTCTCCCCGAAGACATGGGATGAAGTTCATGCATTCCAGTATCCCATATAGGGTATTCGTGGTAATTATCGAGACTGTACACGTACATATTATATACTTATATGTAGGCGACACATGATCTTTGGAGCAGTTTGGAGCAGTTTAGAGTAAGTTAAGTGATACAGCGTACAATGCAATGATCAGTACTATGTGGAAGTGACGATCGAATGAGATTGTGGAGTTTGAATACATCCATACCTAAGTACCTAAGTATATAAATACATCAACGCCAGTATTGTGTGTACATCCCCAGCTGTGCAACCTCCCTAATCAAGGGCATGTTACGGGCTGCTCTGGGCTGCTTTGATCATCTAGAACCACTATTTCTAGCCGGTGACTTCAACAACGGTCCATTCTCAGTCCACTTATCCCCATCTACTCCATTTCCCCTCCTCTAGCCGTCTTTTACCTGGAAGTACCCGGGGTACGTATCCAGATTGTATCCATATGATACCCATATTTCCTTGTATTTCATGAATTTCATGTACATATTTCTTCCGTAGCGTCTCCCACCTCTCCCCATTGCGGGCTCATCGTCCAACCGTTCGAGGTCATTGTTTCTTCTTGCAGTTCTTGCCAGTGATTGTACGACCGGTTGCACCAGTTAACTTTCCCTGTACGTACTACGTACTCCCGTATTTCCCTACTACCTACACTAAGTGCCTGTAACCCTGGAACCCTGCCCGCCCGAACAACCTTGCAACCTTGCAAGCCTTTAGAGTTCCTTTTCTATCGAAAGTCGCCCAGCTTCGATCCCATCCACCACACCACAATCCCAAATCCCAACCCACCACACAAACTTCCCAACTACGTAACTCCCTAGGGTCCAATGTCATTCTTTGTATGCGAGAGCAAACCCCGCAGAAAGGCAGACCTTGGAACGAAACTAAGCATCCTCAAGGTCAATTGGTCCTGTTTGCTGTAGACAAGACTGTTTCAACAACCATTAGCCATTTGCTATCTACCAATTTACCGTATAAGCAATATTTTTGCTGTGCGCGGATGAAATACTTCAGTACTCGTCTTTAACAACTACCATCTACGACCAGATCCATCATAGCCTTCGAACCCCGCATCGTATCTCCCTCTTCCAACAAACCCATCGAGTCCTCCTAGTTGCGGGATCTTGATGGCATATCTCTTGTTAGCAGGAGACGCTATTGTATCGCGACCACGCCGATGACTCTGGTCCTCATTACGAGGCCATTGTCTGAAGCTTCCCCCGCAATATAGCTTCTGCTGCTAAACAAGTGAGCCATGCCAGCTGAGTCCAATTTTCAAGATGTCACCAGCTCCACGATCCGGACTCGGACCATGCCTCAGCTCAGCGGCGGAAGTGAGAAGCCACGAAGGTGGATAAAGCGTTACCGAACCGAGACGGCCGCTAGCACGGCCAGTGTTATGTCGACCGTCACTGCTTTCCCTCTCGATAGTGTCAAGACTCGCATGCAAACGTATCCTTATGCGGGTGCCTTGGATTGCGTGCGAGTCACCTACAAATCGGAGGGCATTCGAGGCTTCTTTCGAGGTACGTGACTTTAAATATGCGGCGTACAAGCAAAATGTTCCAAGGCCCCTCAGAGACAACATAGATAGCTAACGCCACCATGCTGCTTATGTAGGTGTAACTGCTCCCCTAGCTAGTGTCACACTTGTACGAACTATTTCCTTCTCGGTCTACCAACGCTCTAAATACGTTTATTCCGACTGGATGAAACAACATTTCGGCTTCTGCCCACTTGAACATGTTAATAAGAACGGCGCATACCCGAATCTAGGCACTATTGCCTGCTTCGGTGCTGCCGGAGCCACCGCCGGCTCTGGCATTACTTTTATTGCTTGTGAGAAACCATACGACTTCAGGCCGCAGAGAAATATGAGCTGGAATTAACGAGTATGAATTATAGGTCCTTTTGAGTTGACAAAACTAAGCGCACAAGTATCTGTGCTCATGGCGAACCAAAAGAACGCGGATCCTCAGAAGCAAGCTATTGCTCTCAGCTACCACAATAAAGGAACTTTTAAAACTCTTGCGAACATAGTCAAGCATAGAGGCTTCTCCGGGATGTATACCGGATTAAACTTGCATTTGTGTAAGACGGCCCCCAACGAGATTGTCATACAGATTAGCTAATATGACTGTAGTAAGAGATACCCTCGGAACGGGTATTTACTTTGCAACGTATGAGAGCAGCAAACAGCTGTTAACGACATTTAGTGGGAAGGATGCCCACAAGAATCCCGTCGCCGTACTTGCTGCCGGAGCTCTCTGCGGCATAGTCTCGTGGGCCTTGATATGTCGGTACCCTTCTCACTGGTTGTAATAGTTGCAAGCTGACTCCTTAGTTAGATCCCATCGATTCCGTTAAAAGTATCTACCAACGAAACGCATTGATGTATTCCAAAGGCCAGAAGGTCCCAGTCCCTAAAATCCAATTCTTCAGGCGAGACATGTATCGCGGGCTCGGCGTGTCCATGGGACGCTCCGCAGCCGTCAACGCGGTGTTCTTTTCGGCATTTGAATTGATTAAGAAACGAATCAACGCCATGAAGGAAGAAGATTAGGCTCGCACTCCACTCCAGGTACCTGTGGCAGCGTGTCGGATAACAATTGTACAATCTTTCGGTGCGATATGAAGCATTCGATGGGGCGTTTGGTATGGGTTATGGACAAGCTGGATTGGTACGGTAACCTCAAAAGGGGTAGGCCGGTAACATGTTTGGCAAGAACAAATCTCGTAACCCGTTTTAGGAACTACGACAGAAACAACTTATGATACGGATCAGCAGGGGCGCACAAAATAACTCTACTAGGCGTAGGCCAATAAATGCACGTTATTCATGCCACGGCAGAAACTAAAATGATCCTCTGACCATATATTCCGCCGAGACGTTCATCCTAGGAACGTCTTACAGCTTAGTTTAATTGTATGAGGCGGCATGATTAACCTGCTTCATAATCTCGTATTACCCTTAAGTCTATCCCCTCGTAAAACAGATGTGTATTTTCTCTCGGAGAACCTGCCTAAACGCCATACCTCGAAAGATGCAACATTCCCTACTTTGACCCGAGCGTAGGTATCATTCGTCAACGCATGTTACCATCCACGGTCATCATACAAGCCTAGTCCGAAATCGAAAGAGAAAAACTGAAAAGCGAAAGCCCCTCGGAAGCAATTTCCATCCCTCAAATACCGGGCGCCGGCGCGGGAAAAACGTAGACGAAAAGGAAGTTTAGTCGCTTCGCAGCATGCTCTCGACGAGGTCGCCAAGGGGACCCCAGAAGTCCTTGCCGGTGGCGAGGTTGTGCTCGTCGATGAAGAGGACGTACTGCTTGAAGGAGGTGTTGAGGTGGGGCTCGAGGCCGAGCTCGCGGATGACGGGGTAGTGGTGGCAGTAGATGTGGGCGTAGACGCGGTACATGCGCTTGAAGATCTGGCGGACGAGGGCGGGGAAGGACTTGGGGAAGGGGACGCCGATGCGCGAGGGCAGGACGGACTCGTTGTCGATGGACGCCTGCACCCAGGACATGAGCTGCTCGATGTAGGCGGGCGCGGCCATCTTGGTCGGGCGCTTGTAGGCGTCGCCGTCCTGCCACAGGTACTCGAACTCGTCGGTCGCCTTCATCTCGGGGCAGGATGCGGGGGAGCAGAACTCGGTGATGGCGCCGTACAGCAGGTTGATCTGGTTGTAGAAGTCCACCATGTTCACCGCCAGCCACTCGTTCTCGTCCTCGCCCTCCGGCAGCTTGACTACCTTGCGCAGCGACCCGCCGCCGAGCGTTGCCTCGGCGTATTGGCGGAGCTGGTAGCTTGTGTTGCCCCCCTTGCCTGGGCGCGAGCGGAATTGGTTGCGTGCGCGCTGGTTACTGTGGGGGGTGGAAGGGGAGATTATGTTAGCAAGGAGAGGCGGAAGAGGGCAGGTGAGGCGGCATCGGGGGAGATGTGTAGTTGGGGATAGGAATCGGAATTAGGAGGGGCAGCTTAGCTTACACGGTCGTCACGAAGGAAGTCATTTTGTTACCGAACTTTCGCAAGGGGCCGACGCCTTCCGCGGAGGATCCAGTTGACTGCGACATGATGTCTTGTTAGCGGGGCATATCCCGTTGCGTTGCGTTGCTTTGTTGCGTTGCGAGGATTGGGTAAACAACAAGTTTGTTGAACTTTGGATGGATGGTAGTTCTGGCAATTGATGTTACTTACCTAGCTAAAATGCAAATATTAAAAGATGTTGCTGTTCGAGCGACGTTGTAGCGCGACGTGGTACAGTGAGCAATACGGTGAAAGGCAAACGGCGGGTTACCAAGGTGATATTTGTTGCAAAAAAGCTATGACTATGACAAAAGTGACGATGGCGGTTGATAAGTGAATTGGGATGTTTTCCTTGGTTGCTATGCTAGGTATGCACGGGCCAAGGAATGCCGGAGCGGACGTGGGGCCGCCTCCACATTGATCTGAAGCAGGGGCGCCCTGCCCATTAGGTATCCGGACTCTTGGGCAGGCACTCTCCTTTCTCTGTTGAGTTTGATTTCTGGCAACTTGAACCAATCTTGTAACTTTAAGGAGTTCTTAACTCAATTGTTCCTCTCTGTGAGAGAAAAGACGTTATCTTCAGTTTATAAGTATGAAACTCGTCATTCAAGCACTGTTCTATCACGTTAAACGGAATGTCTCAACTAAAACTACTAAAATTCCTAATCTCGATAGATTATTTGGAATTTTAGATACTGGTGAGAGTTATGAGAGCTCCATCATATTAACCCGACTCTTAGACTTTGACTCCATTCTCCAACATTTCGAACCCCCAAAGAGCTTCGAACTAGTTTTTCTTTTCAAATTATTCCATGTCCGTATAATGTCGTCGGGTTATCAACTCCCCGAACAACTACGAAGACCAGTCATCCCCCGCAAATAAGAGTCCCTAGCGCTTCTCCAGGTTTGGGGAATCCGGGTAATTGGAATCTCCACTAAGGGTTGCAGTAGAACTTCGATCAGGGTATAGTGCTTTTTTCTACAATTAGCAAAGCTGATAGGACGGTGAGTAAGTATATAGTTAGACGTTTCTCTTCCAATTTACATAATCTCACGAACATGTATCCCATGAGTCTGTGATGTTGCTACTATCCTTCAGCTTCCTACTGGTAGCCCTTCAGGGGGCCCAGGCTACTCCCAGAAGCGATAGACGACAAGTCGTTCGGTCGTTTAACCCCCATCGTAATGCTAGCTCTCAGACCACGCCATTGCAAGTTGGCAATGGTAACTTTGCATTTGGAGTAGATGTCACTGGTCTCCAAACCTTTAGCCCCTTTGCTACCATGTCGACTTGGGGTTGGCATAACTTCAGTCTCCCAACTACGGTTGGCCAGACATCCGTAAATGGTCAGTCATGGCCCTTCATCTCAGAACACATACCTAATATGCTTTAGATTTCACCGGTTTGGACTGGTGGACGCATGGTCGGTTGGTTAACTACGACCAGCCTAACCCGGCAGAAAATGATATTTCCAACTGGTTGATTCAAAATCCTCAACGAGTGAACTTGGGAACCATAGGGATATGGTTTAACGGCGATGATGTAACTGAAGAAGCGTTGGAGAATAAATCCCAGACGCTTGATCTTTGGACTGGCAAAATTTCGTCTTCTTTTACTTACAAAGAGACTCCCGTCAAGGTTGAGACTTGGGTAGACTCGAGCTCTGACACAGTCGGTATTGCCATAGAGTCTGAGCTCTTCTCTGGAGGGTCCCTTGGCGTCTTCTTTGACTTTCCTTTGCCAACTGTGAACAAGTTTGAGGCTCCTTTTGTTGGTGTCTTCAATGCTACCGACAAGCATAACACAACCCTTCAGAAAAGGGGTAACAGGGCAGATATCCGACATGACATGGATGCTACATCATATTACACCTCTGTTGTTTGGGGTTCCAGCGCCGATATATCAGGTCCGCTTAATGGGACCCATCGTTATATACTACAGCCATCGAGGGGATCTAAGAAGATTGAATTATCGGTTGCTTTCTCTCCGGCTTCAAGCACGCATATCAAATCTTTCAGCGATATTACATTCTCCTCTAAGACGTGGTGGGAATCTTTCTGGGGATCAGGCGCATTTGTTGATTTGTCAGGAGTAAAGTCGCCCGATGCTACAGAGCTTCAACGGAGAACGATTTTATCCCAGTATCTAACGGCTGTGAATTCTGCTTCTTCATATTCACCTCAAGGTAAACAGCCACATTCTATTATTTGAAGTTACTAGGAACATACTGACCGTGATATAGAATCTGGTATGCCGATCTCATTCATTGACCAATATGTAGTGTCTCCACTTGCTAACAATTCAAGGCTTGGTCAATAATGGCTGGTACGGAAAGTTTCATGTAAGTCTTCTAAAGAAGCTTTTTAATATCTACTTATGATCTCTTTAAGAAACGCGGTTGTCTAGCTTTTTATCCTAATTTTCAAACTTAGTTGGAGATGGTCCTGTGGCATCTTCTTCACTTCGCCCGATGGAACCACTTTCCATTATTACAACGAAGCCTTCCGAATATGTATAACCAGTATTTAGACTCGTCAATCGACAGAGCGAAACTTCAGGGATATGGCGGCGCTCGTTGGGGAAAGATGACCGATCCCACTGGACGATCTGCTCCCGGAGAAATAAATTCGCTGCTCATCTGGCAGCAACCCCATCCGATGTACTTCGCAGAACTCGAATACCGGTCTATGCATAACGACGATACTCTAAAATCATGGGATAATGTACTAACGTCAACCGCCGACTTCATGGCCTCCTATGCTTTCTTCAACGAGTCGACTAAACATTACGACCTAGGTCCGCCGATGTACCCGGTCTCCGAGAACACCAACCCTAATGCTACCGTCAACCCGGCTTTCGAGTTAGCATACTGGAGATTCGGGTTAGAAATCGCTATAAAGTGGAAGCAGAGACAGAATCTCACGGCGCCTGAGATGTGGGTAGAAGTACGCGACAACCTAGCCCCGTTGCCAACCGCAGATGGCGCGTTTGCGGTTTACGAAGGCATCCCAAATATGTGGGAAAATATGACAGTTCAAGACCATCCGGCTATGTCCGCAATTTTCGGTCTCCTTCCTCCGCCGAGCAGTGGGTCGCCTATAAATATGACGGTCGTTAGGAATACAGCGAATAAGATCCGGGATCTGTGGGACTTTGAGGATTGCTGGGGTTGGGATTTTCCGATGTTGGCTAGTGAGTACTCTCGAATCAGAATTATGTGACCTGCTGTAGTAATGTGTTGTGCTAATATGTTCTGACTACGATAGTGAACTCATTACGCCTCGGGGATGTCGACCAGGCGGTGGCATACTTACTACACCCCTTATTCGAATTTGATGATGCTGGGTATCCCGTTGGCGGCTCGCAGGTACCGACACCGTATATGCCTGGGTCGAGTGCGTTCTTGTTAGCTATGGCGATGATGGCTGGAGGGTGGGATGGCGAGCCTGGGACGCATTTTCCAGAGGGATGGAATGTCCGAGTTGAAGGGTTTGTGCCTGGGTTGTGATGACCCATACGGCCCAGAGATATGTAAATTCACACTGTACAAATCGATATAGAGAACTACCATTTAGTAAACTTATAGCTCTTAAACGTCGTTGATTATTTATGGTCATAGAATACGGTCAGGGTGTGCCGTCATATGTGATTCAGGTACGGAGGAGAGGTTGGCAGCCATAGAGAGCCTCTGAGAGCGTCTAAATTCTCCATCAGTATATGGAAAAATGTAGACAGAGACCAATGCTTGCTTCAGATGATTCATTTGGTTTTACCTAGGAACTCAGTGGTATTGGTTATGGGTTTGACTTTGATACACCGGTTGAAGGGTGCTGTAGGGCGCAACACAAATGAAGAAGGAAACACAAGGATGTCCCCATGACTATGAGCCATGATCAGGTATGATTCCTCACTAACGTACCATATGAGTTGGTTGAGCTCCCCTAAAGACTTCTTAACGCTAGTTCTAAACACGAATCTAAATTCTTCGCTCTTCTATCTACAATTTGTCTAACGATATGTCTACGACATTGAAAATAATTACTGGATCTAGTATCGAACCTCTTAACTAAGAAATAGCAATTTTAAAAATGGCTAGCAGGGTGGTATATGTCGAACTGCAGCCTATGGTCAAGCCGTATACAATTTACCTCGCTCTCCATCAACGCTACGATGACCCTGTCGGGGAGTTTGTAAGTACCCTATCTAGCACCCCTTTCATGTATATGCTAAGCGATGGAATAGAACTGGTCGATCGTCATGACTTTGGCCTCTGGGTCTTTATGTGTCATCTACCAAGCTAGCAACCTACGTCTAGCACACCTGGCCGATGGCGAATGGCGGCTCGAGGAGAATAGTCCGGGCCAGTGGACTGCGGAAATGTCGCCGAGCCTTCTCTGCATGTTTGAGATCAAGGAGTGTAAGACAGGCGATGTCATGGAAACACACCGAGCTCTGATTTACCGGAAGGGCCAGATTATTATCAGCCACAAGTCGGTATCGTGGATGAGGCCTGGGCAAAGGTTCAACTCCAAGACGTTCGCCCTGGACGTCTTGTCAGAATCTATCGGCGCCGTATCTGGACAGAATTGTACGTAAATTTCCTAATTCTCTTTAACCATGATGTCGTATTTGATGGACACTAACTACTGATTGTGGTGGAACAGCTCTCATCCTTGAGAATCGTGCCACTGCGGCGGCGCTCATATGTCGCCAACAAGCCCTGGCAGCGAACGCGCTTTTGAAGCCTGGTTGGTTCAAGATCTTCAGGTTGGAGACAGTGCACCCGCCAAGCTATCCCTAGTAGGATTATTCACTCGGTATTCATATGACTGGAACATTACTGCACCAGTTAGCAAGTAGCATAGAACTAGGTTAATAGCAAATTAGGTAGTATTCTGATTTAGAGTGACGGCTGTTTTCGCTAAATAGCAACCTGGAGTTGTTAGAAGTAAATGTGTGAGAGACCGAAGCTGACTGCTATAATAGAAAAGCACTATATATGAAGTTACCCATTCCCACTTTCCCTGTTTTAAGTGGTAGCTCACCGTGTAAGGGATAAAGCCCGACTACCCCTATTTTACAGCACCGTCCATGGAGTATGTACTTTAAGTACATATACTATATATAATGAATTGCTCTTATAGGATAGGCTATGTCTAAGTTAGACCTCCTTTGTATGATTTAGAGGGATATGTGCATAGGGTAGTTGAACAGGTATGTATATGTAGTATGTATTAATAGGTTGTCAAGAAACAGGGGCCAACTTATTTCGAGCGTCTCTAACAGCCCTTGCTGACGCCATCGTCCGCTCTTAAATATGAACTTCGGCCTCTAGCACCGACTATTTCCCTACTTTGAGGTCATGTCAATCAGTTCTAGCAATTTTCTGATGCTAGGATCGGAAGTGTTTGATAAGTGTATCGGTCAACCGGCGTAGAAGCGATGTCATGTTATCAGAAATGTATGTGGAATCCTAGTAAGATCGCGGACTTGTTGCTTAAAATAGCATCAGCTGAGGGTCATTTTAAAATTGATAAGGTTAGAGCCTCAACGCCCAAAGATCCCTCCGGGATGGGTTCAATCTTGCCGGTCCACTTAAGTTGGTCGTTTAAGTCTAAGAATGCTGATGATCCCAGCGGATTATTATTCAGTCTTGCTCCACACATATGTACTTCAAAGTGTGCGTCCACCGTCATCATGGATTCTATACTTCTCGTCGTTTTAACTAATCGAGACACTTTTTTCATCCTTTGCTACTGTGAAGATGCTGCCGTTATGGCTTGTCTCTAGCTTCATGCTCCTGACGGCTGCCTCTTCTCTCAACGTTGCTATCCAAGGGGTGTTTAATGAGATCGAATGCCCTCTCGCTCCGACAGACCCTTCGACATATTGGTATGAGTCTATCACGCATAATGGCATATCTCCTTTCATACCCAATGGAACGGATTGGCCAGTCTTTCGAAATGTGAAGACTATGTTCGGCGCTAAGGGCGATGGCATCACTGACGACTCTGATGCTCTTCAGAATGCAATCAACGCTGGGAATAGCTATGCCCAGAGGAATACGAATAGTCTTGGGACAACCGGTCAACCAGCTGTGGTCTATCTTCCGAAAGGCGTGTATGTGTTAGCCAAGCCGATACAGTTCTTTGTTGGGATGATCCTGATGGGAGACCCCATAAACCCGCCGACAATCAAGGCTGCTGGCAACTTCAGCGGCGATTTCATGATCTATGCGAAGGACCCTTCCCAAGATTCGACCACGAATTTCTATGTCGGGATGAAGAACGTATTTATCGATTCGATGGACTACGATAAGGACAAGAATCTCACACTGGTGGATTGGAGCGTTAGCCAAGCATGCCAGCTCGCCAACGTCCGGTTCAACATGCCCTACGAATCCACCGGTCATATAGGTGTTGCAATGCCGGAGGGTGGTTCTGGACTGATTCTGGAAGATTTATATTTTCATGGTGGTGTTGTGGGTATCCAGTTGAGTAACCAGCAATACCACCTCAAAAGTCTCACTTTCGACGGCTGCGGAACTGGTATTTCAGTCCAGCACTTGTTCATGGGCCATTGCCAAGGATGTAACTTCACGCTTTGCGGTATTGGCGTTGATAATTCAAGCCCGACAGACGGTGTCCAGAATCTCGGTACATTCATAATCACGGATTCGACTGCAGACAACACTGGGGTTTTAGTCAACGCGGCGCCTACTAATGGAAGTTTCGCCTCGATCGTGCTCGAAAATGTCCAGGTAGACGAACAGTCGGTCCCATCGACCGTCATGATCAGTGGTGATGCGATCTTGAAGGGCAGTGTCGAGCAGGGAGAGGCTTGGGTTCTGGGTGACGCGTATACATCGAATAAGACAGCCAAGGGAGTATTTCAAAAAGGAACGACCCTTCCTACAACACGGGCTACGCCTCTTGTCGATAGCTCCGGGAGCTTCTACCGCTTAGCCCCACCGACGTATGAGGAATATGGAGTAGAGCAGATCGTCAACGTCAAGGAGGTGCCTTCGTACCCCGTAGCTGGAGACGGCAAGGCGGACGACACCGCAAGCCTACAAGCCATCATTAACAAGTACGCCGGGTGTAAGATACTGTTCTTCCCGTACGGTATCTACCTGGTGACGGATACGTTAGTGTTCCCGCCGGGAAGCCGAGTTTTCGGCGAGGCATGGTCGACCATCTCAGCAACGGGTAGCAGATTCATCAACCCTGGCGCCCCTATACCGATGATCAAGGTTGGCGAATCTCGAGATGTCGGCGTCGCCCAATTTAGCGATATGCTCTTTACCGTCGAGGATATTCTTCCAGGCTGCACGTTATTGGAAGTCAACATGGCCGGCGAGAAACCTGGTGACGTTGGCTTTTGGAATACGCATTTTCGCGTGGGTGGTGCAGCCGACTCGCAGATCCAAGAGAAATGTGGCCCGGGCGTGACGACGGACCCGGCTCAGTGTAAAGCAGCCTTCATGTTGGCCCATTTCACCGCCAGCTCATCAGCTTATGTCGACAATATGTGGGGTGAGTATAGACTCGTAGAATCCTCCCGAATATCCTTAGCTAATGAGTGTATAGGTTGGACTGCCGATCATGATTTAGACGGCATTGACAACCCTTTGACCAACCCGCAGTACATCTCCGTCGGCCGAGGCGTATTGATCGAATCAACGAAGCCATCATGGTTCATTGGCTTCTCCAGCGAGCACAATACCCTCTATGAAGTGAACATCAACGGAGCCGAGAACGTCTTCATCGGCTTCCAACAAAGCGAAACACCTTACTGTAAGTCTGCCCAAGCCTCTTATTTCATCTCGTAATCCCATTCCTAACAAATCAAATAGGGCAGGGAGGTAACTCATCACTTCGTGCCCCCGACCCATGGACTCCTGTGGTGCCGGGCAGCGATCCTGATTTTTCGTGGTGCGCCGCGGGTGATGCTCACTGCCGCATGTCGATCTACCAACGTATCTCTTGCTCCAAGGACTTGAGTCTATATGCGGGTGGCTTTTGGACCTTCTTTAACGCCAACAAGGCGTGTGACGCAGGTGTAAGTTGCCAGAGGGATGCCGTCCGGATAGACAATAGCACAAGTGTATCCTACTTCGGCCTTGGTGTAAACCATGTCGGGAACCTCATCATCCAGGATGACAAGCCGGTTGTTACTAGTGCTGAGAATAAAGGAGGCTGGTTTGCGAACGTTGCTGTCTATTTGGATGATTCTTAAGATTTCGCCTTTGGTTGGTATGGAAATAGCTGTGTCGGACAAGGCCTTTACGATAAACATGTTGAATTGGATCATGATATAAACTAGATATCTATTGATAGACGCTTCGCTGTCGCCGTCGTTTCTAAGCATCGGGTCCTCGATAATTATATCTCGCTAGTCGTAGAATCTTCGTAGACGTCGAGCATAATGCGGTCTTCTAAGTCTGATTAGAAGTCAATGGATATCGATCTTCAAGTACCTAGGTATTTTTTATTCGTGCTTGTCTGGCCACTAATGTTAACATCTCGGCACGCAGCTTCGATTGCTTCTATACGCTAGGGGACCTTCCTAACTGTCAATCCCCATCCATAAGACCGTTGGTCTAGTGGAGGGATTGACGAAGAAGAGACATTTCACAATATTCTGTCCCTCCTGCCATTGCGGATGTATCTATTTCCACACGGCGTATTTCTTCCTTTTCTCTTCAACGTGGCACGATTTGTCTGATCCCAGTTGGTCTCTAGTCTCGTCTTGTCTCCATCTAAAGCAAGATCTCGCCCATATTCTCTCCTTCGAATCCGAGTGTGGCGAGTTTCTTAAGCTTATTCTTTTCCTTGGCCCTCTCCACCGCTCGTCGTTCCTTCGCTAGCTTTTCTACCACGCCAAACTCGGCCTTCTCGAATCCTGGCGGTGGATCATCATCTTTGTCCAGGTCAATCTCCCCAAGCAGAAGCACATTCTCGCCTCGAACTAAGAATATGCCATGGGATTGGTCGGCATAGAGGCCCTTGGGCTGGGTCTCTGCGGGGTCGGACGTCGTGGCATATATGCGCTCGATAGTAGATTGAAGTACTAGGTTTGCTGGGGGAGGCTCAAACATTAGGATCAAAGAGAAGAATGAAATCTTTAGGAGGCGTACCAAACTGGTCCCAGCTTCTTAGGACTCCGGTTAACTTGCGGCCATCTCTTAGGCATACGAGAAGCTTCTCTATAGTCGGCGGTTAACAAGGTAGGGCCTCATAATTCGCTACGCCGGCTGCCTTACTATCGGTGAGATCTAATAATTGCGCAGCAGTTGTGAACATCTGAGGAGGCAGCTGCTGGGGCTGCGGTGGTGCGCCGCGTCCTAAACCCTGGGCCATGGGACCGGCCAATTGGGAGGGGCCTGGCTGCGGCGGTTCGTGAAGGTTCTCCATCATATGTTGGAGTTTTCGTAAATGGTGGTAGAGTCGGCGAATGGTCGATCCATAGAGAAATCGACGGGGGCAGTAGCAAGAGTTTATTGTTTCATGCTACTAGTTACGACGTCCCTGCGGTCTTGAATATGGAGGTAAGCTCGGTCGCCGTTGTCTTTGTTTGCGCGTACTGTCTGCATAAATTCACAGCTTCTTGTCATTGACTTGACTTGGACCCACTCGCTAAAAGAGCCCGGGAGCTTCCAGGTGGGAGAAACATTGATGCGCTAACATGATTATGTAATACGATCCACCAATCATGACAGCATACCCTTTACAAGATTATTCGGGCTGCATTATCTGATTATTACCATCGAACCGGAACAAAAAGAGTCTATGCATTTATATGGGTTGTGTAGCTAAGTCAATGATTGCAATTGGTTCACCACCTACAAGACTTGTATGGAAACCAACTACTGCAGAGGAAATCGATTTCAGTTATATAGATGCATGTATCGCATATACGTTTGTATGCACACCAATTACCTCGGTATTTTGAAGCACTGTATTTATGTAGTCTTTTCAACTGAAGGCTTCAACGTTTTGTTCCTATTATCTCTTTGCACTTCGAGGCTTCCTAACTCAACTCAATCAGCCAGTAAGGTTTGAGGGATTTGTCATCGAAGTATAAATTCAAGATCTGATAAGCAAGAAGCAGCGAAGTGGTTCGCATTCGCGATTCGCTTGGCCGCGCTTCCCGGATCGGGAAAGCTGGGCCTAGGCTGGTCGTGGAAAGACGTGGGTCTCGCTTCACTTTGTAGCCGAGAATCCTTGCTCACGCATGTGACGGTTTTCATGGTTAGCCAAACAATCCCATACATTAGCGGGTCTTGTTCTTTCGGTGCAGCTCTCGTGTTCCCAGATTCCCAGATCTGACGGAAACCCCATGAACTTCCCTCGGCCTGTCTCGGATTGGATAAAAAGCAAAAGAGGTGGCCTTGGTCTGTTCTTACAGTTTTGTTCTTCTTCTCGGATGCCTCTTATTATCTAGCTTTGGAGGAATTGCACTGCAATTGAGGCCTCGCAATAAGTTAGCATAAACAAACATGCCGGGCTCCTCTCGAATACCTGCTAGCTTACGCGAAAGCTTCAACAACGTCAAGAGGCGATCTCGGCCGATTGACCCTCAGCAGATCTTCAACCTAGACTTGTAAGTATCAGATATCTCTCTGCGACGAGGCTACGAGACAGTTCTGTGGTTGTGAAACTTTCATTCATTACCTCTCTGCTGTTCCCTCAAAGTCCAGAAGATCCAATTTGGTGTTACCCTCAAGCTTCTAGAATGTTGGCTGATTATTTATCTCCCCGTGCTTAGATTCCGAAATGTCGTCTTTTTCTTCTTTGTACTACGCATTGTCCGCCGGACGTTCTGGAAACTAAAGGGACGTGGCATCATCGGTACCATTGTAGAGTTATATCGTGATACGCAACGTGTACTATATGGATACTTTCTACGAGCACCGGGGGTTCGGACCCAGGTACGCAAGCAAGTCAACGACTCGTTATCCAAGGTCCAGGCGAAGATAATACCAGCCGATGGGACGAGATACTTAACCCTACCGAAAGAGGGATGGACAGAAGACGCACTGAAGACCGAGCTCGAGACGCTGGCGAACATGGACCATACCAGGTGGGAAGACGGCTATGTATCTGGTGCTGTATACCACGGAGAGGAAGAATTGCTCAAGCTTCAAACTGAGGCTTACGGCAAGTTCACTGTTGCAAACCCGATTCATCCGGACGTCTTCCCTGGCGTGCGAAAGATGGAAGCCGAGGTTGTCGCAATGGTCCTTTCCATGTTCCACGCCCCAGCCAACGCTGCCGGAGTGTGCACCAGCGGCGGTACTGAGAGTATCCTGATGGCATGCTACAGCGCAAGGCAGAAGGCGTACGCAGAGCGTGGCGTAACGGAACCTGAGATGTAAGTTAATCCTCCGTATAGGGTATACTTCTGAATTACTAATCTGGCAATAACAGGATCCTTCCGGAGACGGCCCACACGGCCTTCCGTAAGGCCGGTGATTACTTCAAGATCAAGGTCCACCTTGTTCCTTGCCCCGCCCCCAACTACCAGGTCGACGTCCACCGAGTCTCCCGGCTCATTAACTCCAATACCGTCCTCCTTGTCGGGTCCGCTCCCAACTTCCCCCACGGTATCATCGACGACATCTCGGCCCTTTCCAAGCTGGCTGTTAAGCGTCGCCTGCCGCTGCACGTCGACTGCTGCCTCGGCTCATTCCTAGTTCCCTTCCTCGAAAAGGCTGGCTTCGAGACCGAGCTCTTCGATTTCCGCCTCAAGGGCGTCACCTCCATCTCGTGCGACACACACAAGTACGGGTTCGCGCCCAAGGGCAACTCCACCGTACTCTACCGCACGCAGGAGCTGCGCACGTACCAGTACTTCGTCTCCCCCGATTGGTCTGGCGGCGTCTACGCCTCGCCGGGTATCGCCGGATCCCGGCCCGGCGCCCTCATTGCCGGCTGCTGGACCAGCATGATGCGCGTCGGCGAGGCGGGGTACATCGAGGCCTGCGGCACCATCGTTGGCTGCGCCAAGAAGATCGCCGAGCACGTCACCTCACACCCGGGCCTCAGCGCCGAGCTCGACATCATCGGCCGCCCCCTCGTCTCCGTCGTCGCCTTCACCGCGCGCAACCTCGACATCTACGACATTGCCGACGGCATGAACTCCAAGGGCTGGCACCTCAACGCCCTCCAGAACCCCCCCGCCATCCACATCGCCGTCACCCTCCCCATAACCAAGGTCTGGGAACGCCTCGTCGCGGACCTCGAGGCCGTGGTCGAGGCCGAGAGGGAGAAGGAACGCGTTCGTGCCGTGGAGGGCAAGGGCGTCAAGGGCAAGGCCTCGGGCGATACGGCGACTTTGTACGGTGTTGCTGGAAGCTTGCCGAATAAGGCTGTCGTGGTCGATTTGGCGAGGGGGTTCTTGGATCTGATGTATAAGGCGTAGACGATCGAACATCCGGCAGTCTGGGTCTTAAGTATGGTGGGTAAGGGTAGGTTTGGGTTTTAGGAGGGCGGCATAAGAGAGGGGGTTGGGAATTGTGTCATGATAGGACGGCATCGGGAGGGCTTGCTCGTCACCATTCATGACTTGCAACCGCTGCCCGCTGCGAAAACATAATAGTGTACGTTAAGGAAGGAAGCCTGGAGGAAGGCAGGCCGGTCATTGATTGGGGTTAGTGGGCTGTACATATATAAGAGAGGATTGGCAACATGAAGCGAGGCGAGGCGAGGTGAAGCAAGGGGCATAAACCTCGCGAGTATGCAAGGCAAGTATCACATAATCCCCTAAAAAGGGGGGCGCTTTCTCGTACGAAAGAAAACAACATCGTAAGACGGACGGAGAGCATTTGATAGCGCATGGTAGTACAAACTCTTCAATCAATCAATGGTTAATGCTACCTTTTGCATAGTTATATACACTGGGAGAGATGATGGTTACTCAATGCTTTTTATACACCGTGGGGCCTTCGATGCTTGTGAAGGGCTGACAAAAAAATTCGTTCCGGTATTCTTTCCCCCGTTCTGGTGCCCCTTTCCCTGTTTGTTTCCCGATCCTACGCCGTTTGAAAATGAGAAGGTTTAGAGATTAGACGGAAAGGAGAGCGATGACAAAAAAATGAGACTCGGAACGAAAAAAAGCCGCCGCGCGCCCCGGATCCCGTTTGTTGTGTGGTGTTTTGTTTTTTTTTCTGGTCGTTACACGTGCGCCCCGATCTGACATGATGCCTTCCGTATCTTCGCTTTAGTGACATGATAAGCTGAACGATTCAGCTCGGAGACCCCTGGATTTGGACCGATGTTTCGAGCTGTGTAGAGATATTTAGAGCTCGGTTCCTGCATCGGCAAAGCGTCCACTCTCCTGGCCCATCATGGACTCAGCATCGCCGACCTGCTTACGCTCGGACACCTCGAAGTGCTTGAGCCGCTTCTGCATCATTCTTCTACTCGGCAACGTCAATCCTTGGGATGATCCCCATTCCCTCATGACTGCTGATTGCTATTGTAGGGGCTCCGAAGAGCTCGACAAGCGGTTCAGGTGTAGATAAACGTCTGTTCCGTACCTATATTTTTAGTCAGTCTCTGGTAAATTCAAGTCATCTGAAACTGACTTACCCTTCCATGCTGATTAGCTTCAAGTCGCCGCCAAAGTATCGAGCATAAAGTCTAGAAATTGGTAAACCGTAACCAAAACCGGCCATCGGAGCCTTGAAATCACTCTTATCAAAATCCGGATCTAGATTTGGCGTCCGGTCTACAGTTGTGTACATGTACGTCCATACAAGTGGGATGGCGCTTCGGGGGATTCCGCCACCTTCGTCACTGATCTTGATCGTGATATCTTCTCTCCCTTCGGCGACAATGACCTTGGTTACCGGAAACTCTTGCTTATCCTGCCCATGAGTCTCGACGACAGCTCTTAACGAATTCTTCAAGGTTTCGAAGAGCATGTGCGATAAGTGGCCTGGCACGTACATGAAGTTGAGGTCCGGGTTACACACGAGCTGGATTTTTGGCGCCTCGAAAAGTCCATAATGATCCTCGCAGACAAACCGAGCATTCTCGATGGCCTCTTGTGCTAAATCCCGTACGTTCGTCTTCGTACAGATTATACCGACATAAGTAGGGTCTCGATGGTGGCTTTGATCGGTTAAGGCGATGTGCTGCCCAATAAGCATACGAATGCCTATTCGGGACATGTAGAAACGGTCTAAGAAGGATTGAATATTGTTGTCGATTTGCATCCGTTGCCGCTTTCGCTTGTATTCTAGTATGCCCTGGGCCATTGTGGTAACGACGCCATCGTGTCTTCTCTTGATCTTATGTAATGTTTGCGCGAATTTCGAGTTATATGCCTGCAGCTCTGGTGGCCAATCGCCAGTGTCATCCACCATAGCAAAATACCTTCTTGCGGCCTGGTATTTTTTGCCGTTACCCAAGCCGATTTGTGTGGCTGGCGCCGAGGCATATTGCCCTTCGCGAATACTTGGGTTGGGAGTCGTTTCGGAAAGTAAAGATGCTTTGCCATTGCCGAATTTGCCCGGGTTCAGAAGTCGGTCTTTTACATCTCTTGATAGCTCGGGCCGGCCTAAATTGATAATCTCCTATTTTCACATGTCAGATGACTCATACCTCCGATATGGTGGACGGATCAAAGAGCATACCTCAAACGACTGCGCATACCAATCCTGTACTTTCCTAACTGACGGCATTTCACTAAGTCCATCTGGAAGGTGGGTGAGCTCTTGGACTCGATGCGCAAGTCGAATTGGAAGCTCTTCGGCGAGGAATTGGGAGGCGCGAAAAAGTGTTCCTGGACGACGGGAGTGAGTCACTTATGGCAGCCGGAATTTAGAAGATAAAATCACAAAGGGAAACGATATCAACATACCTATCGACGGTCGCTCGCCAAATTGGACCATCTGCCTTAAACTCACTCCCGTAGCAGGAAAGTTGGAGTAGTGACGGATAGTATCCATCAACCTCTCGGACGCCTTCCACGACATGTTGAGTGGATTTGTCTGACTCAAAGGAGCTAGATCGCGGGTTTCTGTAGGCCTGAAGATGTTTGTGATCTCAGGGAAAAAGAAAGAATTTCAGGCCATTAGACGCGAATTGGGTTGTTCGGGAATGTGGTGAAGTATGAACAATAGCAGCTTGAATAGCACGAGACCGCACGAGACCGAAGGTCGAAGGGGATCGCCCCGCGGGAATTAGGATGACGCTTGATAGCAGGGACCTAACTGTAGCTAAAGTGCCGAGGCTCTAAAAGGATAAGTGCTTTATATGTACTCAGGTACCCGTGTTCAGCAACGAAGCGCTAGAGGGGTTGAGAGAGAGACAAAAGCAAGAGACTAAGAACGAATATAGCAGCAGCGACAGCGATGATAACAAGAGGTCATTCCTAGGTTTATCAGCATACACCGGAAGATTGATATTGAAAAGTTGAAATCATAAGACAGACTTCTAAAGAAATGGGGTGTTGAAGATTTGGAGAATACGCTAGACAACCCCCCGGTCACTAACTGAGTTTCGAAAGCCGTCATTGGCCGCTGGTTTGTGGGGGCGCGGAGACATGGGAAAGTTGCACAGCTTCGCCAGCTGTTTCCCAGTAAACCTTTACCGAAACGATGCGAGTACAGCCGAGGGGCGCGTTGATTCTCGACGGCTTGGACGGCTTGGACGGCTTTAGAGTGACCGTGACGGGCTGTCAAACTGAAGTCATTTTTAATCCCCCGTTCCCCCACATTCTGTACCAGCTCCGGCTAGCCCGCAGCCCGGCATTTCTAGTGTGTAAGAATTGAAGAGAAGCTTCACGTATGAAAATGCAGGCTTAAGCGCCGCCTTATGTACGGATAGGTACCTAGTTAAGGTTAAGTCACCCATGTAGTAAGGCGGATAAGCACCCCGCGAATCTGGAATCTGGAATCTGGCCCTCTCCAAGATTTCGAGATTGGTTTCAGAGATGCGAGTACATCATATGTTTTATGCCCAGTGGTATGTTGATAAAAAAAATACCTAGGCTTCCTGGCCCCAATCTCACGTCAGTACTGTATATCCCGCAAATAGGGTGAACCTTATCTGAGTCTAAATATCTAGTCAAGTTGCACAGGCAAAAGACTCGGCTCTTGTGTAAATGGATGTGTAATTGATACCTGGCATACCTGGCTACCTGGCATGCATATTTGTACAGCTCTTGCCATCCATTCATGACCCCACAGCAAGCTGGGCAACTGCTGGTGCACGGATATAATCCGCACTCCAATAAAATCGCATACCAATTGGGCATCCCTCCCTTTCTCTCCAAACCATCCTCGTCGACACCATCCAAATTCGGTCAAAGGTCAAGCGGTCTTAATTCAGGTGGATATCGGAGCTACTGTCACGTTGATTTTCAACCCCTTATGACAAACACGGATTCAGATTCGGATGCAGAGCCGGATAGCTCCCCGAACAGGCCGGCGCCGCAAACACCACCAGAGAGCGCCAAGGCGGAGCATAGCCCCCTGTCACCATTACACTATGCTCCGACAACACCACCCCAATCATCACCACCAGCCTCTCCGTCCTTTAGTCTTCACTCCTTAGGCATGTCCCCGTTCTCCCCCATGCGCCGTCAGTTTTCATCTCCACTCGCTAGATCATCCTCGCCTCTACACTCACAAGAGACGGAGCATTCCGACGAAGAGGAACTCGTACAAGATAGCAAAGATGTTCTGGTTCAACGACTGAATGACCTTGCAGCCCAGCTAAGCCGGCAGGATCATATCAAGGGAGACGATGTATATGGTCTCCATGCCAAGGTGGACGAGATGGAGAGAGTCTTATCTACGAAAGACCATCATTCATCGGTTTGGACACCGCGGCGGACACCACGGAGATCCAGACCTACCAGTTTGATTCTTCAGAATAGCAGAAATGAGCACGACCCCTTTTTGGGATTGTCAAAGCTGGGACGGATGATGCCTGGAATTCCAAACATACCGTTGCCTATTCAGAAGTCTTCGTCAACCCAGACGACTGGAAATCCGATGTCGGCAGCAGTGTCAGATCGGATTGCTCGAGAAGCACAGAACCTGTGCAAAGAACTAGAAGACGTCATCTCGAACCTGCGAGCTCGACAAGAAGAGTCGGATGCAAGATCACTCCCATTCACTTACACTATCGTATCCATGCTAATGTACGTGCAGCACATCCACGAATTGCTCATCACACGCGCAGAACGAGCCGCGCAGAGGATCATTCAACTTGAAAAGAGGATCAAAGAACTGTAGGTTAAGCCAAGACGCCCTATCGGAGTGTAACGCGGTGCTAACGGTCTCGGCAAAGCGAAAGGGAACGGAATGAAGGTGAGATGGAAATGCTCAACCTACAGATTCAGCTAAAGGCCATCGAGGTTCAATGTCTAAGCTACGTACCTGAAAACGCCGATCAAGAATTGCGAGAAAGTATTTCTGCATGGAGAACGGAGTGGTCTGCCTTGAAGCGGAAGCGGGCAAAGAGAAAAGCCGGCGCAGGCGAGGATATTGGAGCACAAGGAACTCCGGTCAGACAGCCTAGGAGCTCATCGTCTATAGGCTGAACACTGTACCTGTACATCTATACATCTATTGTCTATATTAAGCATGTGGTGGCTTGTTCGACATGTATTACCTATAGAGGGAAATGACGGTGACGATCGCGGCGGGTTTGCCTAACCGGCACTACTGAATGCCATGGGTACACCGCATGAGAACCTACTGGACAAGGCTCACCGACAAGTTTCAGATAATCTTATGAGCCTGTGAGTTTTGTTATACTCAGGTTGGACTCGGTTGCTGGTTGCGCGGAAGTCGGCATAAGTCGTACAGATGAGCTTACAGCTCTGTTGCGTTGCTCGGTGTGATAAGGCCTTGGCGCATCTTGGGAGCTCTCAGAAATTTATTTGGCATCTACCTAATCATCTACTTCATCTTAGGTCCGAATGCTACGTGCAACACATGATCAAACGCGTCTCCGACTTGATGGTTCAGCGTGGCCACCTACAATGCGCCTAGAAACGAAGATGGCAACCACCGACAAAACCACTTGTTTAAACAGGGCTCCCCCTCTTTGCCTCCAACCGGGCTCTTGATTTTTTGTCTAATAGTCAAGTGACTCGCGCGCTTACTATGCACATAGGGCTATAGGATGGAAGAGTAGTAAGTAACTGTACTGTACTCTTCGTCTAATGAATTTGTCGAAAAAGACTGGTTGAATTGCGTCATAGGGCAGCATTTGAAAGTCTTGGCTTGGCCATTTACGCCCCAGTTTTCAAGCGACCCTGTCCTCCTGTGGAACTTCCTTCCGTCTTTCCCTCACGTCGGGAAAATGAACCCACCTCAGTACGTACAGGTTACAATTACTCACATGAATTAGAGCCAAATCTCATCAAATCTCATAAAATGGGGAGCACCTGCCAGCCGCAAGGCTCCGTGTAACATCAGTGGTAGCAATTACTCTCGGCCGGGTATGGGACAATCAGCCCTATACCAAAATAATCTTCCTTAGCTAATTCTAGACTTAACATGTATTAGAAACACGACTTGTGTACATATTTAAAGAAATTTGAATATGCACGAAGCTTTATCCAGTATAGTCGTATCGACTCGTATCTGTACACCGTATCGGAAGTCTAATGTATCTAGATGGCGGGATGGCAATTCGATTTAGAATACCTTGGCTCCCGTCCAGCTACCGTCCCGTCCGGGGTAGCTTCGAAGGATTCGAATCCATCCCCGTTGATATACTGTAGGTAATCAAGGTCCGTGACAGCTTTCAGCCCACGCTAACGGTCGAAACAGTCATTAGTCGTTGTAGGACTATCGAATCATAACCCTGGACCACGTCACCTTACCCTCATGCTGCCTTTGAGGGTTAGCTCGGTGAAATTGATGAATTGGGATGGCTAACAACCTGGGGTGGCCTGGGGGTGGCCTGAGGACAACCTGGGGCCCCTTGGCAAGAAGACATAGAGCTGACTTCGATTGGTTTGAGTCAGAAATACTATGCTCTAGCGAGCCAGCCTCCAATCCGAGGCCCCTTGTATATTTGAAAAAATTGCTTCGTAGGATGACGTTGTCACATTCCGTGGGGATCCTTCAACGGCGATTCGACCAACGAGGCTCTAAGCATAGCTTTTGTGCTACATAAGATCCTGTCACTCATGTACATTTCACGCGATGATCGACGGGCATTTTTCAAGCACAGCCTGCCGAGCCTTGTAGCTGTCTGGTTCCCAATAAGGGGGGTTATTTCGCGTGGCTCCAAGGGCTCTGTCTGCCTTTCTCAATCGATCGATATAATGGGCCTCCTCCCCCCTATCGAAGATCGGATTTTCGTCCGTTTCTATTTCTCCGCTATTTCTACTCGGTTCGCCTTAACATCATCAATCGAGTAGGGACTCTCGTATCTGAAGCTTAAGTAAGCTGGGAATCAGAAGTACAGGTAGTAAAGCTTCGCAGCCTAGTGATACCTAACCATGACTTCCAACTCAGGAGACCCGCCCAAGGAGGGCGTCTTCGGAGAGAAAAAGGGGTCCGACAACTCAGACGTGTCCCGTGCCGAAGTCGAAAATCGATACAGCAAAGACAATATAGTAGACGAAGATGTGAGACGCCGCCTGGAAGCTTCAGCCAAATTGGAGAACCCCCTTGGTGGTCTCACTCCAGAACAGCTAGCTCAACGCGGTGAGGACTTTTGTGCGAAGCACGGCTTCACCAATAAAGACGACATTCGAGCTTTCCGACTCGGCGCTATGATCGCAGGAAATATGAATAAGTACGATACCGTCGACGGACTTACCGATAATGAGAGATTGGTGCTCGATAGAGAGCTTACTCACAAATGGTCCAACCCGGGCATGCTCTACGCCGTCATCGTCATCTGCTCGCTCTGCGCTGCCGTTCAGGGTATGGATGAGACTGTCGTCAATGGCGCGCAAGGCTTTTATAAGAAAGAGTTCGGCATCGATGATACCAACTCTTCCAGAAGTAAGCAAGCAATGAGAGCATCGTATCCCAATTCCTTGACATTGTACTAATCATAACGTACGACAGATTCATGGCTTCTGGGCCTAGTAAACGGTAAAACCCAGGCCCGCCAGTTGACACTAGAATAACAGCTAACAACTGTCTAGCTGCACCATATATCTGTTGCGCTTTCGCTGGTTGCTGGCTCACCGAGCCAATGAACAAAGCCTTCGGTCGCCGTGGTACCGTCTTCATCTCTTGTATGGTATCGGCTTTGGCGTGCTTCTGGCAAGCCTTCACAAACACTTGGTGGCACATGTTCATTGCCCGTTTCGCTCTCGGGTTCGGTATCGGACCAAAGTCCGCTACAACACGTAAGTCAATGGCCTACCCTGAATTATGAAAAGATCCAGTAATATTGATCCCATATAGCCATCTTCGCTGCTGAGTGCTCCCCGCCAAAACTCAGAGGGGCTTTGGTTATGCAGTGGCAGATGTGGACGGCGTTCGGCATAATGCTTGGCTATGTCATGGACCTCGCTTTCTTTGCTGTACCTGATCTATCTGGCATCATCGGTCTCAACTGGCGTCTGATGATGGGATCCGCGTTGATCCCTGCCGTCATCGTCTGTGCTCTGGTCTACTTCACCCCTGAGGTTTGTGATACCTTTTCTAGATTCTATAAAGTTACTAATAGATGATAGTCACCTCGATGGTATCTAACTAAGAATAGACATTTGGACGCTTATAAGTCCATCTGTAAGCTTCGATACGAAAAGGTTCAAGCCGCTCGTGATCTATTTTACATGGACGTTCTCCTCCAGATCGAAAATGAGACCCTACACCTAAGTCAAAGTAAAATCAAGGAATTCCTCACTATTCGCCGAAATCGCAACGCGATGATCGCATCTGAGGTTGTTATGTTTATGCAACAATTTTGTGGAGTAAACGCCATCGCTTATTACTCAACCCAAATTTTCATCCAGGGCGGATTCTCTACTCAATCAGCCCTCGCAGCGTCTCTAGGCTTCGGTATCGTCAACTTCTTGTTCGCTATTCCCGCCTTCTATACCATCGATACCTTCGGCCGACGTAACCTACTCCTAACTACTTTTCCTGTAAGCCGTTGCCCTCGTACCTGAGCTATGTCACAACAGCTAACGGATTCGTATAGCTGATGTCACTTTTCTTGTTTTTCACTGGCTTCAGCTTCTGGATTCCGGAGGATAGCACTGCTCATGTTGCATGTATTGCACTGGGTATATACTTGTATGGCATGGTATATTCTCCCGGTGAAGGGGTAAGACTTCCATTAACAGCTAGAAGCAAGTTCCAGCACTAACCGTTCCCCTTAGCCCGTTCCGTTCACCTACAGTGCCGAAGCATATCCATTATATATCCGCCCAATCGGTATGTCGCTAGCAACGGCAACGACCTGGCTCTTCAACTCAGTCATTTCCCTTACCTGGCCGGCCTTAACTTTAGCCTGGACTCCCCAAGGTGCATTTTCTTGGTACGCGGCGTGGAACATAGCTGGTTTCTTCCTCGTGCTCTTCTTCGTTCCCGAGACAAAGGAGAAGACTCTGGAAGAACTCGACGCCGTCTTCAGCGTGCCGCTGCGCCGCTTCATGCGGTACGGCCTGTCCCAGTTCTTCTATTTTTGGAACCACTATATCTTCCAACGCAATGTTCCGGCGCCCAAGGTCCCGACTATTGCCGACGACATTGTATACACCGAGCACCAGTTTTCCGAAGAGAAGACCCATGACGCGACAGCTCGCGTTTAGACGTCTCATTCTTATACGACACACAAGTTTCGTTTCGATATTTCTCATTTAATTACCCAGCTTTCATAAGGGCGTGCTGCGCCAGAAGCTTTCTCGGATACTCTTCAAGCATCTAAACAGAAGTTAGGGCCAGACAGGAATTAGGGAGATTGTAATAGTGAAAGTTTACATTTGTTACCTATATTGACGTCCTTCATTTACAACTTTGCGGATACCCCTTTCACTTCCAAAATATTATAGGAAATGGAAATAGTAATATACAAGTACCTAGTGAAGAGCTACTTTAGATAGGATATGTTTACAGAAGCGGAAGAACTTGATATAGTGCAAACCAACCTGTTAGATGTACACCAACAAGCGTTTGTAAGTGCTCCGGCTATTATTTGCATCCACACACAACCCACTCTTTATCTTACGAAGTGTTTAATTAGGCAGACGACCGAACGCAGAGTGAGCCAAGAAGGATAGGAAATACCACCTAGAATATTCTGATTCAATCTCCCATTTTTCCTCCCAAATATTAAATACTAGTAGGTAAGTCGTACTAATACACCGAACGAACGACTTTTAAGCTCACTTTTCTATCCTCGTATACGCCCCCTTTCTTTCAATTAACCCCTTTTCAAATTTCTCCACTTATTCCGCTCTATCTCCTACCCCTTTTCACAATTAAGAAAACTTTATTTTTTTAACCCAGACTCTTCCAACCCGATTCGAAGTAAAGAATATTCTAGGAATTAGAAAAAAGCTATGGAACTAATACCCCGAATGATGCCGATGGTGATGCCCACCAGCAGCCCCCTTACTACTACTCCCCGACCTGTGGTGCTGCGGGGCCGGCGGCTGCGCCTTCAGAACTTCTTCCCACGTCGGGCCTCTATCATCGTCGATCGTCACCACCGCGCTCCGTCGTCGGCGGTGACTGTGGAGCTTCTTCTCCCCCGAGCCCGGCGCGGGCGAAGGCGGCGCCGTAGCCGTCCGTCGGGTTCCCGTGCTGTCCTGCCGCGAATGGTGTTGGTGGCTCGAACCCGCCGCGGAGGATAGGGGTACCAATGCCGTGGAAGTCGAACTCGGCGTCATGACAGGCGTCGCCGCTTTACCACCACCACCACCACCACTACTACTACTACTAACCGCCATGCTAGCGCTCCCCTTCCTAGTAATCTCGTTCCGTTCGTTCTCCCGCGAACCTCCCGCCCCCGCCCCTTCGTTCCTCGAACAAACATACGAATCAGCGCTCCCGCTCACCAGGCTCGCAGCGTACTCCCTGCGATCCGCCGCCGTCGACGTGGACGCCCTCCGGTCCGCGGACGAGGGTAGGTATCCCGCGGGCTTGAACCCGCTGCTACCACTTACACTACCACTACCGCCACTGCAACCGCCGCTCACATCCGGCGCCGAGGCACGGTACGTCCTCAGCGGCGGGCTCTGCGCGCGCCGGTACGTCGGCGTGTTACTTCCACCCGTACTCGTACCCGTACCCGTACCACCCACCACGGGAGTCCCCCCGCTCTGCTTGGGCGTGTACGCCGTGGTGGTGCGGTACGTGCGCGTCGTCGTCGTGGGCGTGATCGTCAGGGACCCCGCCTGCGAGGTCCGCGGCGAGGAGAAGCGGGTCAGCGGGCGGAGGTCGAACGAGTTCTGACGCTGGGGCTGGGGCGGGGGCTGCCGGACCCTAGCTGGGGGCGCGTGGTCGTGGCCGGAGACCTCGAGGTCGTCCGCGTATCGGCTCAGGGGGCGCTCGTGGTAGCTATTCCGGCGACTGGGGTCGCGGTACTTGTTTTGGTTTTGGGTTTGGTAGTCTGGCGTTTCGGCCGCGGGTTGCGTGGGGGCAGCGGTCTCGTCGTCTCCGATGGTTTGGAGCGCCCCCGTCGGCACGTACCTCCCGCGCGCCTTGCTCGTCTCGGCTGTCGGCGAGGAATACGCGTCTTTCCGCGCGGACGTCTGCTCGGTGGGCGCGTAATACCTTATCCCACTACCGCCCCCTGCCGTCGACCCCCATCTTTCGGAGCTGGACGGCGGCGGCGGTGGCATGATTGCTAAGGGGGCAGGCGCTTTTGGTCTGGCCGGCCCCAGCAATCCGAGGTCGTACATCAGGTCGTCCAGCGCGGCCTCTAAGATCTTCCTCGACTTAGGGTCGTGGTGGACGGGGAATTGGCTGCGGAGGAGCTGTCGCGGCAGCCTTTCGAGCTGGCTGTCGCCGGAACCCCCATTCGGGGATTCGGCTACGAGTTGCACGTCCGCCACGACCTTGCCGAGGCGGCGGAACTCCTCGTCGGGGTACGCCAGGATGCAGGTCGTCAGGTATTGGGCGAAACCGACGGGCGTCAGGGCGGGGACGCGCGGCCGCGAATACGAATCGAGCTGTACTAGGTGGTATTGGCAATCTAGGTCGGTGAAGAAGTCTGCGATACGTTCGTACACGTCTCTGGACCTGGAGTTGAAGATATCTGTGGCGATATAATTAGCGACGCTTACAGATCGATCTTCGCATATAGGAAGGATAACAAATATACGATCTGCTGAATCGACGCTTACCGACAAATGTGTAAATTTCCTGGTCAACCCGATATTTCGAATAAAACACACTTAGCTTCTCTGGTGTGATGACGAGGTTACTACTGCCAGGTGCTAGGTCATCGATCTGCAATTACATCTTTTATCAGTTTCAGTACCCCTATTTACTCTCCATTCTTATAGATCACTCACGACGTGCCTAGCTAGTCCTTTGAGAAACTGGCTGCACCGAGGGGTAGCGTAGTCCCTCTCGTCAAACAGAACTCCCCATTCGGCCACCGGCATGGCATTAGCACTCGACCGCCGGGACACGGGAGGACGTTTTGCAAAGGCGCGAGGAAGTCCACGGTCGCTGAAACGCACCGTGGGCTTCGATGTTTCCGTTGGGCTCACTGGTGATATGGGAGACTCGATCCTAGACGAACCGTCGATCGAGGAAGGGGTAGCCGAGCCCGATGTACTCGAGAGCGGATGCCCCTGAGGCTCAGCGGCTGGGTGGTTTTTGCTTGCTTCGATTGGTTGCCGTTAGCTCTTGCATCAAAATGGTAATACATAGCCTTACATTTATCTGTATCTCCATTTTGAGGACCATCTCCAGTCCTTGAGGGGATATTATTCGTGCTGAGTTTTGGCTGGGAGATAGATTCGGGCGTCTTGATACTTAAGTCCCGACGGTCATCCGGCTTAGTCGAGCGGCCATTGGTCCTAATAGGGAACCGACGATGATCGTTTTCTTCGAAGTCGGACTGAGGCTCCTTATCCTCGGAACGTTTAGGGTCCGCCTCACGAGTGCCTAAAGCCTCGCAGCCGCCGAAACGGTCTGTCGTATGGTCAATTTTGTCATACGAGGAAGATCCCTCGGCCATCGTCAACTAGGAACTACCCTACTCTACAGCTTCAAGTCTGAGACCGAGGTCGATTAATTCGGAACCGAGTAGGCAAAATATAAGCCAAAAGGAGAGTGGAGGATCAAAGACACCATACGCATCAGTTTGCCATCCACAACGTCTTCGCCCCATACCTTATGTGCCCGTAATACGGGTGCCCACAGAAAAGGATTCTCGTCCTTGGCAGAAGTCGGGCGACAGAGTAACATCTCGCGTTGGGGTTCATCCCCGCCCTTTAGGTATCGAGGTTCGGAACAGAGCCATACACAGCATTCGGTCGGTGTTACGCTATCGGGAAGAAAATGCTACTTTTGTCTGCCAGAGTCCTTCCATTCTTTAAGCACAGGGTTCACCGAAAATATGAACTGGGGCATAAATTGGGAGATAAAGGATAAAAGTTTCGGGAGGACGTCTACTTGCCAGGGTATTTATAGGTAGGTGGCTTATATTGATCAAAGAAGATCATTGACCATTCTGCCGTCACTAGACAAACAAATTTATCACACCAATGTATGTAGTGGGGATTTGTTACACGATATTATCACAAGCAGAAGGGAAAGCATTAGCATTCTTCATCTACTTATCGTAAGACCTAGCTAGAGAACAGTGTATCGATTCGTTCTGCTGTAGTAAGGGATAAACGAATCATAGACTGTAAGTCCGAATGACAGCAGGATATAGGAGCCCCATCAGGACCGTGCTATGTAGTACCCTAGTACCTCTTACGACCATGGGTGTGGCATATTGGAAAGGAGATAAAAGCGAAATCTCTGGGCTAAAGCATGACGATTTTAGAATTCAACTTCATCATCTGATTCCCAATCCGGATCATGGGTGTTGAAATCCTCTTGCGGGGCCTTGTAGACGCGTTCAGCATAGAAAACCTTGCGAGTGTCCTGAAGTAGCTGTTAGCTCTGTTCAAATGAGGTAGGGGCATCATCGTGGAGCTCCTTACCGGCCTAGCCCACTTGCCCTTCGCTTCTTTCTCCGGGCGGTCAAATACTGTCGGAGCCTTGAACGGCTCGGGTGTTGCAGCAGTCGTCGAATTCTCAGCCGGACGACCACCAGGTACAAAGGGGTCATGATTGTACAGTTGCGGTTTTCCCCCTTCAACAGAGATAGTGTTTCCTTGTAAATCAGATGGGGTAGAAGCAAGGCCAGATGCTGGTCCGCGCATCATCACCAATTCGCCTTTCAGCGAGGTGTGGCCAACGAAGTTCCCAACAGAAGTATCTTGGGGAGGGCCCTAAGATTTCAAAGCTATTAGGGATATTTCCTATAGAGAATTAGGGGTGATCATACCTGGTCTCCAAGCGTAGTACTGCGAGTCTTCGACGTACGAGCATCTTGGATAATCGACATAAAATTCTCAAAATCAGTATCGATGTTTTGCTGTTGGTCTGAAGTAATTCGACTCGACTGGTATGTAGTGGTATGAGCCACAGCAGAACGAACCGCAGTGGTACCAGTCACAGTGCCATGGGCCTCGGTGCGAGAAGCTCGATCATCGGCGACTCCATCCTGAACTGGCGAGGGTTGATGGAGCGTCTCTTGACTGTGTCCATCAACCCCAGGATGAGCACTAGGAGCCTCCTGGCGACCGACATTGGTTGCCCAGAAGGTACAAGACATGCACCACTACAATGCTTATTAATAAAGGACCAGATGCTGACGTGGTATTCAGAGGGGGAAACTCACAGGATTGTCAATGTTGCGTTGGTTCTTACTGAACTTGTCTTTGGGCTTCCAAGCCCCACAAGGACCGTTGCAGTGAATTTCGCGATTCTCCATCTGTCTCTGGTTTTGCTCAACGTGTTCCTTACAAATCAAGCCAACGGTGTTGGGGGTTACGCCGTCCTTGAGCTTCTTCTTCTGCTGCTGCCACTTGGAGATCTGTCTCTGAGAGAAGTGGTCTGCTGTGAGCCACTTGCCGTCCACGGCACATTTGAACCTACAAGATTTTAATGCGACATACTCTAACGCTGCTGGTTGGCTTAAAACTTACGCCGACGGAATTGCCGTGTTGTTGGCAGACATCCTGCTTAGTTGAATCGTGAATGCTCTTTAGGTTGAGCCTAGTTTGGGAAGAAGTTGAACCTAATAATCGTTTAGCCAAGAACAGATTGGGCCTGTAGTTGAAAGAGACGTTGGAGTGATAAGGAGAGTGTAATAAATATTTCACAAACCTCAAATTTCTCAAAGGAAAATGCATCAGATATCTTGCGCCGCGTTAGAAGGAATGGAAAGTCTGGAAGAAATCTTTGAATGTGTGAGTGATAGTTGATGTAGTGAAATTCAAAAGTGAGATGTAAGAATATTGGAGGTTTGATGGTAGGTAAGTTCTGTAGGTTTATGATTGAAAGAAATACCTAATGTGTACCTAGGTAGTTGTAGTGGCACTTTCCCAGTTTCAATAATCACATGGATAGAAGGAAAGAAGGAGGGGGAAGGAAGGAAGGGAAAGGGGGAAGGAATAGAATTACGTCATCACTGTTAGTTGTCTGCTGGTTCTGAGAAAACATAGGACAGGTGTGAGTTGCAGGGATCGATTGTAAATTTATGACCGCTTGGCTGCTTGCTATTCAGGAGTCACGGGGATAGTTACCTTAGTGTTATTTCTATACCTGCAGCACAGTAAAAATTGAGATCAAGTTGGATTAATCTTCAACTGTGCTGTTAGTCCTTTTTGAATTTGAAAAGTTGTCCATTAGGCTAGTCAGTGATTGACAAGTAACTGATTTCATTTAATTCTGAGGATTGAACTTGAGAAGTTGATAATGAGAATGAGAATAAACTTGGAAAGATATTCTAAGATGGCTCTGGTTTCGAAAATACCAGGTACTTACCTAGCTTACGATTGCTAGCTTATCAAACAAAGTTTAATTGAGGTTATTGTGTTTGGATGATTCGGAAGGGGCTCGTTAACCCTTGAGGTAGTTGGCACCCTTGTTCGCCCGTGATATCAGATTATCAGATTCAACTTGGAAAGTTTAGAGTTTGCATATTCGACCACTTTTTATAGTAGAGACATACAAATATTTGGAATAAGATTCCATATGCTCCATAGATTCCAACCTGGGTCATATATTGTATAATTGCAACTGGCCACACCTGTATTGGTTCAATATTCACATCTCAAGCAGTATCGACACCTGATGCTTTTGATGACCGCATGGCGTATCTAAAGCGAGATGAAAATTTTGCATGTTCGGGTAATGATTACTAAATTCGAGTCATTATTTACTTAAATCATGACAGTATAATTCAGAAGTATCTGAATTGCCCATGGTTGAATATTATCATGGGAAAAGGGGTAAGTCTCCCCATTACATAATCAAGGGGTTGATTATGTAATGTCATATTTCAGTTACAAATGGCCGGCAGCTGAAAAAAATGATTTAATTTCAAATTTTCGCATTTGATTCAAAGTTCCCATGCCATCCGATTCTTTGCCACCTATCAATAATCAAGAATTCCAAGTATCCGATCTTTATTAACAACATGACCATACCTTGTCTGTTCGGCCTGCTCGGTGTTGATGTCGCTCTATGCTTTCAATTCCAACACTGAGGTATCTGCCATGCTCCGTGGTCACGTCGATAGTGAAATAACTGCATGATCCCGAATCTGTCTGGTGCACCGGGATTTCCGCAGTAGCTAGCCATTCTTGCCTAGAGAGAATGGACGAATGCAAACCCACACGAGCATGATTCCCCGGACATTCTACCAATTCTGGCTCCCGATCATGATTTTGGTTCTAGAAGCCTACGTAGGCGACGACACGCTATTGAACTTTGGGGTCAACAAATAGTTAAGAATCTTGGTGGATTGGGACAAGGCCATGAAACTAATTTTCCAGCACGGAACCTCATTGATTAACACGTACGCCGCCACTATTATATACAGTAACTAGCATCGCACCTAGTCTTCAGCTGAGCGCAGCTTTCTCCTAGTAGATCTGAATCGTCCGATTAAAGAAAGCTAGGTGTAGTTTTGCTGACGCTCCCCTGGACTAGCTCCCTTAGCTCGTGTTTACTCCTGGGCCTAGACCTGGCTAACGAGTGTCACGTATGGTTGCAAGACAGATGAATATCTTATATAAGAGATAGGGTAAAAAATGTGAAGATAATAGATGCGACTGACCTCTAGTTGAGCTTTCGCGTCTATTTCTCTCGTCATTATTTTGTTTACTGCGACCTCCTTTTGTTGTATACCAAGATGGCAGACACTCCACCATTAAATAGTTATAATCCATCATGTGTTGTTAGTCAGTGTTTGCGGCAAGTTGTTGGTTCTATTGACGGAAACCCCCTCGCTCAGTACTCGGCATGCACATCTACATTTGGAGCACCTGTTATATCAACTTTGTGGGTTTGCATTCTCCTGTTGCTCGTAATGGAGACGAGAGAAGCCGAAATGCTAATAGTTTAAAAGGACTCCATCCGTAGAAGTTGTCTTCTCTACTCTTGTCGACACGGTTTCATATACAGATATTGTGGTCTCCACAAGCACAACGTTTTCGGTTTATGAGGCGATCATCACTATGTCTACCGATGTTCCTGATACCGTAACAGAAACGACGAGTACAACGACTACCACCACTGATACGGTAACTGCTGCAACTACCACTGTCACTCCAATAAAGCACAAGAAGCGTGGCGGCTGTAAGCCTAGGACGACATCATCCTCGCTTAGTTTCCAATTTTCCTCCACATCCTCCTTTGCTCCGGAGAGTTCATCTTTAGTCCCCAATAACTTTTCGGCGACTTATTCGATATATCCATCTATATCCACTAGCTCGTCCTCAAGCGGTTATTCCTTTGATCCAAGTAGCTTTTCCACAACTACTTATTCTTCAACTTCAGACAGCCCGTCTACAATTCCAACAACTTCATCATCAGTTCCGGTTATCCCTATTGCATCCTACTGCTCTGACTTAGAGGAATACTCATCTGCCTGCGCTTGTATTGACGCTGTCAGCACAACTTCGATCGTGACTGCCCCGACGCCAACCTCTACTTCTACGATCCTCAGCACTGTGAGCGTTAGCGTTCCATCAGTGTCTGTATCGCTCGTCACCATTACGGTGACTAGCGACGTCACAACAGTCGAAACCTCAACCTTGACAGCTACCCAGACAACTACCGACGTGCTCACTGAGACCGTCACGTCAACGTACACACCGACACCATCACCATATCTCAAGATCACTAGTAGCACCACAACAGCGAGGGTAGGGCGCTACATCACGCTGGCAACATGCAACGGTAACGTCTGCTTGCAGTTCGACTCAGCTAACACGGGCGTGTCTGTTGCCGGACAGTTTGCTGTCTCAGATACTGGAGTATGGTCGTTGCGTGACCAACCGTCACTGACGGCGTATATCTACACGAACAGTGGAGGCGTCATCAGTGTCATATCTTTCATGTCGTCTTCGACTGCGGCTAGTCTCGGCGATTATGCTCTTACTTGTTCTGTGGGCGATGCGGGTGCCTTCACATGCCAATCGTCGACCAGCATGGTCTACGACACGTTTGTATCATGTGGTGCATGGATTTACATAATTCCCGCAGCGAGATATGCCGCATACGTAGGTTCTGGCTGTGTCAAAATCGGACTGTCGCTTTCCACCTAAGAAATGACGTCTCAGCTCGCAATCTATGTCTTTTTTCACTCAAAAGTTTTTTGATGGGAACTATTTAGTATAGAAGAAGCATGGGCTGAAGAGGGGAAAAGTACACAACCATTTACACCATGTATGATTATAATATTAATTCATTCACCAGCCCATCTGACGATAAGGTGACTCGGAAGGGGTCTTGGGCCGAAAAGGCATTAGGCGACCAATTGACATTGTATATGGAATTTTTATTGTTCATTAAGACTTGGAAATGGCCAAGAAACCTAGGTAAATATTCGCTAATCATAGGAATCGATAAATAAGTAAGATCACGACTAATGTGCGTGGGTTAAACTACGACCAGTTTCTACCTTAGGTTCTACCGTAGGTAGATTCGAGCCGCCCGAACCGCCCATGTACGATACACTAAATCTATCCGCAGCCGCCGCTCTCTCATCCCACTGACGCCCGCTTCTCTCAGGCTTCTCAGAGGAGACCCTAGGCTCGATAGGTAGGTCGGTAGGCTGGTCCTGCTGCGGGTTTACGGTTTCGTATTCGAGAGCTTTGATGAAGACGTAGAAACCGGATGCGACTAACGAGCCGAGAATGGGGCCTACCCAGTAAATCCAATGGTAGGTGTAGAACGTGCCCGTGACGACGCTGGGGCCGAAAGAACGGGCTGGGTTCACGCTTCCGCCGGTGTAGTAGACTCCCCTATAGAGGAAGTATTAGCACTTTCCCTCTACACTGGGCGAGGAGAGGAAGATGTTGAGAAAACAAGCCTTCTGGAGTGAGAGAGGACATTGTCAGCGAATAAGGAGCGGAACGAAGCGCACATCAACTCAGCAATAAATAACGACAGCCCAATCCCCACAGGCGCAATGAACGTCCCGCGATGCTTCTCAGCCGCCAGCATGAATATCGTAAACACCAGCTGGGCCGTAAGAAACATCTCGATGAACAAGCCTTGGACAACCGTCGTCCCGCCCCCTAACCCCGTACCTACGTTCAGGGGCCCCGGCGTCAGCCCCATGACCACAGCCGCCGCCGCGATCCCGCCGACGATCTGGCTGAACATGACGAGCGGCCCGCGCACATAGTCCAGCGCGCCGACGGCCATCATGCCCACCGTCACCGCGGGGTTAAACAACCCCCCGCTAATACGGAAGAACACCCACGCGTTGACGGCCAGGCTCATCCCGAAGCACAGCGATATGTACAGCAGACGCGCGGGATCGGCCGCGGAGGAGGATGACGCGGGCAGGTTCGTGTTGACGGCGTTGGTGCCGCCGAAGGCGAAGAGCAGGAACATGAACGTCCCCGCGAACTCGCTCATCGCGGCGATCGCGTGGTTCTTCGCCCTCAGGGGCAGGACGTCTAGGAGTTTGAGGTCATGCGATTTGAGCGAGTCGATGTCCCGGTATTTCTGCCACGGGCGGCGGATGTGTGTTTTTATCTCGGATTGCTCCATTGCGAGGGAAGGGCTTTGGAATGAAGTGAGGCCAGGTAGAAGAGTAGTTGTCAATTTGCCTGATCTCCGGCGTGAAGGCAGCCTTGGGGTTATCAGTTAGGCGACGAATATGTAGAAACAGCGGAATTCTCTTGGAGGCCATCGCTGGGTGGTATAAAGTCTTGACTAGTTTACCTATAAACATTGAATATACGTCAGTAGTGCGGTAATGATGACAAAAGCTGCGTATATCACTGCTTGGGGCCCGACTCGTTGGTATGCGGCATATAGCCAAGTTTGGCCCTTAGTCGTGAATAATTAAGCTGCTGGATAGACATCATACTTCCGGTGGCTCCTGAATCGGTAACCTCCCGGTCTAATAGCAAGACCAAGAGACTGCGTAGATTACTTATCACAAAGTCTTGTCTAATATGCCTGACTTTAGTATGTCAGATCTACTTGGAAAGGTTCGATTGCTTTTGCTGCGATGCCTAGGTACGTATCTGAATATTGAGATGTTAAGACCTCATAGACATGATTGCTTAGTAATAAGAGGACTTAAAGAACAGACTGATACGACGATATTCATAGTAGAAATTAAGTAATTTGAGATATCGTCAGCCATGAGTTTAGCGCGAAGAGCGATTCAAAAATGGCCGTACCGTTAGGCTAAGTCATGAATCGCTTAGATTCATGTCGACGGAATTCCTAAAGCTTATCTGCCACTATCTCATGGCAATGAAGTTGTTTTCCGAGTAATCAAAAAGCTACCTCTTGAAACGGATATATATCCAGGACTCATAAGATGGTTATTTTCAGTGCTCTTGTGCCATTGTAAGGATAGAGCTATCGCAGACATGCGAATAGCGCTAACACGAACAGAAGCGCAACGACGGCGGACGATAGTCGCAACTCGCTCATAGATCGAGATCGATTATCTCGTTGACGGGAGCGGGCCGTATTCCACAAACGACTTCAGGGCATTCGACTCAAGCCACAATCGCACCGCTTCACACCCCATGGATACATGGTGAGATTATTACCCAGGTATCTATAAACGAAGCCCAAAGCTTGTAAATCCTAATGGTTCATAAGGTTAGGTAGGTAATAGCAGAAAAGAAAAGGGGTGGGAAAAAAAGAACATTTTCATAAACCGGGCCGAGTCTCCTCAAGCAGGAGTTTGACTAGCAGACTGGCTGAATATTAGTCACACCAAAGAACAAAAAAAGCAGTCTTGCCGTGAGGATCGCTATTGTAAGATAAGAATACCCCACGAGGTAAAGGATCGACGGTCAAGGATAGTAAAACACTGGTTCCGTGATCCAACTTGAAGCCCCCTGGCTGTAATAATAGACATTTGCCTTCTAGAATACGTCGCCGAAGCCCGCCTATCTGCAATCCCGTCTTTGGGATCCCGCCTCTGGGATCCGGACCATCATGCACTCCAAGATCATGTTTCGAATTGGCATCGAGAGACGCTCGGGATATCTGGTAATAAGCATAGATGATATAAAACATGCATCTTGATATTGCCATTTCATTCTCCACAATCCTGCTAATGCACTCTGGCCGACGTTGAGCTCGTGCGACAAAGGCTTAGAGATCTACCCGTGAAAGCGTTTAGCCTGGTCTGGGTGTCTCGAACGGAGCTCAACTCTCGGTATGTGTAGGGCTCAATGCGTATCCGCATCAGGCATCAGGATCGCTTGTCTTTCGTGAACCTCGCCATCTCAATACCTCGTTCGACGACACCCAACCTAGGTAACACGTGCAAAGGATATCATATAACGGATCCGTTGTTCAACGAAACCGAAGAAGCATGTGTGCATTATCTATCCCGCCGCCTTTCATCGGAAGTAATATCAACTAGGTATGGTGAGGTTGGTCTGGTCTGGTATTAAACAATATGCCTAAAAGGTAGTTGCATGACTTCAAGATCGTCGAAACTGCGTCTACATAACACGCGTGAGAAGGTGGGAAGCAAGTCTACGCGCTCCTGATTCTTCACTCATTTAATGGCTAAAGCGGCAATTTCAGATATGGAGTACCTAGAGTATTCGGGTACACACACGCGCATATAATTATTTGCATAATAGATGGGGTCCCTTGAGTACCCAGTACCCTGATCTCCGTGCATTTCACTCAGGGGCTCCTCCTAAAAGGGTATAGTTCATACCACGCGGCAGCATCCATTCATGCAACTTCAAGGTATTGTTCGATGTACTTTGAATTTGCGGAGGAGCACCTGCCATGCGTCGGTATTTCTCTGGCAGTTTGGTTGACCGACGAAAGTTTTGAATGATAATACTTCGAAGTTTGTGCAAATAAACATCCAACCTCTGTCAGATATGCGCGGAGGTCAAAGTCGTTTATCTGATTTTCATCTGTAACTTCTCAAATAAACTCCACACTTAGGATGGCGTTTTGGGCGTTTCCACTGGCGGTGCCTGCCTCACCCGCGCCGCCCGCGGTCAATCCCTTGCACCGGGCTTTCCCCGTAGCGGTTTAGGTTGATTGGTCCGTTTTCGTCCAATGTGAGCCACGTCGCTTGGTGGCAGGAACGATTCCATTTGGCAGTTCTAAACGGGCAGTAGTCCCTGCGCATCATGCATCGCTCTTGACCATAATTGGGGTTGAATCACACTTACGGCCTCCCTTTCTGGCCACAACTACTACATATTACTACGTAGTATGTCGATAGGAGGTAGGTGCCCTGGTGCCCAGACACTAGATGCACGCAGGCACGATAGGACCTGAAGATATACATGTATACATATGTATCCTGAACGGTGTTTTGCTTTACTTCCCACATGACGGGTTCAACCTCGAAGGACGGTGTGACCAATTCATCCCCGGACCTCGACATGATCGATAACGCTTAATCGGCCAGCCTCTCTTTTTCTTGATGGTCTCCATAAGGTTAGGCTTTGGCCTTGACCGGCAGTGGGCCCTTTTTCATGGCCCGTGCAACGCAAGGTACGATCTTGATTACCTAAATGTCTTGGGAGTTCATCGACTCAAAATCTCGCTCGGATCGAGCGAAAGGTACTAGGAACAGCTGGCCTTCCCCCTCCGTTAGAAAGCGGGCAAGACATTTCACAACCTGCCTTTAAGGCGCAGAAAAGGAACGCTGTCTTGTTCTGAAAAAGCCACACTCCTTGGTATGGTTGGTTATGTACCAAGGTATATATATATGGCGCAGCGTATTCGAGCCGGGACTGTCCTATTACGTATCAAGTAGGAGAGGGATAGGTATGACGAAACGGCCGTACGTGTGTACGCTGTTCCATCACATACCTCATAGGAGGAGAGCCCGCCATCGATATTGGTGGGAGACCGGAATTAAGTACGTATCGGTACTTATCCGTTTCACACCGTGCTTCATCTTCCTAGGAGTACCTTACTGATGAAGCCCCGTCGATCCGCTAGAGCGTTATTCGTCAAATAGAGGCGTGTCATGGGTACGCGATAAATCCTTGTTGTTTACTACTGGACGGTTCAAATGGCAAAACGAGTGCTCTGTGCTGAGCTGGCATTGACTAAAAGCAGGGTGAGATCCCGACCCACGCGTCTCTATTTCCCAACTGGGTCGCCCGTCGTTTCTCTCATGTACTCGGGTACCTACCATTTTGATAGGGCAGGCAACGTCGGCTTGGCTGATGATAGTTCTCATCTCAGCACCGTTGGATGCTTATTACATCTTAGTCTCTTCATCCTACGTACGATGATGACATGCGTGCACAGTAACAAAATTGTGCAATGCAAGATTTGTTCGATGGATGTTTTCTGCCAGTATCGACAATTATGTGATGTACAAGATCCAAAAGTAGGGTAAGGGTTCAATGTTGGGTGGTGATGCAGAATTCGCCTTATTGCACATTTCCAATAGCCTGGTACTGTGTGCTTTTATCCCATCCTAGCCTTCGCCCTAACCCTTAGGGTGTCTTTCGTCCGCAGTAACGCGATGTCCAATTGTAAAATAGGTCTCATGGATCTCACCTTGACTTCGTTTAGAAGCGGAATCGCTGCCGGACGTTTACATAGTAGTTTTTAGTGCTACCATTCTTAGAAATACAGTGAGAGTCATGCGTATATACACTATATACGACGGCGTAGCCGGTGGTGTTTATGCAATTGTCGACAATCGCTTCCAGAAGACAACCCAGTTATATAACCCTAGTACTTGTCGGGTTCTCTCAAACACGTTGGTTTTACTATGAAAGGGAGGGTATATGAGATGTACTGCTGATTTCATCATAAGACGGTAGAGTGTTGATTGTATCTAAAAGGGAAAATAAGATCATAGGTAGCTAATTAAACTAAAAAAAGGGGAATCCACTCGAGCTGTAACTCACCAAAATTTTTTCTCTTCTTCTATTTTATACCCCTGGCCCTAAGCGTAAATTGCTAAGATTGGCTCTGATTGCCTGAACGACCCGACGTCTGCTCATGGATGACTAGCGAAATTGGCGTTCGTTATGCTCCCCGGGGAACTTTATTCATGCTAAGGTTTCTAAGGTTTCCCTTCCTGCCCTTCCTGCCCTTCCCCCTCTCCCAAAGTACCTCTGTATCTTTTCCCTGCCCCTTCCTGTCCAGTACAAGCCTAGCGTGAGGGAAAGGACCTGTCAAACCACCTCTGAAATCACTTCAATCAGCCAATCTAGCAATTCGTCCATTCATTCGAACTCCCAATCCAATCCCATCCCATCCGGCCATTCAATTCAACCCTCGCCTTTTTTCTCGTTTTCCCTTTTTTCTCTCACTCCTTTTTCTTCAATCAATAATTCAAACTTTCGTTTTCAAGTTCACATACGGGAGGAATTCATATGCGCAACGATAAATCTGGACGAAGAATTGCTATTAGTTTTCCTAGCCCTCATTGTATCGTTGACTCCCTCTCCCACCCACTACATAGATCTCAACTGGGTTCGTTTATCTTGCGACGGCAATCCGGTTAACTAGAACAGGACACTACGGCATATAGCAACAACCAGTGCAGTTAATCATTCAAGGAGGCCTGTTCAAAGGAAATACGAAGAAGAAAAATCAAACGACCATAATAAATTCCAATCAACAGAGCGTCTGCCATTCCCTCTTTTTTGACAAATTCAAACTGAGAATCGTCAATCCGTCACTCCCTTGAATCCGACACAGCGACCTCTAATACGCTAGCAAGGAGTGTGCAGTATTTCCAGAAGCTCAGTCCCCTACAACATCAGCTTGGACCAACGCCGACCCGCACCCCGACATACTGGTTCCCATCACCCCTTGTCCCTTTTTAATTATTCAACCGACCTATTAATCCATTCTCGTCCAGCTCATTTCCTCTCTTATGTCCCATCTTCTGCATATCATCCCGTTATTCCTTTACGTCTTAGTTTAGATCGTGGTTTGTTTCTTTCGATTTCACTTTGAGCATCCCGTCGTTAGCGTCCGGAGTCAAACAGTCCCTATCGACTCGAACCACCTACAGTCTATTTAGACGATCTCGGCCAAACTGAATGCACCGATACACCAGTGTAGCTCTTACATAGAGCAATCCAGAGGATAAAGAGACTGTACGAGGGAAGGTTGTCATACCTCTCCGTGTCAGTAGGATCGGGAATAGGGCAATCAGACCATTGATATCGAAGGGTCTACTTACACAATGGTCGTCACACACGATTCGCATCGGGGGTCTTCGACTTCCCAAGGAGCTGCCGGGTATGCTCTCGAGGATCGATTTGAAGTCCTGAAGGAAATTGGAGATGGAAGCTTCGGCAGTGTAGCTCTGGCAAGAGTGAGGACTGCTGGTGCTGCCGTCGCTCGTCGCGGCACTGTGGTATGTTACAGTGAAAAAATTGGGTTAGGTGCAAAACTAACGATGCTTTAGATTGCGATTAAGACAATGAAGAAGACATTCGAGTCTTTCACACCATGCCTTGAGCTACGAGAAGTCGTCTTCCTAAGGACACTACCGCCGCACAGCCATTTAGTTCCCGCACTTGATATATTCCTTGATCCTTTTACGAAGAAACTTCACATATGTATGGAGTACATGGAAGGAAACTTGTATCAACTGATGAAGGCTCGTGATCATAAGTGTCTTGATAATGGAAGCGTCAAGAGTATCCTGTACCAGATAATGCAGGGTCTGGAACACATCCACGCTCACCAATTCTTCCACCGCGATATCAAGCCTGAGAATATCCTTGTTACAACATCCGGTCATCAAGATTCCGTCAACTCTTTCAGACGGTATTCAGCCTTGATGACGCCGCCCTCGACGCCCCCGACGTACACTGTGAAGATTGCGGATTTCGGTCTAGCACGAGAGACTCATTCTAAGCTACCATACACTACTTACGTATCAACTAGATGGTATCGAGCTCCCGAAGTATTGCTACGAGCTGGTGAGTATTCTGCACCAGTGGATATTTGGGCTGTCGGTGCTATGGCTGTGGAAATTGCTACTTTAAAGCCTCTATTCCCTGGAGGTAATGAAGTAGACCAGGTTTGGAGGGTTTGCGAGATCATGGGTAGCCCTGGCAACTGGTACAACAAAGCTGGCGCTCGAGTCGGTGGAGGAGAGTGGAGAGAAGGAACAAGACTGGCCGGAAAGCTTGGTTTCTCTTTCCCCAAGATGGCGCCGCATTCGATGGATACGATACTCCAGACACCCCAGTGGCCTACATCCCTCAGCCAGTTTGTGACCTGGTGTCTAATGTGGGATCCTAAGAATCGCCCAACATCAACTCAGGCATTAGCTCATGATTATTTCACCGACGCGGTCGATCCATTAAGGCCTAAGTCGTCAGCGTCCAGAATATTAGGTCGCAAACAATCCGACATAGGACGTGGGAAAGACGGTAATTCTGCGACGCCGACTTCATCGAAGCCATCTTGGTTTAGAAAGTCATTAATTGGCCGCAATGATAGCACGGATAGTTCAACGGCTCAGGTTAGTGTGAAGGATATAGTGGCGGCTCCCCGTCCTTCGCCCATCCAGTCACCCGAAGCAAACGAGGTTCCAGCCCCCAAGCCTAGGCCTGCTGCTGGTAAGCGAACCACATGGACTAACGGCCCATCGAACGTCGCTCCTATGCCAATTTTACCCACGATCCGGCCGATTTCGCCCTTGTCAGACGCCGTGACTGCTCAAGCTTCAAATCGAACTCCTCGTTCGGGCGAGAAAGGTTCTAAGAAGATTGGTCGACAATTATCTGTAGCATCAAGCACAAGTCAGTATGCTGAAATGCATCGACAGCAGGCCGAGCGAGCTTTGAACGGCAATGGCGGACTAGCGTCGCCTCCCAATGGACATAAAGAGAGTTTCTTCTCTCACTTACGTAAGCGAGCGAGGAGATTTTCCGGTAGACATCAGACTCCCGTTTCGCCCGCATACGAAGATATTGAGGCACAGGCCGGCTGCGGTCCATGGGCCAGCAACAGGTCCTCCATGGTTATTGACCAGCACGGGGCAGCTGCTAAGACCGACAACTACGAATCGTTAGACCGAACTCTGCGAGATCCTCACCACAATGCCGATTTGAATACTCCGGCCCCGCCCATCCATATGGCTGCGTCGAGTGGTAACCTCAAGCGACACCACTCATTGCCGCATCAGCAACCCAGGTCCGTTGACAATCTAATCGGAGCTGCCCGAACTCCTGGCCCGATTTCTAGTAGAACGAGAAGGGCTCAGGCAACGCACGGTGTCCAAAGCGATGCATTGGATGAAGAAGACGAACTCCTTGATGAGGTTCTCAACTCGACTCACAGGGCGATGAAGCGGCTTGAGAAGGATGGGAAACCCAATCTTCGACAATCGGCTAGTAACGTTGGACTATCGAACCCGTACCCGACTCCATCGCCTTCAGCCAGTGGGAACGTTGTCCTATTCGGGGATGGGAATGAGTGCCTAACGCCAAAGCCATTAGACCTGCACAAGAATTCTGGGCGAGATGGTCAGTACAAGTGGCCGACTCCTCCATACGAAGAGAGCGAGTGGGCTTCTTCGGCAGCCGCAAGCATTTGGGCAGCTGGTAACAGGTTTTAAAAAATTTGGCGGCGGTGATTGTATCAATTCTCCTCATGGCATGGTGTTTGGGGTTGATTTTGTGGGTTTGAGGAGTCTAGGGCATTATATCAGCACTCTTTTCCAGCATACTTCTCTCAATCTTGGCTCGATTTCTGTTCATGGATCTAGGGCCCCGTTCGACATTTGATTCCTTCGATTCTGCGATGTCTCAATCTCAAATCCCAAATACCCCATATGCTGGTTTACGGCTCAGACCAGCTAATTTCGTGTTTTCGGCCACATTATCTTCGAGAATACCCAGTATAGATTTGATTTTTTTTGCCAGGTTTCAAAAGGGCTTGGTCCCAAATATGAGATGCTTCCCTTTGTCAGATGCGGATGGCCTGAGGCACGTTCGTTGCGTCCGACGGCAGAAAGATAATAAGGGATATATGTGGTCACCGAAAGGATTGAGTCACAGTTTGGACGGGTTTTTGGGGCAAACACAGCAACTGTACAAAGAAAAAAAGATCTGCATATTTCTATTTGGTTTTTAAGGCGGGAGCTCGAAGCGGAAGTAGGATTTAAGTTTAGAAGTTATCTGGAGGCTCGCCACCCCGAGTAGTTTGTCATATATGGTGCAGCAACTGGAGGAAGGGTTTTATATATATGCAGCACTATTTATACCTCATGGGCATTATCTTAGCCTATAATCAGCTCACATGACACAATTATCAAACCTCACAAATCCTTCAAAATGCCTGTAATCGAGTGGAACGTGCACCTTGAGAATATTGAGACTGACTTGATGAAGATTGTAGCTAATGAATACAATACGTATGTGGGTGAGAGATAGAGTACGACCTAGGAAGTAAGCCAAACAGACGGTGCCGGTTTGGTGGATGAGCGGGTCCGCTATTGTAGGTAGAGTTTGAAAATCAGCCCTAAACGAGTTGTCCTATGTACCTTGAATCCTACCTAGGGTACATGCCGAATATCAGAGACATGCATGCTATGTAGCTTCGGTTCAGGCAGCAGAATAAACCGGATCGACAATATCTCGTATCAGGTACTCTCTCGAAAAGCTGCTGCCTTAGGAGAATAAATGCGGTAGAGTTATCTGGCAAGAATTAAAACCTATAATCGTGTCCCTTCTCATTTGTTAGATTTCTAAAACCTGACGGGTACCTAATACTTAGTGATTGTACAACAAAGTATAGTACGAGCAGGTTCATTCAGCCCCCCGCAAGTGCATATCGGGGATTGAAGCGGCTGTGCTGCAGCTGCGACTCCGCGCTTCAACTTTAACTTGGTACTCCTTTTATAATATTGCGCCTTACCTCACCTTACTAACTTTCTGATGATGACCCTCTCTTTTACTATTTTCTAATTTTCCGACCCTGTCGCTCTCTTAAACTACCTATTCCCCTTAAGTGCTTCATATCTCTTCAATAGCGCCCTTATCCTCGAGGCAGCTCTTATGTGAGGAGAGAAACACGGCGAAAATAAGAGGGCAATTATTGGGAGATATATATCTGTCTCTACCACATATTTATGAGTGGGTATCGAAATTAGACGAATTAAGACGTGGCGGCATCATGAACCTCAGCCTCCCAATTCGATCGTCGACGAGCTTAAGAAATCAGGCTAGTAGGAATTACTTCACCAACTACACACCACCATCATCGACAGAAGCCGTCAATGGCCCAGTACGTGAGCCCGCAAGGGGGCTCTTGGCTATCAATGACCGCCTTATAGTCGGCGTTGATTTTGGCACCACATTCTCCGGGTGAGTTCGGCTTCTTGCCACCGTCTAGACTCAAAGCAGGTCCGGGCGTACTTACGAGCAGGCAATTGGGAGTTGGTATAAATGTGGTTCTGTTTCTTTATGGTTACTATATGATTCACCTGCTGTCTCATTTGTGGCTTGAATATCGTTTTGTAGTCATGAAACGCTGACCAACCCCATAGAGTAGCGGCAGTATATACGTCGACGCCAGATGACGTCGAGATTATCAAGACATGGCCGGGTGGGAATGGCATCACATCTGACAAAGTTCCCACTGAGATATCCTATGATTTTCCACCAAATCCGACTCCAGAAACCCAACCCAATGTCAAATGGGGTTTCCAATTCAAACCCGAGGAGTCGCGGTTACGATGCATCAAGCTCTTCCTCGACCGCTCACAGAAGCTGCCCTTCTATGTTAGCCCACAGGAGACCGCCACTCAGCTTAAGAAGTATAATAAGACCGTCATAGATGCGGTTAGCGACTACCTCACTGAGATTTACAAGCACACTATGGACACGCTCACCCGGCGGTATGGCGAATCGTTCATGGCGTCGACTAACGTGGACTTTGTGCTTACTTGTCCGGCCGTATGGTCTGATGCTGCAAAAAACGCAACACTACAGGCTGCTGAAAGGGCAGGGATGGGCCTCAAAGCAGATATCCAGATAATTAGTGAGCCTGAAGCTGCCGCTGTCTATACTCTCAAGGCTATTCAACCAAATCATCTCAGCGTAGGAGATAACTTTATCGTATGCGATGCGGGTGGTGGAACGGTAGAGTCAGTGAACTTGGTAGGATCCCCCGCTCATGGAACCAATAACTGATGAAACCGTGTAGTTTGATCGCATATAAAATAATGTCACTTAAACCTCTAAGAGTAGAGGAGTCTGCTGTTGGGACTGGCGGCCTTTGTGGAAGTGCATTTCTAAATTACAGGTTCGAGGAACACGTTCGAGGCAGACTCGGCCATAGTAAGTTTGAGGAGATGAAAACAAAGAAGGCCAAGACGTGGCAAATGGGTCTTCGATATTTCGAAGAATTTGTGAAGAGAAATTTCAACGAAGATGAGTACCAGGAGGTCAATGTCCCGTAAGTACTTCCGACCCAGCCTCTGGAAGTTGTCCACTCACAGCCCATAGATTCCCAGGACTTCCCGATGACGAAGAAGCGCGGATAGACTCTGGATTCCTTGTCATGACCGCCGATGAAATCAAGGGGATCTTCGAGCCTGTGGTCAAAGAAGTCTGCGATCTGGTCCAAGGTCAGGTAGATGGTCTCCGTGGCAAAGGAGGTATCGTATCAGGTATCATACTCGTCGGAGGGTTTGGTCAGAGTGACTATCTTTACCGACGGCTGAAGGCGCACTTCACGAGCGCGGCCCCGCCCCCGTACACAGAGCGGCCGACCCACGCGGTCAGCGCCGCCGCCGCCCTTGACGGAAATGGCAATATCGAAGTTATGCAGCCTGTATATGCCTGGACGGCTGTTGTTCGTGGCGCTGTACTCCGCGGACTCGAAGGCAACATGGTTATCAGCAGGAAGGCGCGCATGCATTACGGAACGTCCTACGCAACTGTCTACGACGAGGAGAAACATAGTGTGAGCGAACGGTACTGGAGCCCCTTGTGGGAGCGGTGGATGGTCAGCGACCGGATGCAGTGGCATATAGCCAAGGTGAGTCATCCCATTAACTTATCAGCGAACTAAAGATCCGGATCTTTTCTTCTCCCCAGTCCCTTTACCCGGCTTCTCAGTATTGTAATTCCTTGCTACACGATAATGCATCGTCTTATCCTATTTTACCTATTGTGATTCTAATCCTATATTAGGGCGAAGCCATCTCCCCCCTCTCACCCATCGCCTTCCACTACACTCGCAACTTCCGGCCCGGACAGTCGCTAGTGGTTACAGACGACCTGATCGCGTGCGAGGCGGACGAACCCCCCGCCGCGTACTCGAGGGAACTAGTGCACGTGTGCACACTCACTACAGATCTGAGCGCGGTCCCGAGAAGCCTGTTTACGAGATTAACGACGACGAGAGGCGTCGAGTTTGACAACCTCGACTTTACCCTCGAGATGATCGTCGATAGCGCGGGCTTGAGCTTCGAGCTGAAGGTCGATGGGGTCAGATACGGGAGGGTTGAAGCCGAGTTTCATTAGCGTTGAACGACTCAAATGGAGAGGATGAGAGACGGTGATGAAGAATGGTGGGAAATTTCCGGATATAGTTATGAATGAGATGCCTAGGGGTGATGTAATTAAAGGGGCCGCGCTAGGCAGGAAAGTTGACTTGCGTTATAGTCTCTACATATAGGGAATCATTCAGATTTTTACTTTCAAGTGAAGTAAGCCTACACTCTGAGAGAGAATATGTTGCAGAGCGTAAGATGAAAGTTACAGGGGACAACAACCGATTCTAGGGGAAAGGGAGCCATTGGACTTAGAAACCGAGGCTTCCATATCGGCGCCGAATCAGACCCGCGAATTCTTGTTCTTTTCGTCCAGCTGTTGGTTCCTCTCTCCGATAGGGGCATTATTCCGGGTATATATATATACGCGTGGGTAAGCAGCAAGGACAATTACAGGACATACAGGAGTTAGATTGGGGGATCGAGGGAGGCCTCCGATTTGTCCTGTCTCGACTCCGGAACCTCAAGTCCGAAGAGGGGCAGAATAATTGTCTTTTTTTTTTTTTTCTCCATTCTACTTATTTAGATATTTGGATTTTGATATCTAGGAGATTGTCCTGTATCACCACCTATAGAATTGAGTATAGCGAATAAGCAGTTATAGCGAAGGTTAAGAAAAAAAAGAGGAGCCCAAAAAGTTCAGCTATGCTGGAGCGAGCAAAAGGCAAGGAAAAAGGGAACCCACGTCAGCCTTCGGCGACCGCTGACTGGCTGGCGAAAAACAAGGCAACCGTCCGCCTGGGAAAAAGTGGTCTCTTGCTTGGTCTGACGCCCGGCCGCGCTGTCCAAACACCCCGGCCCCACGGGCTTACGCCCCCGTGCCATTGGAAATATGGGGCCTTTTGCCTGTCCATCTTGCACCGAAAGGGATTTTTGGGAGGTGAGATTGTATTCCGAAGGGCGTGGGAAGGGCGGGGATGTTATGTTTGACGTCTAGTCATGTATGCCGGTGGTTCTCTCTCTCTCTCTCTCTCTCCACATTGGAGGGGATATTGTATATGTAAATAGTAAGTAGAAATCTTAAGCTTTAACATACCTATCTAACTACCTACTCTCTTTTTACTCGGTCGGCTAGGCTATTCTTCTATAGAAAAACGATCTCTCTTTACGTTTTTAACGACATTTTATAATTCGTCGGATGAGAGAGTACGCATACGTTGAGCTAGCTAATCGCACCAAATACACCTGAAAAAGGGGTTCTCAGGCCAGGAGAAGGAACGCAGGATATATTCTTATGGATGATCTTATATGAAAATCTACAATTCTTCACGATTTAGATGCTTAAGGACTCACTGGAAACTGTCCTGTTTCCATCCTATTGGGACCAGACGACGTTCCGCAGTGCGACGTCGCCACCCGAGTATACCTATAGCAACAAACGTGACTAATCGTGATCAGATACAATGGCACGACATAGCAGACCTACTATTTAGGCCACCATGGTTTTCTTATCAAGTGTCAATATTGAGTTTTCACATTTGTCAGGGTGGAAAGTTGGTTGGTTAGGGAAATTCTGCAAGCGGTCAAGTAGATTAAAGACAAAACGAGGCGAAGCAAGGCAGCTTCGCCACCGCGGCACAATGTACGCAAGTCCGTCTTAGGGGCAAAGTTGCGGTGAGAGAAGAGAAGGAATTTTCGTTATAATCACAGAAGATAACTAACACAAATATGAAGTGCTATCATGTTCTCCCTGCGTTTGCGCCACCTTTTGAACCCGTCTCGATGACATTCTTCCGGGTATCATCTGGTCATTTCATCATGTTCATCATTCAGATATTCGTTGATACAGCTGACCCGAACGCCTCGAGATTGCCTAGCGGATTGTCTCGACAATGCTAAAGGGAAAAGTCATAACGTCGTCAAGTTGAAAAAAAAAAGAGCGCAGCCCTGTTAAGAGATCATGATGGAGATTTCATGCGATGGCTTGTCCGCCCAGCGCCTCTCTGCTCCAGTCGAGGAGCATATATACCCAGAGTACCCTGCCACAAATATGCATCCCCGGACACCCCAACTAGAAGAGCAAGCGAGCTTACCGACAAACCAATAGTCGGCACCTTCACACTTCCCCCTTGCTGGTCTTGTATCGCATCGGCGATGCAAACGTGGGCAGGATAGGCAGCCTAAGGAGAGCTGTAAGGCTGAATGGTGTGCGATTCTGCCTTGCCGATCTTCCATGCATGCTGCAGTGAAAGGGCACTTCCGACATGCATTCAACGTTTCAACGTAGAGTATACAATATGCGCCGGGAATCACCCCATAGTAGGGAAGGCTTCGTCCTAGGGTATGTTAAAGGGAAAAAAAAGGAAAAAACAGAATGATAAATGACAATTAAATAAGACAGGAAAAACATCAGACCCGTTCAATATGGACTCGGCAGGGGGACCGAGACTTGGGGTGAACTAAACGGGTATACGTAAAACGCACATCGGTTGTCCTGCCGAGGATCCATCCATCGCGGCAGTGCGGCTCTGCTTAGTTCGCGAACCATTTTCATGTGTTCATGTGGGTATGCTAGGCGCTTATAGCCTTACCCCCTCCCCTCAATTCGCCGCCGCGAACGGCGATTGATTTTGTTTTTAATGGGGTCATCTCTTCTTCTTATCCTTCTTGCCCTTCCTCCGTTGCCTCTCTTCTTTATCATGGTCTATTTGAACCATATTTGAGCGTTCCGCCTGTCTCTGTTTCTCTGGCGGCACAAACCCGTGTTTGTAAATACCCTTCATGTGCTCGCGGGGGCATGGCAGTCCATGCCATCTTCTAACTTCATTATAGCGTCCTTCTGAAATCAATCTGTACTTGAACAAGTGGTCAAGCATGTGGTAATCAGGGGCTATATCGTTCGCTGTCTTGCCATCTGCGATATGTTCGCGAATGTGCTCCATTCTATTGTGGAAGTTAAGGCGACGATCGTTATTGGCCTGAGGGTCCTTGGCGTCGAAGTAGAAGTCATTACAGAACCAACAGACTGTTTTTTGAGGAAGCTTGTCCTGCAGATGGTCTCTGATGATATGCTCGATCCAGGGCTCGATATCTTCAAAGTTAAAGTGCACATCGCAGCTCCCTATTCCAACGAACTCACACGGCAAGGCGTATGGCACGAGTTCCGGGAGCTGATATTGGTTCTGGTCATAAGGACCTTCCTCGGCATAGGTCGTGTACTGAGTAGCTACTGAGTAGCTGCTACCAGTCGATGACGCGGAGTACCCAGCGTTTGACGAGAATCCGCTGTCGCCGGAGCCAACGGAACTAGAGCTGACTGACTGATTACGCCGAGACATGGTGAATGATAATAGGGGCGGAAGAGTAGGAGTAGGAGTTGAGTTTGAGGTTGATGTCGAAACGATATGATGCAGACGGTATTCGTTAACGACACAGATACAGGTCGACAGACGAGATCAATGAAATGAGCCAAGCCAGACAGATACGAAGTCAATTCTGGATTGTTGCGACAGGGGCCGAACGCCAACGGCGATATTGGCGGCCTATTAAGTGTAGCGGGGGAACTGGATCCGACGGAGGTATATGGACTTCGGACTGGCTACGTGCAAGCTATAACTTAAGGTTACACGTCTCTAGAGTCCTTCGACCTGTGATCGGCGACGTTACGGCTAACAGGTCAGAGACTAATAAGGGCCTTTTAAGAGCAACCGGCGGCTGTCCAAGGGCTTTTGCTTTTTCGAAGGGTGCAACAATATGATCTTCGGGATGAATATGGATAGCTTAGAGCCAAGCTGACCCACTTTGCTGCAGAAACCGAGTCACAACAGGTTATGGTAGTGACCCCGAGCCTAAGTGAGACGATTGAAGAAAGGGGGGGTGGGAAGAAAGTCGAAAGATAGGATTTGGGTAAAGGCAAGTCCAGTTTTCTCCTAACTCTACAAATCCAAACAGAGATTTATATTCGTTAGAAGATGAGATGATGAATTTTGCGGAATTAGGTGTCGATGAGGGGCTCCGTCTTCCGGGGTCGTCAGTCTTCAAATACCAAAATACCAACCCTTACCTGATGAGCCAGCAATTTTCGATGTTGTTTTTTCTGGCAGGGGTAGTATGTATACATACATACGGCCTATTATGTCCACTTATTAGCAAAATAATGGACTTATTATAAGCACCTCGGGCGTTGGCACCCACCACTTTGCTTCTTGAGTGCGCATCCAACCCTCCAGATGCTTGCTGCATGATTACCCCCATTATCCAATTCTGACCAGCAGAATGTCTAGCGGGAAGAGCTGCAGCTACGCTATCTAGGCAAGCACCTCTCGTTGCTCGAATAGTGGTGAAACCCGGTCCCTCAAAAACGCGACGTCTTCTTGGGCCACAACTACCCGATACGCGATCCGAAGATCGGCAGTCTCGCGGAAGCGGCGTGCAAGGAAAATAATAACGGCCATCTAATCTTGCCATCCGGGGGGGGGACTTGTTACAGGTCTAGCCAACTCATCCATCGCATGCCGGAGAGTGGTGGGTAATCGAATCGATGCCCAGATGATGCGAACCACCATCAACTCCTGTACCAATCAACCTCACTCCGAGCTACAGAAGTGGGCTTTCGTGGGGGATACCTAGGTAGGAGTCATCTGAGTCGGAACAGGTTGTTATACGCATAGAAAGACCGTGCAGAAGACTCGTCACGTTTTCACCCTGTTACTGGCGGCTGCTTTTCTTCCGGATCGGTTGGTAACTAACGCGCTCTCTCACACACACTTACTCCGTCCTGGAATACCTAGGTAAGTAATTCCGGCTTGGTACGCGATTCGTCTATCATAGCCAGGACATGTACCCATCAGATTTGAAGTGCCGGCCGATCGTTTGCGACTAAATCTTTCTTCTTTTTCTGAATATACTACTTAACCTTTTGTTTTTGGCAGTATCATGCCTACAAATCTTCTAGCTCGCCCAACATGTCGAATTTGTGATCCGACCTCTCAAGTCGGTTGGCGTCGTGTTTACGAATGTGTTGGGATTCGCTTTTGTCGTCATAGCAACCTTCTGCCTGCGAGTTGCTATTACGTTTGGATTATCATTAGGCACGCATAATACTAGCGTATGATTTGGGCAGTCCCGGGTTCAACCCCCAGATCACCAGCAATGTCACGTACTTGCCTTACGACTCAATCCGTCAGCTCTGGGAAGTCGCCTGTATGGTTTCCCTGGTCATCTCCAGAGCTCCCATAGGCTGGGCAACCGGATCACAGAATTTATATGCCAAGTATTCAACCACAGAGTCAATACGCCTAGGAAGCGGCAGAGCGTTCCGTGTAATACAGATGTCGATCCGGTGGTCAGACGCAGACAGCGCAGAAGGGCTAATCCGCATAGTAAGCAGGCATTGCAGAACCGGTGAAAGCGTAAGTGTCCGATTGTTGCGAGCGGGTGTCTGTTTCATGATTTTTTTTTTCTTTCCTTTCTTTTTTCTTAGGCGATTAGGTGAGAATATCCATGACGAACAATCCTATAATGAGTTTGCGTCTAGATTTGGATTATTCGTAGGAGAAGAACAGGTGGGCAGGGCGTGATTGTATGCATGAGAACTGCATTGAGCCAATTGAGCCAATGGCTCAGACGCAATACAACCTACAACTTCTCCAATAGGCTCAACCCATAGGGGGGGGATACAATTGAGGAGAGACAGAGCCTCAATTTTCGGGGTTCTCCACACTGGCACACTCAGCTCAGTCCCCTCCCCTCAGTCTCATTCGATTCTGTTGCTGCTGTCTACCCCCGGTTTCCCACCTCCGCACCTCCGCAGTTGGGCAGTTTGGGACGTGTCGCTCAGATTTAGGTTGAGTACACGACCTCTTAGATTATTCGAGGTTCTGTTTCAACCTATTGGATACTTGCTTTTACGTCCCGTATCTGTGTCTGTGTGTCTGTGTGTCTGCAGTATACACTTGATCTTCAGATATCAAGTTGCGTCCTTTGTATGGTAAAACATGGGACGCCACATCCAAATGTGAGATCTTGCTCAGACCACTCGAGCTATCTCGAGCTATCTCGATCAAAATGTTAAAGTCATCGCCATTTTATCTCGTCCATTCTTAGTAAGGTAGTTCGTTTCATTCGGGTGTGCAGAGCACCCTAGCTTTTGCCACAACGTTCGTAAATTGCGGGTGGCTGCCGTTCTCGTCTCCCTTTTTGATGATGCCAGGGAAAGTTACACAACATATCTCGCGTCCTGAAAGGCTCTCTTCATCTTCAGCTCCAATATCCTCCATGGTAGATGCCTCGAACAAGGTTCTTTGATGAGGGATAACCTTGGGCATGTAGACTTTGAATGTAGCTTTTTGAACTACCAAGAGACGTGCTAATTCGACGGCGCCGTGTACCAGAGTACGAAGTGCATGATCCCGGGCATCTGTTGCGTTGGCGTCTGTAATCGCATCTAGAATATGATTGACCTTAGAGATTACGGATTCGATCGTTAGTGTAGTTTCTTCCTGCATCCGCCGAGTGGCCTCCTTTCGGAGCATGGTGAGTGTTGTGGCACGCCATTGGTTCACGGCTTCTACTGAGCCTACCAAAAGGGTCAGATATCTCCCTAATGCAAGCCTAATGATACTCACTGAGTGACGCAAGATACTTCTCAACCTGAGCCAATTGGTCGGCCTGATCTTTGGGAACACCAACGAAGTAGGCGTTGAAGATCCTCTCCATCAGGATGCTGGAAATAACATTCTGCAAGAGATGCACCTTTGCCGACGATGCAAGCTCCTCATACATGGGAACGAGTTCGTCAAGGTCGTGGGTGATCGCCTCGTCAACGTGGGTGAAATCTACGTCATGGTTAGTCCGTGGCGTTCAAACCGTACGCGCGGTCGAATGGCCCTACCAAGCTTCGCTCGTCTGAAATGCACGATAACCCAATTCTGCAAGCCATTCCCCAACTTTGTCATTGAGTCTCCGAACTCCTCATCACTCGTTTGGTGACCCCTGGCGGTGCTGGTGCTGACCCACTGTTTAAGGCCGGCGATATGGCCCTTTAAAGACCGTATTTCGTCGTCGCGTTCCTTTAGCTCCCTTCGTAGGACCTCCCATCCCTCGCGCAATTCAGCTCGTTCAGCTTCCCTCACGTCAACCTCGGCTCGCAACAGTTGCAGCTCCGTTTCAGCTCGTGCGAATTGCTGGTTTAGACTTGAATGCTTGGCCTGCCAAAAACTTGCCGTCTCGCCTTCCCTTTGGCAAAGTTTTTCCAATTCCAGGGTGAATTCTGACTCCATAATGGTAAGTTCCCGTTTCAACTCCGCAATCTTGTCGTCTTTTTCTTTGAGGAGGATGCTCTCCTTCTCCTTAGCAGACAATGATGCGCCATTGTCTTTGCTTCCTGATGTCGAAGCTTCGTGAGCGCTGTCGTTGTCCGGACCGTGTGAAGAGGACGAAGTTGAAGCTGCGCGAGTGAGCTGCGCACGTGGAGGAGGAGAAATTATACTGTTTCGTGATGAGGCTGAAGAGCGTAAAGTATGGGAATTTCCCCGCCGCTTCTCAGGTGGGCTCATTGCCGTAGTTGTGGTCCGAAAATCAGGGCTCGACACACGGAACGTTGTTGGGAAAGAGTTTGAAATTGGAGGTTTCAAGTGGACATATCGTCCGGCTGCCTAATTATTATTACTTTTTACATGGAAGTCCACATCAGCATGTACGGAAGGAACAGTTGACATCGGCATCGGCATCTGTTTGAGGCTGGCGCAGCTCAGCCCAGTGTGGGTTATTGGCGGCTTTAATTCGGGTCTACGTACTTGTACAACCCGTACAGTAAGTACATGTACCTCCGGTTCAACCACATACTTCCAATGTTAATTGTCAAGCCCAGAATGAATAATTTAAGAATGGTGGTAATAGACAGCTAATGTAGGTATTGAAACGTTAAGCGATATCGATTTCTGCTTCGATTTCATATGCTTCATCCCCGTCTTCTTGCTTCTTTGCGCCCATCTTGCAAATTGCAATCTTCTCTACCGGCATATCTTCCATCCATACGAAGTCACCGTATCGATCTAGTATCCCACTCGCGTCGATCAGCAGCTTGCGCCCCCTTTTCCTTCCCTTATTAACGTAAATTGTGTTTAGGATGGTAGCGTGTAGTAGTAGTGGACGATTTTCCACGGCCATTAGTCCCGCCTCCTGAAAAGTCGACCGCAAGTTCTCACAAAATCGCTGCAGGTGTCCTTCAGGGTCACTTGGTGATGCATAAAGTACCGACGCTTTAGACGCCGACGGTTGCATCGAGTGTAGGCCTCTCAGTGTTAAAGACAGCAAAGGTGGCGGCGATCCACTCGGTTCTTTCGTTGTGCCATCAGGTTCTCGAGCTGAATTTGCGGCGGCTGAAGTGACTTCAGCGGCTTTGATGCTGGCCAATATGCTTTTGGGTACCAACGTCTTTAGTAATGTCACAGCTTTCTCGAGGCCTTCGTCCTTTGGGAAGCTCATGACGCCAATTGTCAAGTGAAGCGTACCGAGCGGTCGGACGGCTTGCTCAGGTATGGCAAAGCTATCTGGGCTGGTCACATCTGCACCAAAAGCTGATAGACTCGTTGAAAGTTGATGGCGAGACGCCCTGGTAACAAGTGGCAGGCACAGAAAATGCGTAGGTGACGGCAGTGGCGGCATGTTGAATGCCCAACGCACTGCGATAACTCAGACTTTGGAGGAATAGGTAGGTGTCGAAGAGGTGTCTTGAAAGAACGACTAGTGCAATTACAACCTGTAAAAGCTGACGGGAACCCAGTATTTATTTGGAGGTAAATTGGAAGTAACAAAACGTGGAGGTTATGTAACTATAATCAATACCTAAGCATGAGGATGATACTCAAGAAACAGGTCAATGCCAACATCCCAAGTTTGTAACCGAGAATAAGCTTTTTCGGGTTTACATGTTAATGTTATACTAGAGCAGGAAGTACCAGGCTCAGAGGGTACAACTCCAAATACCTGTTCACGTGCAAGCCACCATTTAGAGACCCGGAATCATTGGTCTCCATATTATCTGAATGTATGCGGAGTCCAAGCATGGGTAGATTCATACCTGGATTCGTAACTTATCACTTCATTATCGATATTCTAAAGCTTAGGTTCGAAGATTGCCTAACATTTCACCATAAGAACAGAATCGCATTGTAGGTCACTTCAGATCTGCAAACGGATAACCTGCATTAGCCGTATACGGAGAAACAGGCACCAATGGTTTCTGCGTCACAAGGCGAGCACGGGCGGGATGACGTAGGGAAATACGTCAAGATGCGCCGCCATTAAACACCGGGCAATCCAAATCTGCGTATATTGCAATTTTGACACCCTTTCGCAACGTATGAGCGGCAGCATTGTCCACGAGGCTTGAGAGTAGAGGATTGGAGGTGGAAGTTCGCGGAGGAGAAAACAGGTGTATTAGGGAGCGCAATATGTCTGTCCGATCGTGAGAAGCTTTTCGCTTCCTAAGCTAGCCTAGATGATCGTACTTCGTATCGTTGCTCCGGTTTGCGTGCATTAACCATTTGATCTGCCTGTAATAGAACCGTCCTAAAAAGTAAACTGCCCTCTACCTGGCGATCGAGGCTTCGAAAATACGAGAAGACAGGCGTGGGGGTATATTTTGAAGTCAACTGATCGATAGGTTATTTGTCGGCTGCCGTCCCTTCCCTCCGTAAACCTCGAGCAGCCGTCATTTCTCATGATGCTCGAAGCCCCTCGGCAATGGTCTTGCGCCTCGAGGAGGGTTCATGCGATAATCATAATCGCGAAGGCGGCCGTATAATACAACTCGAACTCAAACTGTAAATATCGTCGCGCATTTGCTGACTAGGTGGAATTAAAAAATTTCTTGAGCGTCTGCTCCACGTCGGCATATTCCGCCTTGACTGTCTTTAGTGTTTCCGTAATTCGGGAAATACAGAGAGCCTCATCCGTTTCTGGTGTACCATCGACATTCTCCTTCTTGCCGTATCGTTGAATCTTCTCGCAACTGTCCTTAACCTTGGTCAAACCAAGAGTCGCAGAAGAACCCTTCAAGAAGTGGCCAAGTCGGTATAGCTCGTCAAGGTTCTCTTCCTTCCTGAATGAGTGCGATCGGATTAGTCCGATGGTTTATTAGAAATCGACGAAGGCGGGTCGGGGTTAAAAAAATGATGTAGGTAAATCTGCATCGACTCTATCGGCTCATTAATACTTACAGGGCAGTGTCCATCTTCTCGAATGTCTCTTCGGCCTGTTCAAAAAAGCCGTACACGATAGATTTACTGAATTCACGGTCATCTTCACTGTCGTCCATCTCTAGAATCTGGCCAAAAGTCACGATATCGATCGCATCCCCCAGGTCGGGCATGTTAGAGTCGTGACCGTCATCATTCTGTACAGGTAACCCGAAACTGTCAGTCATTTGCCTAAAATTGGACTTTTTTGCTCCTCAATACTCAATTTCCATTCCATACCTGGTCGCTAGCAGCCATGGTGCTAGGCTGTGTGATGTAAGGACTAGGCTTGAAAGATAGCGCTAGGTAAAGAAGTTGACGTTGGTCGTGGTAAAGAACGACCCTTGAGACGAGTTGGACTCACGAATCGCCAAGGAACGCAGTGAAATTGGGCAAATATGTCTTGGAAGAAGGTCGTGTGGGTGGTTTGAAAAAAAACCGCGGCGACTTTAACCACTCTTAGTGTTGATCGAAGAAACCTTTAAGGTGGGGTCTATCGGTAGGAAGTGATCAGTGAAGGCGATGGGTAATGGTAATGGATTAGTAGTATATGTAACCACGCAGCCCACGACGGACGATGGGGCAGCAGGTCGCACAGTGTATGGGTTTACTTGATTGATTCGCTCGTCGGCTTGGGTGCCGAATAATACTCTGGAATAAGACTGTGTACCGAGTTAAGTCTGGTGGTTTAAGCGGTTGTTGGGAGAGAACTTGAAGTAGGTAGCCTAGAGGTATGTAGGAAGCAGAGACGTAAGGTAAGGAAAAGTTCACTGGTAAGGACGATAGATATGAAAGAGGTACTTCTTGCATGCACATGCAGATACATGAGTCCGATTGTTCTGGACGGTACATTAAAAATACGTTTGCTGTGGAAGGTGTTAGGCAGTTCAGTCGCTGTGACGATTTTGACTTTCGACGTACCCTGGCGGTTCCCCATGCCAGGGCTAGTCAAGGGTTCCGGCTTCATTTAGACAACGTCACCGTCACCGATGCGGAACAGTGCAACTTGCGTACATGTAGCTTTACATGTAGCTGGTAGCAGCTACTAACGCTAGTGCTAATTAGGTACATAGAGTACCTGCCTAACTTTAGTGACCTACGCGTAAATACCCAAATGGGAATTTAAAGTGACTCTACCTTGCCTTCTTCCTATCAAAACCATCAACTATCAAATCACATCAACACCTACCTACTCAAAAACAAAAGAAAGACGAGAAGGCAGATCACTTATAATTGAGTAACAAAGGAGAGATCAAACGGCAGCATTGTGTGATCATCGACATTTCAACAGGCCGGAAAAAAGGACATGAATAATTGGCAATGCCTATAGGTATGTACTTCTAAGGTAGGTACCTAATATGAGACGTATTAGTAGTATTAGCGGGGTATTTTTACACATATTTCTCTGCTAATAAGTTCAGTCATTCGTTCTTTGACCAACTACCGTCAGGAGTCAAATCCAGTTTATCGAAAGCTACTACTATTACTAAAAAGACCCAGCACCTCACGAGGGGAACATTACGCTTTATGTATCCGCAATATTTGCTCCATCAAACTAGCACAAGACTCCCGCTACATTGCCATCAAAGGTTAAGGAACACAACATTGAATGTCTAACGAGATTTCGCGGAGAGAGGCGATTAATATACATCCATTTGTTGAGCTTATGGAGCTTGCTTACCGGTCATATTAGCTCTTAATGCTAGGATACACAAACTTACTACACAACCTCATCGTCTTCCTCATAAATGGCGAATATAAGCATCCCCACATCGTGCTGAACTAATTCGATCTCTATCACAAAGCCCGAGTTTTCGCCATCAGCACAACCCAGCCAACCCAGCCTACCCAGCATACCCAAAAGGGGGAAATGGCAGGAATACGGAAACACAGAAAGCCTTACAAAGTCTCCCAACCATCATCTAGCAAATTAATCATCGCTGGAATCTTCTATGATCGACGTTGACGCATCACTCCTATTATATTGCATACTCCCCCGGTCTGCTTGCGTCCTTAGGACACATTTGGACCCTGGACTGCATAGCTACGTCCCGCCGCCAAGCTCATCCTACCAGCTTATGGTGCTACTATTCCGGTCCTGTGCCACTTCTCAAATCCAAGGTATTGACAATACTTAGGTATATATATGTCGGAGCCAGAGCTGTGCTATTCGAACGGTGACTCCGAGCACAGCATTACGCTACAGCAGACGGTTCACTAACCACGACCTGCTGCCCGCACAGGTCACAATCTTAAATGTCACCATATCTATCACGTTCAACCTTGGGCCCCGCGGCTACGGTACCTCTCCGGACGCTCACTGTACTTAGGCGACCTGAGGTAATAAACCAAGCGTCTCTCTTTTCCCTTCTTCGGACTAATGGAAAGGCTCGACGAGAATTGATGGCTGCGTAGTGCGTGATACGTGGTTCGTGGTTGCGTCCACTAAGATACCTGCCTATATGTACAGAACCATCCCGTGGCTGAAGCGACTTGGAGGGGACCGCATGGCTGGATTGTCATTATGGTAATGCAAGGTCTTTTAGATGGGAACGTCGAACTAAAGTCGACGTGGGATGGTATACCCGTCTCATGATCGCGCCTAGACACGTTTGATCATCGCGACTGGCTAGACATGGCGGAAATGGGATCTAAGTATACTCTGGCACCTACCCCCCTATCCCCCCTTATCCCCTCACTCTTGGTAGAGTGGCATCGCGAACCCCTCTATACCTAACACGTTCGCACGTCGAGCCCCTGCACCGAGGGGTTGGTCACGTTGTTTAGTCTCGAAGCTTTTCCGGGTCTCCACATGCATCTGATGTTCGAAGTGGGGGCTTCATTCGGGAAAACGTCATAAGCCAGACCCTAGACTGAGGTTTCGTGTGACGTGCCACAACACAGTGTGTCGCGCACTCATCATAATTACATCCCTATATGTACCAACATCGGAAAGTATGTTACTTAATTTTTTCGTCTGCCTTACTTCAACAACTTCTACCAGTCAGCCCATTCCGCCCATTCTACCTACATGCATGAAGATGTATCCATGCGTGTGGATGTAAGGATTTCGAAACCAGTTCAGCAATGAGATGGATCTCAACTCGGCTGAGTTTTAACTAAAGCACAGGGACAGATCGAATCCACATGTTCTACAGACATACATACATACACATACATGCGTAACGGCATACTACGTTATATTTGTCACATTTTATCGGTACGTTGTAGCCTCGACGGGTACGTTGTTATGGTTACAGCTTGGCCGAAATCCATAAAAGGCAAAGAGGAGATCGTCCTCGTTTGTTTCCGCATCTCTCGGCTACAGGCAACCCGAAGCCAATTTGAAAGTATTCACAAGTAAACCCCTCCACGCAACAAACTAAACACCTATTGGCTATCGACACGATAGCATGGCGAGGCTTATTTCGAACTTCATATTAAAATAAATGACTTTTATCTCCGTGGACGACTCAAGGCTTTCTCACAAAATACCTCGCTTATAATATCCCATACATAGATATAGGGGTCAAGTACCCTAATATGGTGCCTACTAAAGTCCGTTCACCGCATTAGTTCTTATTATCTGAGACCACTGCGACTTTTCTTTGTACTATAGAATCCAGTTTCATCTTCACGGAGACAAGGAATTAGCCATCACATCGTCAGTATGACCTGATTTGATATAGCTAACTGGGATACCGTACACACCTACATACGTATGGCGCAATTCGTGCTGTAGTGGCGGGTTCTCTGTCTTCGAATAATAAGAATTGTCGTACGTCGTACTCTGTTCACGTTATTAGTGACTTGTATTGTCTTCGAAACCCTAGTTTACGCCGGCTACAAATAGGTATTGCGAGTTGAACAAATCCTGTTTCGGCTCTACCTAAACCTAGCAGCTGAGCGAATCTTGCTGCGGGTTGAGTTGACACATCTATTTTCCCCGCACCTACACTACAATACGTTTTTGCAAGTGGACGAGCTCAGCTCAGCATGTAGACATGGCGCTTAAGGTCGCATATTTTCTCTAATATACTGACCAACTAGATAACCTAGGGCCTACATACATGGTCTAGAATCTAAGACTACCGAGATCAGTGAGATATCGTTGATTTGGGCAGTTATCAAACCAACGGTAGCATGCAATCAAACAAATGAGGAAATCCGATGCTTTATTACTGGTAGCAACAGAATGTCGATGTCTTCTTCACAAGACACGTATACGCCCTTTTTTAAACATACGGAAATGGGGGGATGAACTTCCCGTCGTAGAGTGGTTTTTCAGCACAGCTGCGGTGTTACTCTCAAACGTGAGAATTGGCTGCCAATATCACATATCCTACCCACTTCTAGACATGACATGCAGGACAGATGCAATATCCGTCCTAACACCTCGCGTTCCCCATAAAGCATCACATCGAACGTTGTCTCAGATCCTACAGCAATACTTTGGACGCCACGCTCAAGAGCCATGCAGCATCTTGCCAACCGCCTTCGTCTAATTTTGGAGGCGGAATTCTTTCTTCCGGGATATTCAAGACGCGCTCGAAATCCGCCGTACTCGCACTACGTGGAAGATGACTTCCTTCCGTCTCGCCGTCAGACTCGCCATCGGCATTATCCGATTCCTCGTCGTTCTCCTCGACGGAGAAAAGAGACCACATCCACGAGCTCATCCCTCCGTTCTTTCCGTTGACTAATTTCCGCACAACAGCCTCGTCCGATTTGCTCGTATCTACCTCAAAGGCCTCCAGTTTCTCGTCCAGACTCACAAAGTCCGGTCCCTGTATAAACTCCTCTGCTGGCACTTCTTGACTGAAATAGCCGTCATGTGCGTGGCGCTCTATGGGCGTTCGTAGGTGGGACCTACTTCCAGCTCGACTCTGCGAACGGCTACCATATCGGCTGTTCGGTGAATATACGTCATCGTCCGCGCTCGCAACACTGCCACGACGACTACCCCGTCGGCTTGCAAGTTCCCTCTCTCTGACTAGCTCTCGTTCGTATACCTCATCATCAACGTCACGCATACCGGTCAAACTAGTCGAGCTTTGCCTCGAAACGAGCCAGGCTTGGCCTTTAGACTCTCGCGTCTCTGAGCTGATCAAGGCTCCAGTGCGTAACATCCAATCGCTATCGCCTCGTCCTCTAGCATCAGATGATGCATGATGATGTGGAAGAGGTGAAAATGATCCTAACCCAGCACGCTTCGCATTTGATACAGCTAGGTGAGTCGTAGACTTGCTCTTTGGTAGTTTTGCATCCGATATGTCATGAGCGGAGGGGCGGCGGCGGCGGCTAGGCGAGTTGGCTCGGGTATGGGAGGGAGATTGGAGTAAACGAGGGGTCGTAGGGGCAGATTTGCCTTGGAGGTAGGAAACATTGTGTTGGTGTTGAAATGAGGCAGCGCCAAAATCGGGAAGCTCTTCGGGATCGGTTAGAGGGAATCTAGATGTGAGAGGTGCGAGAGAGAGGTGCTGAAGGTTCGTAGTCGATCTATTTTTCCGACGTGCCTGGTTGGCATGCTGCTTATAGGCGACGTCCATATTACGCGATTACCTGGTAGTTATCCAAACGCTATGATCGGTAATATAAGAGAAAGGGCAAGATAGCGTTCGGATAATGTCAAGACAGAAACGCTAGATAGCCTAATAGATCTAGATGTCCTTCAATTGAGCATTGAGTTATGTATGTGCATGTATACTTGAGAAAGCAAGAAACGGTTGAATAGGGGAGCCACTTACGAGTTTTGACTGCCAAAAATCGAACAATGACTTGCAGATCTGGAGCAAGGGGCTCGGCAAAGCTTGCTGGAGCTTTGGCCACTTACCATCGACGTCTCCGGTTGGCGATGCCTTCCCGAGGTCCGCCGACCCACTACCGAGATTTCCAAAATGGAAATCAAACGCACTGACCAAACTTTAAAATTATGACTAAGCCTAGACCTTCCTAGGTACCATACAGTGAAAACAACCATGAAAAAGTTTGTTCGCACGGCCTTATAGTCGTCATTACATCAAATGTTCTATATTACACTTTCGCTGCACGCTTAGGGCTACCTTACTATACCCCGGTGTCTTACAGTTAATGGTTTCGCCATACCAGAATTGGAATTTCCAATATGCGCAACCTACGCAACATCCGATATAATGCGTGGATTTCGTCAACTGATTTGAATGGTGAGGCCATTACATCAACATGCTGGGACCCTGCCAAAGATGAAGTCTTATGTACTTTCGGCCCGAGCGACCAAGATGGGCGCATACGTCTAGTGAGAATCTCTGAACATGTGAGGGCCTCTTCAATAGACATGTGAGTTTGAACCATCGCTTCCGGGACACCTGACACCCTGTTTTACTACCTACTCACTATTCATGTCCATAGTGAGTGTCAAGAGGTTGCATCATGGGACGCTCCAAGTCCAAATCCAGATTTGGCTGTTGATAGAATCATAAGTTCGCATCATTTCAGCGATACTCTCACAACATGCCTAGTCCTAGAAGGCGGCGACATAGTTGTCGTTCAGGAGTCAGAAGGCTTGGGCCCTCAGGATGGCGTCCATATCGAGATTATGGGCTCCATAGACGAGGGTATCACCGCCGCAAGCTGGTCTCCAGATGAAGAGCTGCTAGCTATAACCACCAAAGCGAACACAGCTGTCTTCATGAGTCGTGGTTTTGATGGTATAACCAACATGACTTTGACTGCCGATGATCTCAAAGAATCAAAACATGTCTCTGTCGGCTGGGGTAAGAAGGAAACACAATTCCAGGGCAGGGGTGCCAAAGCTCTACGAGACCCTACGATACCAGAGAAAGTAGATCAAGGCGTACTTAGCCCCAACGACGATGGCAACACCATCATCAGCTGGAGAGGCGATGGCGCATACGTCGCTATTAACTCCATCGAGACGGACATTCGTCGAGTCATTCGAGTCTATTCTCGAGATGGTGTCCTTGATAGCGTAAGTGAACCTGTTGATGGTATGGAGGGCGCCTTGAGCTGGAGGCCCGCTGGCAATTTAATGGCTGGTATCCAACGCCTCGAAGACCGTGTTGATGTTATTTTCTTCGAGAGAAATGGACTTAGACATGGTCAATTCTCTTTGAGAGCCCCTGAAACCAGATCGCTCGCAAAGGATCGAATACGGCTCGAGTGGAACTCAGATTCCACCGTCTTGGCCGTCACTCTTGATGACCGAATACAACTCTGGACTATGGGTAATTATCACTGGTATCTGAAACAAGAGATCCTTACGCAGAAGCGACCACATTCACTTACGTGGCATCCCGAGAAGCCATTACGCTTCACATCTGCATTACCAGGTAAGCTATTACTTGCAGAGTACATATTCGAGATAACTCGTGGGTCACTCACCCCACCTTACGACCACGGGGCTGTTGCCGTTGTCGACGGCAAGACACTCAAACTCACCCCCTTTCGAACTGCCAATGTCCCTCCTCCGATGTCATTGTTCGAACTTCAAATATCGTCTCCAATAGTCGATGTGGCATTCTCTCCTGCAAATACATTCATGGCCGTTCTCCATCAACTTGGTGTGGATGTTTACGAATGGAAGGTCAAGGGACAGCGCCCCATACTTCCATCTCTGGTTGGTAGTGTGCCCTTCACTAGGGACAACACAGACAAGGATCATACGCCCTTGCAAGTTGCCGTTACTGAGAACAGTGTTGTTCACTGTCTAGGATTTGATGAAGCGCCAGTAATCCAATCGCATTCTTTTGATCGAACAACTGGTGAATTCTCATCCAACACGAGTATCTATGCTGGTTCGATGTTCGGTTTTGTGCGTCTAACTCAATCTGGATCTACCGATGTCCTTGTCCAGGACTGTTTAGGCAGACTTCACGGCGTCGTTAATCAAGAGGATGAGCTGTATTCAACCCGCCTTCCGGTTCAGCTTCCATGGAGCGAAGTCATCGATCTAGCCGGCAACGTTATTGCAATTGGACTGTCTAGGAATGGTCATTTATATGCCAATTCTCGTTTATTGCTTAAGAATTGTACATCATTCTTGGTCACACCGGCTCATCTCATAATCACCACAACCAATCATCTAGTCAAGTTCATCCACTTAGTCGACGTTGATAGTATGTTCCCCTCAATAGCATCGCTATGTCCCATAACTGACTTCTGTTACAGATTTAGAGGTACCACCAGATGACCCTGAAAATGACGAGAGGTGCCGAAATATCGAGAGAGGCGCACGACTTGTAACGGCAACACCCACAAACATGAGCCTTGTTCTCCAGATGCCACGTGGAAACCTAGAAACAATATACCCCAGAGCTATGGTTGTGGCTGGTATAAGACAACTGATTGATGCCAAAGACTACGGGAAGGCGTACTCGTATTGTCGGACGCAACGGGTAGACATGAATATTCTCTACGACCATAGACCACAACAGTTCTTAGGGAACGTTGGGCTCTTCCTTGATCAACTTAACGATGCCTCATATATTGATCTCTTCCTTTCCTCGTTACGGTGAGTTCCCCTACTTAAATATAACACGTGAATATGTATCTGACCTGATATAGTGATGAGGATGTTACACAAACGATGTACAAAGATACCAAGGGTGTGCGGAACCAAGAAGCACCAGAAATTGCCTCTGGTGAAGTCGCTGCTAGTTTTTCAGAAGGTTATTCGAAGGTCAACACGATTTGTGATGCAGTGCTATTTCATCTCCAATCTAGCAAACACAAGGACCATGACACCCTACAGAATATCATTACAGCCAATGTCTGTAAAGTCCCACCGGCGTATGAGGATGGTCTACTAGTTGTTGCCACCTTATTGCAAGAAGACGAACAACTTGCCGAGAAGGCTGTTGAACATATCTGCTTTCTCGCGGATGTTAACACATTGTATGATGAAGCTTTAGGTCTTTATCATCTAGACCTAGCTCTATTAGTCGCGCAACAGTCACAGAGAGATCCCCGAGAATATCTCCCATTCATCCAAAACCTACATCAATTACCCGAATTAAGACGGAAGTTCGCCATTGACGACCATCTTGGTCGGCACGAGAAAGCCTTGGCCCACCTACAAACCCTCCAGGCGCATAAAGAAGCTCAAGACTATACGGCTAGGCACACACTTTATGCTAGAGCCTTGAAGCTATACCGTTATGATCAACCCAACCTTACTGCACTCACTGGTCTCTACGCGACATACCTCGAGTCCAAGTCCCGGTTCCGAGAAGCAGGACTCACCCACGAGTCCCTCCACGACTACGCAGCAGCGACCCGGTGCTACCGCGCTGCTGGCGCCACTTGCTGGCGCGAGTGTCTCTTCACAGCGCAACAGCAAACCCCTGCGCTCGCGCCAGACGCCCTCACCGACCTCGCCTCCGCCCTTGCCGAAGCGCTCTTCGAAGCCAAGGACTACGCCTCCGCCGCGACCATCCACCTCGACTACCTCGGCTCGCTCGAGACCGCCATCTTCAACCTATGCAAAGGGTACCACTTCGCCGACGCCATGCGCCTCGCCGCCCTACACAAACGTCCCGAATTACTAGCCTCGGCCGTGGACCCGGGGCTCGCGGACGCACTAGGCAACACGACCGAGTTCTTCGCCGACTGCAAAGCGCAGCTCCGCGCCCAAGTCCCGCGGATCGCGGAGCTCCGCCGCAAGGCCGCCGAGGACCCTCTCGGCTTCTATGAGGGCGAGCGCGGGGGCGGCGGCGCCGACCTGCCGGACGACGTGTCCGTCGCGGCGAGCTCGCGCGTGAGCACGAGCGCGAGCCTGTTCACGCGGTATACGGGCAAGCAGGGCAGCGTCGGCACGGCGGGCACGGGCGTCAGCCGCGCGACGAGCAAGAACCGCAAGCGCGAGGAGAAGAAGCGGGCTAGGGGTCGCAAGGGCACCGTGTACGAGGAGGAGTACCTGGTGAATAGCGTGCGGAGGCTCGTCGAGCGCGTCGAGGGGACTAAGGCGGATGTCGAGAGGTTGGTTTTCGGGCTTACGCGGCGGGGTATGCATGAGCGTGCGAGAGCGCTCGAGAGTTTGGCGGCGGAGGTCGTGGAGGCGTGTAGGGTTTCTGTTAAGGAGGTCTTTGTGGGGAATGGGGAGAAGGGTGGTTCGGGCTCTGAGGAGGAAAGGAGAGGTAATGTAGAGGATGGGGAAGGCGAGTGGAGGCCTATGGGCGCTGATGCGGTGCTTCTCGAGAACCTTGAGGCTGCATGGAGAAAGCAAGAGCCCCCTAAGATTACGGGGATGGAGAGGTTGTCGTTGTTGGGCTCGTAGGCAGTGGTGGTGGGAGATAGGTGAATGGGAGGGCAATAGAGAAGATATACGGTTAGATAAAATCAGGGGATCGCATGTGATGTGCGCCTATGTGGGCATGAATTTACACCTGCCGAGTGTTAATGGAGGTCATGCTTAACGTATAGTAGTCGTGAATGCGTTATATACATTTATTTTACAAGTCTTAAACTATAGTGTACTCTAGGACCCCTTTTATTTTTATTTCTTGATAGCTTATGAAGACGGTGGAGGTGGCGTCTCCTCGCTAACTGTCTCTAAAGGCGGCGGACTTGTTTCGGCTTCCGTCGTTTTTGCTTTAGCTGACGTCGACGCTTCGCCATCACCACCAACATCACCACCACCACCACTACTACTACTACCACCGGCCTCAGGCAAAGCCCCCTGCGCGTTCCGCTGCCTCTCCATATTCCTCGCCATGACCTCGCCGATCTTCTCGAGCATCTCGACCGTCAGGCGCGGCTTGCCCTTCTTCTTCTTCTTCTCGCGCTCGGCGCGATGCAGCTCCTGCAGGGGCGTGCGCATGCTTTCTTCCGCGGCCTTCTTCTGGTCGCGCTTGGCCTGCTCCTCGGCCTCGAGGCGCGCGACGTACTCGGGGTCGTGGCGGGTGCGGAAGCGCGAGTACTTGCCGCGCAGCTCGTCGATGAGGGACTCGGGCATGGGCGGGCGCAGCAGCGTCGGCACGAACGTCTTTTCCTCGACGTCGATGCGCAGCGTGTCCGCCGCGTGGTCCTTCAGGTTCTCCGGCTCCTTCTTCGGCCACGGGATCACGGCGTTCAGCCCCGGTACTACTCGTGTCCAGTGCCGCTTCCCCGTGTACCGGTCGTGCGCGATGCTGCGCGGCTCGATCCGGTTGATGATCACGTCCCGCGTCACGCCCGTCACAGGGTCCTTCAGCGGATGCACGAGCCGCACGCGCGAGATGGTGATGCCGAGCTCCGTGGCCATGGCGACCGGCTGTTTCCTATTGCGGAGGTCGGGGTCGATCGCTACGTTGCTCTGCAGGGTTCGGTCTTGTCAGCTAGCCCCTCTCCATCTGGGGAAAAGAAAAACCCCCTCTATCGCCACGGAGAGAAAAGAGGAGATATATGATATAGTATTGGGTTGGAGTGTAGGTGCGAAATTTATTTACCTTGTTCAACCCGTCGACGAACACTTCCATCTTGTTGGGGTCGATATCCATGATCTTGCCGATGCGGCCCTTGTCCGGGCCCTCCATCAGCACGACGCGGTCGTCGACGGCCAGGCTCAGGAACTTGGTGCCGCCGGCCCAGGCGCACCGCGCCTCGAGTTGGGTCGGCGTCGGTCTCCCGAACACCCCGTACTGGGTCTCCTTGATGGCGCCGCGCGTGCCGGCGTGGATGCCGACGTCAGACCGCGGGGCCAGCGGGCCCAGCTCCCACGCATCCTTGATCGCCATTTTGGCATTCTTGACATCGACCCCGAACGCTGACAGCTGCTGCTGCCGCCGGACCCGCTGCCGCGATAGGCCCTTCTTGTCCCGCGCCTGCATCTGCTTCTTGTGGCGCTTGGCGACCGCCCGCTCGGCGGTCGCTACGCGGCGGAGGATCTTCTGCATTTTTTTCTTTTCTTTCTTTCTTTCTTCCTTTCTTTCTTTCACTCCCTCCTTCCGCCTTTTCCCGCCCTTTCCTCTCTTCCCTTTTTATTTTTTTATTATTATTTCCGGTCCTCTCCCTCCGGGGACTCGGGGATCGAAGGTGGTCGACGACGTCGGTGGTGGGGGGGTTTCTGAGGATGTCGTCGCTCGTGTGCGTGGGATTTGGAGCTGGCCAAATTTTCGGAAGCTCTCAGGGCCCAATTGGCTAAGGCTAACGGTTTACGCATCTGATTGGCTGTGATTCAATTGAAAGCTGACTAGGGTCTGACCGCGGAAAATCTAGACTCCGATAGATCCCACCTTGTACAGATAGAGATACGGGTACCTAGGTACTTCTCCAAATGCCAAGACACACATGCATTGAAAGTCATGACGGTTATCGGTTTATCTTACATCTTACATGCGACTCTAGACTTCATGCTTCGTGTTGCATATGGCATACGGTAGTTGAGCTTTGAGCTCCTTATTAGAGCCAAATATATTTCGTCATCCGAGCTGCCTGTTCAATTGATTCAGTCTGATGCCACCTTGGCCTGCTTGGCCAACAATCAGCTATTTGGCAAGTGATACATCATCCTCCGGGAATATAATCCGGTTTACGAAATCACCCTTTTGCAGCCGGGTTTCGTCGTGCCACGAAAGCTTATTACTCCGGACTTTGATATTCTGTTGAACCACCTGGTCATTCACCCAACATATCGGGTCCTGTGTTACTCATGCATAATAGACAGATTCACCTTGAATTGCAACTTGTCCGTAGGCACATTTACCCTTACCTTGTATAGGTACGGCTGATACAAAATAGTAGATATGTGATACTACAATGCTCTCGTGTGTTCTCGTGTATTATCACTTATATGGGTGCTCTCCGGCGTAGCTTATCGTCATATGCTACATTCTCTAGGTTTGATGGCAAGTTTGATGTTCTACACGAAGTTTGGCAAGGTACATGTCATGGTATCACACATAGGGCTTCGGTCGATTATCCGTCTAGTATTATAAAGTAATAGAGTGAACTAAAACTTTACTTAAAAGAGTTGGATTTGAAATGATAATCATCCATCACTTATTTAAGTAAAAGGCTATCAAGTCTTACTCTGAAAAATGTTAGTTGTTAGTATCTTGAATGTTTCATCGACATGTGGTTCTATTTTGATGCGTTGTAATAAATCATTGATATCAAGCCGTTGTTCTTTTTGTTCGTACGGTGTCAAGGTAGGATAGATTAGATGATGTATCGAGTCAGTTCATCGTCACAAGCGAGCCAAGCTACAGCGACTAACTAAGTCTTACAGCTCGGTCTAACCCGTTTGGTAAGGAATAGAACTGACAGCGCCGTAAAGATAATAAGCTAGGCGAGCCAAAGAAATATAAGGGGAGAAAATAAGTAAAGGGGGAACGGGAGAAGGAGAAGAGAAAAAAAAAAAAGAAGGCTAGGCGGTACCAAGCCACGGGGTTGGCTCGTATGAAACATAGAGTCGCGGCGGCTCGTACGCGTATGCCGAACACCCCCACAACTCGTATCAACGGAGTGGCAGAACAAAGAAAAGCAGATTGCGATTGCGCGATAGGGGAGAAAACGCGGGAATGACATGATAGTACTGAGCCACACTTGCTCAGCTGAAGCGCGGATCAGATAATGGCTATTGCGGTATTCAGTCGGTGAGAGCTCGCAAATGGCGAAGACGCAAGCTCCTTGAAGATCTACCTAGCTCGGTACCTAGGTCCTAGGTCCTAGGCACAGCTAGGCAGTAGGCAGTAGGCAGTAGGTTCGAATCGACGCAAACATGCTTAGCCCGCCTAGCTTGGTTCTGCTTGGTGTCTTCGCTGTCTCTGCTACTAGAAGATGATCTCTCCGGCAACACTTCCGTATCGTGACAGGAATTCCATGCAGTGATACTCAACGTGCAATCCAATATTGGGCTCGTCGGTGTTCAACACCAACGCCCCTTTCTCTGAGTCAGCGTCTGATGCTGTCCACTTCATAAGCTGGGGTGATCTGATTTTTGGAAAGTTTATGAGATATGACTTCGACTGTATTCTCACAGTGTGCTATAAATTCTTGGCCTCTTGAATTGCCACGCTTCTTGATCCTATCAATGACAGCTTTTATTTTCCAGGTATTTGCCCTTATGCTGATATGGAACCATAGATTCATATACTCCTAACGCCGCATCGTATTAGTGAAATTATAATCCGCATAGAATATGTCTATACCATCATGGCATGAGATTCAAGAAAGGTTAAGCAAGGCAGAGGGCTGCGCACGGACCCACGTTACGATAGTCGAGATGCATAATTCGATGTTCATAGGCTCATAAGTCTGTAGTGTATGTGGTAGGCAAATAGGTGTGGGCTTCGCAGCTTTCGGTGGGTTGCCTCCTCGATTTCCGAGCGCAAGGACCTAATCAAGGCCTGTGAAATGTGTGAAATGGGAATGGGATGTGATGGTCGAAATGTACTTGTACTCCAAGGCAGAAGCCGAGCCAGTGCGAAAGCAGCAAGAGCTGGACGTGCAGCGGGTCTCTCCCAGCTCATCATAATGCAATTGAACATGTGGTAGGTACGTGTGTCCTCCTGAGATGTACAGGCGGAAGTACAGGTACATCCGTCCGTAGTGTGTAGATTTTCAAGGACTTTAGTTGTTCTTTTGGCCGCTTAAATGCTAGGACTATTCACCAAAAGTGCCTACAATTCCTTAACACGTCCCACTAAACCCTGCCTGCGTTAGGCACTTGTGACTGCCCAGATTGCCCCGGGTGGTTGCCAGCGTCCCTTATTTGGCTTATTTGGGTGAACCGGCACCGCCGCTCCTGCTGTTGCTTTGGTGGATTGGTTGGTGGTGTCCCGACCTTTAGGCCAAAAAAGTGTGTTTATGTGTGTTTATGTACTTCCACAACTTCCACACATAGTGGTTTAGTGCCGTAGTGCCTGCCTTATCCTCTACCAGGACCTACCAGGATACATACCTTGCTGGTGCTACCGCCTACCGCTGTCAATTGCAGCAACCTTCTAACCTACTACCTTCCTAACCTCTTTCCTCCTTCTTACATTCTCCATCTCTAATCTCCCTCCATCTTCTTCCATCATCCAAACCTCCAAAGGGAGATACTTGACGAACGCTTGCGAGAATCCATTCATCAAGCCTTTTGAACTCTTTTATTTTCTTGCATATTCTCTGAATACCCCGACCAAAGCTCGCCTTTTTTTCTCTGCCCCTAATCCAATAATCCTTCCCCAAACATGGCTGAGATCCGCCGAAAGCTGGTCATCGTCGGTGACGGTGCCTGTGGTAAAACTTGCTTGTTGATGTATGTCGCCAACCACCAAAACAAACCCGTCTTTGCCACAATGCTAATCTCAGCAACAGCGTCTTCTCCAAGGGCACTTTCCCTGAGGTAAGAGAATGATTGCCTCGTCATCATCACCATCATTTCCCTCGTCTATTTTCTACAGAACCCGCCCGCGTCATCGAAACAAAGGAACATAGATATTCGTCTAAATCCATCCAAACATTCGAACTCCCGCCTTGTCGCCCATTGATATCATCAAGATTATCCATGGCGCTTCAGCATACAAACACGAGTGCACGGTGCATTATGCTAACGAGATCTCTTTTTTTGATAGGTCTACGTCCCTACCGTCTTTGAGAACTATGTCGCCGATGTCGAGGTTGATGGCAAGCACGTCGAATTAGCCTTATGGGATACGGCTGGTCAGGAAGACTACGATCGTCTCCGACCTCTGTCTTACCCCGACTCCCACGTTATTCTAATTTGCTTCGCTGTCGACTCCCCCGATTCTTTGGACAACGTTCAGGAGAAGGTCAGCAATTTCCCATTCTCCATGCAGCCTGCATCAAGCTTCCCGGATAAGCAATTTGCTGACACGTGCTCTACCAATAGTGGATTTCCGAGGTTCTTCACTTCTGCCAAGGTCTACCTATCATCCTCGTCGGCTGCAAGAAGGATCTGCGTTACGACGCTAAGACGATCGAGGAGCTACGTAAGACCAGCCAAAAGCCCGTCTCTCCTGAAGAGGTAAGTTCTCATCTCAGCCTTGCTTTGCTGTATCTGGGTGGCGTCTCGATACGAGACGACCAGTCCTATAACAGCCTCGCCTCCCATTATATATATGTAACGTAGTTGCTAAGCTCTCGTAGGGTGAGGATATCCGTAAGAAGATTGGCGCCTACAAGTACCTTGAATGCTCGGCCAAGACGAACGAGGGTGTCCGGGAGGTTTTCGAGCATGCCACCCGCGCTGCCCTGCTGTCCCGCAAAGGACAGAAGAAGCACTCTAAGTGCTTAGTCCTTTAAACAATATACACGGCTTTTATGATACCTTCGACTTACCGTCGTAATCCATCGTCGTCCTTCTAGGTTCATTCCACGGACGGGATACGCAGATGACAAGGGGCTTTGGACGGACTGGAAGGGTTGGACCGCCTACGCGCCATAGTCTCGGCTGGAGTTTGATTCGTCTGCTCGCAATTGCTACTTCGGCCGGCGTGCAACTCAGGACAGCTTTCACGTGTCTCCCATATTTACAAAGGGAGTATATTGGTGACGGAGTAGCGGGTATCATTGTACTTGAATTCCCAAACGGATCGAGAGGAGGAGGGGATAGGCAAACTTTGCTGCCGTTAGAGAGTGTGGGTGGTGTGTTGTGAGTGGTATGTGTGTCAAGATTGGCGAGACAACCCCAGAGAATACGGCTATATCATAAATCTTCTCCTTTTTACTGCTCTTGATAATTCCCGCGTCAGGTCAAACCAGGGAGTGGACATTTGTTGTGCAGGGGCTACTCTTTCTACCTGTCTTTTTTCCCAATCATACTCCTTACTAATATCCTGATGTCCTGCCGGTCTCTACCTTGTGTGTCTGATGAGTTCTTTCTGCTGCTGCGTGTCCGTATAAGTCACCAGTGTTGTGAGAAGCTTCCATGTAGCCTATAGCTGTACGATACCGCCCGTTTTAGGAGAGTTCCCTGAAGGGCTCGCCGAAGTGACTCAGACGAGGTCTTGGTATTGTAGTCTGACGTGGATTGTAGCCGCATTGGAGATGGTCATGTGAGATTGATTCAGGATGTCATATTAGGGACGTATGTAGTGCCTAGCTGATTCATGATATGATATTATACTTGTTTACTGTGTAAGCAAGTTCTAGAAACACGGGCAACGTTCAGCCACCAGCTACTTTTCCCGCCGGTTTCATTGGGCTCATGAGGCAAGGCGCCATGCCGGAGGCTTGCTTATTTTTACCAGCTAACGCTGCGAGGTACTAATGCTGCCATGTTTATGTTTCCTCGAGCACGATAAAAGGGAGTTCATCCCATATAATGACATGATCTGTAAGACTTGTCTGCCAAGATAGGCGTATATCTAGGCCACACAGGGACGAAAGCACCATTTTCACACCAAACTCGAGCAGCTCATCAATAACAAAAACAAAAAGGGGGAGTTAACTGGTCAGGATACCTAGTTTTATCTGGTTTGGTGCCGTAGGGGCAAGGCAAGTCATAGTTTCGCCAATGTGTGCTTCTCTCTCTCCGTGTCTCTCTCTCTTTCTCTTCTCCGTAAGAATCGAACGTGGGAAATCGAATGGTTAAGAAATACAACGTAAAACGCACTCCTCTTCGCGAACACGGCTTATACCGCTTCGATTTGAAAAAATCCCCTTCCTTGACTCCTTATCTCCCCGTCCCCCGTCCCCTTCCCGATTCCGTCGTCCATGCCGACCCGGATTATGTACGCCTTGGGGGGAAAAACGAATGGTGTAGTAGATTGGTGGATGGCGATATATTAAGTCCCGGCTCCCCTGGTTTGCGCTCGTTTGGCCATGGTGAGGGATGGGGGCTTAGACGGGGCAGGTCTGGGCGTGGGTTAGTAAGGGTGTTTAGATGGCTTTGGTTGATGGTGCTATAGATATATATAGTGATGAAGGGATATGTGTGAGATATCCAGGGTGTATAAGACGTAGTTAAGGGATATTGTATATGTATATATAAAGGACTTATAGAAAATCAACATACAGCGCCGCAAGAGCCACACTTCTTGGAGTCGCCGTCGAAGGCGGTTCCGCACTTGGGGCAAGCTGAGTTATGCATCTTGAGTTACTGATGAGGATTCGGCGTAGCCTTGGTTATCCGTGTCTACCCGTCATGTTAAGTCAGTCAGCTGAGTCCCACGAGATAGTCAAGCTTATAAGCACTAGGTGAGTAGCATAGCTAGGCACGGCGGGACAAAAGTCCACGCCGGTTAGTCTGCCCCTCTTTCTTGCTTTCCCCTCTTCTGGGGGAAGATATAGGAATAGAGGGCTAGGTAGATATATACGTTGGTATATATAGACCTAGAGATAGGCAGATAGGCAGGTGGACAAATAGGAAGGGGTATATATGTAAGGCAGATAAGTTCCACAAGTCTGGGGGTTGAGTCCTCAGGGCGTTGAAGGGGTAAGGGTCGTTCAGTGATCCCGGAAAGAGATGAGAGTTGTCACATAACACGAAGGGGATATATCACTTACAGACGGGAGATCGTGCAAAAAAAGTTGATCGATGGGTTGGATGTGTAGGGCAAGAAAGATCTTGTGTAGGTCTTGTGGTATGATGTTGATGATGGATGGGATGTGGGAATAGGCAAGGTATTTATCTCCTTCGCTCTGTCTTGTCATGGGTAATGGGTAATGGGTAATGGTCTATACGTCGTTCGACGCTTGATATGTATAAATGTGGTAAGCGGGGTTCGGTGCAATCGGGGGATCAGAAGAGAACAAGCTTGGGTCACGATATGTTCGATACGTCGATACCCTACGTACATACAAACCAAGCTCTCAAAACACTACTATGCTATGTATGTATGATGATGTACGGTATCATACGTCTTACCATAGCATCGATGTAATCTTCTTTTCGATCTTCAACATGATTCCTGTTTTATTGAAACGGGCTCTCGGTTTCTATTTTCTGTACCATCCCGACCTTTTTTTTTTTTGGCTTCACGCCCCTTATCCCTTACCTGCCTAGTGTTATGTAGCTAAACACAATGCATCCATTCCCATTGCTCCGTGCCTGTTATCGTCCGCCTAAGCAACTTACACACATGGTAATATAGGGTATAGCTTGGGATGGATGGATGCCACCACCCTAACTACGCCCTACGTCCATGCGTACAACACTTACCTACATATCTAGGCACACACGCGCGCGCACCCCATACACCATCACCGAACCTGTCTCAGACCAGCCGCTAGGCCAAGTCATAAGTCCCCGTCGGAGCGTGGGAGCCTGCCTAATGGGGAGCTGCGTCGGCAGGTCATCTGCGTTTCTCCAACGGGGACGACGGATTACTGAACTTGGGGTAGCGTGCGCGCGCGCGTATGTGTAAGGAGACCGACATACGGATAGACACAAGAAAATTCAAGATCGATCCTGTAGTAGAGTGGAATGGGGGCCCTCGGTCTCCTACGTATGTGCATGCTCGGTAAAATAAACATACATGAAATATCGTGTTATGTATAAGAAAGTCGACGGTGCCACGATGGAGGGGAATGGTGGGGATATGTATGTATGGATGTTAAGGTAGGACCATGGCTTGAGCCTAGGACTACGAGCTAATAGGACCCCTAGAAACAAGCCTTCAATGTGGACTGTGTATGCGGTCAAAGGGCGCTTGTGGCGTACAATTCGTTATGCAACAGCTATACCGGTAACACGTTCTACCTATTCCTATCTATATACCGGGCATCCAAGGGGGCCGTGAAAGCAGAAAAGAAGAGCTGGCGTGGGTTGAATGGCTATACTAAAAGTGGTGCTTTGCATCGGCCCATCCAGACGCGGCCTCACTATCTAATCAATCGTGCAGCATGTGCGCGTCCCATCTGTAAGCCGTGGATGCTGTAAGCGGCCTAGAAAGGTCAAGACTGCAAAGTGCCGCGAGCGTCCAGGGCCGCCAAACATCATCATCCCGCGACAAGCGATACAACCTCAACGCATACATACAACCCTTGCTTGCTGCTGTTGCCGTGCATGAGAAGGGGGGGAAGACAGGAGGATCAAAAGGCATGGGTGGATATAGCTGCAGACAGGCGGATCCCGACCGTCTGGTCGCCTCCTCAAATCACAACGAACACGAACATCTCCTGGGCTTTGCCAACTCGGAATACCGTTGCCTGCAGCTGGGCCAAGCTGCCATCTACCGAAGGTGGTGTCGTCCGATGAAAGATTTCGACGTCTAAACGCCTCAACGTGTTCACATCGACGCCCCGTCACGACCCTTTTCGATTATGGGGACATGAACAAACGCATCCGCGGGCATGCGGGTTGCCTCCCCGTTTGTATTCCTAGAAACATCGCATCGCATTACATGAAAAAAATGCGGGAGTAATATACAAATACACGACAACGCGCTGTAGGGGTCTATAAGTCTATACGCATTGGGACGGTTCGCCCCCTCCTGCAAGGAAAACAAATATATAGTCAGCAATAGTTCTTCACCGGGAGGATGACGGAGACGGGTAGCCACGTCGGGCAGTCAGACGAACCTTTAATCACCTTGCCAATAGCCTGGAACATGCTGATAGCCATGACGGCACACCCAAACGCCACAACGCCCATCGCGACGTACGTTTTCCACGATCTCGAGCTCAGCTTGATATAGCACAGCGGCGGTAGTATGTAGGCGAGCGCACAGGCACTCGTCGCCCCCACCAGCTCGAACACGATCCCCAGATCGCACGTCACCAAGCTCAGTGTCATGGCCGAGACGACCAATGCGGAGCTGAAGATGAGGTGGAGGTTCATGTTGAACGGCTCGTTCGGGAACCAATAGTTGAGCATGACCTCCCGACAGACGAACGCCTCCAGCGGCAAGGTTGTAAGCATATTTAACCCGAAGCAGAGGCGCGCAAAGGTAACCATCGTGTTGTCAGCCGGGAAGTTGTTCAGCACGTTCCCGAGCGTCTTATCGCCGAAGGTAAGGAATCCCGCGAGTGCCATAGTCAAACATGCCAGCATCGAGATTCCCGTAGAGTAGTGTGTCACTTTCGAAAAGCGGTCTATCGTCGGAGTTTTTAGGGAGCCGTAAATTAAGAGAGAATTATGTTGACAAACGAATGCTGGGCTTGCGTCAGTGTCATGTTGTTGGTCTAAAGGGGTATACTCTTTTTTTCAGAGGAGTACGGGATAGAATAGACCTACCAAAAGAAATAACGCCGACAGCCTGAAATATCCCATCGTTGATGGTAAGCAGCGGCGTGGAAAAAGATCCGCGACGTTCGGCCGGCGTAAGGACGCTTTGGACGACGACCGTGATCAATATGATCACCATGCTGATCAAAGCAAGCGTGCTTGCCTTCGCGAGCTATGTATCTTCACTTTAGCCTATAGTCCAAATAGTCCAAATAATCGCAATAGCTCGAATAGCTACCATTCATAAGCGCCAACAAATTAAACAAGAAAAGCTTACCTTCGCAATATCTCTATACAAAGTCAAAGGATAGCTAATCCCCAGCACGAAAATCACAATAACCGCCCTACGATCAGCCAGGATCCAAAGCACACTCATATCCTCGAGGCCCGGCCAGACAGTGCGCAGGACCTGGGGAATCGAATCGCCCACGATAATGCCGAAAGCAACCATCCCGCCGAACGCGAAAGCCCACTGCGCAACGCTAATAGCGACGAGCCCGGGCTTGCCGAAGCAGTGCTCGACGGTGCCCTGGAAGGAGCTGGCGCCGCTGAGCTTGCTGTTGACGACGATGAGGCGGATGGTCCAGTCGACGACGATCGTGAGCGCGACGAGCAGGACGATACCCGCGATGAGTCCGGCGTCCCGGAACGCGTACGGCTGCCCGATGATGCCGGCCCCGATGATGCTGTTCGCCATGTTCATGAACGCCGACCGCATCCCCGACTTGGGACGCCGCCGCTCGCGCTCCGCCCACGACTGCACGTCGTCGTCGACGTCGAGGCTGTTGGCCAGCGTTACCGACGGCGCTTCGATGTCGGTGAGTAGGGGGTGCCGTGGCGTGGAGTTATCATGGTGGTCGTCGTCGTCATCATACTCGTCGGCACTATCCGGTTCGGTGAAGTCGAAGTAGTCGGAGGGCTCGGATGAGCGCTCGTGACTGTTGTTGTGCCCGTTCGCGGGCGGTGGGATGTTGGTAGGTCGTAGGTCGAAGCGGACGCGGTTAGGGGTCCTAGGGGTCCGCGGTGTGCGGGTAGAATCATTATCATCGTCGTCGCGAGGACCACCGTCCTCGGCATCGCCGGGGTGCACTATAATGCCATCCTCGTCCTCGTCTTCGTCCTCGTCGTCGGAGGCGTTGTTACCGGCGAGCAAGCCATGCTGCTCTTCGGCGGATGGAGCTGTAGTTGTAGTATCGTTCCGCGGTTGCTCTCTGCTAGTAGAGGAGCTATAAGTCGTGGCCTTGGCCATTGTGTTATTACGGAGGCATCCTTACAAGGGATGGATAAGTCAACTTCCGTCCTCGGTAACGGCTCGTGGTGTTGGGAACGGATGCAATTACTTGTTGACGTACGTAAGTCAGCTTGAGCCGCGCCTCGACATAGGCCAGTTTCTGGATCCGGGCAGTGTTCGCTATGTAGACCGTGTCAACTGGAGGACGAAACAATTACGATAACCGTACGAAATACGGTCATTTTATTCTTATCGGCATGTGACTTCATAGTACGTATTCTTCTTCTAATGCAGGGGTTATAATTCGACGATGATTGGCTCATACTTGGTTCTGGTCCCTCCTCAAGTCATACCTTCCCGAATTTCTTTATATCTGGGGCAGCTGGGGGTCGGTCCGATATTGATATAAGCTATCCGTAGTTTCTACACCAAAGGAAGGCGCTAGTCCCAGTCCTAATTTATTCTCCTTTGGCTTCTCTAAGAATAGGGGGCCCTACTTCATCAGACCCCGTGACATCGATGACATGAAGTTCTAACCGTAATGAAGACAATAATCGATGATGGCAGCCATTAGAATAGAATATTTCATTGTTCATTACATTTCCACTACATACAATGCCCAACAGCATGTATACATGCTGATGTTGGGCTTTCTGCCGACCTATTTATTCCTCCGCGGCGGGTATCATTCGTGTACAGTTCTGCGCTATTACGAGTCTTCTTTCTTCCTCGTACATCCTCCACACATGCCCGCTGTCCTGTCTATTCAAGAAGCCAGCAATGCCTCCCTATCTAAAAGAGAGGCGGCCCCATGGGGAATGCACTGCACTAGGCCGTGCTATCCACCGACGGAGCATTTGTAGTGTATATATAATATGTAAATTCGAGATTTGTCTGAAAATCCTCCAGTTATATCCGATCAAATAATCATAGCGATCATCGAGATAATGGAGATTAAGGCGTATGCGTCTGATCCACGTAATCTCTGGCCTGAAGATTCCGTGCTAGGAGAGCTGCTCGCTGCCGTTCCAGTTGTACTATCTGTGCCTGTCGTCGTCTCGTGGGGAACAAGGCCAACACCAGCATCGCTTGACGTAGCCGTCGGGGTTGTCGTGCTAATGGTCGTCGAACCGTCCGAAGATACTATTGTTGTTACGCTGGGGCTACTAGTACTGCTGCTGGAAGCTGCTCTAGCGGCGAATCCTATATCCATAATTAGCTCTGATAGACATACACTTGCCTGCCTCAACAGTAGGTGGCTTACCAATTCGTTTCTGATCCACATCAAATACGCTGTAGACGTTCTTCAGAAACATATCCCCAAGTAGCCAAGCCCCAGGCACAAACTCCATGCCGTACACGTTGCCGAGGCAAGTACCGTCGCTATTCGGAGCAGACGTAAAGTCTTTAGCCGAGGCCATATAGGTCTGTCCCGAAAAGCTGAAGGAGACAGAGGCATTACTGTTGCATGGAACAGTCCATGTTTGGCCCTTGTCAGTGGTCTGAGAGCCGGGCACCAAGGCATACAGAGCCTTAACATCGTCAGGGGGTCCAAAAACAAAGGTCGTGCCAGTGTCAATATACGCTTGTCGACCCTTTACGTTGGCCGAATTGCCATCATATAACACGTCGTCCATAGGAATAGCCCAACTGTTTCCGGATTGGATAGGCGTGTATGAAATGTCACCCGTATATTTTGCCTTATTTGGAGCACCAAAAGCTATTTCTCCATCATTGGTACCGTCGCTGTTCCTGGCTAACGCAATCCCAAAGACGTTGGATTGGATCAACTTGGCGTCCCTGACGTAGGCAAGCCATGTGTTTGATACCATAGATAATCCTAAAATGCCCTCGAAGGGGAACTGAGAAAACTGATCTGAGGTGACATTGGCAACTCCGAATGGCATCGTCACCTTTAGTCCGGCGATGGAGATGGAGTCCGAGATAACATGACCGCTTACTTCACCGGAGCCGTATTCGACAGAGTAGTTGCTTCCGGTATCATTGTACGTTTTCGAATCGTTGGGCCCGAAGGTGTTGTGCTTTGTGCAAGCACTAGATGTGCAACCCGAGCCCATGACCCAGGTCGTACTAGCTCCGGTATCCACAAGCATGTACATTGATTTCCCTTCAGAGCCAAAGTTGGCTTCGATGAAGTACGAGTAGTCGGTTCCATCTTGGTCGATACCCACGGCGTTGCTAGCAGTAGGTTTGACAGCACTGACTACGTTGTAGTCGTTGTCTCGGTTGAGCAGGGCTGCATCTTCGTAGGAAGTAGACCGCGTCGGTACTTTGGATCCATACTTGGAGGCTAGACTATGAACGACTCTTGTGATCTTGTCCGTGAGAACCTCTTTAGCCTACGCGCAGTATTACGTGTTAGCGGAATTCCAATTACGCGCTTCTAGAAGTTCAACATACACTAGCTTGCTTCGGGACCAATTTGAATGTCACAAATCCAAGCTGAGGGTTTGGCTTGTTAAGTTTCGCTTCGTCTCCATGGCCTCGTTCGTCTAAGCCGGTCCTGGGAATCTGGAAGAAAGCATGGATCCCGGTAACCCATAACAAGAGCTGGATCAACGTTAAGCTCCGATGCATATTGAAAAGTTCCGCAGCGTGATCCCAACACAACCTACTCCCCCCGTTAGAAATACCTGACGTCTCGGGTTCCTCGCCAGGTTGGTCGCTATATAGGCAATTGATAGTAAACTAAGCCCGCGCACACATCTGGACTAAGCAACGTAAAGCCGGTTCGAACAAAGAAGCTTGCTAAAGAAGTAAGCAAGGCGTTACAAGGACAATCGGGTGCGTCGATGCAGTTTGCTCCTGGCGATTCACGGGCCAAGAGTACCAGACTCTCTGGTCTAGATATTATAATATTAAAGATTAAGGACCGTCATTGGAAAGCCGGATAGTTAAGGAAAGATGACGAATCGACCCAAGAGAATAAGTCGAAAAATAGGAGGTTGTTAGCGACGATCCGGAGTATAATACAAGGAACGTAGGGTCTCGCGGAAGTGAGTATTCGATACGTCGATCTGGAATTCCAAGACAGGCGCCACCGGGAGAAACACGTTTTAGAAATAAGACAGACAAGGAATTCCAAACACTGGCCGCCGCCCCGTCTATTAATTGATGACAAGATACCGGTAGCAAAAAGTAAAAAAAGACGGAGTAATGTGGCGCTGGGAGGAAAGACGACAATATACACTACACAAGGCCAACAATTAAGAAAGGTATGGACGAGATCGGGATGGGATGGCTGTGGAGAAGTAAGGTTGGTGGTTAAGATGTCCAGGTGTGGAGGCCGGTCGAAAATGGAGGGTGGAAGGGGGAAAGTCAAGTTGATCGTCTCCTCAGCCCCTGCCGGCAGCGAGAACCAGCATCATCGTGGACCTCCGATTGCTTGGCTTTTTCCCGATGAGGATGGCGTTAACTGCGAAGAGATACGTTACCTGTACCGGCTATCTGATCAGTTTAACGACCAGAGACGACCAAAAGCTGTTAACGTTCTATTTCTCTCCGTGTCTACCAGAAAAATGATAAATCGCATTTGCACTAAAGGAAGAACTCTCAAGGGCATCCCCTGTTGGCCATGTAGGGGTAGGTAAAGATAGCGCCATTTGTGGATTCCCGGCTTTTAATCTACTCAGATGTGACTTGGATGTGACTTTGGAATCCAATCATCTGTAACCCATTTTGGAGGTATCTGCAGAGTACCCTCCCTTTATATTGATCAACTCGGGAAATTGGGTCCTCGTCGTAATAGATAGGTGATTGGTCGGCTTATGCTGGTTGTGATGAATCCCCTGTGTTTGCGGCGGAATACGTTGAAATGTCCAAAGTGATTGTCTACTATGTGCAGCTTGCAGAGCGCGTTAGCCTACTTAGATATTTTAATCTGCACTTTGCTCTGCCACGACGAACTTAGCATATTAACAACATTGCTCCGTGCTTGAGGTGTTGGAACTTCAATCGGCGCCATCGAGCCCTTTGGAAAAGTGACTGGTAACCGAGCCTACAGCTTCGGCGATATGTAGGGGATTCTCCATACAGTATCTGAATTATCTTTAGATTGCTTGCAGGGACTTAGACTCATTGGCCAGGCAGTGGCCCCAGAAGAGGCTCTTGATCGGGAATGGATGAGCAGCCAAGAATGCATTCTCTGGAGATCCTTGGCTCGAGGAATCATATCAGTGGATCAAGTCCTTGCCAACCCGGTATGCACATCTCACATTGGCCAACAATTGCTATTTACAAGAGATAATAGTCTAGATATTCGTGGTCCTCGAGTCAGGCTAGATAGGCTAGAGCACGAATTCTTCGATAAGGTAGGTAAGTCAATAGTGTAGTGCTTACGTCGAAATAGAAATTAGATCCGAGATGTTTAGCATCAAGATGAGACTAGTCTAGGTCGACACGAGGCAACCGAGTTCACTCACTCGTATCCGTCAGCGTAAAAGCTGAGGATGAACTCGACGAACGGAAAGCTTGGCATTACCAGCACCGTAGAACGTCCTGAACGCCATCCCGTCTTATCCAGCCGCCTGCAATGTCCGTGAGCTCAAGTGGTTCTCCGGCCACTCGTGGGATCTTCGTAAAGTCGGGAGAAGGATTTCGATAATCGCCAAGGTGTATCAGAATTCTGAAGTTGGCTGGATCGATGCCCGAAATGTAAGGTAAGTACCTATGCAGTATGTGATGAGATAATAATAGGAGGAACATATTGCACTGTTCACTGTGCGGTAAAGTCGAACCCCTGCGTTAGCTCGACACGGCATTTAAGCCTGTCAGTGTCACTTGCGCGTCTATTGCCGAGCCATACAATGCCTTTCTCAGCCGGTACCCGGATAGTTGTGTGCAACAGCTGAGCCTCAACTTGTAGCGCTCCGCAGTCCAACACTGTCCACTACGAGAAGGTGGCGCTGAGATAGGGATGAGAAGGAAGTAGGTGACATATAATGCGTGCGTACTCTGTTTCAGCCTTCTTGATCACCTATTCTTAGACTATTCATCCCTAATTGTGAGTGGCCAATCGACACCAACAACACCAACGAGGCGTTAATATTTTGCTGTTGGCAACTTTAGCTGAGCTGATCTCATCTCACCCCGCCACATCTGAGACCGTAGGAAGACGACGGTTTTCGCACCACTCTCGTGCGCTATCCAAGATTCTCCACTGATCGCTGTCTTTCGGCGTTATGGAAACAAGTTTCTTATTCACGGTCAAGAATGACGCAAATTGTTGATCGTTAATAAGCTCAGATGCCGCTACGCTGCGCAGAAATACCCAGACGGAAATATTTGTCCAACGTAACGAATCTGTAATGTTAAGGACTTCCGCGAGAATCGAGGAGCAGGTCTCGCGACGGCTTTCTCCATTTCCAAGTCTGCTTATGACATGGATGAGGAAACTCCAGCCAGAAATATCGGTATGATTCTTCAAGCAGAAGTCCTTAACATCAATAGTAACATCATCAGCATGTTCCGGACAGAGATCTAATAGGAGCCGAGCATGGTTCCAGGCGGTATAGTTGCGAGGATGCCGGGTTCCTGCTATTATGACGACGTTCTTTATCTCGTACTTCAAGTCTATAGAGACATTATGGGCTATAAGTAGATGATGTAGCCAGCGACGATGCGACCAGAGAGTAGGGGACTTGGTATGGCGGTGCAACCTCGACGTGATGAGGCTATCCACGAACTGCTTCTCCCGACTTAACAATAATTCATTTTGTCCACCCGTTCCTAATGCTGATATGAGCAGCCGTTTCCTGGTATTAGCAGCTGTCAAATGCTCAGGGTCCATAAGAAGCACCACAGCCGTCGCAGCCAGGGCGTCGGTGTTGTCGATAGAGCTATCCTCTCGAGAGCTTTGCAGTATCTGACGGGCAACGAAGAATGCCTGAGCTAGTCTTAGCTTAGGAACCGCTACGGCCGCACCATCTCTTAGGTAGTTGACTCCTGACTCTAGAGGGTGACTCTTTCCAAGGAATTCGATCTCCAGCAGTTCGTTGTCCGGCAAATCTGTAAGCAACGTCGAGATATCCTTGTATACTTTATTTGGATCGTCGGCTTTCAAGTGAGCTAGAAGATCTTTGTCTAGTGAGCGGGACATTGCACGTGTCGGTCATGGATTCGGTTTGATAAAACAGTATAAGGTGATGGCCATCTTATTCAATTCCCTGTTACATGAACAGACAACTCGTCATAGCCCTGGAGATTCCTTGATATCATGGAAAGTAGTAGTGGATATAGGACAACAGAACCGGGAATAATAGGAGGACAACTTCTGAACCTCGTTTTCCTAATAAATCATATATGTGTACCGCCCGGATGGTGGGGTTATGTTGAGTAAACGAATCACTTCCATAAATGCATATTATGCCTGACAACGCACAAGCCTAAGCCTCATCAGGGCTCCAAGGTTCAATCGTGCATATCGGATAAGGCCACGATTTCAAGGTTCAGAGCTTCTAGTCTTCGCGGCCAAACTTACCCTCAAAGTTGTGACGTATCTTTTGCAACTCCAGTGTAGCTGTATTTGGGGACGAAAAAGACAGAGAAATGTTGTCCATATCCCTACTTCTCTTGGTATTTCTCGTCGAGCTAGGCGCTCATCTGGTAAATACCGTGGGCGCCGCGACGATAAATAATCTAGTGAGATCTTTTCCCGAATGCAGCGCATTAACGTATTAGTGGTGAACTGACCACGGTGTAGCTATGGAACCTGTATCTAGCCCTCCCGACACAGACCTCGGCGCAAGCCGCAGAGCAGAAGAAGCTGCAAAAAGAATATCTCTCCCTCCGCCGCGACCTGAATGCTACGAGCAGCCAGGATCAGTTTGCGAAATGGGCGAAGCTCCGACGACAGCATGACAAGCTCCTCGAGCAGCTGGAGAAGATGAGTATGTTCTTCCCTAAACGCATAAAAATTCGAAAGTGGGGATAAATATTAACAGATATGCACCACAAGAAACTTCCCACGAAGCCTCGAAGGCGACTTTCGATCGATCCGTCAACATTGTACGTTGGTTGGCTACGACTGGCCTGAAATTCGTCCTCCCCTTCTGGTATGCAAAGCAGCCGATGTTCTGGCTTCCGCAAGGCTGGTTCCCGTACTACGTCGAATGGATCCTATCCTTCCCACGAGCACCCATCGGCAGCGTTAGCATCGCATCATGGCAGACAGCTTGCACCGGAGTGGTCTTGTTGATCAGTGATACTATCGCTGCAATTCTAGGGTTGCTGCTGGGCGCAAAGATGGCTCAGAAGCAACCAGTCGGGGTCGGCATGGAGAAGGGTCCGATACCCAAGTCACAGGAGGCGAAGAATAAGAAGGATTCATGAATACACGGGATAACGGAATACATAGATACATATGGACTACCGAGTTTACCTATCATAGTAGGTAGGAGGCATGTCTCTCATCTAATTTGACGCAGAGTTTTTCATCGCAGAAGCTAGGAACTCTGTAACACGATTGAGATGACTCTTGGCAGAGTACTTTGGGTCGCTCTAGGCATCATATTGACTCTAACGACCATCGAGAAGGGAGATCGCCAAAGCTTCGAAAGTGCCATCAACATGTATGTCATAATAGTCTTACCTTGATATGATTCCTACGCTTTCCATTTCGGCTCTAGGACAACTTTTATCATAGTCCTGAGCGTATCTCGAGCGAAACCGGTAATTTTGATGTGCAATTCATATTCCCCTTGATTCACCAAGTACTCAACTTTGACAATGATGTGTATAAATCTTCTACCATGAAGAAATGACTTTATGGGAAGTAGAAGAGTAAAGCTTGAATCCTTAGTGTGAAGTTTTTAAAGAAAATAAATAGATACGAGTGGAGCATCAGGGACCCTACCAATCACAAACCCCTGTCCTCATGCTCTTTGTGAACAAGTTGCGTCATGTGCGGATGTACAAGTACTTGCAGCAGTGACGATCTTGAATAGGACAAACTTACATACAAAGCTTAGAACATTGAACATTGAACATTGAACCGGCCAACTTGGCCTCCTAATTACTAGATTACAAGAAACAACATATACGACAGCTAATACATATGTTTTACTGCTCGGCATGTTAAACACGCAATCACCAATATAACGACACGATGGCGATTCCCTGGGGGACGTGAGTATCCCACCCTCTCCCATCCCTTCCCCTTCACCCTCGACCTCGACGTCGCCCTTGGCCAACCTGAACCACATTCGTTTTCCGAACATCTGAAGCTAACCCAGCCCCAGGATAAAGTCCCTCCTCATATTTTTCGGGCCCATGCTCCTGCCCAAAGCGATAAACTACTACCGCTCCGCCCGCGCCGCCCCAGCCGCCGCCGGCGTGTCCGTCCAACCTCTCCCACCATCCGCGCTCCGCGCCCTCGTCATCCTCGTCACCACCGCCGCCGTGCTGCTCGTCCGCGCGCTGCCCCCCTTCGCGCCGGAGAACGTGTTCGCGCGCACGCAGTCGCGGCTGCAGATCCCGACGGACGTGCTCTTCAACCGGCTCGCCTCGCTACGCCCGAACAACGCGCTCGCCCCCGCCGACGCCGTCCTGCGCGCCAAGTTCGTCAACCTCGAGTCGCGCCTGCTGTACCTGCAGCACGGCCCCGACGTCCTCGCCACCTGCCCCTTCTGCACCTCCGACGACCCGCGATCGTACTTCTACTACGCCCTGCCGGCATTGCTGGCCCCGCACCTCGCCAACCTCGTCGTCGTCTCCCTCGCCACCTCCGACCTGGTCTCCGGCGTCCACGGACCCAAGTGGCGCACCACGGCTGCCGTAGCGGCTGGACTGGGCGCCGCGCTCGACGCGTACCTGGCCAGCTCGTACAATTACCAGGCCAACGCGCGCGCGACGCGGCTCGCCGACCTCGACTTCTTCTTCTGGACGGCGCGGGCCGCGCGGCTGGTCACGCTCGCGCTGTCCGATCTAGCGCTCGCGGCGCTGCTGTACCTGTCGAGCACGAACCGCGCGTTCGCGGCGCCGCCGTCGGCGGCGGAGCGCGTGGAGGCCGTCACGCGCCGGCTCGCCGCGACGAAGAGCCGGATGAACGCCGTGGGCATCGTCAAGAACACGGCGATCCGCGACGAGGACCTGAGGGCCCGGACGCAGGCGTACTGGCAGCACGAGGGCCGGCTCATGCGCGAGGTCATGGAAGAAAGGGAGGTGGTCGAGGGCGTGAACGATGCGTTGGAGAATCGGATTAATATCCAGGATATCACGAGGGATGCCGACGCGTATGCGTTGAATGTGCTGCCGAGGATGGAGCAGGTTGTTCAGGAGAGTGTTGTGGGGTGATTGGCTTGGTGAGGCGGGAGGGGGGGTGTATAGATACCTGCCTACCTGTAAGCGTTAATAGATGGAATATCATTTTGCTTTTAGACTTCAGCTCAGTTCAGTTCTTGTGGTGTTGAATTTGCGTGTTATTTTGTGTAATTGTGTGTGTTTTGATTAAGTATCTCGAGTTAAACCTGCGGGTTTACGAGTAGATGGTAGTTCCAACAGGTTGATCAAGGTACATCACAGCAAAGAGTCGAGTAAACGAAGAATCAATGTTTAGTGAGTTCCCAAATGCAATCACTTCCATAGCCTAAGTAGTGATCCTATCAACTATCTCAAGCCATCCTACACTTCGCCCAACCCCTTAGATCCCACCAGTACCCGACACCGACAAAAACGCCGCGAGATGATTGTAATGCCTTGCTTATCTTTTATCACAGGTAATCGTGCTCGAAAACAACGGAATGAACGAAGCAATTGTGTACACAGGTAAGTTAGATCTACAGAGCTTTGGGGCCTCTACTACCCGATATTAATTACCACTTCTCGTATCTGGCCTCGTCGCGCCGGCTGAGCTCGACATGCTACCTTTCCTCGACCCGCCCGTTTGCGAGGCCTCTTCTACGCTCCTTTCCAAAAACCCGGCCCACAGATCCGCGAGGGACTCCTTCGTGGTCGAGGTTGGCGTCGGCTCCGAGAAGAAATCCGCGGTCAGGGACGGCGTGCTAGGCGTCCTGTGGAACGGAGAACTCGGGAGACGAAGGCTATTAGTGGAAGTTCCTGGCCGGGCTAGTCCGGCCTGTTCTCTCTGCTCGTCTGTCCAATTAAGAAGACCAGCAATAATTTGGAGGATTTGGAATTTTTTGGGGTCGGAACGATCTAAGGCGAGGAATTGGAGGAAGTGGTTCGTAACAATTTGCCTGCGCCGAGTTAGTCTGGGTGCTGCGGATGATTTGGTAGATGGTGTTGAACAAACCTATCGATGCTATCCTCGGGTTTAGTCTTCTTGAGGTACCGAAGGGCTTTCGTCAGATGGTCGTTGAGGACGATAGCTTCATGCCTCAACTTTCCGATAAGGAGGTTCTTTTCCTTCACCTCCTTCTCGAATGGCGCCGTCCGCTCTAGCTCTTTTTGCAGCGATTCCTTGACCTTCTCTGCTTCAGTAGCTCTTGTATCGGCTTCGAGAACTAACTTCTTGAGTGCTTGGAGCTGCTCCTCGGATGTCTCGACCATCTCTCGTAACTCCTTCTTACGAGCTTCCTGTATCTCTTGTAGCGCTCTTTGGAGACTGTCGACAGCTTGCGATTGGCCGTCTCTTTCAGAAGCAGCTCGCTCGTAGCTTTCTCTCAGTGTCGAAAGTTGCTCCTCAAGCGCCGCTGCTTTCTCGGCTAAGCTCTCTCTAATTGATCGCTCTTCCATTGCTAAAACTTCCCAGTCACCCATTGCATCTTTTGCCGCCTCCGCCTCTTCTCTTAGGTGCTGGATTTGTTTTAGCATATCCTCCTTTTCCTTTAAGGAGTTGTGTTGTGAAAGGTTATTGCGACTTCGCAAACTGGATAGTTCCCTCGTGGCATCTTGTAGTTCGGTTCTTAGCTTCTCGATCTCGTCCTCCGAGTTTTGTGCGCTCTTCTGGAGATCTTCATTTTGGGTTTCAAGCTCTTCAATACGCTGGTTTGCTTCTTCTAATTCCTCTTTCCCTCTTGCCAATCGATTACCGACATTTTCTTTAATCTTCTCTACCCTCTCTACGAGCGATTGATATTGTTCCTCGACTTGCTCTTTCGCTGCCTCGGATTCTTCTAATTCTGTTTTGAGCTGGCTCGTTTCTTGCGTATGCGTTTCTTGTATACTCTCTAATTGCTTCCGTAGTTGTTCTACCTCCGCTCTCAAAGCCTCCCGTTCTTGTGTTATGGCATCAAGTCGGGCGCTTGTATCTGTGGATTCGGTCGTTTCTGTCGTACTCGATTCTTGAGCGGAATGGCCATTGGTAGTTGGTGATGCGGCATGGCCATTCACAGGTTCCTGCACCGTATCCTGCCAATTTTATTAGTTCCATATTGGAGGGTCTGTATTTGATATTGGCCGGATTTACCTCTGGTATGGCCGTATCCAGATCGTCGGACCCATTGCCGTCATCCTCGGGTTGTTCTCCATCCGGGGCTGTTTCTGGAGCCTTGCCTCCGTCTTCGACCGGTTTCGGCTTTGCGTGGTTCTTCTTTTTCTTGTTATTCTTTTTCTTAGCACCTAAACGATGTTTGTTAGTTTATTGCAATTATCCGGCGAGAGGATAATGAGAACAGTTGGCGACGAACCAGTATTTAACTGCTGTGTCGGCTCTGTCGGAGCCATTGTGAAATAATCATTCGCGAGGCTTCGAGTTTTAGCCGAGTAATATCAAGGGCATGTGGTCTGGAAAGATGTTAGAGAGACGTTGCGCCGTTCTACAAATCCGCAACCCACACGTAAGCCGTTGCGGTTTAATGAAGTTTGGTACCTGTACTTGCGCAAGGTTATTTTAAGTAACCAAGTATCTAGGTACCTAGCGCAACGAATCAGGTCGTTGTTGAATGATTGAATAGGATACCTGAGCCCCATATTACAGGGCGATGACAACTACCAGCTGAGCTTTCCTAACCTCGGAAGTGCACAACAGCCTGGAAGCTTTACAACTAATCGGAATCAACTACAAATAGGTAAACAACACAAAACCAACTCACGTCTTTAATGTTATATAACAATCAGACTTCACCGTGAGACCATCATAATCTTCAAGGATCAACAGCATATCCAGCGATTGGTCAGATATCTACATATCTAGGTTAGATCCTGGATACGGTCCGATCTCTATCCTGTCCTAGCGGCCACTGTCCAAACTCACTTTCAGCAGAGTCTAGACCATCTAGATGGGACGGTTAATGAGCTAGACGAGCTCACGTTGCAGACAGAAACAGGCCTACCAACCTGCCAACTCTCGTATAAGTCGACCAATTTTCCAAGGATATGAATCAGCAAGATTAACAAGTCTCTCATCCAACATTGGCATACGTAGAATATTAAAAAGAACATGAACATACTATATCTTTTCCATAGTATTTTCTTTAAATTCATTTTCAACAACGATTCTGCAAGGTTCAACTACAAATTCCTCGGGGCTTCTCCCAAGGTAACCCCGCCAGTGGCTTCTAAATGTGGCTTGTCTGTGTCCATGCGTCTGATTGGCTCTTAATTAATCGTTAAAAGGAAATCTGAAATTTCGAGATTTGCGACGCTTTTTTCCTCTGCACATATTTTCCACCCTTCGCTGGCACTTTTTGAAATTGAAGCCGCCCTCACTCAGCTGTGAAGCTTATATGGCTGATTCATATGCTCGGTCGAAGTAGAATGACAATGCCTTTTATAATCCCGCTGTCTGCCCGACTTCAGTCCATGGGTACAATAGGTTCGCTATGTGCAGATATCACATCATATATCCACTACCTAGTAATTTAGGAAGTGTGTATAAAAGAGAAGATAGATTCATAGGTGTATCGATCGAAGAGTTCAAGTTCCGTGGAATTTCTTAGTATCAATGTATCATTAACTTATCATAAACCTATGACGAAAGCCTAAAACTCATCAGGCAGCCTTCTTCGCCTTTGACTTTCTCCCTTTTTTGCTCGACTTGGCAGCATCTTGTTTGCTTATCGTAGCAGGCTCTTTAACAACGGGCGCATCATCATTGTCATCGTTCGCCTCCTTCGTGACTGCGACAACCTCGGGGGCTGCCTCAACGGTTTTCGGCGTCTCATCTTCGTCACCTTCAAGGGCAGGAGCATCCCTCTCTACTTCATCAACGGACTTAATCTTAGGTCCTTCGAAATCATAACCCATGTCTTGCAATTTCTTCGCCCGTCCAGCGCGCTTCTGTTCTTCCTTTGTGATCTTCTGGGTCCATGCTGTCTCCGACAACGGCTTCTTCAGGCTATTGCCGGCCATCTTGTTCCAAGGCACTTTCTTGAAGCGCTTGTTCGAACCCTTCCAAAGGTCCTCGTGGACCTGCGACTTGGGAACGACCTTGACTTTCAGTATTCGACCGAATAGTAGGTAATTGTCCATTGTCTTTGCGACAACCTCTGCAACTGGCGCTTCGGTGAACTCGATAAACGCAAAGTGTTTACTGGCTCCTGTCTTCTTGTTTCGAGACATTCTGAGTCTCTCGATCGTGCCGAATTGGGAGAAATATGAGCGCATCTCATGTTCGTAGAAACCGTCTATAACCTCCAAAATTAGCATTTATCTCAAGGCGCACAACAATGCACTTACGCGGTAGGCGGCCGATGTATACGACGCCGTGATCGCCATCCCCAGACTTGGAAGATTTGAGCAATTCCTTGGATTCCTTCGGAATTTTGCCCACGTCTTGGCCTTCCCGAAATGTAGCATCGGCGTCGACTAGAGCATCTTCATCGTCGCTATCAACGATTTTCGCCAGTGCCTTAGCATTGTCCTTCTCTTCATCTGAGGATTGCGCATTCTCGTCTTCAGTGTCGGCCTTATCCTCATCCTTGCTCACTTTCGTATCTCGGGAGCTCTTAGCCGCCTTCGTCTCTGTTAATCGACTGGCTTTGACCTTCTTCGAACGACTGTCGTCTTGTGTCGGTTTGGATTTCTTTGCTGCAATTGGGCTCGCATCATCGGCAGCTTCAAATTCTGTTAATTGGAGGTTCAAAAACGTCCACCATCGTTCATTGCACTAACCTTTCCGTTTGGTGGCTGGAGCATCTGCTTTGCTTTTGGTTGCAGGCTTCGCAGCCGATACGGCGACCTCTATTGTTATTGTTAGAAACTAGGAAGCAAGAATAGAAATTGATATATGTTAGAGAATTACCTTTGGACTTCCTTTTCCTAAGTTCTGGTGCCATTGCCGAGATGTCTTTATTGTGTAATGGTTTGGTTGACGATCTTGGCGAAATCGCGAAACTTTTTTTTTTCTTATCTTTTGCGCCCGGAATTCTGCCACTTGAATTTTGGCGGTGAAAAGGTGAGCCCCACTTATGCCACTTCCCCAAGCTCTAGCTTCCAATGTTCACTGTAAGTTTGCAGGTACATACCTACAAATTAAGCTTACTAGGTGCATATTCTACTACTACCGCTAACTGGGATATTGATTCAAGAAAACGAAAACTGCAATACCACGGCGCGTTCATTCAACTTACAACCCGAGCGTCAAATCGGTTTATCTAAAATCTAGCTACCTATAGCTTTCTTCATAGGCCTTCTCTAAATTTCTTCGAAGTTGGTCATATTAGCCATATCGAGGCTTAGTGAGGAGCTTGACTTAAAACTTCGACATTCTGATAAGGTACTACCAATTAGCCTCAAAATCGTTGCCTATGAAATTGGCAGTCTAGGTATAAACGATACGATACGCCCGGGTTCAATTTCATAGGTCTTCACAACGCCTCAAATTCTCCTCCACATAAATTTAGGCCAGCGTACCAATTCGGAGATCCGTTGATCGTCAAGATGAGTTCTTCCAAAGAAGGATTGTCCCATAACGAGATCTGGGACGATTCTGCCCTAGTAAATTCATGGAACGACGCCCTAGAAGAGTACAAGGTATGGCCCAATTCTTTCTGTCAAAGCTGGTCGCTCCATGTCTAATCAATAACATCTAGAAATATCACAGCATTCACAAAAATGGAGGCAATGTCGAAGACCTTTTAAAGTCCAATCAGTGAGTTCACACACCACTTATGTGGCTGCGGCTTCATAGGAATCATACTTATCTAGGATTATTCAAGGACTTCGAATGCCAAGACCGAGACTAAGGAAGTCCGCAAGCCGTCAAGTCCACGTTCCCTCAAAACAGATTCCGAAATGAGAGGGGAAACTTCTGTAAGTCCAATTGACCCGGCTTTGTTGAAAGTCTACCCTTGAAGGGGATCCCGGATGATCAAGAAAGCTTGGCCTAGATCTCCCAAGATTCTAACGAAACGCAGAATGGGGGACAAGAGGACGGAACTTCGACCTTCCAGCATAGCCATCCGCATGGCGGGACTCCCGGCCCTCAAGGGCTGCTAGGTTCAGGTGAGCTTCAGATTAGCCCTACCCCGGCTGAGGGGCCACGAAGAAAGAAGGGGAAAACCCTCCTAGGTGAGGATGAGCTATAAGAATTGGGTTTAGCTAATAATCACATCGCAGTGCATGATGAAGGGTTGAAGAGACTGTTGATGTCCTGGTATTACGCAGGCTATTATACAGGACTCTATGAAGGCCAACGAGATCAATCACAGCGACGAGAGCCAGAGCAAAGCTGAATGGAAAATCTTAGAGATTTGCCATTCCATCTCAAAGCTAATCAGATTCGATGTGGGATTCGTCATGGGATCTGATCTACGTGAGAAGCAAGGATCTGTAACGCCTTGTGTCACAAGCAGTTGTGACGGTGATAACGTCATGCAGCTTAGACTCTGCTAGCATGCGACGACATGTGCATCAGTTTCCAGCCATTAGGACGAGACCTGCAGAATACTTCAAACTGCAAAATCGTAATTGGAGGATCAAGGCGAGGAAACAAAACAAGGCTACCATTGTGTTCTACGTGAAGATCATGAACTGATTTCCCCACGTTTAGCTGTGATTATCAGCTTGGCTACTCTAGCTCGTTGAAAAGAAACAAAATCGACGATACTAGCAGTTCTTCATTATATCAATAATTATGGAATGCTTCTGCGAGGGTAGTAATACTCGACTGTGGAGAGCATCCTAAGCTCGTCTCAATGCCTACCTTATAATAATCAATGTTGATGTATGTAATATTCACGCCAATAGCCTCAACAGCGTGTTCCATAGGTTTATGTATAAGCAACTTCATGATAAGATCATAATCCTTAACTAACCCTCAAGGAAGCCGAACGCCGAATTAGCTGTTATCGAGAGGCCGCCGGCATCAACTCGCAGAAACTCTTAAAACCTATAAAACTCATTTAAGACTATTCTGCGTGAATTGGAAGCTAGGAATGAATTTCGCGAAGGATGAGACTGTTGAAGAAACAACAATAAGCACATGGTGCGGATACTAATAGGCAGGGATCCCCCTTCAATAAAGCACGTTGTTCCATGCAGGCACAAGTCTAACTCGAATTAGGCTATATCAAAAAGTTTCCTTGCCCCAGTAAAAAGTAGAGGCTCAGGAGGCTGCGATGTCCTGAGTGTCAAGACTACACTAGGAAGGGGTTATTACCTACCTAGGTACTAGGTAGATAAGGTTAACCCCTAAGCAGGTACAGAATCTCGACCGTCCGGGAAGTTCAGATGGGAATTGCAAGGATCCTCCAACTCTAGTTCTCTCTACGGAAACATGCACGTTTCTTGCCAAGGATGATTTTCAATTCCTGAGAGCTTCCGACTTTTTTGTCTCTGGGTAATTATTAAAGGATAATAGAGAAGTTCATTCCGACTCGGCATAGCATCGACAAAACGTGGTTCCCATGACAGAAGCACAGCTCGCAATACGCGCCGTAAGAGACACAATGTTCCAAGGTTCCAACTTCTAAAGGATAAGCTTTAGTTTAAGCTTAGACTAATATTTCTTATATTATAGGTAGCATCTGGGGTCAAAACTCAATTGAGAATGACATTGCACTAAGACCTTTTGAGATGAGACCGTTAGTCTAGATCCCCTTGAACTAGCTGAGATAACCTAGAAAGCTTTCCCTATGGCATCTCAACTTTCTTCCCAACTTCAGATTACCCATAGAATAATAAAACAGATCGATCTACTTCGACGCTTCAAACATTTGTTATGACAATATCAGAAACCATAAACACACATACGTACAATAGTTCAGTGAATAATCAGCTCCGGATCAGTTGCTCCCCTGTCTTAGTATTTGAACGGGTCAAGCTATGACCGTTGACAAACCCCTGCTCTATAGCGGTTTAAGCGAAGGGTCAAAACGCCATCCGAGACAACTCTGTCACATCGACCTCCTACTCCAAGCTCTCACAAATCTTAGAGCCGCCAAACACGCCTACCCATGGACCGCCCTATTCCGTACTCGACGACGTATCCGCTGTAATGAACAATTAAGTGGCATACTTCCGGTTACCGTCCGTATCCAGCCATAATGGAGCAGCCTCAAACCCGGCTGTCGACCCCAGTTCAGTCCTGCACGGAAGATTTTCTAATGCTGTTTCGAGAGCAACTCCTGGTCAGGGAGTAATATCTCAGGGTTCGCCTCGGGCTTGACGGCAAACTAAGAGATCGCCATGCTGGATTTAAGTGAAGAGGTCGCCCTTCTGGGTCCAGACGTGGGTTGTTTCTTTTCACTCTCTTCTTCAGACGACTCGTCCTGTGTATACGCTCTTTTCCTTTCGCTCTCTCGAGTGTTGTGTGCTTTACATCTTGTTCATTCTCTAATTACGAGCAGGCCCTCGCCTTTCAAGCTTCTTATTGCCAGGTCCGGTACTGTTATCCAGGTGGAACTTATCAAAGGAATATTTACGATTAATATCAACCCCTAACCGCCATCATGAAGTACTCAGCAGTTCTTTCGGTCGCCATCGCGCCGCTGGCTATCGCGAAAGCCGTTCACAATGTCTACCCTCAGCACAAGAGATCCAGCCACAAGGCGGAACTAGGAGCCGCCGCCGCCGGTTCCGCCGAGGCTATCAACATCCTGCAAGGTGTTCAGCTCGGGAGTGCGACACAGGTTATCGTCATCTGGGCTAACCCCGGAAACAATGCCGCCACGACGACTCTGCACGACCAAGTCACGGTAACTCAGACGGTCACTGCCGCCGCCGCAACTTCGGCTGCCGTTGCTGCCGCTGCAACTCACACTGTCACTGTTGGTGGTGCCGCTGGTTTAGTCTACACTCCCGATTCCATAACAGCCAACGTAGGCGACATGGTTATCTTCGAGTTCATGAGCGCAAACCACACGGCGACGCAGTCTACGTTTGCCACGCCCTGCAAGCTGATGGAAGGTGGTATGGACTCGGGCTTCCAGCCTAACGCCAACAACACCGTCAACCCTCCTCCCAAGGTTGCCATGCAAGTCATGACCACCGACCCTCTATGGTTCTACTGCAAACAGACTGGTCACTGTGGTAAGGGTATGACCTTCTCTATCAACCCTACCGCCGCGAAGACCCAGGCCATGTTCCAACAAATGGCTATCGCGCAAAATGGTACTGGAGCTGGAAGTGCCATTACTGGTAACTCGACTGCATCATCTGCAGCTGCTGCCGCCCCTGCTGCTGCTACTTCTGCCGCCGCCGCTTCTGGCAGCATCAACCAAGGAACCGGCACGGTCGAAGGCGGCGCTTGCGTTTGTGCCGTCACTTGCAGTTCTGGCAGCTTCCCTGCCGTGGCAGCCCAGGGCATTGGTGCTTTCGGTGGTATCGCAGGTTAGTAATACCCGTCTCGCCGCATCTTTTTAAAGCTAATGCTAATAGCGATGTAGGAGCTTTACCTGCGAGCATGATGGAGACCGTCTAATTAATATACGTGCGGCGTCCGGTTGAGGATCATGAGTGTGATACCACGGCAGCGGCGACTGCGATTTGAGATGTTCGTTTTAGGGGGTTTGCCTGGATGACTAGACTTCTTTTTTTATTACCTGGCCGTAGGAGGTTTTTTAAACATATGACTGGATCGTATATTATTATATATTATAGGTGCACTTAATAGGTCATCAATGAAGTAAAATACCATTTCCCCGTTCAATGAGGTGTTATGATGTCTATTTATCTTATATCTAAAGATCTATAATACGCAGCAATCGAAGTTCACGGAATAGTAACTTCGTCTACGAATAGTCACCGGACTTAAAAGTCAAATACGCTTTATATTGAGGATAGTTGGATTCGTCGAGGAACGAATTTGAGAAATTCCAGACGCCGTTGCACGCCTCGAGTCCCACCCCTTTGTAGAAAACTCGTCCTACGTCGTGATATCATGAAAAAAGATTTGTTATCCCGTCTACGCATGTACGCCTATCACCATGCCTATAACCTAACGACTACTTCGAGGCAGCGGCAGCGGCAGCTTGCTTCTTCGCGTCGGCTAAGACACATAATCAATCAGCTACCAAAAAATCTAGAACATACGCAAGGCAAGATCATCCTTACCAGCAGCTTGCTTCTTGCGCATCATCTCGGCGACGGCCTCCTTATCACGTTGCATCTCGGTGCCGCTCTTGGCGTTCTTTGATTTCTACGTGAGGGCAGATTAGTATACTATGGTCATGTCATCCGAAGGCATTTCCACCGCCATTTTGCATGACGCGTCACCATTATGCATCGCATGTCGGTCGATGTAAACTAGATACAACTACCCTTCCTTTCATACATAACGGTGGTATTACGGCGAGGTTTCATCGACCGATTGAAAGCGAGCGTTCGGGACGGAAGGTGGGCGGACAGGAGGGAATGAGCAGACGTAAGCTGGCGAAAAGACTCACCTGGGAAGCCTGGGCCTTGAGGTTCTTCTCCCGCGCCTTTTCGCGCTGGTTGCCGCGAGCCATTTCGTCCGAGTGTGTGGAAGAGAGAGATTAGACGAGGTAAGGGTAGCAGAAGCAGCGCTTAATAAAACGCGGGTCGATTGTTTTGCGTCTCGGTGTCTTGGCTGTATAGAGATGGCCGATTTTTCTTTGAGTGTGGAAAATCGAGAAATAGCAGGTTCATGTATCTAGCCGCCAGTTGCTTAAAATAAATACTAGTTGACCCCGGCCTAAAGAAATAAGCCACAGTGTCGGAGTTTAGGCGGTGGGTTCCTGCTCAGAGCCGCTGTCTCTTCTCACTGTATTGCAGCGGAACCTTCCCTAAAGCCGCCTAATAAGACAGGCAAGGACGGGTAAAATTGAGGTCAGTGTAGAAGGGACCCCCATTTTAGGATCGCGTGACCTCTGAGCCAATCATATTCTTTCCTGGTCACTATTCTGGATCATTCTTCACTTGTTAGAGATAGACCTAAACCTCAACTCATTGGATTCATCCACGATGCCAACAGCTTATGCTTCAACGGATTTGTCAAATCCTTCTGATCAGATACAGAAGTTGATGAAACAAACTCCGAACATGCTTTGAGTCACCAACGGTTGCTAAATGATCGATTGCAATATGTACATTAATACTATACATTCATACGCCTATATCCTTCACAACGAAGTTCCATCCTACAGCTACACAATGGGCCTTGAAAATTACGGCGACATTTCATAATAGCCTTAATGTCAATATAAAATCCAACAAAGTATTGGAAATATCCCAAGCTCTTCAAAATTAATCAACTAATACAATTAAACTAAATTCCGTCTTTGTATTGTTCGATAAAGCAGGTGCTTTTCTTACAGGTATCTTATTACCATTTAAAAAGGCCTTGGTGGAGTTTAGCCAATAAGCGCGAGGACGACCTGAAACGAATTTAGTTCGTCGACAGCCAATGGAACCTCCGTGGCAACTCAATTCTCGCGATACATTCGCTCAACGGGATACAGATCATCTTTAAATCATTGGATGAGATGATGTGTCCCCACGCTCTATCTCATGCTCCCTGGCTGTGGGTTTCCTAACACAATAGTACGTGGACCGTTAAGAGTCGTGATTCGCGTTGGCTCTCCAAGAGTTGCAGACCTAAACGGTCAAAGGGTAGGGATTCACCACATGCATCATGAGCATGCATCATGGAGGATGCAAGCAATAATATCCAGATCCGTCCTTGTCTCTCTCCACCTGTAGATGAACCCTTGAAAGGACAGGGAAGCTGTGGAAAGAATCGAAGTTAGCTGGCTCGTACCTAGCTCACCCGCACGCGTCTACCAATGGCTTCAACATGTACGGTAGCAAAGGTCCCTGACGAGGGGCATCTCAGGCTTCAATAGAGCGTGAGACCGTCCGCGCCTAAGTAGAATCATTGGTCGAAAACATCTGCCCAATACGAAACTTTAGAGCCGCCCAGATGAGCTGCTAGGTATCTCAAATCTCTGATTGTTCCTAAATCTATTGTCTTGTCTTCCTTACAATCCTTCTTTGAGCAATGCTTCCTTTTTTCCAAAACTTATTAAAAGTTCTTGAGCCGCCGGTCTGCCAACTTTGTGATTGTTCATCGGCTTTGTACACCAAGGGTCTATTGTCCTAGACGGACGTACATAATAACAATCTCTTCAACTTCATCCATTGTTTTATATTTTTATAAAGCTTCACCACACAAATCGTTACCTCACACTCCCTTCGGATTTTCCCTTTTCGTTCAACTTCTCTTCTTGGCCACGCCATTTTCCTTCCACGTCCTTTCGTTCGATCGAATTCCACAGATCTGCCAGTCAGGTCCAAGTATCAAAGACAAGAAAATTAGATTCACGATAACTGCAGGCAGTTTCAACAGTTGGTCTCCCCATTTTTTATAATGCCAACGATGCTGCCAAAACTCCGAAACGCTAATGCTTACGCTCCTAGAGACACAAATCTAGGTATCTCCAAGGCCTTCAAGATGTTTGGATCCAAGTCCGGTTTCCAAGGCTCTGCCTTCGTAATTCTTCAGGTCATCCGTGCCTGTAACCTGGCCGTTCTGCTAGCTGTCATCTTCGTCTCCGGAATCATGATGTATTTCGCCAAGATGCCCAACGGATTCCAGTTCTTCAACGATGTCTCCCTGGCCTTCGTCATCGCCGTTGCCGGCCTCCTGTTCTGGACGGAGCTTCCGATTAACTTCGGCAAGAGAATCATCGGACGCAACTGGCCGGTCCTCGGCGAAGATCGCGGCTTCACCTGGCTTGGTATCGCCATGATCCTCATGGGCTGCCACCTCCTAGGCGCGCTCAGCAACAGTACTTACAACAACAAGGACGTCCCTTTCGCGGTCTGGCAAGCTATCATGGGAGCCGGCATCATCGCGATCGCATTCGGCGCTACTAACGTCATTGCGTCGCTCATCTTCAGCAACCGAGCAAGCGGTGTCCGTGCTCGTGAGATCCGCAACAACGGCGCAACCGTCCGAGACGTCAACTTCACTGAGGAGTACGAGAGCTACCGAAGCAACTCGATCCGCAAGGAGAAAACCAAGAGCAAGTGGTTTTTTGGAAAGGGCGAGTCGAAGCCCAAGATCAGTCACCCGATCGCCCACGACGTCGAGTACGGACCTAGCGATGATCTCCCAGTCGCCAATGACCGCAGCAGTCCCATAATTCCCGACGTCAAGCGCCCACCCACCGCGCTACACCCTGCCTTCAACGCCGGATCGAGATCGAGCCGTTACAGCGAGGCCAGTCATCTTGACCGCTTTACCGACAATAGGATATAGGTCAACTAGCACGAGATGATCTGTCCACGTATGATAAGCATTACGGTATGGTGTTTAGTGAGGAAAGGCGTTCTGGTACGGTGACCTCGGATATACCCTGATGATGATGAGCGTGTTTACGTCCGAAGGACGTATATACTACATACGGGCAAGTATGGTATATACATCAACGCGCACTACTAGCGCATAGGACGTCTAGAGTACCTCTCTAGGTAGAGAGACAGAGCTAGAGTTTCGCTTGACATAAGAAATTTTTATCCTCCACTCCTGCCTCCAGTGCATTACTCTAGCTAATTGGCGACGGCGTTAGCTAGCCGATATATTCAGGAAAAACCCTACTCCGGATCCACCTTCTTCTAACGTCTCAGAACCACCCTCCAACGCCCAATGAACCCTAAAGCGGGGTGAAAAAACCTGAATAAAATCGGACCGTTGGTTAAGTTGCCCACAGCGGGATTCGAACCCACTCGCTTCACGTAGTCGTACGCTAATGCGCGGCCAGACGCTTTAACCACTGCGCCATGTGGGAAAACGGATATACCCTGATTATGGTTTAAGGGGCAATACTTTGATTTTTTACTACAGCGTTCTTCTGGCGTATATCATAATGAGGAAAGCGACATAATGATTAAATAAGTTCTTAAATTCGTCTTCTATGTAGGTGTGATAGATCCATGTGTTGTCTGCGGATGCTTTCGGGACCCACGGGTTGCTTCCTATCGGATTAAATACATCTCTTGCATATATGCATACCTAGGCCTGAAATTAAAAATATCTTTGGCACCTTGCTGATTCGGGACTAGTGAGTACTAACCTACCTAAAGTCAAAATGTACCTAGTTTAAACTATGACAATATTGTTGAACGCTAGCTCTATGTGGCACGTGACTCTATTAGCTCATTAGCCTCATTCCATGTAACTTTTATCCATTATCCGATTTCTACATTTCATCAACAACTAAGCTTCACTTACCACGCAACCCTCTCCCTTCTACCATCTTTTAAATCACTTCTTTAATTAGCCACACAAGATTAAGACGAAGGCTCAATTCTGTATGCTCAAGCAACCATCTCTAAACATTCGGCCGAATACCCGACAGTCATTCTTTGCGACAATTTTCTATCGTCGATATTCCCGATTTCCACCAACAGTCAAGCTCGATTTGGAATCCCATCGCCTTGGACACGACGACTTTGACCGCCTTGCGACGCGTTCGCCTACGATCGCATTCGAAACGCCTCTCTGAATTTATTCGCAACAATTAATAGTATCTGGCAGAAACAAGAGATAACACGCAGATTAGGCCTTTGGCCCATCCGCGTAGCAGGATCCTGGTGATGAAAACAATGCTTTGAACGGTCATTTAACTCTTCGGTCCTCTCTACCAGACAGTCTACCAGACAGCCAGTTGTCTGGCTGCTCTGACAAAGTTGGTGGGGCTAGGCAAGAGTCAGCAAATTTACAATTCTCGTGCCGTGCTTTTTCCTTGGTGAGGGACTATTGCATGAGGGGCATCTGCCCGTCTGGCTTTGTGACATTCTACACGTCTAATTCAGAACGGGGCCATTGTTCTCTAGTACAAACCACCAAGGAAAAAAACGGTGGCGGCATCATCTTGCAACTATTCTTCACCTTGCGAAGATTTGAATAGCTTTCCTTCATCAACCCAATTACCTCGTGTTTATATCTCTTAAGCAACCATGTCCAACGAATCCGAATCTGAGGCGGTAGCCCTGGCCTTCCGGGAGGCCGTTGAGGATCTTCAAGGCTTCGCCAGAAATGAAATTAATACGTTGACAATGATTGCACGAGAGAATACTGAACATGCACACGCTATTTCTGGAGCACTTCAAGAACATATCAAGCGAGTAGGTTCAATCTCTATGCTAGCTTTGTGATAGTTGACACTGATTGTCACTGTCTTGTTGCACTATTGCTAATCGAGATGGTGTGCCCTTGAATACTATGCTAACGAATTTTTAGGTCATCCCTCCTAAGAAGTTGCCGGCCTTGTACCTCCTTGACTCGATCGTGAAGAATGTAGGCACACCATACACGCTCTACTTCGGCAGAAAGCTCTACCAGACCTTCATGGATGCGTATGCCTCAGTCGATATGGCTACACGACGCAAGATGGACGAGATGCTTCGGACTTGGAAGGAACCTGTTCCAGGCTCTCTCGACACCAGACCCGTGTTTCCCCCCGACGTTACACGTCCCATTGAGAATGCCCTCATCAAGGCAAGAACAACAGCGTTGCAGACGCAGCGAGAGCATGCGCGAGGTCAGCAACAGTTGTTTGGCCGTGGAAGACCGATGAATCAGGGAATGCCTTATCGCGAAACCCCTACTCCACCAGGTGTTCATCTGCCTCCTCAAGTCAACGGTTACCCAACTCCTACACCACTTCCTACTACCAATGGTTCATCGTACCCCCATCCGGCCCAGTCATCGGCCGGCTACCCGCCACACATCGTAAGTATCACATTCTTCATATAATATGGATGGGTTTATGCTAATACACTATTCAGAGTCAGCCTCCCCCATCCAGATCAACACCACAACCCATGCCAACAACAATGGCCTTTCAACCACCACAATTAGGAGGCTATGGTGTACCACAGGCTGTAATCAGCATAGATGCTTTAAATGATGACATCCAGAGGCTGATCTCGGCCTCCAAGGCGCAGATTGCGCAAGCTCCGCATGATCCTAGTATACAGAGAAGGCTGAAGGCGTTGGTGGATTTGCAAACAATACTTCAGACCCAGAACCTGCCACAGGATCAGTTAGTGCTTGTTAAGAATCAAATTGCTGATCTTGCCGTGACTATAAGAGCACCCCCTGCCCAGACGTCTACCCCTACCCCTGTACCACAACCCGTAGCAGTAGCCCCTCCGCCGGCAGCGGCGCCAAAGATTTCTATAGATTCTTTGTTTGGTCCAGGTGCCCTAGCTACTCTGTTGGCTCGAAAGTCTACCACGCCACAAGCGTCTACACCTTACCCCCCTCCCCCGGCCGTTCCCGTCCCAACTCCGCCTCCTCAACGAGTTGAGCCTCAGAAGCCCGTTGTCACTCACCCGCCGCCGCCTCCGCCGATTCCCACTGATCCGATGGCACTCATGAACATGTTGAGACAAGCTGGTATGCTTCCGGCTGCGCCGCCGGCTAGTAATTCAACTTCAGTTTCTCACCCTACGCCGCCGATCCCCTTTCCCGTGCCGATCAACATTCCGGGGATGCCTCCGGTCGGTCGGCCGGTTGGTCCCGTGACACTCGAGTCTCTTACGAGTGATATCGTCCTGAGACCTTCGTCTCTCAAACAGTACGTTTCAACACACATTTATGATTTATATGCACTAACAGGTCCGTAGGTTCCGTCCCCATCTGCTACCTTTCCTTTTCGGATCTCTGGGACCTCAATGCTCCCAGTGTGGCCGACGATTCCCGAAAGATGAGGAGGGTAAAAAGAAGAAGACTGCCCACATGGATTGGCATTTCCGAGTGAATCAGCGCATTGCAGAGGTTGAGAAGCGGGGTCAACATCGAAGTTGGCTAGTCGATGAGATGGTAAGCTCCCTCGTGTGAATCATAATACCCCTTGAGTTGATATACTGACATGTCTAGGACTGGATCAAAACTCGGGAGACGATTGATAAGGACCACGTAGCCCCGTCTACGGACTCTAACGCAGCAACGGGTGGTTCTGCACCCAAGGTCCCCAAATTACAGTACATACCGGTCCCCGATGACCCTAGCCTGGCAAACAGCGTTTGTAGCATCTGCCAGGAGAAATTTGAGACGCGATGGTTGGATGACGCTCAGGAGTTCGTGTGGCCTGATACTATGAAAGTTGGCGAGAAGATTTACCACGCCAGTTGTTACCAAGAGGCGTTCAGGGGTAGTGGAAACACGCCGTCGTATGCTCGGGGCACGCCTGAGCCGGTCACGGGAAAGCGTAAAGCTGAGGTGAGTTTTAGAAAGACTACGTCTCGGAATCTTCGAAGGGCCTATAACTAATACGACACAAGCAGGATGAATTAACTTCGACAACACGAAGCAAGGTCAAGGTGGAGGGTACTTAGATTGCACCCCCAACTCCGGTTTCCCTCGGCAAGAGGCGTCTTATTTCGAAGGGACGCCCAAGCGCCGCAAAGAAGCGCGCCACTCCGGACCGCTCGCGTGTGCATATGATGAACAAGACGAGCGAGAATGGTTATAGGCCTATGACGCCGAGTCCCCTGAAGAATTCAGTGCAGGCGTGAGGGAGGGGAACTACGGGATTACTAACGGCATCTTACGCTTTGCGGTCCCGTCCTATCTGCGACTCTAGATACCCCGTTCTGTCTTGAGGTTATTGGACTGCGGCTGCGGCTATGGATAGCTGGATATGGTCATACTTGTGCTTGGTGGCTTGGTGGTTTATGAGAGGGGGGAGGCGAACTAGAAGCAGTTTTAGGTAGAACCACTTAATGCAAAGTATCGACCTTACTTGGTTTTGATGAGTTCTCACTGGTGATTCGATAGGCATTCGTCTAGGTCTGTCCTAGTGTTACTTGTGCCGTGGAAAGTTCAAGAGGCTGAGACAAGTCATCGGGAAGCCGTCTTGATGCGGCCATGAGGAAATTGTGCTGTTAATCGGACTTTACTACTAGCTATTACTTAGGTACGGGTTGATTTGGCATTGAATATGATTGGGGTGCACTCAATATTACCTGCGAACTAAATGACTGATGTGCGGTTAGGAGGAGCACGGCTCCATGTTTTCCTAAAGCGGGAATGCAAGTGAGAAAATAACGAGAACTCCTATAACCTCAATTGCGGTACCTGCAGATAGTACAATGTTCACGATGTTACCCTTTAACCCATTGCGAACCAACATCCCGATAATTCTACTCAAATAGGGAGATGACGTGAGAAATCAGTGTCTCCTAGTGCTAGAATAGGTAATTGCATGATGACTATTGGTTTGGAAAACTAACGGCGTAAGATTTGGTGTCTGTTACGGGCCGGGGGTTGAATTCGTATAAAAGGGTAGCGAGACCACGACGAAGCGAAAATAAGACTTGGGTGTAGAGTCCTCGAAAACCAAACCCAAGTATTAATGTATTAACAAACCCGACTTTTTCTTCTCCACCATAGAGAAGGATAAACGAGGAGCCGGCTTGCTAGCTAGCATCGCATTTTGTTGCCCTCTTAACACAATTTCTGAGGTTCACGAAGACTCTTACGGCACAGCAACCATCGGAGTTGGTTAAGCCGGTTTAGAGCCACCAGCGGTCAAATCTTGACATGGAGCTGCCGAAACTACAATATACAGGCGATAGTGACTTCTAAGTCATGAGAAGCCTAGGCACATCATTCTTGATTCCCTTTTCAATACGACCAACACGTCAACACAGGGTCTAAGAGGTGTTTTGGCGAAAGTAACTTCCACGAACCGAATCCGCCGAGCTGCTGGAACGTGCTTATGATGGAAACGTACCTGTTGGTGCGATGCCCATGAGTGGCGGAGTTAGGGATTCTTATTGTGTCTGCCTAGTACTTAATCCCGGACCATTCCGGTAAATGAATAATCCCTGAGATTTGACGTTATAGCTGCTGTGAGTGGGAATACCTAGCCAGATTTCGGTTTCATTTAGCTCGCTGTGAGAATCTTTATGCTGACAAAGTTCTTGAAGATTCTTTTCCATGATGTATATGGCCCTGACGTACTTGGGGTGGAGGCCGCATCACTGGGACTGGTCAAAGGGGTAAATATGACCCGTAATTCTATAACAAGCGGTCGTCCAAGCGGTCGAGACCCCGGAGTTATGGAACCCAAGCCCGCATACGCTCGCATACTCAAACTGTAACCTCTCGGGCTGCGAATTTAACTCGTTCTCTGATTGAGACACAGCAACGCAGTCGAGAATCGCGCGACGAAGGACAATGCCAAACAGGGAGAGCAATCACAAGAAAGGTGAGGATTTCGCAGTTTTTTACCCCTGTCCCACGATTCCGATGACCCTTGTTACTCTAACTTGAGTCCGAGGTAGCAGCATGCCACAACTGCATCAAGAGACGAATCATCTGTGATAAGACTGGAGATTCTTGCCACAAATGTGCCAAGAAGAATCTGGCTTGTCCCGGTTACGGAATAAGGTACCGGTTCGCTAAAGAGACGACTAGCTCGAGCGTACCGTCGCCGACACCTTCGGAGGGGCAGCAAGGCGGGTTGAAACACCAGAGGAACATCCGTCAGTGGATTGAATATTCGGGAGAATCAGTGGCGGCTGGATCACGGCCGTCAAAAACACCACCAGCAGCTGGATACGGGGGAAGTTCGTTGATAACCGCTTCCTCATACCTCTCGCAAGCCACAATACCGAGGGCATTATCAGAGTTGGACCCCAGGACTCGTTGCTACTTCCTGCACTGTAAACTCCCCTAAATTGCGGTCTCTGCTACGAAATGCTGATTGTTGGTTTCAGTTGCTGTACATGTTTCCCATTTCATGGTGATCTTCGACGACGAAGCAAATGGATACCGGCACCACGTATTGCCCATGGCGCACAGTGATCCCCTCGTCCAAAAAGCCGTGTGCATCGTATCCGCCTTCCACCTGTCGGCCAAGCACCCGCGGCTTCGTCCTCCCGCCGAGGTCGTGAGGGCCGATCTGATCCGACGGCTCTCCCGATCGGCGGCGGTGAAACCCGATCTTAGCGAGACCGCGTGGGCGACCCTCCTTTTGCTCACCATGGCCGATCTCATAACGGGCCACGAGGACGTTACCTCGCTAATGGTGATCCTGAACACGTTTGTCGACGCCCGCGGACCTCCCAAGGAATCCGCAAGCGGGTTGGAGAAGTTTTTGTATTTCCAATCTTCCGTGTAAGTCTTACTTAGGTACTCTCTACTAAGTTCCCTACCTACCTTCCAACCTGGTCCCCTGCATAATCCACCACAAGCAGTGACGAAACCTAAACCGATAATTTCACTCAAGCAGACGCAGGCTAAGCTCACATAAAAATTACAGGCTAGGATTCTTCCGGCGTCCGTTCTCGCCTCCGGGCCCGCGCCCGCTGCCGCCGCAGCGGCTGCTCAGCCACCCGGTGGCCACGTTCGAGGCGTACACGCAGGGGCTGCACAACTGCCAGAAGCACGAGGCGCCGCCGCTGTACAAGGGCGAGGCGTACGCGTCGCGCTTCCCGCTGTACGAGGAGGCGTTCCGGCTCGCGGGCGAGATCTACACGGCGCGCATGGAGGCTGTCGACCCGCGGCCCGCCTTGTGCGGCGGCCACGACGACCGCCACTTCCGCTGCATGAAGGAGCACGTCCGCCGCATCCGCGCCCTGTGCGAGCAGATCGACCCCGCGGAGCAGGGGACGCATGTCATCTCTTGGCCGATTTTCGTCGCGGCTATGGAGAGCTGCAGCGAGAGCGATCGCGAGTTCTTCGCTGCGGCGCTGAGGAGGATCTGGGAGCGGTGCGGGTACGCGAATATCTCGCGCGGCTTGGAGACGTTGCCGGAGCTGTGGGATAAGAGTCGGAATAGGAGTTGGACGTCGGTTATGGGCGATTATAAGGGTTTGGTCGTGTGTTGAGGGGGGTTTGGATTTCGGGATATACTAGGGATATGGGATGGAAGGGTGGCGTTGACGACTTCGCCATTTTGGATCTGATGGACTCTAAGGAACTTCGCTTTTTTTTTTCTGTATGTAGAGGCCGTATACATGATAGCGTCCGTTTGATCTCATTGACTAGCGCGAATATATGGTTTTTTTATAGGAGATACATGCAAGTCAGCGAAGCTATCAACTGTTGTTATTTGTAAGTGGTGTAATTATCGAATACCCCTGAACTCCCTAAACAGTCAGCGCAAATTCAAAAATATGGAGTATTAGGTAGGGTTGAAGGATCTCCTTCCTGGAGTTAAGGTTTAGTATAGCACGATCAATAGCCAATCAGAATTCAGATCCCCCCGGACGTGGAAGGTTACACAAGGTTATAGTCTAGGACTCTATTCTGCTGTAGTATAGAGTCGGAGTTGTTAACATCCTAGACACTCAATCCCGTACATTGTGAACTACCTAGTACAAGGAGACCCACTGTCAGCCGTATGACTAAAATTGCGGCGCAGGAAACATGAATGTCCATCTAAACCTCTTCACATAGATCCCCAAGGATTTTAGAGACAGAAGCGCCGAGTTGCTCTTTAGGAAATGAAGATCTCCAAATCCAGGCGACACGAGCATCGGGTCGGATTAGAGCTGCATCAACTCCATCCCATTGCGAGCCGAAGGTGCTAATGTTGTCACTCGGCCCAAAGTACTTAATGTGTGAAGCCCAAGGGCTGGTACATTCGCGAAGAACTCCCTCAAGGCTAGCATCTCTCACGATTAGGAGGAATTTATCAACAGCCATGGAAGAATGGAGAACCTCGAATCCGCCCTGGATTTCTAGATGAGTTACCCTCGCTCCGAGTAGAGGATCCTGACCTTCTTCTTTAACGGGGAACCGGTCGCCAAACCCGGTGACGCGCCTCACCCACATCTTGTTCAAGTCGGGATGGGCGAGAAGCTCGTAAAAGACGTCAGACAGAGAGGCGTAAGGCTCGGCACCCGCGATGAACAGTGCAGTCTGCGCAAGCGTACTCTTGATGATAAGCTCTAACGCGCACCTCCGCTCTGTGCTGTAGCTGTCCAGGAGCTCCTCCGCCTTCGTGCCGGTAATCCTTCCGTTGGCAACAGCTGCAAGTTTCCAGGCCAAATTTGCAGCGTCTTGCAACCCGGTCGTAACACCCTGACCACCCGCAGGGAAGAATTGATGGGCGGCATCCCCAGCGACGAAAATACGACCACTGCGAAAGTTTGTTGCTAGGCGAGTGGTGTTCGAGAATCGAGACGTCCAGAGCGGGGAGTGCATCCCAAAGTCTTTGCCCACCGCCTGGATTGCAAATTTCTTGGCATCGTCCAGTGTCGGTACCGCACTGAGCGGTTGTCCCATTGTACCTGTGTGTATTCCGGTGGCTCGGTAATAGTCCTTGTATCCAATATGCTGCATGATGAATGCTCCAGATTCATTGTGAACTGATATTGGATGCGGAGGAGGATCTGTGACGAGAGCGTCTACTAGCCAACCAGTGAGGAAGCCATCGGTACCAAGGTACTCAAAATTCGCCAATTGCCGAACTGCACTCTTCGTACCGTCGCACCCAACAAGCCAAGGGGCTGTAAGCTCGGATTTCTTCCCGTCTTTGGCTTTGATCTCAAGTGTAACGCTGCTGGCATCTTGAGCAAGGCCGACTGCACGATGGCCAAAAAGGAACTCGATCCCTCTTTCCTTGGCGATATCTATCAGGAGCTGTTCTGTCACGGCCTGTGGAATCATCAGCGAGTGAGGATTCTTGACACCCAGGGTTTCTCGTGACATCTGCAGTCGGGTTGGGGCAGAGCCGAAGTGGACAGAATGAATGGGCTTCCCAGCGTCGATGAATCGCTGCTCTATGCCACGTGTCGCGAACGTTTCGAGACTGCCGGCGGCCATTGCGGCTGCTCGAGAACGGATATCACGCGTCACGTTCTTCTCGACAATCGTGACTTCGAGCCCTGCGGAGCGAAGCTCCAGGGCGAGCCAAAGGCCTGTTGGGCCGGATCCAACAATTAGAACATCAGGCATCGTGGCGAATATAGAGCTAATACTGTGAAATCAATCGAGACAAAGACACTGGAATAGAACTGGATATCTACTCGATACGAACCTGACTACGTCCTGCTGTCCTTTATAGCTTTATATCTCATTTTTGCAAACTCTAGAAGACGTCGAGCGCAGGCTCTTTCACAAGATCGGTCGCCCATGAGCATGATGAGAGCGCCGAGAAGCCCGTGACCTTCCATGATAGAAACAGAGGTAATGTCAGTGTTGTATATTCCAGATTTATGGACTGATGGGTTTGTTCACGCTGCTTTGGTGTTGTATTAATACTTACCTAATGGACATCTATATGCAGTAATTGATATACGCAGGTGGGGATATCCGGTGCTCTCGGCTCTCTCGGACTCGGACTCGGGCTTTTCGGTTCTCTCGAGCTCCTCGGGGCTATTTTTCAGCGCCACATGAGTGAAGATCCGGTCGACTTTTTGAGTGACGCAACCGTCCGTCTTCGTTAAGCTTCCGATTCTATCCCTTGACTATCGGATACCTAAGAACATGAACACCGAAAGCCCCCCTTATCCCACATCATCCAGCCACAAGCCGCCTTCAAGGTCTTGTAAAGAGGTATACAGCGCTATTAGTTCTATACGCTTTCTAATTTCTCTAGAAATAATCTGAACGGCTACTTTCGCCCAAAGTAGATAATAGTTGCTAATTTTCACCATTAATAAAGTGTTACCGGCGGAAGCTCAAGTGCGATAGAGCTCAGACTTGTTCAAACTGTCTTCGTGGATGTTTGACTTGTGTGTATACTAACGAGCCTATCCGCCGAGACCGGAAATCCAAACGTCGTGCTCAGGAGTCAGCCAAGGACACGACACCTGTCCTGCAACCGCGTCCGGGTCGCTTTCTAGCGGGCAAACACGGGAAGAGCCGCCTATTAGGAGACACGTGTTGGGCGCGACCCTTCATCGAGGTGTGTATTCTCCCCAAAGTCGACTTCACGCTATTCAGGAGGATAATTGATGATAAATTTCCGAAACAGCCTGTAGGTCTCAACGACGGCCAAAATGACCCTACGTATCACCTCCCCCCCTCGGGGACGGGAAACCTGTTCTATGAAAACTTTCTGTTCCGGAAAACAGCACCCCGGGTTCCGATAGAGATTGCAAATCCTTCTTTCTGCCAGATACGTCAACTATGGGACATATATGTTCATAATGTCGATCCTCTTGTTAAGATTCTCCACAAGCCTAGTGTTGAACGAGTCCTATGCGATTTATCATTGAGCGAGGATGGGCCCGATCCTGAAATTTGGGCCCTTCTACTAGCTATATGTTACGCTGCAGTGTCATCTCTTCCATCATCCCAAATAAGGGTTGAATTTGCCCTTGACGCCGATAATTATGTTGCCTCCTTTAGAGCGGCCCTCGAGAAAGCTTTGACCGATGCGCAATTACTCCAAACGCATGACTTACGAGTCATTCAGGCTTTTGCAATCTACCTGGTAAGAAATCTGCAACGGATATAACCCATGGACGAACTTTGGATACTTACAAGGCTTTATCTATGTAGACATGCCTTCCTAGAAAGGAGGCCCGAAGCATAGCTCTCCTCATTTCTCTAGCAGTTCGAATTTCAAGAACCATGGGGCTACACCGCGACGGTTCTATCTTCAAATTGCCTACATTCGAAACGGAGATGCGACGTCGGCTCTGGTGGTATTTATGCCTATTAGATTGGCGTGCTGCAGAAGACGCGGGTTTAGAAATTACCATTATGCTTTCGACTTTCGACACAAAGATGCCGCTTAACATTAATGACGATGACATGGATATCACATCTTCTGATATCCATGGCCGCCATGACTACACTGAAATGGCATTCTCGCTAATTAGATATGAAGCGTGGTCCGTCCTCGCTTCATGGAGCAGCATGAATATGCACCAGGAACCGGCTGGAATCGAAGAGAAGAAAAGGGCGATAGAAAATCTATCAACATATCTGGAAAATACGTATATAAACCCTTATTGCCAGATTTCTACACCCTTTACCCGTATTCTATTGATGGTTACACCACTTCTCATGGACAAGCTGCGGCTCATTATCATGTATCCAGCTTATTGTGACGGTACCAATGGAGAGGTGTCATTGACGCTTGAGGATAAGAACAAGCTCTTCAGGTCCGCAATTGACCTCCTTGAGTTTGAGCAAACCCTTGGGGCTGATTATGAACTGAGGGGCTGGCGTTGGTTCTTTGCTAACGCCCATATTCAATGGCACGCGATGACGTTTGTCCTCTCCGAATTATGCGTTCGTGTTGAAGGAGAAGTTGAACATATGGCTTGGGACGTCATTGAACGGGTGTTCCCGTCCACCCCGGACAGGAGAGATGACAACGTCTGGGAGCCCTTGCAAGGCTTAAAGCAGAAGGCATTGAGTACCCGATACTCGATTACATCGCAGCTTTCTGCGCTTTTCCCATCCGATACCGACGACTTTGTATTGGACAGGTCTTCGCTTGATTGGAGCTGGTAAAACTTGACACAGGAAGAAAACAAAGTATCCAGGCAAATCACTAATTTCATGGATGCTCATAGATCGACATACTGACAGGATTTGATGTCCATGCGTTGGGTATCCAGGTACGTAGACATTGAAGCAATTCCAGCCTAAAAAAAAAAAAAACCAGTAATGATAACATGTACCCAGTTTACACATTTTCTCTTGCTTTAGCTTCATTTCCCACCTGTACCTGGATATCAGTACGTACATGAATATTACCCGGCGATGGAGCGGGTGGTTTTGCCGTTGGATTAGCGTGGTTTGTGTCGTGTAGATGCGATGAATATAAGTGCTTAGGTTGGTCCTTGGTATCTCTTGCTGGCTCATGACATTGAAGTTGCGTGTAGTCGGAGGTACTATCACGTTCGCTCATCCTCGGGGTCGAGTTCCCTATGATTTCAATGCTACTCAAGGGGATGCCATCGTCATGCGTGGTGCCCATCTTGGAAGCGTCAACGGTTGTCCATATGTGGTTCAAACTAACAACACGCTTAAAGCCCCGGGAGCTTTGTTGTCCGGATGAACCTTGACCTCTGTTCCCATCATACATGTAGCTATTATTTCGAGCCTGGTTTCGAAGTTTTCTGACTATTTGGGGAACTATCACTGGCACACACGCGCATACCACGGCTGTTGTCTCTTCAGCGGCAGTGAGGATTAGAAATACGGCGACACCATCTATCAACTTGTGTAAGTATGTACATTAGAGTTTGTATAGGGTCATATAGTCTAGGCATGAAGATGATAGCATGGTATAACTTACAACTAGGGTCAGTTTTGTCATCAGTATCGATGAGAAGCGCCAGCACCCGGGCTAGTTCTAGCAGAGCAGCAACTAAGCCAATTCCGAAAACTGCCATCAGTCCACGCTTTTTGGCCTTGTCAAGTCTTAGCTTAGAGATGGCCCAGATGGGCAACGCCAACAGGCCGGCATCTGAGATAAGGCTGAATATCACTGGTAACGAAACATGGAGTACGCTCGTCGCATCGCATTGTCCTTCTTTCCCTCCTGGAACGGGCTTGTGAAACTTGGCGTAGTACTGGAGGAAGTACCATTCCACGGGTTTGCACTGAAACAGGTAGAAGGCGGTGCCGCCGAAGAACCAGAGGATTATGTAGACAAAGTTAACCCACCAGAAGATGCGTAGACTCTGGTTAGACACTAGAAATAGTCGGCGGTAGAAGAAGAGCAATGTCATCTTGATACAGAGAAAGAAGCTGCACATCAAGACCATCGTAATCCAGACATGCTTCCCCCATGTGATATGATTAGCTCACTGTACTCGTAATTGGGTAAGTAGCTTCTCCTGACATACCCTAAATGTCTTGGATAGGTTCGATGGATCATCTGGATCTCGGGCATTGATGGTGAACGTGTGAAGGCCAAGTCCGTAGTGAGTTGCTACCATTAGATTTGCTATGATGGCATTGACGAAGATCTAATTATTGGTATTAGTTATAGAGGACCTTTGTAAATGAGTATCTAGTCATTAAGGAGACTGAAACTCACTCCACCTAGAATGATCGAGATATCCTCGGCCATAACCCGTGAACGGGTTATCACAGATCTCCATGTCCCCCATAGTCTACCAGCGATGGCCACGTCATTAATGATGAGGAAGGTGATCAAGCAGCCCCATAGTGCTGGCTGCCTGGTGTCGTTGAAATGCGCCTCTTCGTATGGGCTGAGCGCTGGTTGGGACATCATACAATGAGCTGCTTTTGTTGTCTCTTAATTCTTCGTGTTCCATACCGTGGATAGGTGATGAAGTCTCTGAGAAGGTAGGGACCGAGCATGCGAGCTGTAGCCTTTCTCGCTCCACGATATGGATAAATAAGGCTCTCAACGTCTACGGAGCTTTCAGAGACAGACAACATCCTATATTGTAATCTTTTAACACATCCATCATTCTTTAAGGTAGCAAAGCACATGGCTGATTAAAGTAGGTTCCACACATCGAATCAGATTCGATGCAGAGTGGCATAATAATCTAATTGTAGAGTCGTTTTAGGCTCATCGTCACCTGGGTACCTACCTTCTCTATACCGCTTTAGGTGCGCCATAGATGATAAACACGTTGTACTTCTCGGTGTCCGGCCAAATAACACCTATGTAAGCACGATCTAAAGATTCCGGGCGATCTTCTCGATATAGAAAGATCCACAACGCAACACAGGGCGCCACTATTCGTCTAAGCCTCTCAGTAAGGGTGAACAGATGTGCGGTAGAACGCCATAGACAAACAAACCGGTAATCTCAGACATCGATATCTACGCCTCTCTCATAACTAGACACTTCTCAGGAGATAGACGTCTTCAATACCCAGAATCTTATTTCATCCCTTATCGACACTTTGCTGAATGAGTAGAATGCCATACTTGTAAGTGTTGATAAACTTAGTCGAAAACGTCGCTTTGTCGAGGGGAGTCGATCACCCACCTATTAATAATTGTCTAACTACAAATATGGTACGGCCGTGATCGTCAATGGTGGTTACACGAGTTAACATGAGTCGAAGCTAGGGAAGTTGATTTTGAGAATGATTGGTCCATTGTCCCATCTCGTCCTTGAGAGACAAGAAATAGCGAGGGTACTGGATCGGCAAGTGCCGCAAGGGCCATCATGCACAAACTTCGAGCCTTTATGTTATGCTATTGATACAACACTGGCGAATTGAGTAATGAGAGACATGCGTCACCTTAGCTCTCGTCGGCGATACCTTTTAATTTAAACACTCGGAAAGAGTTGTTTTCGACGTTACTATCTCCCATCGACCATATGAACAAAGAATTTATACTCTTCTCGGTACCGAGCAGAAGGCAGCCTGCTTGAGCCACGTTAATTAAGAGATGTATGGACGTATAGAGGCGTTTGGCGGCTGGGAGGCGTCGATTCTGTCCAATCAGGAAAGAGCCGAGCCCACGGAGATGATCGCCGAAGGAGACGTGATTGGGTCGGGACTCGGCTTATGAGTCAAGGTAAGAGCAACCCCAACTCCCTACCCGGTCAGTATGCTCTTTCCAACAATCCATTAGGTCAACCGCATATAATATATCATTCCCCAATCAGTATCACGGGAATTGATTGGCTACCGAATACCGGGATGCGATCGTGGCCATCTAGAGTTTAGCCTTAGGAAAATGATCGACGGATATTACGGGCGAGGGTAGGCGCGTTTGTACGACCAACATGAGTAATTAGCACTTAGCACAAAGAATCCAATCCGCTTGTTTTTCTTTTTTTTTTTCTGCGACGTCGGCGAATATTCAAACATCAAGCATTTGCTTTCCTTTCATTTCGTCTTTTCCCATGTGGCCTTTTTAAAAACACAGCCATCCTCTTTGCGTTCTCTCTCGTACGTGCGTACCTACTTCAATTCAGGGTACGGGTTGTCTCAGAAGGCTGCATATTTGCGCCGTGTTCTTGCACTGCATTTTATCCCCATTGGAAGACCATGTCTAACGAGAAGATGGCCTCCACTCTGGAGGCGGACGAGGCTGCTGTTCCGCGAAGCGACGGCTCCGAGTCTCAAGTTGCCGGCCCTGTCGAGTGTTACACGCACGAACAGGAGGCCCGCGTGGTCCGCAAGCTGGATTGGAATCTGATGACGCTCTTCTTCGTTTTATGTGAGTGATGCGGTTGAAATACCGGACCCGCCAAGCAACGTGCTGACAAGAATCCTTGCGTCGCCAAGACATGCTGGCGTTCCTGGACCGGGGAAACATAGGAAACGCTAAGATTGCGGGCATGGCCAAGGACCTCCAGCTTGACGGCAACCGGTATCAGTGGCTACTCAATATCTTCTACATCACTTACGTCCTTTTCGAATTCGGCGTGCTACTATGGAAGATTTTCCCTCCTCATATCGTCGGCGCATGCGTCGTATTCTTATGGTGAGCCAAATTAGATATAATGTTTACTTTCAGCATCCTCGACTAACATTATAAAGGGGTTTCATCGCCACGGTGCAAGCTGGTGTCCACGGTTGGAACGGTGAGATGGCTTTGAGGTTCTTTCTTGGCGCCTTTGAAGCTTGGTATGCGTAGGTTATGAACTACTAAATCAACGGAATTCTAGACGTATGATGCTGACATTGTAAAGACCTGGTATCATCTACCTCCTATCGTTCTTCTATCTTCGACATGAGATTGGTTTCCGATGCGGTATCTTTGCTTCAGCAGCTCCATTGGCTTCGACTTTTGCAGGTGCTCTGGCATATGGTATCACCAGCGGACACTCTCGTCTAGCCAACTGGCGCCTACTTTTCCTAGTAGAGGGGATACCAACCATGCTCATGGCTGTATTTGCCTTCTTTTTCATCCCCGATTCCCCCGAGAAGGCCAGGTTCCTCTCTCCAGAAGACAAAGAGATTGTCAGAGCCAGGGCCATGCGCCAGGTCGGCACTAACGCAAACGCTAGAATTGGAGGGTTCAAACTTAAAGAACTCGTCCCCGTCTTCATCGATGTGAAGGCATGGCTATGCGGGCTGATGTATTTCTGTGGCAACGTCACATACTCCAGCTTACCCGTTTTTCTCCCAACCATTCTCGAGGATATGGGCTACACTGCTATTGATGCCCAAGGATTGTCCGCACCCCCATCTTTTGCGGCTTTCTTGTTTGCCTTGATCACAACCTGGATTGCAGATAAGACCCAACAGCGATGTCTTGTCATTGCTGTCACCTCGATTGTGGGTGGAGTTGGCTACATCGTCCTTGCCACTGTTGAGACGGTTGGTGTTCGCTACTTTGCCACCTTCTTGGCTTCAGCTGGTGTATTTTCTACCATCCCCAATATTCTCGGGTTGACCCTAAGTAAGTGTTCTCCTTATTGGCCTTAGAATCCTAATCATAGCATATTAAGATATTAACAATGTTACCTAGACAACCAAGGTAGCGATACCCGACGAGGAGGTTCTATTGTTCTCATCAACCTAATCGGCCAGTGTGGTGCGTTTTTAGGAAACAATATTTTCCCCACGAGGCAGGCCCCCAGATATGTTGAGGGTATGGCGATCTGCGCCGCCCTCATGTTCTTCTCTGCTCTTCTCGCGTTTTCCCAACGCCTACTCCTGATGTGGGAGAACTCTAGGCTTGACCGCAAGTACGGCCATGTCTCTAACAGAATGAACGACAAGTCAAAGGATGCGGCCCAAGAAAACTACGGTCCGACTTTCAGATATGTCCTTTGAGGTACTGCAACACAACCCCCTTTTACATGCTAAAAACAGGATTTATACCCCTTTCCCCCTTCCCATTGTTCATGAATCGGATAATGTTTAAACAGGCAAAAGGCTAGTGAGCATTATGAATTTAGAATAAAATGGAGCTAGTAATAAAATGAATGACAAAAGAAGTCATAATGAACCTAATTGTCCTCGGACAAACTTCCTTAGAATTATGAGACTGAATAGTATTTGACCCCTTTCACGGGGCCCTTTTATCCCACAAAAACTGACCTTAATGCAAATGTTATGGCAATTCTCAAAAACTGATGACAAGAAAATTTTGTATAACCCCCTTTTTTTTGTCCACCTATGACCGATTTACTGCAAATCCCAACTTTTGTGCTCGCTTTTGGCTTTTGCTACCTCTGTCCAAGCGTCTTTACTTTGATGACCTATGTCTCTGAACTTTACCTATTAGAATAATATTATCATTTTTATACGTCGTTGAACATACTTGGAATAATAAGTTCCACATTTCTGTAATTAATTGGCGATAGTGGTTTGTAGAACAAAAGTAATATTGAATCGTAAGGAATGTTTCTAGGGCACGTAATTCGTGTAAGTGGCCATCAGAAGTTCAATATGTGTATTAGATCTCAGCCGGTGCTAGAATGCTGTTGGGTATTATTACTAGCGATATCTGTCTACTGTTGCTAGCATTACCCCCCGATTCTCGAACTCTGATAGCCGTCTATGAATGACTTTTTATTTACCGCCGGTGTTTAGGGGACTCTTTGGGTCGAACACGTCGGTCGTGATCAGCTCGGGGTACTTGATGTCTCCCTGCTTCAGAGCTTCCTCCATGACCTCCATGATGACGATGCTCTCGGACCAGGGCAGAGTAGCACTCTCCTTCTTGCCGTCCCGGATGCACCTAGCGCATTCGTCTGCTTCCCAGAACATTCCATGACCCCATTGTCGCTCTGGGTCCTGCGGTATAGGGTAGTTGACGACCTCAACCTTGCCTTTCGCGTCTGACTTGATAATCTTGTACTGTTGAGGGCGGTAGGCTGGACCCATTACTTGGATTTCACCCTTGGGACCTTGAATTCTAATAGCGGGTCCAGCGCTATTATGTCCGTCGATATCAGTGGGAACTCGCATGTTAGTCATGGCAAGTCCCATGCTCTTGTGTTTCGAGAACTGGAGGATGATGTTGGTCATCTCATCAGCTCCCGTGCTATACTTGTTCATGGCCGCTATAGTTCTCGGTACCTCCTTTTCCGCTTCGGGTTGGAGATGGTATAAGAACTGGAACAGCCACGTTAGGGAGTAGATGCCCAAATCTAGCAATGCACCACCTGCTAGATCTAGATTCACCATCCGGTGTTCATTTGGGAAGGTTAGGGTACCGTTAGGTCCGTCATTGCCAAACGAGTTGTCGGCTATGACAAGACGCGTCAGTTGATGAATCATGTGGGGAGATCACGTTTAGCGAAATGAGGAGCATGTAAGTTAAGGATTCTTACCAATAACTCGATACACAGGTCCAATAAATCCGGACGACACCAGCTCCCGAATCTTGATGCTAAGAGGGAAGAATCGTGTCCAGACAGCTTCCATAAAGAATAGATTCTTGGCTTTAGCAGTCTCAACGAGCTTCCGCGCCTGGGCGGCGTTCACAGTAAGAGCCTTCTCACATAAAACGTTCTTGCCGGCTTCTAAGGCCAACATAGCGTTCTGGAAGTGATGGCTGTGGGGCGTTGCGACGTAAACGATTTCGACGTCTGGGTCATTTACCAGCTCGGCGTAAGAACCGTACGCCTTTGCGCCAGCTGGGGCTTTCACCTTCTCTAGAAAAGATTCGGCGCTCGCTTTGGATGATGACGAGGCGACGGCCACCACTTTGTGAGCGACATCGTGGACATCACGAGTTGCGGGGTTGTTGAGTAGGTCTTTGGTGAAGGCTACCAAGATAGGCTATTAGTTATGAGTCTTATCAGCCGATATTGAGTGTATGGGTATCTGGCTCACTCTGAGCGATGCCACCGGTGGCCATAATGCCCCACCTAATGGTAAAGGGTTGTGAAGTCATATTGGGTGTTGATCTATAGCGTACGGGAACTCTAAAGGCGAACAGGAACGATGGCACTGGAAGTGTGGTAGGAAGCCGTGAAGTCTTCAGGAAACTTAACTTCTTTTAAATAGGCAATAATTAGACGACAAGGGTTAATGCTGAATAATGTTCCGATGCTATCTCGGGAGTGCTTTCCAGTCCTACCTTGAGGATCTGATCAAAGGTGGGATAGCGGGGTAGCTGAACGTTACTAGATACCTACAGTACCTGGATATCCGACATATCTCCTTTAATTTGGCAGTTTGGGAAGGTCTATGTACGTAGGTGCCCGTGTGTGTAACAATCTACAACTGCCAGCACAACCAGTAAATTTCATCTGTGGGACGGGCTTTCCCGCTTGATTCCTCATATTTAATCCGTTCAAACCTTCCTTGGTTCTCAACATAGACACTTATCCGTATACTAAGTGGTTAAATATTCGGAAAATAGGTTCCGGTTAAGAAACTGCTATTTTAGGTCACATATTTAAAGCTATTACCTACTTACCTACCTAGGGACTAGGAAGTTGAAGCTGAACGTCATAGACATACAAAGAAATGTACAGATGTACCCCGCGGTTTTGTCCGCCGTCTTTCGGCCGGTTATATGAAAAACCAAAAGCGGACCACCATATATCCTATCTCCGACTTTATGAAAATGACAGGTCATGTACGTAGCTCTGAGGTGTATTAGGTAAGCTGCGAACACAAATGACTTACATAATTCCAACGTAGAAGCTGAATGACGTATGTTTAACTTCGAAGGTCTCGTCCCTTATACAACAATTATTGCGCTTCAGTTGTCCGATAGTCGCATCTACTATTTAGAAACCCGTCAGATACATGGTGATGTAATGCTGTAACAACATAAGGTAGCAAGAGATAAATACGACAGATAAACGTCCCCGCTCCGTCCTCCCAATGCTCTTGCTATACTGGCACCTCAACCCCTGCCATCAATGAACTTTACCAAAGGTAAAAGGAAGAAAATATATTTCATCAAGCGACAAGAACGACTGTTAGGTGGAAGTCAACCCGCTCTTCATGACGCTCTGTAACTTGCGACCGTTCAACTCAGCACCACTATCTCTATCGTCTATTAAGACCTCATTTGTACCGCGCCGTAATTTATTCCCGATCCTCAAGTATTATAGCAAAATCATCTCTTCACAAGATTGCCAGGGTTCCGGTGTAAGGTCTTTCGCCATGAGTACTGAACCAGCGCCGATGCCAAAGATGCTGTACGGAACGGCCTGGAAAGAGGAAAAAACGAGTGAATATGTCTATAAGGCTCTGAAAGCCGGGTTCCGAGGAATCGATACCGCAGCTCAACCCCTTCACTACAAAGAGCCTCTCGTTGGTGCAGCTGTGAGACAGGCAATAGCAGAAGGCATCGTGAAGCGGAGCGATCTATTTGTGTGTCGTGTTTTATTCGTGACAATAATACACGGTGATCAGCTAATAACAGACATTTAGTTACAAACAAAGTTTACTCCTTTAAGTGGCCAGGATCTAGGAGATCTCCCTTACGATGCGTCGGCGCCGGTAGTGGAGCAAGTCCACTCCTCTATAGCTTACTCGCTTCGAAACTTTCATTGTGTAGATTCCGAGGAGCCATATATCGATAGCTTAGTCCTACACTCGCCACTTGGTACCTTCGAAGACACGATGACGGTGTGGAAGACGCTTGAGATGTATGTACCGCATCAAATTAGACAATTAGGAATATCCAATGCGTCTATTCGGTACGTTAACTGGCTATGTACTCTGCCTGAGATCACCGTTCGCCCGGCTTGCGTACAGCATCGATTTTATGCGGCCAATTTATGGGAGAGGGATCTACGAGCATACTTGCGTCAAGAGGGCATCGTTTTCCAGGCATATTGGGTCCTATCTGGAAATCCACTTCTGTACACTTTTCCACCCTTACAACGAGTCGCCGCTCATGCTGGCGTCGAATTGCCGATCGCATTGTATTCGCTCGTACTCGGCCTCGGAGGTACGGCGGTTCTCGACGGAACTACAAAAGAAGCACACATGAAAGAAGATCTAGAGGGCACTCAGTTCGTAGAGGAATGGGCATCGAGTGAACGAGGTCGGGACATCTGGTCAGAGTGTTTGGATCAGTTCAAGGTGTTCATCGGGGAACATGAGTAGGATGATGTTTATCCGTGGGGAAGGCCGGTTGTCAGAGCCTCAGGGAGACCCTCAAGAAGAAACCCGACTTCATGTAGTGTGGAAGCTAGGAGTGCTCTGGACTTCTAATTGATTCTTGGGTTGAATAATTAGTAGCGTGATATTGATTGCACAGGTCTAAGAGGCTAAGACTTTGAAAAGGGCTGACCTAGTAATACTGATAATTGGAATTCACATTATCTAGGTACTAGCAACTACAATTACCAAAACCACCTTGACTTCGGTGTCCTTGGGTATCAGCCTGCAAGCCTCAAGCTGGAAAATATCTAGGTTACGTCCATCGTCGCACCGTGTGCAACTTAGGTGTTGATATATAAAATCAGCGTCATGTTGTATTGATCGCTTCATTAACTACCTAGGTACCTAAATAGATGTATCAAGATAGGTGAGTATCATTACCTACCTATGTATCATGTGTAGGTATATAAACCGCTTCTACATCTAACCCTAAGATTTCCCCATATACCCCTATAATCAATGGGAGAAACCCCAACTATTAATTCAAACAATTAATTTTAAGCATTGGCCAACAAGCCTCTATGAGTCCTTACAAGTCACAAGTTTCTAGAAGTTTTATCACCCCCACGCAAAGATGGACCACAGAGAGAGCAGCAAGGAGAACGTGAATGCTTTGGTACCATGTAGGTCTAGGGCAGCATCCAATCTTTCGTTTTCTTCTCTCGCTCCTACATAAGTACTTTTTGTATTCTTTTTATGTTTATATACATTCTTCACTTTGCCCGTAAGCCGAATTAATCGTTGGGCATAAGCAACATCATGCTGTAACATCATATGTCTAAACTAGGAGCAACTATTACAAATAACATAAACTAGTTTCGGTTGTTTATAAAGCCATGCTTCCAAAAGCACATCATACCCATAAACGGGGAAAATTCTGCAGCTCACTGGTTCCGCGCGAGTGGTATGACACTATGGCGCTACCTAATGGCACTCTGACACTGGTTAGCTCGGCGCAAGTGGCGCTGCTCGACCTCCAGCTACGACGAACCCCTCATGCCCAACGCGAATTAGCGAGTAAAATGATAGCTTGGGAGAAAGCTCTATCGTCACACTGCAGTAAATAAAATGCAAGTCTACCTATGTAATCATGCGAATTAGAATTAGATTGTTACCTAGAAAAAGTTCCAACAATGGACCTGTCTATCTGCAGGTCTCGGCAACTTACGACCTCAGATTTTAGGGCTTCGCGGCACGACGGGAAGGGTTTCACCACATGGCATCATCCTGCTATTTCTGCCCTCTCATTACGGTCCGCCGCCAATGTATCCCAGAGCCCCGGGACTGGGGATCTAAAGAAAGTAGGAAACTAGAAGAATCACACGAGCTGAGCTGCAAGATCTAAGACATGCAGAGACGAGCGAAGGAAGGAAACCGGTTCGAGCCGACCCCTCGGGTTGGGTGCCCCACTTTGAACCGAATAGATAAAGCCTAACCAAGCCAGCCACGAGAGGAACTATTCGTTTACGGAATAGTACCTGGTATCTGGGAACTTGGAACTCCCCACTTTCTACTTGGGCTGAATTGAGGTGTGTAACGAGGAGGGTCCCAAGGTTCCCAAGGTTCCAAGGTTCCAAGGTTCTTATCGTTTATTTGGTCATCGTACTTTCTTTTTCCTTTCGTTTTTTTTAATTTCCCCGACCAACAGCTCAAGTTGCGATGATGTACATGGTACAGATCATCGAATTAGCCGCATTAGATCCTTAAGCTAGTCAACTGTACATGAACAGTCAATAGTCGCGACGGCAATAACGTAAGTAACAGTACATTCCTATGTACAATACATCCATCCCGTACAAATTTTACTTTTGGCCGAACGGGCCATCGTTTAAACCACCCCCACTTCTCTACCCGCCGAACAGGATGAAGCTTACAGCTTACCGGGTTACTGGAACCTTTCCTCCTACCTTATCCCAACGACCAGGGCCTGGTCTAACAAATCTAGGTACGCAATAAGAAAACGTACCTCTGTATTCCGCGCACAAATCCCATCTTCCCATCTGCTCATCTGCCCATCTCACTTCGGACCCCGGTTCTTTTGCTCCTTTTGTATTGAATTTTCGCTTGTATCAGTTCCATATTGGTTCTGCCCTATCACCCCCATCACCCCTATCACCCCTACATACGACATATGCGCCAACGCGAGCGAAGCCTGCGTAATCTAAAACGTATCCCTGCCCTGTCTTGTGCCGCTCCAGATCTAGCACGCCAACCCGCGTAACCTATAGGTTGGGTATTGTTGTAGTTTTTTTTTGTACAAAAGTACAATTACCCTTCAGCCAGCCAGCCAACCAACCGCTCGCGCGCCCAGCCATGCAGAAGGAGAACCCAGATCCAGGCTACTATGCAGCGATCAGTGGGATGGAACGGCGGCTAGACCACGAGGGTCCCGCACAAGCTAGCGCCAGCGGTCATCCTACTACCGCCGGCACCGCATCCAGAGAGGCGGTGACGATTACAGGGGGAAGCGAGGTCTGCCACCACCACCAACCCTCTGGCTCTAGCTCTAGCCATGGCCCTGGCCCTGGCCCTGACGCCTCCGTCGCTTCGCATCCCGCGGTTACGGTTGCAGGAGTTTCTTCAGCACCTACCATTCAGACCCAGGCTAGCAATAGTAGCGCCTGCCCTAATTCTGGCGTTGGTAATGCTGCCCCTATTACCACTACTGTTACTGCCGCCGAGTCCTACGAGCAGCAGCACGTGCACAGCGTCTACGAGACTATCGCTTCACACTTCTCCTCGACGCGGTACAAGCCCTGGCCCTTCGTCGCTTCGTTCCTCAATTCTTTAGCCCCGGGGTCCGTCGGCCTGGACGTCGGCTGCGGCAATGGCAAGTATCTCGACGTGAACCGGGACTTAGTCATCTTCGGTTCAGACCGTAGTGCGAACCTGGCCCGGCTTGCGCGCGATCTTAAAATCCTGGGGAAGAGCGAAGACGGGAAGGATAAGGAGAAGGTAAGTGCGGCTACGGGTGTCGATGTAGTAGGTGTTGCCGACGGCTTGGACCTCCCCTTCGGCGGCAGCAGGCGTGTAGATTTCGCGATATGTATCGCCGTCATCCACCACCTATCTACGCGGGAGCGGCGTATCGAAGGTGTGCGCGCACTACTCGATTGCGTTACCCCGCGGACCGGCAAGGTGCTGGTCTACGTCTGGGCGCTCGAACAAGGGAGCAGCCGACGGGGATGGGATGAGGGGACCGCGGATCAGGACCAGCTAGTGCCGTGGGTTCTGAAGGCTAACAAGCCTAAGAAAGCGAAGAAGGACGGGGCTCACAAAAAGGGGGGAGGTGGTGAAAGCACCGAAAACGGGGAACCGGGGCCGGCAGAGGCCACGTATCAGCGGTATTACCACCTGTATAGAAGAGGAGAGTTGGAGGAAGATGTCGAGGCCGCGGGCGGTGAGATCCTGGGTAGTGGGTACGAAAAGGACAACTGGTGGGTTATAGCAAGTCCCAAAGAAGGAAAAGACACGATTTCACCCTCTATACTATCTCGATAACAATATTAAAAATAATATTACAACGGCGATCACGCTTGGACAAATATGATATCTGCGGATGCCATTTAGGCGAATTTGAACCAAAAAAGCTGTACATTAAATTCCAATAATTCCTAAAAAGGAGCTCTCGGTAAGCCGTCAGAACCTCATCGTCTAACTCTTTATCTATCAACGACATGAGCAGTAGCTCTGCTTAGCTCTCTCCAGCCCGCCCGTGGAAAATGCCGCAGCTACAAGAATTCCCGATACATGATATGTAGAAAAATAAAAAAGATAAAATCAAAACTAAAACACGCGCTTCCCGTTGATCAATACCGTACATTAAACCCTTGCACCGCGAAGACTCCCGCTACTTTGCCTCATCCACCCCCAACGCCCCGACCATTCCGCACATCCCAACACCTGTTCCGTTCCTCAACACCCCCCTTATCGCCCCGGATATCAAGGCCACATACATCCCATCCAGACAACGTGTTCCCCCTAAACGGGAAAGAGAGAAGAGAGGTAGTAGCGAGGAGCGAAGGATGCACCAAAGTATTTGCAAAAATAAAAAATAAAAATAAAAAAAAAGATCAAAAGACAAGGAAAGAAAAGAAGAAGAAGAAAAAAAAAAACCATAAAAGGAGGCCAAGACGGACAAAATAAAAATAAAAAATAAAATAAAAAGCACTTTTTCTGACTCGTATCCTTGCGCCGCCCCATGATTTCGAGGAAGAGGATGTGGAAGGACACGATCAAGAATGGAACAAGTCCCGTCAACAACCCCAAGAAAAAAGGGGGAGAGAAAGAAGGAAGTCGGTTCGGCTGCCTGCGCCCCCCCTTATCTCGACCCGTTCCCCAAAACCGTCAACACCCACCCGTTATTGATTCATGTTATCATTTTTTCCTCTTCCCTCTTTTTCTTTTTCTCTGTCTCTGTTTTCTCTCTTTTTTTTTCTTCAAAATCTTCCTCGTTCTGTCGTCAATACATGAATATATCCTATTTTGGTTATATGACCTGATAATACCTAACCCATTTCTTCGAAAAAATAAAAAAAGATGCTCGCTCCGGGTCCCGATGCAACGCTTGAAGTTCCTGTTGTTTTGTTTTTTTCGACGACGTAAAGCTCGTGTTGCCGCTGTAACGTTCTTCGTGTCTCGAAAAAAAGGGGGCTAAATAACAAACAAAAGAAAAACAAAACCGTGAGAAGGTATTGTAATGGCGGACTCAAGTACCCAACTGGGATCTTGATCTCGCCTAATCAAATGTCGTAACTCGTTCTTTCCTTAGACCTTATTGCAAGGCCAGGTTCGCTCTGTGGCTGTCTGCCATGTAGTCACTGCCGCGGATCTAAGTGTCTTCGCCTTAGGTCTGGAGACAGGTGGTGGCTAGTCTCCGGGCTCCTTCGTCGTTTCGAGCCGGTTGGTTCTGGGGTCGGCGGGAAACCCATGTGAGTGGTCCAAGAGCTCGGCGCGGTGTTGGGACCAGGGCTTGGGCTCGGGATGGAATACGCCATCGTGTTATACGGGCTTACGCCCGTAGTGAGCTCCGCGACTCCCGGCAACATTCCTGGCAAAGGAGGCTGGGATTCTGTCTTAATAGGAGCCAGGGGCATGGGAGTATGTTGGTGGTAACCATAACTTTCGGGTACGTGTTCGGGGTATACGGGGACGTGGCGTGGTATGCTCTCCCTCCTCGACGCAAGAGGTCTGCTAGACGTCGAAGGCTCCCCGCGCTCGTAGCCTCTTCCAGGTCCAGGCGTCACGTTCCGAGAAAGGCCGCCTTGCGAATGTGAGTGCGAATGCGAATGCGCATGCCGTGTAGATATCCTAGGACCGCCGTGGGGCTCATCCGTCGTTACCGGAGACATCACGAAGGGTTGTGCCACTCCCGCACGGCGTTGTATGTCCTGCTCTCCAAGCTGCCAATGCATCGCCTCTGCCGTACGCCACGGTATTCCCATCTCCTGGGATACTTTGATCCACATCTCATGCTTCAACCTGTTTCGTGTCTTGTTAGCTACTTCGGTCTCTCGGGTCTGATCGCTACGCGTTCTAAGTAAAATATTCGCTATTCGACTCCGAGGTCCTTTCCTAAACATCCTACTCACCTCTCATATAGTCTAGCGAGTTTGTTCTTCTTCTCCTCATCCCACCAGCTCCTTTTCTCGAGGTAGTTTTGGTAGTGTAGGCGACAGCTAATGGCGCTCCTTCCTGGTAATCTCTTGGAGATGTCGTCCCATTTCATACCATTTCCCCGGAGTTTAGTAATCAAGTCATTTTCTTCTTGAGTCCATTTGCTCTGTTTCTTGGCAGGCGATTCCGCCGCGTGTGGTGACATGCTGCGTTTTACCGGTACTGCCCCTGCTAAGTTTGGCCCTGGTCCTACCGCTCCTAAACGCGGAGGAGCGTACAATGATGGTCCGGGAATGGGTGCCGTCGTCAAGGCGGCTGGGGTCGCTGGAAGAGGAACTGATGCGGCTCGGGTATGATGAGGGGGGGATTTGGAGGACTCATTTGAGTCGGGATCCTTGAGGAGAGAGTTGATATCCACGGTGACGGTTAGGGGCCTATAGAGCCTTGGGCAGGCAGGTTTTCATGGAAGCGCTGTTAGGCGCTGAGGGTCCTCGCAGGCGTCAAAGAGGCGGTAATGATAGTTTTCCTCTCAGCACAGTTCGTGCTTCTTCGACAGTCCGCTGAGATCGCCTAGAAGCGTTTCGGTTTTGTTTGTGATGTTTTACAAACTAGGCAACAACAGTCACCAGCTCGTCTAGATATCGTGTACTTGAATACTTAAATTCGAGAAGAGTATTATGATAATTCGATGCCAAGTGCTTGAGGCTGAAAATGGTGAAGTTCGTGAAATCTTTAGTGTGGGATAGAAAACCGTATGTAGTTCGAGGTGAAGGAATACTTTAGGAACACTTTAGAAACAAAAGGGAGAGAACGTTCAGGGAAGCCAGAGCTCTAGATTAGTGAAGGGTGATGATGTTTTGTGAGCTGTCACACATGATTGGTTTATTATGGGCTACTTCTGGGCTTCTCTCGTAGCCAATAAACGAATACGTAACAGCCAGAAAGGCTTATGGATGAATGAGGCGACGCCAGGCGGGTAGGTACAGTACCTCGCTCAAGCCAGGTAGATGTCTAAGGATTTTCCAGCCCAAGGTACTTCCTCTCGACATTCATAATCTTTCCCTCCTATGGAGTGTCGTTATAGTGGCGACGAAAGCATCATAGGTCCACGTCTGGGTTGCGCAGTGCGAATTGATATCGGAGAAAAAAAATCAAGAAAAGAAACACTAGGTTAGGAAAGGAAAAAAAAAAAAAAGTGACTACGAGACTGAGGGCTTCAGGTTGATGTGAGCGTACTGGTGGTCAAAGAGAGGAACGAGTAGACAGGGTCTAGGTCCAGGTCACAAAGCCGTAGGGCCCCAAGCTCAAATGGACAGCCAGGGTGTGTGGGGTGGGAGTTTATGGTGTGTCGAAATCGAAGTGTGGAGACAGGATAGACACCAGGTTTTCTACGTTTATAGGTAATAGGCAAGTCGTGCGAGGTATAATAGAGACCAGCAGTTCGTGGGAGTTGGGTAACACCTCACCGACTATGTATGCCAGCACAGAATACATAGTCTCTGCCGCCTCCCCCAAGAGCCTTCCTCGGGAAAAGGAGGGGGGAGGAGTCAGGCTAGCAAGTGACAAGTTTTCAGGTGATACGCCGTCAAGGTCCAAAAAGCCCTTAGAGACGCAGGTGTTGTGGATATTTCACCTATTCATCTCCAAAGAGACTTTGAGATTGTAAGTCGAACAAACGACTTGTTGGCCATGCAAGCTACTTGACCGGGGGCTGACATTGCCACGAAATCATGCATAACACTCGCAGAGAACAATTCACCACTTCCCATGTATTTTCGGTTAGTACACTAGGGGGTAGCTGCTAAGTCGGCGGATTAATGACGCAAATGAGCGACGAACTGAAGAAGCCTGCAAACGAACGAGGTGTTCGAGAGGCTCTTGGGACGTCCAGGGTTGGGACGTTCCCATCCCATCCCATCCCATCCCTCCCCCCTGGAGAGCGATGTTGGTGTCCGGAAAGAACTCCAAGGAGTTGCCGCCCTACAGCTCGAACATGATGGGTTCGCTAGGACAAGACTTACGGCATGCGCTTTGGGCCTCTGCGCGGGTGCCAAAGCACGAACACATTAGAACCTAGGCGTGACAGGGCACCCCGTCCAGGGCCGTCCCAGTTGCTGTCCCAATGCCGCTCCGAGGCTTAAGGACCTGAGGGACCCCTTGACGATCCATTGCAGGGCAGCTTCACGAGGCTTGGTAGAGATAGAGATCGATTCGGAGAAAGTACCCGTCCCTGGCAAGCGATACTACCTACCCAGAATTCGAGATCCCATTAAGCCCCAATGAACAGAGTGGTGGCGGTGGCGGCCGTAGAAGACCAGTAGACCATGTAGACAGTGAAACTGCAGACCTAAGTGGGGACCTTCATGAAACCGACAGCCAGACCTACCTTTCTATGTCACTACTACCCTCGCTACCTTAGGGCAGTGTGGGCAGTTCGGACATGTACAATAATTGCTAGGATATAGCTATTTTCTGATGTGCATGTGCGGATTACGACCTTGACTTACCTGGGAGGGCTGCGAGGGCTGCGAGGGCTGACTAGGGCCATTGACGATGAAGCCCTTTCGAGATACGCTAACACCGGCTAGGCGGGAGGACGATAAAAAAAACAAGGTATAGGTTGGTTCTTCCCATCCACGGGAGAGCAGGGTATGCTGGGTATTGTATACAAGTAGTAGTTCACTGCGCCATCCGCGAACATGGGGACATGGGGACATGGGGGTTTATGGTTTGACATGTCTGGGGTGGAAGTTGGTGGTGGTGGTGGTTGTCGTGTTGGTGTTGTCAGTTCCAGATCGGACGCAGAAGCGAACGGAACGGTGTGAATGGTTTATGTGTGGTTGCGTAGGGTTCTGTATGGTTCTGATGTACGGCGGTATAGCCTGGTCGTGTATAGTATGTAGTGCGTAGTGTGAGGTTGTGGTCTAGATATGCATGTGTGTGCGTGTGTGGTGTGTAATGTATAGCGTGTACTAATGTGTGTGTGAGTGTTCGAAGTTACCGGGAACAATGGAACAATATTTGCGAATAAAACATACTTTTTGTCTATTGTCTACCTACCCCTACTACTCTAGTCTATTAAAAGTTGTATCATGTACTTAATTGCGATCCCCACTAATGAGCGGCACTAGCCCTGTGCTAGCTACTAGTAGGAATGGCAGGAGCACCAGACTTGAAGAACAAAATACAAAATACAATACAATTTGAAATAATTAATTAAAATAAGATCGAGAAAAAAAGAAGGACAAGAAGTACCTAACAAAAGCCCCCCCTCCACTTCTTCTTCCCCCTTTGTTCCTCGACACGGGATATGGGGCTCTCTACAAGTAGCACGTTGCAAAACAGAGCTCAACGTCTGTGCGATTTCGACGCTTTGATGAACATATCATCTGCAATCGACTCCAGTTCGTCTCATACATATTATCCCGGGTACATCACACGTTGCCTGTAATAAGCTACGGACCCGGTGTGTTTCTTAACACTCTTCGCATTTTGCATTTCTTTTCCAAGGAAAGTCCAAGTTGCGAGCACGAAGGAAATTCAGTCAATGACTGTTTCCGGGTCACCGGGAATAGCGATCTCTGGATCCGATGAACTGGCGGTCAGCAGACTTAGTATGCATAATGGGTATAGGTAGGTTATAGTTGAAGGTGGTTATTTAAAGAGGGATGGATAGCCGACTCTAGGAGGACAACAACGTATAGCTGATAGAGTATAGTATAGCCTTGGTATAGCGGCGGCGGTGGTGGTGGTGGTAGTAGTAGGTACATACTTCCCATCCCTCCCTTTTCCCTACTACACACGTCACTGCCAAGTAAAGGTAAGGCGGTACCGAACTTCAGCCTTCCATGTCTGTTTAATGGCGTGCATGAAAACAACTGCCATGAACCATGATCTACTTTGCCTACACGCATCACAATAATTAGGAAAAGTTGGTTTGGGCCCATCCGCACACATGATGCGTATGCTTGTCAGGAAAAAACTCTTACACGTACACCTCGTCGAGAACTGCGCTGTTTGTTTGCCTTACCAACTTCTGATAGGACTATAACCCCTGTCCGGTTCCTCACTTTTTTTTAAAAAAGAAGACGGAGGGCGAACCTGTTGCATTGAGGGGTTTGCTGGCCTCCTAGATGATGGATCGCGTGCGCTACGCGCGAATTCAGGGACCATACCTAAATGTCAATAAAAAGTCGGGCAGACAAGCCGGGGGAGGAGTGCCGGTAAAAAGAGACGAAGAAACAGAACCACGTCTATACCTAGGTACGGTAGGTATATACCTGTATACAGGTGTCTGCAGGATACAATCGCATTGTACCGCATTCTGTAAGTGCATTACATACTACATATGTATGCGAGTGCTGCGAGCATCCAGCGTAGCTAGCGCAATCTATCTACCTAGGTACTGTACCATCACCGCAGCTTTCTGTGACCAGCATGAATATTCTACGACGTCAATATATTCTTCTTTCCCATGACGGGAACGAAGCATCATACCGTCTGGTTTTTGCACTTTTTGGATCGTAGTTCTTGTGCTCGCGCTAGATTGGTGGGAAGTGTCAAGCGTGAAGCGTGGGGGGTGTGGATGGTGTGGATGAGGAGAAAATCTGATCGTTTACCGACTGTTGCTGCCCGAATGAAGCGGAGCACATCTCAGGTATGTACTCTTCTTTTTGCTTCTCCCGTTTGTCAATCAATTAACAAGAAGCGCACTATGATCTCACTAGGGTTTAGGGTATATATCGTGATTTCCGTTGGCGACCTTGCTAATGATGGCGGCAGCCCTGGAGAGGGATATATACGAGAAACGGATACAGAAACAAATCCCGAAGTATCGAGGAATTAAGAAGAAAGAACATACCTCTCATAACTCGTAAGGCAAAGTATCCAGTCATAACCGTTGGTAGTATCGTGAACTAGTCCCCAGTGGATGCAAGGCGTACATGATGTGGCCGTGCTGGAAGCCCGGTGGACTGATTGACGTGCAACGTTCGAGGTCAAGTGAGGCAAGGCGTATGTATGTACGTAGGTATTCTCTACCTTTCGACCTAGGCCTGAATCGAACCAGTCTGTCAGGATTCCGACGGGCCAGTGAACCCCGGGACCGTCTAGTTGGGCTCGTCAGCCCCCAACTATCAGCCACCAATTTCATCTGGCAGTTCCTTGGTGCCCATTGGAAATCCCCGACTTCATCGTACCTATCTACCTTTCTACGTAAGCTACCTTAATGGTTCAGGTCTCGGTACTTCCAACCCGCTTTTGCCCGTTTGCTCCTGGGTAGCTGCGTTGGCTTTGCATCGATGGCTTGCTTTAATTGTTTCCTGCCGTACACACGCCCGGTTGATGCCCGTCCAGCCGCAGCGCCGTGGCTTCGTCCCATATGTTCGGCTATTATTATGTCGTGGCTTAGGAGGCTCTTAGTCAAACGTCAATCAACGGTTAGGGCGCAACGAGACATGGACAAATGAAAGCCTCAGTGCTGCCCGACACCTGAGGTGAATCCCGAGAGTGAATGCTGGCCTTCTTGTCCTGTTAAGACCATGCCGAAGGACATAGCATGACACATCAAGCGAAAAATGAGACGACAACATGGCTGTATCTCTCATTCCTGGGTCGGACTTTGACAGCAGACAGAACTGGCCGCCAACGGGAAAGCGGTGAACAATGCCATAGATGCCGGTACCATCCGGCACCATCCGGCAGGAACAACGCATATTTGCCCCCGTGATGAGGCCACGCCGTTCGTGTTAGATATATTACCTTGAAGTCTTGGGTGTGTCCATCTAACGTCCGTAGCCTAAGACAGCATTCCGGACCAGGGTAGCTACTAGTATAAGAGGAACAATGATTCCATTTAGGGCTGTGGTGTGAGCGAAAAGGGAAACAAAGCATGACCGGGCATGGGGGGAAAAATACATACATACCTACATTAAGCCGTCAGCCTGGGCACGGGGTGGCGTTGCGGCAACCGATTTGTGACTTGTCAATTACCAATTCTGATAACCAAGATTTCGAGGACACCTAAAAAGTGCTGTTTGCTCGGGCTCTGCGTTCCTGGACCGCTTGAATCCCGGCTCCGGGATTTCCCCGCGAAGTTGACAGCCCATCAAGCGGCTGAACGTAGGCGCCTCGCCCTAACGAAATTGATAGATCTGTTTTTGGATCGCCGGTTCGCTGCCGGAACTATCGGACTATCGTAAGCAATTGAATCATACGTGGGGGACGGAAAGGCGATAATGATGGCGAAATGGCGTGTCATATTCCGCGTCCTTCTGGGTATGCCGGTATGTACAGAATCTTGTGTCTTCTTATGTTCTATGTTTGATTGCATGAGAAGAAGGTCGATAAGGCTGGATGCCTTCGATTCTGCTGGCGAGATCTGTCGTGATACCCGATGAGTTGGATCTTCAGGGGACGCCGAGAGAATGATGCAAACGGCGTCATCCCAAATCGATGGTCCCCTATTCCAGATTCGCTTGTCCTACGTGACAAGCATTGGATCTCGGATACCTGGTCACAGACGTCAGCGGCCGTGAGATCGAATTTTTATTTCAAGATATCTTCACATAATGTGCTAAGAATGCGTTACCTGCATATTACGCGAGTTCCATGCCGCAATCTGCAAAATTCGATCAGGTCGATATGCAGGCCGATGCCATTCTGGGAATCGTCGTACGATCAACGATTTGAAAAAAGTAATAAAGCCAAAAATAAACTTGATCTGGATATCTGACTAAAGACGCCATACCTGTTCATAATAAACCCCCATGCAGATTACCTGCCATTCTGCCACTGTGGGGGCACAATACATAAATTGCGTTATATGACGATGTATTCTGTATAGTACCTTTAATGCAGGTGACAGTTCATAAAGTTTGTGTGGCTTGCAGGTGCAAGTGTGGCGGTTTCTTTAGCTGCGCCTGCGCTTGTCGGCCCTTACTACAGCTTACTCGTACTACCTAACCCTGCTAACCTTGGGCGGTTGCGACCTAGAGCAGCCTGGCAGCCTCCGCTAGGCACGTACCGTGACACGCCGTAGCTGCGCGGACAAGGGTTCAAAATACTGAACTTCTTTCCATAGCCTTCTTCTCCAACTACATCGCTGTTTTTGCAATTATACTGTTGCTACTGCACACATCACACATAACCCCATACAGCATAAATTCGCCATCTTATATGCATCTTTTGCCCAACATTCTCGTGTTCTCAACAGATTCCCGGAGTCTGCGCCGTCGCTGCGTAGCCATTGTGCGGCCCGAGTACTTCTTGAGTTCCTGAAGCAAGGGTCCTTACCGAGCCCGCTGTGGAGAATCGAGGCGTGAACTCCAAGATCAAGAGCCTCACTCCCGCGTGTATACCTTGCAGCTTGATACGCCGCTGTAGCTAGAATAGGACGTGCGTGATCCTAGTAATCCTATCGAAATTGGCCGATCGTCAGTCTTGATACGCCTTTCAGCACTCTCATCTCGTCTAGATATTCGCCACAGGCCAGACAAGGAAAGGCGAATAATGGCGGATATCCCGTTGCAAGTTATCTCCGAGAACTCGGCCTCTGAAAGGAGAATCACGCCATCATGGTCGATCAGCCAACTGAAAAGGAAACTTGAGCCTGTCACGGGTATCCCTCCGTCGTCTCAGCGTATTAGCTTGAAGACTGCCTCCAAGGAAACCATAGCTGTTGAGGCTGTAGATGAAGACACTACAATTCTATCAAACTTCCCCTTATCTGCTTATGCAGAACTGCATGTAAGTAAATATTGGTTATCACAGACACTGCATATAAGCTAGTCATCGAGCCAGTCGTTGCTGTGGAAGCACACTATGTCATAAATACGTGTCACCTTGTCAAAAAGCCCAGGCATACTTGCACACCTATATTCTACTCATTATAAGACCCGGCTTTGGATATCTACTAATCAGATTGCAAAGATCACCGACACCCGGCCAGCTAGCGCCAAGCTGAATTTCAATGACACTACTGGCGTTGAGAAATACATTATGCCGGAGGAGGAGTACGAGAAGAAATCCGATTCGGTCTTGGCCTGGAAGAAGGCCGAAAGGCTTGGTCGCTTCAATCCCGATGCCCCTAGCCTGGAGAAGGCCAAGATTGACGGCTTTGCTGCCGAAATTGAGAGCAGGGGCATAAAGGTGGGCAAAAGGTGCAGAGTTGGCGGCGACGACTCTCGAAGGGGAGAGGTCAAGTATGTCGGCGAACTCAAAGAGATTCACGGATCCATAGGTGCTTGGGTCGGAGTTCAACTTGACGAGCCAGTCGGAAAGAATGACGGAAGCATTGGTGGCACCAGATATTGGGGTATCGAATCGGCACTCAAGCATGGCGTGTTTGTCAGACCAGAAAGAGTTGAAGTAGGCGAATACCCTGTCCTTGATGACTTGGAGGATATGGAGGAAATATGACCGGTATGCCATCCTTCATCCGGGAAAGGGTTTTATACGGCAGCCACGATCCTCGAGACTGATATCGCACTACTGGTGCATGGTTACATAGAACCGACGGCGATTCGCGTAGTCTAGTCCAAGAAATTTGAATATTTGATTTAATGGGTACCTTGACATTGGATTTTCTCTTATGATCTATGGGATCAGCTTTAGAATCAAGGCTTGAGGCTTGTATGTGCAGTTACACATGATAGGCATACTATTATATCATTTATTTCATCCTGAGATTGAATGGGAAATATAAGCTTTAGATACTCTTGTCGTTCATTTAGCTCTCTACTGCCTTTTCATACATACATACATATCTAGGTATGGGTTTGAAATATGACAATCAGTAGGTAGTATTGTCGAAATATCAGTGGTTGTCCTCAGGAGAATACCTACCTAGATTCTTAGGTACCAGGTAACTCTACATAGGCGCACCACTTGGGTCAAAGCCCGTGCTAGCCGGAACCTAAGTCAAGCATCATCTTCAACTCGACTCAGTAATTGGTAAAATACCTTTACTACAACTCGCAGGCAGTGTCTGAGGCTATTGTACTTCGAGGTACTTCCATCTTGATTTTAACTCTTTTTCAGTTACCTGATGATATCAAATAGTTACCCCTGGCTAAAATAATGGCATCAAAAATACCCTCATTTACTTCGAGTCTACGGATAGCTATTACTTGTCAGATGTACTATCCAGTTGTCCTATTACAGCATTAGCAGTGTACAAGGTTTCGTATCACAAGAAAAAATACTGATGTCGCAAAACTTGATCTCGTGCCTACTTTAGGAGTTTTAAGATAAAGGCTAGATCCGAAGGGAGCTTGTGTATGACATCCTGGGGCGAGTTTGGCATCTGACACGCAGCAGATCTCCAGTTAGACAAGGAACATGGGTGAATCGTACGCATACGTACTCGGCAATCAAGATTGTGCTTACGTGCCACAACAGTTCCGAGAATACCGAGAAGCCACAGAACTGCTTGCTGATGTTATACTCATTTGGAAGTGAACAGGAGTTCCTAGTAAGACAATGTTTGTGGAAGAGTGGTCCTCGACAGTCGTGACACCTGGGCAACAAAAGCCATTATAGGATTTACTAAACAAACTGTTGTAATTGGTCGAGTTTTTCAAACCATCCATTCTAGACATCTACCTGTATTTCTTCAGGATGTAATCTCATAAGATGAACAAATAATAAGCTCTCTCATCTCACCACTTTGATATATGCATGCCTATCTACCTCTGCATATGCTGGCTATGACTTCGTAATGTTTGTATGCACATTCGAGACAGCGAGTACTCACCAACATGGAGAAAATGCTCTCTGCAACTACATATGCAGTTAGGCTTTACATAGGCGCCTAAACATGTTACCGTCTCACTTATCGTGAGTAGCGGTGAGAAACCAGAAGTGATTACGACATCTTTATATCAGACAAGATATGTGGGTTGTATACAGGTAAATTTCAGATTTTTGATGTGATGGTCGAGACCGATGTGGATTCTAGGAGGTCTAGAACCAATTGGCCAATCAGGGCTCATCGCATAGGCCTATAATGTAGTTTTAAGGTTTGATCGTAGGGCCCGTGCACTTGTAAATGTCATTATGAAGCAAGTCTGATTCTAATAGACCAGGGTCATAGACGTATGAGGCTCATTCACGTCTTAATCTTTTTATGAAATATATACCTATTAATTTTGCATATTAATGCTTACATCCATTGAATCTATCATATGTATAAACCGCGTACGAGGCAAACATTTCTTTTTTTTCAAGAATTGAATGAGTGTGATATGGTGGGCTTTTGAAGTACTGGTCTAGTCAAGTACAAGGGTGTTACTAGAAGCAAACCAACAACCTGTAAGTCTAGTCTTAAGCCTACGCTCTAATAGCCTATAGGTATGTATGTATTAAGAGTTGGAAGGAGTTTATATAGCGGGGTGCTACAGATAGCCGAATTGCCATATTCGGATTCGCAGATTCCAATGAAACTTAAGAATCAGTTGCTAAGGTACAGTAGTTTAACCATAACACACGATTCGCACTCGCATAGAGATTGCGCGTAAAATGTAGTAATTACAGTAATCTGCCCGAGGTTTACACGTACCTAACCTCCATACATAGTACGTCTCTAGGTCAACTGGTAAATATTAATGTTAGGCATAATATGTGAATGGCTATGCACGGAAGGATCTGCCGTTAGGAAATGCCAAGCTGAGTCCGCTAAAACGATGCCCGTCTCGGAATGTTCCCTAGACGATAACAGATTGATGCATTGGATTGCGCTGTTGATGATGAGAATAAGAACATTATTAATACCGAATTGAGTTGTTAATATAACTCATTGCATGAATGAATTGCCGTATGATCGCATCATGGAATTATGTATACCAGAAAAGAAGATTTAAAGTTTATAGAGATACAGTACATACATGTAGGTATGCAAGACTAGGATCCATTGAGGCTTTTGCTGAAGAAGTTAGGAAGTTGCCATGGAAGCGATCTTGGCATTCCAATGCCGTTTATTCCGTGCCCCGTAACTGCCCGCAAACTGCCACCTGCCCGTACTACAAAACAGCTACTGCGTAGGAAAGAAGTACGTACTATCAGACAATTGAGAAACCACCTTTCCCCCACATCCCACCCGTGCGCTTGTTCTAGTTGTCACTCGAAGTCAAACTCATTCAACTCATGCATACACCTGACTCTGACACTCTTCCGCACACACCACACACGCACCGCACACACACCGCACGCACACGCCGCCGCTGCCGTTAGACAAGGCGAATAAACCGATCTAACCGTTTCCTCTTCCCAGACTTCTTCAAATATTATCTCCGGATCTACTACAATTCCCGCGGTACCAATCGCTTATTGTCGATCAAGAGAAGAAAGAAACGTCGCCAAGATCCAGATATCCCAATCGATCGAACATCAACCACATGCCTAACCCTGAAGAGGATAGAGAGTGCTGAGATGCGACACCAACGACAACAGCCCTGTTTGTGTGGCTAGGTAGGGCTGTCCTCATACAAGGACCAGTCCGCTCAATCCCATTGCCTCCCGCTCCTCTTAACCGACCCGTCCTGGTTCCGACCCTTCCTTTCTCTTCCGATTCTACCAAGGTAGCTATTCCACAACGGCTGGCCCATCGTGTGAAAGCCAACAAGAGCCCGACATGGCGACGTCGACCGTCGCCGCTGTCGCCAAAATGGCTTCCTTCATAATCGGTCTCGCCTCTATCGTTTCCGTCGCATCCGCCGATCAAGCTACCACGACTACGATGACAGATCTACCCGGTTATCTAGATCAGTCCGCCATGGCGCTAGCTTTGAGCTCTGACTCCGGCCCTACCGGAGTCGAATATAAGATTGCGCCTCTAACGGTCGAAGCTGGGCTGAACCAGACCAACGAGAATGCCTTGCAGGTAAATAGCTTATGGGCTGAGCCATGTTGATGCACGATCACTAATGTGCATGACAGGCTTTCAATGTGCAAGGTGATATGGTCGTCATAGATCAGAATAATTACAACAGTAACAATATCGACATCAAAGACTCGATTGCCTATTTAACCTGCGACTCCAACTCCAACGACTCCTACATCTCTTCAAACGATGTATTAAATTCAGTGATGAACAGACAACCGAAAGCGATTTTACTGTATAGCACAGCTGGAACTTGTTGCGGTCTCAGTGGATCTGATTTAGATTTCACTTCTATCTGGACTATGACCGATTCGCAGTCAGCTTGGATGACGAAAAACTGGACGTCGGATACCACGGGAGGGACCGTTCGTGCAACGATATCCGGAGGAAACGACACCGACGTAGATACCGACAATGGGCAATCCCAAAGCGGAAATAATTCAGCGGTTGCGATGAGCATTTTATATAGTATTACTGGTCTAATAACTCTGCTCTTCCTCATTATCATTGCGACCGGAGCCATCCGAGCACATCGCCACCCCGAAAGATATGGCCCGAGAGCCAGCTATGGCGGAAGACCGAGACAAAGTCGTGCTAAAGGTCTTGCACGAGCTGTTCTGGAGACCCTACCTATCGTTAAATTTGGCGATCCTCAACCTGCGAAGCCGGACCCGGAGAACGAGCTTGAAAGTATTGCGGGAGACCGACAGCAGCGCTCAGCGTCCCCGACGCAGCATGATGTTGCATCAGCCGATTTGCAACCGGCGAATACTTCTGAGGTTACTGCAAATGACACTCCAAAGGTTGATGCCGAAACTCCCGTGGCCACTACTTCGGACCACACTAAGGAGCACGGTAGACAGGTAGAAGAAGACCACCTTGGTTGCTCTATCTGCACAGAAGATTTTAGCGTCGGGCAAGACGTGCGGGTGCTTCCCTGCGACCACAAGTTCCATCCACAGTGTGTAGATCCGTGGTTGGTTAACGTTTCCGGCACATGTCCGTTGTGGTAAGTTACTAAAATCCATGTCTTAAACCATTCGAGACTAACGACATAATTAGCCGACTTGATCTACGCCCTCGTGAAGCAGAAGAATTAGAGGAAGCCGGCGAGGCCAGGAACGAAGTACCTCAACCTGATGAAGCTGGCCCTGTTGACAGCCACTCAGCTCATGCTCCCGAGGATGATGGGGACGGGCCGCAGAGACGACGAATATCCCGGTTCCTCGATTGGAATAGGCTGCGCCACGCCCCTGTTGATGAACGTATTCAAGCTCTTCGACAATACCGACAGTCACAACAAGACGCAACGCCTGGTAACAGCTCAGCTGAAGAGCAAAACCAGCACACTCGACTATCGGATCGGCTGCGGGAGAAGTTTCATATTCGGACCAGAGCTCATCCACCAAGTGACCCGGAGCCTTCGAATCATTAAGCATCTGCACTGGGCGCCTATTTAATTCCTATTAATACCTTACTAGAGGTTCTTAATGCACTTGAGGTGCCGAATGGGTGCGAAGCACCAGCTATGAATTTACGTGACGAATAATGGAACGCGCAGTTTCAGTGTAGCCATCAAGTGATGATATTGGGATGGAGTGGGACAAGCGTGTTATACCTCGGATAGAACGGCGTTAAATCTCATCGGGAAGATTAGGGTGTTGAGGCAAAGAATCGCATTGGCCGGCGTTCTAGGGCGTGAGAATATCTAACTTTTGCAGCCATTAAAGCTTAGCGTTAAGCTGGCGTAAGACAGGGAAAGACGATGAGTTCTGCTCAAGTCAGCATGGGGCGAACTCGTAAGACATTGCTATCAAAATAAAATCACATAAACCTATCACTTTTGGTCGAGCCTTCCATGGATGTTTAACTACTTGACGGCAAACCAGTTGAAGTATCTCTAGTTTCTTGAAATTTGGTCTGAAGCAAGTGTACATTTCAAACTCGGACTGGTCTACGATAAAATTCATCGTTCCCGCATGCGTAATGCGGGATATTATCAGGGAGCGGGCACTATGGGATAGTTTGCAATGTCCCAGTTGTCTTATTGCAGAGGGTTTCTAACTAATTTGTTTACCTATCTAGGTCGAGAGAGCACTGCATAAAACAGAATCCCTTATTTTATCCTATACACATCCTTGAATGGGAATGTATGTCTCACCGACGGAAGCAGCTGTCGCTTCACCACCACGCATTCGAGGAACCCGAGCCCTCCAGTGGGATGAAGGCGATCGACTTATTTATTTTCCCTCTCAGCGACGGGGCTTAAACCCAATGCAAAAGTGGCGGTGATGGAGGGGGGGGGTAATGGGCGTGCGTGTCCGTTACCTAGATTCATGTTCGAAAACCTAAAAGTGCCAATTCATGAATTGGGAATCATGAATCGGGTGGGATTGTCCCTCATCCAAGCACATGGGAGGATTCGTAGCCCTCTATTAGGTTGAGTACGAACGATAAATCGAACCAACATCAGGTCTCTCTCCCGACTTATCGTCCCTCACAGTGGTGAAGGCTGCCCCTGGTTGAAGTCATACTATGTTCATTCCAGCCACCCATCCACGGGTGGGTGGCTCGAATAATTCATACAATATGTTCATTGAGATATAGGACGACTTCCAACCAATATTGAGATAGGGGACCATGAGTTTATCAATCCTTCTCAGAATTGACCATCGCGGCTAGAAGTAAGCCGATTTAGCTGGTCCTCGGACTCCATCTCCAACCTTAAACCATCATCTGAAATAACATTCGCCGAGGGTAATGGGATGGGAGCTCGGCCTTACATATATCGATCGATAACCTTGACCCGATATAACGACAGAGGAGATGAACTTGATATGTATCATACCGGAATGGCACGCTCCATATTCTTCCCACCTAGCGCACCCCGTGAGCGGTCCTTGACCTTTCTTTTTTTTCTCTTTCCTGTTTCTCTTCCCGGGTTGCCCTTCCTAGTTTCGACATCATCTATGTGATCTATCAGACGAAAAGCGAACGGTTAGCATATACGATATGGCCTCACTCTTGCTACATCGGAATGGGGCTCCATCGTCGGTTCCGTCGCCTCCGCCTTTAGCCGGTACCGTCATCGGCGTGATATTGTTCACCAGCGCCATCTCTATCCTATCGTGGTTGCTCAGTTCGTATCATACCTTGTGCTTTAGGAGAAGGGGCGCTGATGATAAGAACAGCGCAGAGGTCACTTGCCGTGAAGACTTGGTGGCATCTCCCGCCCATCGCCTGGTGTAAGCTTAGATACTACCCAAGCGTAACAGCATGTCTGAGCAATAGACAGTCGGTGCTAATGGAAACCCGTTTCATGCTTAGTGGTTTTTACCCTCTATGTTGATTCGTGGACGTTCGTGTTCGCGACGGGCATCATCAACTATGGCATAGGCATCGACTCGAATGAGGGCGTCTGCTCGGCTGCAATCCTCTCGTATCTCTTTTGCTATATGTCTACCAAAGTCTGTATTAATCCCATCCTCTCCTCCCATCTACATATTCGCTCAACGTTGCTAAACTAACGTGCGCCTTAGATTGTAAGGAGTCGGCCCCTATTGCATAGACAATATGTCCCAAGCTCACGTTGTTCTCTACTTAGTTGATATACATGTTTCTTGTCGAGAAAGCGGTAGGCATTCTTACTTCGCCCTTGAATACACGCCCTCGGAGACTCACGACAGAAACTCAGTTCATCATCCGAGGTGGCCCAAAAAGGAGGCTTGAATCCAAGATGTATCTCTTCAACTCGTTTGGAATACTAAGTAAGGCCCATACAAATCGCCAATAGTCTTATGCTTAGCTGACCGACTTGCAACAGCTATTTATGGGATAATGTCTATCTTGAATTTTGTCTAGTAAGTCGAACGGAGGAGACCCCGTGTAGGAAGAAGCTTACTAGATCCGCTAACAACCCAGTCGTAACGCGCGCCTGGAAAAAGGACGGTGTGTCATCGGAATAGGTAGACAGGGTCTCATTCCTCTCATATCTCTTGATATTGTGGTAATGGTATGATATCGCATATTCTCCGTTCTACCTCCAGGATACTGAAATGGTGTTTTTAGGTCTATCTCACGATCCTATTCCTAAACCCCCTACAAGGTCAGAAACCCCATTCTTATGAAGCTGTCCCGGCGGACTCTCTGACCGTTCGATCTTTAGGTATACCTGCTTTTCAAAGTATATCCGCCGCGCCAGCTAGCCCTAGACTACGTAACGTAGCCATGCGAACTTTTGTCGGTGCTCTATGCACTACGACGTCGACCGTAATGTACGTACCTTTTCCCTTGTGAAAAAGAATCTATCATTTCGACAGCAAACTAGTGACTATTAACCTGACTCCCACTTAAAAGAAACCTAATAGTCCTCATGGTGCTCGACGGCGAGCCAGGATGGGTGTTCCTCACATGTTGTAACGCAGATAGTAAATAACCCCCTTTCCCCTGTTCTCCCGCTTGCCCCTATCTTCCCAGCAAGAGGCGGCCAGCTAACCCGCTCAACAGTCCTCTTCTCCGCCCTGGTCATCCAATGGGTCACGCGCCACGACACCACATCGTCGTGCTTCACCTCCCCCGACAAGCACACCTCGTATCGTCCCGCCCCGGCACCCGCCGCTCCTCCGGCGCCTCCGCCACGCCGTAACACCAAGAAGCTCGCCATATCGCTGCCGCTGAAGACGACCAGTACTTCGCAGTACGAGCATATCTTCGGGGACCCGGACCCGCCCGACCCTCCCCCGTCGGCCTCCGTAGCTCGTAGCGACAGCGGCATCGGCACCGGCACCGGTACTTCCAACCACAAGCTAGAATCGACCTCCCTCGACGAGCCCGACGACGCCACGATCCTCACCCCGATCCCGAAACCGATCCCCGTCGCAATCGACCTCGGAGGACACACTGATACGCCAATCAGCCCGACAAGAAGCCCCATCCACAGTCCAAGCCACAGCCGCAGCCGCAGCCGCAAACCCCCCAAAGACCGCGACCGCGACCGCGACCACGACCCAGACCGCTCCTGGCTCACCACGCTAACCCGCGCACACGCACAAGCCCTAATAACAGACCGGGACCTCGTCCCCCTACCCCTCTCACCCGCCAAGCCAAGCGACTCGTCGTCGCCGTCGTCGCCACCGACCGTATCAGCCGCCGTAGCCGCGGACCTAGAGCGGATCCGGCGGTACCGGGACCGGCGGGCACCCACATCACCACCACCACCACCTCCTCCCCCTCCTACTGTGCCGCCTTTACGTGCGCTGCCGTTTACTTCCGCACCAAATTCCGCGACTACCTCTACCTCCGCCTCCGCCTCCGCGTCTACACCTACGTCGCCGACGACCACGCTAACCCGGACGCCTACTCGGACGACGACGCCGGCGGGGGCGGGGGCGAGGGTATCGGTATCCCGGGGCGTGTCGCGGACGCGCAGCAGCGCCCGGGGGGCGCCGGGATCCGCGTCGCAGTACCGGATCAGCGAGCTGGCGTTCGAGGGAGACGAGGAGGAGCTGCCGTGGCACGATCTGGTTGTGATGGAGGAGGGGGACGGGGATAGGACTGATTTGGGGGGTTGGATCTAAGTTCGTGGGATTGATTCTTTTTTTTTATCAAGTACCTACCTTGGTATATAGTGCCGGGTGAAACAATGGTGGAGGGGAAGAGGAGTGGATAGAACGTGACAGACAAGAATTACATGTACCTGCTTGTGGTAATGCTCAATGATGAACATATCGTTTGTGCCGAATTGTAAGAAAGGCTTATGAAATTGATGTTAAACCCATGATGTACGTACTGCCGCTTACCGTTCCATCCATTGGATACTACGTCGTAATCAGCCTGGGTTGCATTATAAGAAGACGACAACACATCACATATAAAATTAAAGACAATGGATTTAGCTAAACGCCTCGATTTTCATTGATTTCGTTGTGTCCCCGTATCTTCATGAATCCTACCCTGATTCCTGAAATGCCTTTCCTCCATGTAAACCGGACTAGATCCTGGTGGGGGTGACCCCATACTGCCAGATATCTACCGGTGACTTAATAGCAGCCGAAGTATGTACAAAGAAGTTTAAGTTCCGATTTTTGGTAATCCATCGCGATGCAGAAGCCGCCCTCCCCTAAAATCATGGAACAAGAAGTTGTGTTAGAATAGAAGCAGGACTACCCAAACCGAGTAGGTTATTTATGCTAGGCCGGCGAAGATCTCGCCGAAATCGCTCAGTGTCGTGGTCGTGTTCATCAAGCTGCCTTCGCTGAGCCAGAAGTACGAGTACTTCTCGACGAAGCTGTAGTCTTCGGTTTCCAACTTGTCGACGACGGTCTGCACGAAGGTGTTCACATCGCCACTCTGTGCCGCGAATTCAGTAACCCAGACGTTCTTGTTCTCGCAAGCCTCGTGCACCTGCGTAATGTGGTCCAAGAATTGAGCAGCACCGTCTGCACCACCAGGTCCGTACCAATGAGCGGCACAGAAATCGACCTGGCATCCGCCGTCGCAGGCAGTGAAGAACTGCTTGAGCCAATCGATACCCTGGCCAGTGCTCTCACTGCTTGAAATAGCAGGTGAACCAATCTGGACCTTGCCAACGTATTTGGAGAAGTACTGTTTGTGTCCGGCAGCGGCATCCGCAGGCGACATGTTGGCTTGGCTGCTAATGTCAGGCTCGTTGAAGCTGAGGAAGGCGGTGGATCCCCGGGCAATAGCGGCCTCGGCCTTGGTATCCCAACCAGTAGAGTGGTCGGCTGCAGTGGACCAAAGCATAGGGTAGTACATAATGCTTTCATCCAGGCCGTTGGGGTCAGGGGTCCAGTTGTATGCCCACGAAAGCTTGCCTCCCAAACCCAAGACAGTGCTAACAAGGCTGGCATCATTGTACGCAGCACCTCGCTTGCCCGTAGAAGAGCTGGATGAGGTGGAGGCAGCAGACGATGACGCAGCTGCGGCGGATGAGGTGGTGCTGGCAACAGCCGCAGTCGAAGATTGGGCAGCACTTGAGGTGGCAGCGTTCACAATAGGAGCCACGAAAGTAGAGCTGGTAGTAGGGGTCGCGACAGCCGATGAAGAGGAAGACTTGACTGCGGTGACGATGGTAGTGGGGATCGAGATAGGGAGAGTGGGCACAACAGCCGCAATGCTCGGGGTTGACAACGATGAGGTCGAGCTGCTGAGGGAGGTGGTAGGCTCGGCCTCAGCCGCGACCTCAGGCGAAGAGGAAGTCGGGACGGCTTCGGCGGTGGGTCCTTCCTCGCCTGCAGTAACAGTCATCGTGACATAGTCAGTGACAAGTACGGTGTCGGTCTCAGCCCAAACGATCGCTCTCTTAGGGTGAACGTGGCGGTGGAAGGGGCCAGCGGCGACTTCCTTCACTGAGGCGGCAGCGCAAAGCGCGAGGATGGTGGCCTTGGAAAGCATCCTGAATAATTCCTTTGGAGATATTCGATGATCTAAAATTCTATGTTCTTGGTGAGATTGATTTGATACAGTAAATGATTTGTATGTTCCCTTATTCTTTCTAGAGTTGATGTTACAATTTCCGGTGAAGGAGTGTCAAGGTGCCAGCAGTCCAGTCAAAGGAGAGTAAGACGACGAGAGTATCGTGTCAGAGAAATGAATGAATTTGTCGACGGGGTGTAGTACGCTCTGCGCAGTGATACTGGTGATGAGACGGACGGGAACCAGGTCGTGCAGTCTATCAAAGACGCAGAAGGAATGATGCGAGTTTGATGAGTACTGATATTGCACCCGTGGACAATGCTTGTTAGTTGTGGTTGAGTCGTGTGCGTGTGACGTTTGACGGAAGGACAACGGACGAAGTTGACTAAGGACGTCGTCTTCTTAAATCCAGGTCAACCACAAAGGACAAGGTGAGGTTAATGAATGGGTCGAAGCTGGCGACCTTATGGGAAATGTACAACAAGAAATGAATGTGTGGGGGCGAGAACGAGAGCAGTAAATCTCGTTTAGAAAATGAGAGAAAAACGGTACTGTGGGTTGAAAGGAGTGAACGAAGGAAAAAAGGTGGGAAGAATTTATCCACGCCAGCGTTTTATGTCGCTTACTGAAGAAGTTGTAAGAGAGAGGTTGACGGCCGGTTAGGGACGACCAGGTGAACCGACAAAGTTCAGCAAATCGGGATGTGTGTGGGGCATGTACGTGGAGTGGACCAGGTGGGTCCCAGGGGTTAGAGACAAGGAAGACAAGGAGCCCCTTCTGCCCTGTCAGTGGCTAGACCTTCCTAGCCAACCGCTAACAGTTTCTCCTAGCGGCATTTCCTAGGCTTTTTTAGCTACGACAGCTGCCACTGGCGCTATTAGGGTCGGGTTCAATGCCAAGACTGGCAGTAGCCGTACCTGGGCTACGGGTGATGGGGCACACTTTCCAGCGCACGGAAGATCTCGCAATTGCCCACACTAGAATCAAGACGATTAGCGCAAATCGATTCGTTATTGTTACCGTATCATCTGAAGTATCTACAGCATCTACCCGCCCGCCAGTCCAACTGTTCGGATGAAAACCTGACATGAGCCATTGATTCCTATTGGCCATTTTCAGACAATGACTACTGCTACAAAAATACATCCATGTCTTGTGCGCAGGATATAATAATCATTCCTTTTGTTCAAATACCTGAGTACGAAGTACTTTGAGAGGGGCGCAGGATCCAGCCGTCTTTGAATGCCTGAATATTTCCAAGGTCAAATGCTGCACAAAGTCTACAAAAAAAGTGCAAAATAAATCGACATTATCAGCATATCTCCTTTATAGGAGTATCGCTTCACCGGCAGCTGTTCAAAATATATCAAGAACACCATCCACATGATTAGAAAAAAAATATTTACCATCTGTGTCATGTTTATAAGGTGGCCGCCAAACGGTAGCCTAATAATAGCCAATCATATCATTACGCCACCCAACCATTGGCCTCCTTTTATGGTCCTGCGCCAGTTCAGACTGGGCATCTACTTACGTAGCACATGCAGGTACCACTCTAAAAGCTGCAGGAACAAGGCACACATACCGCTTAACACGAACAGCAATGAGCTGATGGGTGGTAGGATTCAGGGGTTCGAGTTACAGGTTTGCGAATATGTATAGGCTAAGTATTTCTCAACACCAATTCAACTGCACGATACATAATTATACAGTTATAAAGACCGGGTAGCAAACATTAGGGTGTTCTCTACCAACTTTTCTAGAATGCGAGAGGGGAAAGTTGCAAAATACGAATCGAGCATTATGCTGCATTTCGAGGCTTTACTTTAACAGGAAGATGCCCCTATCCCAGTGTTTGTCGCGGAGGCCGGGTCTTGGAATAAGTCTTGGTTTACTGGTTTACTCACAAAGGACCCTTTGTAAAGTCAAGGAAGTAAAAAAGCAAACCAACTTGCTCATCAACCTGCCGCGCGCTCTTTTTTCTTGCCAAATGCAGTGGCGGTCTCAACTACACACAGCGCTTCCCACTCGGCCATTATTCCATTCGATCCACGTGTGGGCCTTTAGGGGTTGGGGGGGTTGAGGTGACAGCCATCCAGACTGCCAGACTTAGGATAGGCTGGCATGGGCAACATGGTCTGCGCTCTTCTCCTCTGTCGTGCTTACGCCTTGCTTCCATTCGGGCCTAGCGTCTTACGTGGACACACGTAGTGTTACCGGTAGACCGGGGATCTACGCAGACCCCTTGCGAAAATTGAGAGAAAGAATTAGCAGCGCAAGAAGCCTTGCCCTACCGAATGACGTGGTTTGTGGGACACGCTCGTCGTTCAGTGAAACAAATAAAACGAAATTACTTTCGAGATAATTTCGCTACTCATGAAGTTGCGACACCACATGCGTTGCCATACACAGACCGGCCGGGCAATCGAGGTCACGGCGATGTTGACATGCTCGTGGCTCCCATGTCGACTTTGTTCTCCAAGGTTCCAAGGTTTCAAGGTTCCCGTGCCCCTGTCAGATTGTAACAGCATATCAAAGCTTAACTTTTTCTTTCTTTGGACGCTAATCGGCCGATCCTGGAGGATCGATTCGCCCCCTTGTGAATTTTGTGAATTCAGCGAATCGACTCTTGTTGGTTGATTCCTGACTAACAATGATTTCCTTTTTCAGAATGTGCATTGTGCAGTCATCAGATTTTTCCCGGCCTCGAAATAAGTCCATCTTTGGAGAAGGAAGCTAATTTACCGTATTAATTGATTCGTGGAGAGACATGAGGACATGAGGGCTTGATCCGATACCCTATCAGCTCTTCCGAATCACCCTCAAGATTGGTTAGGCTATCTTCGCAATTTCGCAATTTCTTAACACAAGCGGTTCACAGAAATAGTTTCGTTTACCTAGGTCAGCCCTGGTTATCTAAGACCAAACCATATGTAGAGCCGTTTGGGACGCGTCACGCAATAAGAGCTTCAAGATTACATAGATTCTCTTTTTATATCCAATGTACCGTTTAGAAGTGAAACGGAATTTAAAGTGAGAACTGTGCCGTAGGTTGCGTGGGAAATTCCAGTTGTTCTGCTATGTCCCGTCGGGAATTCGCATGCACACCGTTTGCCGACGATTCTTGTCTTGGTCATCCCGAATGGATAATATAAAGCTGTCCTGCCTCGACGGGGGATTTGCGGAAGCATTTGACCGCATTCTAAAATCTTGGCTCTTTAAAGCTTCCGGACTTCGTCTAGGTAACCAACCGTCAGCGGCGGGTTTGGGAAAACAAATTCATTGTCAATAATGCCGTTTTCCATCTCAGCTAGGCGGAGCCCCTTTTGAATTTTTCACTGATGAAACCCAACACTCTAGATGTGTGATTGTGGATTGTAGACAAATCTTCGAGGATACCATCGCTGCCGTTGTACTCAGCGTCCAAGATATAAGAATCAACCTATTTTCGAATTATAGGTAGACGATTGGCCATGAGTAATGGGTCGTTGATCGTAACGTTCATGTAAGTAGGTAGGTATAAAATATATTCTGCAGTGAGTAACGCAACTTCACATAGAAACCTTAGTCCTTGTGAAGGGTAGAAGAATTGAGCAGTGGTCTTTTAATATAATATTTAATCTCAATAGCTATGAGATCAATATATTCTTTCCTTCAACCTGCCAAATCGGGCTTCGCCTTGCCTTCCAACATAATCTCCGGTACCATCCGTTGCTTCTTCATATCTCTTGAGGACCGGCCCCACAACGCATCTCAACGCCGATCGGTTCGGTGCCGCTAACCGTACCCGTGGATCCCGACTCCGGCCAACACAATGGCGTCCCCTAAATCGTGGTTAGATTCCGATTCCGGTTCCGACATAGCATCAGACGTCTCGTCTATTATTTTAATGGACCAAGAGCCATTTTGTACTTTTCGCTTCCGCGTTCTTGACTTCGCTCTTCAAAAGATCTGGCCCTATGCTACCGCTGAAGAGATCACAGTGGAACACATGTCGGGTGGAGAGAACCGGATTATCTGCATATCTAGACAACCTGTCGGAAAACCCGAACTCCGTGAGCGATACGTTATACGCACCCCTAGATATGATGTTGGGCAGTTAAATAGTCAAGTTGCTACTTTACGGTTTCTGCGCATATACGGCAAAATTCCCGCCCCGTTGGTTCTTACTTTCGACAAGACAGACAATAACATCCTCGGTTCCAAATATATTCTCCAGGATTTCATTCCCGGATCTACCTTGCTATCATCATACTCGGGCCTTGCCCACGAAGAACGGTGCAGGGTCGCGCGAGAGCTTGGTCGTGTCTACAACGAATTATTAGCTACACGTAGCGATACCCCTGGCTTCTTAACGCTTTCTAGGGGCGGGTCGGCGTCGCTCCGGATCGTACCATTTGAAGGAATTCATAAAAGATTTAATAGCGATTCGCCAAGGCCTCCAGATGTCCACAAGTTTCTAATCAATGTCTTCCTTGGACGATGGGCTGTCCTAGACGAACCATTGCTGAGTAACAATTCCTGGCCAAGTCTCAGGGATAAATTATGCCACATGACTTCAGAAATGGCAGCTGAGGGTTGGTTCACGAATTGTCACACTTCCTTAGCACATCTCGACCTAGCACCACGCAACATACTCGTCAATCCGACGCCTAATACAAAGCGACCTATCATCTCCGCCATTCTCGATTGGGACAGTGCTGTTTTTGTCCCTCAGTTCATGTGTTGCCAGCCACCTATGTGGCTCTGGGCTTGGAACGACGGCGGTTATCAAGACGAGTGCCAGGCAAATGAAATGCCATCAACACCAGAAGAGTGCCAGATAAAGCAATTATTCGAGGAAGCTGCGGGTCCGGACTATCTACTATTCGCTTATACCCCAGCCTATCGACTTGCAAGGCGACTTGTCCGCTTCGCCATCGAGGACATACGGTCTAATGAGGAATATAAGGAAGCCGAAAAGATGATAGAGGAGTGGGCAGCGATACGCAATAATTCTACAGTCCACACCCCAGTCGATGAAGAGAATGTATGGGATTACGCTGAATCCGTAGGAGCGTAATAGGGGTGTTTCGGGTACATGAAAAGATAGTCCTCGGGGAAAGATAGGAGCTCTGCTATGGAGAAAAATGTTTGAGGTCTGAAAAAAAAAAAAAGATTCTGGGGTACGACGAGATGAACCACGAGGTAGATTGTTACATCATCGCAAGTAGTACTTAATATTTAATTACTTCTTTTACTCGAGATTTATAAATTACCCACCTCATTCATTATATTGGTCCGAATTGATGAGACAACTGATCTGGCTTTTTACTTGACATTAGTCTTATATATACTGAAAACCGCCAGTAAATTTCAAAGCCGAAGTAACATAATCTTCCATAGTAGTGATTTAAACGGGCTTAAATCTCAAAATTTCCCTGTAAAAACCGAAAGTCAATGGCCTTTTACCTTGCGCTATGGAGTATCAGTACCTCTACAATTCAGTGATATTCAGATTGGTCACTCAATGCATAAACGACCGCACAATAAAAACCCATAGCAAGGTTGAAGTATCGAGTAAAGCAATAAACGATGAGAAAATAATGACAACGATAGTGTTTAATGACAAAAGTCCCTTGTATAGGCAATTACCTAATCTTTACCTCGGAGCACTCCAAAGAGTTCGTCTGGCTATATTGTAAGACCAAGTACGCTCTGCATGTAATCCATAAGTATGAGCTGGTTGTTGTAGCGGTCAAGCGTTGACACGTAGGTTCATAGAGATGACAGATAATAAATGAAATTAAATGTGACACTACATAAAACATTCCGATTTATTTTACCCTCCGTTATTTTGGAAGTCATCTGAATCGATCTTGCGGGCAAGCTTGAACCTTTTGGGCATGACCTATTATTCTCTTTCAGTGCTTGGTCTAACTATGCCCATGCTGGCAGCAATATATCAGCGGCTAATTCCGCTCATTACCCAACCCGCGGAATTACCCATTATTTTCAAATCTTAGGGCTATAGGCTGGACACTATTGAAACCCTTATATATGAAAGGGAAGAGCCTCATCTGACTCAATGCGACATGGATTGCGACGCTCAGCAGCTGGGACTACCTAATGGGGCAACCAGGGACAAAAGAGCATTTCAAGTTGGCGGACCCCGGAGATATTATATATTATGCCAGGCTTATTATATACTAGAGGGACTTCAGCCCAGCTTACGACCGGGGGTGAAACATAACCAATCACAGACCGCCATCCTCCCCCTTTGTTGAGTCTCTAGCAGGGCATCGCCACGATCTAGACCGCACGTGATCGGCCTGCTCGGAAAGCTGAGGCTGAACCTCGTCCGCTTGGCAGATCAACATTTTGACCTACCTTGGCGCTACCAGATTCGATTTCTAGAAGCTTACCTACCTACGGCGTAGAAATCTAGGCGCCTGCTAGTCTCGAAGGGGGTTCAATACTTTCCGAAGGAATGTCGTTGTCTCATTTGCGTCTCCTGCAACCTCCGACCTCATCGATGGGATGTTCACTCGACGACAGCCAGCAATCGAGAAAAATCAGGGTAGAAGTCGGAGATGGAACCGTCGAATCCAAGTCAGCCTATGATCCTCCCGCTTATGGATGGCGGGGAAGGCTATACTTTTTCGAACTTTCTCGGCGGCGATGACGCCGAATATCCTGCTATTAATGAAGCTGCGGGCTCGGCCTCCGCATTGAGCGAAGATCTTGGTGTGACAAACGCACCCTCCCCGGCGGCGGCGCTCGCTACGGGTAATTCGCTTCAGAAGCAGAGGTTGGAGCGAAGGGGTCATACTAAGAGCCGGCGCGGTTGCTTCAATTGCAAAAGACGCCGTATCAAGGTACCTACTCCAGCCCGGCATCTGTAGGAAATTCCGTTCAAACGCTAACGCGAAAGGAAATAGTGTCAAGAAACTCGACCAGCATGTGGGCATTGTGTGAAGACGGGGCTGAAGTGTGAATATCCTGTAGCTCCCCTAGTCGTACATCAAGTAAGAACTTCGCACCGCCATTGACCGCTATCTCGAACTACCGCTAACGCCAGTAACGCGGGAGTAGCCGCAACACCAAATCCCTCTTTTCAGCTTGCAGGATATGCGGTTCTTCCAGCACTTCCTGTTTACCTGCTTCCCTAACCACCCCTTAGGAAATGAGTCCATCTGGACCCACGAGATCCCATGCTTATCACAGACTGTATGTATTGCAATAAGATCAGCTATAAAGCGGGTGAGCAAGGCTAACAGCTTTTCGATAACAGTATGAGTATCTTATGCATGCGATACTAGGTCTCGCGGCGTCCGATCTCATGCAGCAGGATCCTAGCCTAGTCACGTTCGCCATGATGCACCGGCTCAAGGCGATCAAGGCCATTAAGAAGACGTTGAACGAGGCTCCGAAATCGAACACCTTCGAGGAAGGAAATGCCCTGGGTATGTGGTCTTTCTCTTCACATGGCATGAGTCGTCTTCTTTCGTAACACATCCTGTATGATCGGATATATTTAGCTAAAGCTTGATATACCCTCTCATATACATACCTCGAGACCCTCACCACCCCCACAAGCCCACCCTAACTAACCCATCCCCAGTGGCGACCTGTTTCGCGCTAACCTTCCAATCGGTAATCCTCGACGACGGGATGGCCGAATTCATGACCTTCGTGCGGGGCGTCGTCCTCGTCGCCATGCAAATGTGGGCCAAAAACGCGCGCCCGCTCTTCACCAACCTGCACCAATCCGACCCCCAGAAAATCCTCAAACCCATCATCGAAGCCATCCCCCCGATCCGGTCCTCCTTCGCCGCGTCGGCCTCAGCCTCCATACGCGCGCTGGAACCGCTCTGCCGCCGCTCCCCCATCACCACCTCTTCCTCTTCTAACGACAACGACGACGACAACGACAACGACGACCTCGAGCGGACGTACCAGCAGTACCTCCTCGGGATCGCCGACGCGCTGCCCACATCCTCGTACCAAGCGTACCTGATCCTATGCCGGCACTACGCGTGGTGGATCGGGCTTCCGCACGAGCGGTTCCGGCGGCTGATCGACCCGTCGTCGCAGGTCTTCGCGCTGCTGTCCGCGCACTGGGTCGCGCTGAAGCAGATCATGGCGCCCATCACCGAAGCCGAGGCGAGCCTGCGCGCGCGCGAGCCGCGCGGCGGCCGCGGCGTCGACCTCGGCACCTCGCGCTGGCTCAAGCATCTCAACCGCCAGGTCGACGCCGAACACCGCCGCTACAACGACTGGCCCGTCTGGGTCGAGGAGCAGCTTGACCGGGACATGACGTTTTTCGGCAAGAGGACGGTTTCGTTGCTTACCTAGGTAGGTAACCTAACTAACGAAGTACCTACCTCCCTGGAGAGGGACCTAATGCTTGGAAGATACCTAGGGGCAGGACGAAGGGGGGAGAAGCTCGTCAACTCTACCTACTTTTGGCTAATCGGAAAGGGTATGATGGTTTGGTGTCCTACGAGGGTTATGGAATTGGGAAAAGCAGCGTCTACGTGAAGGCGTTATTTGGGATTTTGCCATCGATACCATCTTCGCCGCTTCGTAGAAGGACTGTATATACCTAGGTACTTAGGTACATAAGAAGAATCTGGATGACTCGCCTATCGCATCTACCGCTTGATACTAGCCTACTAGCATAATTCTAGAGTCACATTCCCCCCTGCTGGCTGGGGATGTTGGTCAGAATGCACGATTGTACCTAATTAATCCTCTGTTATCACCGTATGTGCCGTTCGACCCGGGCCGCGTAATGTAGAACGGCACTGCCACCTCGCTAACACACATTCATTAAACAAATCGGACTTAACAACTCCTTATCATCTCGTCTACTTGGTCCTTCCCCGGTACCCATCGTAGCATACACACATAATTATGTTCAGGTAGAGGATTTCGGAAGGGGCGGTGCGTGAAACGCCGACAAGCGCCGGTTCAACTGCTAGTCTGGATGACCAAGGTAGGGTGTTTGCCTCGCTATGGGCCTAGATCAAATATATCGAAAATGCTTCTAATACACCTTAATATACATGGATACGATGTTGATGAGTGTCATGCGAAAGGCTAATAACATAATATATAGCCTATCAAGATAGACCCCCTTCTCTTTATATAGTGACATTATATATAACTCAACACATCTCAACATTACGTGCAGCGACAACATAATGATAGCAAGGTACACGAAACGTCGCATCTGCTGGAACTGTATTATTCCCAGCTAATCAATTTTAATTCCCTTAACCGCTGATGGATACCGTCTCTCCTCAGCCGAGTCATCCCATCCAGTTCCAAGAATACAACGAATAGTCCTTGCGAGAAGCTCTATCGCCTGGCCCCCACGTTGGAAAACAAGTCTAGAACGCCTTGCTCCAACGCCTGTAGATTCATAGAGATCTACGTTTTTAGATCTCTGCTATCCCCCTCTCACGCCGAATTGATACGCCGTGTAGACCAACCGGCTGAAGGTAATGGTGCTATACAAGGAATTTACAGGTGAGAATCTAACTCTCAAGGTTTGTGCTGTTGTAGGAAAAATAAATAAATAAATCGAAGTTATGTAGCGAGTGAATAAAACATCGACATTAGTTGGCTCCTAGAGCATCTGTGATTGTTCGTACGACTTCTCTCGGATTGGCGACGAAGTCAGTATATGCCTTGACTAACGCAGAACCGCAAGACACCAGCGAAGGGGCGACACTAGCTAGCATAGCACCAAGGGTAAACACCAAAATTGGGATCTATGGAATCTATTAATATCATCGTCTCATAAAAAGGGGCTTCGCGTTACTTACCCAGACAAACCACAGCTTCTTGTCACTGCTGCCGGTCTTAAGTCTCTGAGCATGAGCTCGCTGTAAGTGTTCTTGCTGTTCCTTGGTGATGTTGCGCTTGCGTCCGATCTCAAGTAACGCGGGCACTTCATGTGTTTCTGACATTTCCGTAGAAGTTTCTCCAATGGCTTGGTCGTAAAGAGCAGCGCATTTACTGTCAGCCTCAAAATCGGCGGCTGCAGCTGCTGCCGAGGCCTGTTTCGTATCATAGTGGCTCCGTGGGCTTTCTGGGAAGATAGTGTTATAGGCTGGTGGTGGTGACTCCTTGGCGCCGAAGAAGGGCAGCTCCCATCGTTTGGCATGAGCGTCTAGCGGGGGTTGTTCTTGTGGAGGCTGTTCATCGGCATGACGCGAACCTCGGATGTTAGGGACAAGAGAACTAATGCGCTGTACGACAGGTGCCGAGTTCAGATAGGCTTGGTAATCTGGGAAGACGGGTATAGGCGGCAAAGTTGGCATTTGGGGCATCTGCATGTGCGGCATCTGAAGTTGCGCCAAATTCTGGAAGTGCATCGTCATGGAATGTTGCCATTGTTGCAGTTGCGCTCCAAATTGATCTCGTATAGCTGTTACTGCCGCGCTCGGTGACGCGGGGACAGCGTCTTCATCACTTGACTTATGAGTGTGTGGGAAGCTTGACCGTCTCATATCCAGCCAATCGGGATTTTCCTCGTCGCTATCCCTCTCTTCTGATGCATCTTCATCGCTATCATTACTATCATCGACTGAGCTCGAGTCGTCAGACATAAATTCCTCACGGTGTGCTGCCGGAGTTATTGACGGCGGATCCCACAATGATCTGAGGGAGGTAGCACTGTTAGCCCTACTATGGAGAGATCCGTTGCTCCGGGACCTGGAGTGATTCTCGATTTGTCGCAGCACCCGAAGCACGTCGCTAGACTGAGCAACATCGGCGGGAGTAAGACCCGAAAGGGTTCGCATATTCGGGTCAGCCCCTTTCATGATTAGGCGCCGGACGATCTCTGGGTGATCATTCATCGCCGCCATGTGCAAAGGAGTGAAACCTCCCTTATCCCGCACGCCAACATTAGCTCCACGCGACAGAAGCCCGGCGACAAAGCGAGCGAGTCCTAGGGAGCAAGCTAAATGAAGCATTGTCTGTCCACTGGACCTCCTTAAATTGATCTTCGCCTTGTTGGCGCTGTCATCCAGATCGATCAGTTCAAGAACACGAAGAAGCCCTAGTTCTGGGGATTCCGAGAGATCTTGCTCGAGGCTGTTAAAATTGGTGTTGGGGGTTTGAGATCCTCCGGGAGAAGGACCCCAAGAGCCACCATTTCCAGATCCACCGGACCCGTAGATAATATTTCTTGCGATATCCGCCACATCTGTCATCTTCCCACCGAGCTTGTTGCCCAAAACAGTAAGCGCTGTACGAATTAAGCGATGTTCGTCGTCGTCGACATATCGAAACAGCGGCTGCTGGTTGCCAGTAAACGAATGCTGGGGAGCTACGCCAGGCTGTCTGATCGATACCGGAACTATCCCAGCAGTAGGGGACGGCGGTAGAAGACAGACTAACGACGTCTCGCCCCAGTATGTGGTTGTAGCTGCCCTTTGCTCTCCAAACATGACCTCGAGTCCCCCATTAGTGAAACCGCTACCAAGAATTGTCACCTCAACACCTCCCGACTTTGGGCCCTCGCTAGGAATGATCTTATAAATCATCGGTGGCGGCGCTCTATTCGAATTCATGATAGCAGATGCGTTGAACATATTTTGACCAAGTGGAGCGTGGGGCATGTTCTGAATCTCATTTCTCAGCCGGTTCGGACTAGGAGCACGGCTGGGATGCGCCGATGTGGGCGCAGAGAACAGCTGAGCACCCACGTCAAGACTTAAGTTCCTACCTCCCGAGGCAAACATGAGCTCAGGACTATTGCTATTAGGTGTAGGAGGCCCGGTTGGGAAATGCTGTCCAATGTTGTTAAGAGTTGCCTGTTGCCCATGAGCAAACAAGGGATCTGTAGCCATTGGAAAAGTTGTCATATTCGGCGAGAATGGCGATGTGGCTGCAGATGTGACGGCCGACTCGTTCTGTGGTCCCAGAGGCATCGTGGGCGGTGATTGACTCGTCTCGAGTCTCGTCATTGCTAAGCCGCTCGGAAGCTTCATGGACCCGCTTGCCTTTCTCTTCTTAGATACGGGAGCCGAAGGGCTCGCCGGAGATCCTTGTCTAGACAGGTTACGGGATGGCGCGGGCGCGGGTGTAGGCTGGGGATTGTTGTTGACTGGGGCAGTAGGGAAAGCGAAGTTTCCATTTTGCGCCAATCCTTGGAGATCAGAGGCTGATTGCGATGAGTGGAACATCAATTGGGCTTCGCCTGATTTCACATCGTTCGTAGCATGCATTGGCGAAACTCCTAAAGGTGGCACAGAGGGATTCGAACATTGTGCCGCAGAGGTTGTAGGGAGATGTGTCTTGTGATCATCAGTAATCATGATCGAGGAGGAGATCTGTTGAGCAACAACGTTGTCCTTGTAGTCCTTCATAGTAAAGATGACCTGGAATCCCATCTTCTCGCCATGGTGTCGGCAATAGCAAGCTATACGCATTGGCGCATCTACCTGGACGGTACCTTCAGGTACGGAAAGGTCAGGCAACCCGGCTCCAGTAGGATCAGCCATGTGGGGAGTGACGGCTTGCCACTCTTTAACTTCTTGAGTATTAAAGACAATGACTCGCTGATGCTCGTATCGATTCCATAGCTCCTCTTCCTCCGGCTTCTTATGTTTTTTGCGACCAGCACGCTTACGTTCCCGAGTTATACAACCAGCACATATTCGTACCTCGCCTCCGTTCTGAGGTTTGTGCTCTTCATCTTCGCTGCTGTCACTGGGTCGCTTTGGGCCGTGGAAGTCATGCTGAAGTACTGCGGCCCGTTTGAATGCACGCTGGAGCTTTACCGGGTCCTGCATAGCGCTAGTGCAGACTAACATCGTATACAATTCGAGCATGTCAGGAGACCGCGTCGCTACGGGTTTTGCGAGCAACTTGGGTTTTGATATCGTATGGGTTGGCAAGTGAAGTCTTTTAATTCCCGGGGGCAAGTGATGGAGAGTTAGCTTGATCGGTATTTGAGTCTCAACCCTTGATTTGAGAGGCGTAGGTTGAACCACCAATCTCGGCCGAGGGAGGTTCATTTGCGGCGAGTAGGACGGAAGACTATGAGTCGGAGCCGGAAGGTTCATCGAATCTTGCCTGACCTGGGGAGCCGAGCCATTGGTCTGTACGCCTGTCATTGGTTGCCAGACCGACGTCATATTCATGTTTGGTAGGCCATGAAAATGGTTAGCGGTATTGTCAGGGGAGGGTGAATTTTTGAACATGGTTGACGGCGAAGGCTCCTGGCTAACTGCGATGCTTGACATAGGAGAGCCTTCTCTAGAGGCACTCGTCTTCAGCCCGTTCATCGACTTGGTTAGGGAATGTTGCTATATCGTCAGTTAGTCGAGGTAAAACGGTCATGGGAGTAAAAACAAACCGATTGTCCCTTGTGGTGCCCCTTGATTCTCTTAGCAGCAGGGGCCTTCGGGGCAGCATTTCCAGCTGCGGATGAATCTTGTACGACGTTATTCGTTGGAGGGCTAGGACTGCTCGAGGCACTATCGAAATCGAAAACTGCGGACATGTCCATAGTTGAAGGGTCCAAAGTATCGAACATAAAGTTCGAGTCATTATGTTTGGCCTCATTTTCGAGATTCCATGCCGAGTAGGGTTCATCGGTCACCATCGCATCGGTCGAAGAATTACTAGTCTTCGGCGAGTTGGTGTTTCCGCTTGCCCTGGATGAAGAGGACGAGGAAGAACCACGATGAGAAGGAATAGACGAGTAGCCAGGCGCTGCCCTGTTCGAATTGGGCTGTAAAACATGTCCGGGACCAGAAGGGAATACCTTATTAGGTTCCCCAAATATGGTCGGATCAAGTAGTTCGCCGGTCGTAAAGTCGAATATTGTTCCGGTAGGGTGACCGGCGTCGTCCGCGTCGTATAGATCGAATTCGTGATTGACGGCGAAAGACGGCATGTCCGAATCGGAACCCAACGGGTTCGTTGGAATGAACGGTGGGGGTTTAGATGACATAGCCCGGTACTCAATTCTTCGGTATACAGAGGGCGTGTTATAGTACGGAGTGGTTTTCGAGGCGAGAAGTCGTTATCCGATTCAAGGCCAATCGACGAAGTATTCTAATCGTAGTTCAGACTGGACGTAGTCTATGTCTTGCTATTAGACGTCTCAACAATAGGACCTCAAATGACCGTCCGGGGCGCGATATCCAGCGAGTTCAACAGTAGGTGATGATGCAATGTCGTTATGGGTGTTATAGCAACATGATGACTCCTCCAATGTTAGCTTAATTGAATACCAATCTACTAGTAAATGACCGCAAATTCAAGGCTCCAAATTCAACTCTGGGCTACCACTTAGAGTATGATGAAATGAGATGAAACTCGATGTCTAATTGACGGTTCGAAATGTTTGATGATCGTGGCTCGGAATAGCGTGCCGTTGCGGCGGGTTAAGTTCCAGTAAGTATCGGTGAAAAGTTGCGGTAAGTATTAAGCAGAGCAGTGGCGTGCGTGTTTGCTAAAAGTTCAGCCTGCCAACTACCTGGTACCTGTACTTCGTAGGTATGGCAGGTATGCAAATATTGTCCCGTTATCGGAATTCGGATTAGAACGAGTCCAATTGAAAAGACGTCGTGGCAAAAGCCGATCAAAAGAAAGCCAAAGGAATGCAGCAATCGTCGCAGGCTCGAGGGTTCTTCGTGGTCCGGTGAGGCCTCGCCTGAAGGTTAGACGAAATTGGGATATTGAGATGGGAAGAGGAAGTTTGGATGGATTTGACGGATCAAATTGGTCCAAGATGGAAGAACCCTGAGCATCCACCACTAAGACCCGACGAAGCAAAGTGGAGAGTTAGCACCTAAGCAAGTGAGAGAGGGTGCAGAAAGTGCAGAGGGTGGTCGAAGATGGTCAAAGTGGTTAAACGCAAGAGTAAGTTGGAGCACGCTAATACTAAACACGCAGACTACAGTATCCCAACCCCCCTGTAATACTTGGCAAAACCCGGGGTTTCTCCCATATATTTCTTTTAACAGAGGGTTAGAGCACAAAGACCGCCGCTATTTCCCCTTGAAAAATTGTTAGTGGCTTAACATCCGAACCAATGATACTTCGTCTGGTCCTCGTTTAAGAGGTTAGGATGTTAATTATACAGTAAAAGAAATTGTTAGTGCAGTATCAGTACCCACAACGTCCACAAATCAAGCAAACAACTAGAAAACTCTAGGAACACTTCAAGCCTGAGTCTAACCCACATAACCTTTAGACTAACGTAAAGTACCTAGTACCTAGATCACTTCAAATTCGTATCATTTCCCGTACCGTAGAAGTGTGCACATAATACCACTATTCACCCCTTAGAGGAAGAAGGCTCTTGGAAAATTCGAGTAATGCTGATTCCTCAGCCTGAATAATTCGAAATCACCAAGGCCGGTCATCGGGGGAAGTCATCAGTGCTGACCACCTACCTACGTAGCTCAAATCTGATTACAAGGACTCTATCTAACGCCAGCGTCTCGTGGCTCTTGTAAGCCCGACACACCGCTTACCTTGCAGGTAATACCAATTGCTCGAGTATCCAGGTATTCACGAAGTATGTCTTTACTAGGTCACTAGATATGTATATGCCTAGTAAATAGGGATATCAAAGAACAACTGACAGACGTTCAGCACGTTCTGCTATGCTCTGACGTCTGACGCTAGGTATATCAAATTCCGTGTTTAGTCAAAACACACATCAACACACACATCATCTTTACTGTATCAATTGAATTAGGGCTGCACGGTCCAGGGTCATTCCTGTTTCTTCGTACGACCAGTCTAAACTTTGACTGGTCCTTGGGTCGAACTAAGGCTCGCTCAGGGTCCTCCTTCTGCCTCTCTAGCTCTGGTGGAGGGGCTGACGATGATTAGTGTCTACGAGTCCCACGTCCCACGCGCGCCGGTCCTAGCTACCTATCTGCCTCTGGAAGGTCGTGCGTTGCTGGCTGTCTGTTCCGTCGACGAACATGCCAGGAACGGCTTCGTCAAAGTAAGCCGTGGATGCTTCCACAAATACGTGTCTCTCTTTTCGGCCAACCGCACGCGTCCAATTGCATCAAAATGCATCAAATTGCATCCACAACGAACCCCATAAGGCACTGCAGCGAACCAACAAGGGACAAGTCCGATAGCAAAACCCCGTTTATCTCCTGCCCTACGGCTGCGATGGTGGGTTGCACCGAGAATAAGCACCTTCTCTGTCATCGCTAGAACAACCTTATGTGATAGATTGTCGATTACATATGGACCATGTATTGCGAAACCGTCAAGTCATCGTAGGAGCCTAGGCTAGAATACAAGCACATGGTTCCCTATTCCCTCGAGCTTTTTACTCCGCGCACAGAATCATTTCCCCGTCCGCCTTTTGCTACCATAAGCCAACCGGACAAACAACGAGGTACGTACAAAGGATGTAAATAGTAGTTCTGACTAAAGGAGATACAACGGTTATGAGATAATGCGGGACGCTTCTGGCCGGAATTTTTATTTAGGCAATGCAACACCCCTGGCGCCCTAGAACATATCAAGCAAGATTGTGGTGGGCGTATGTATGCAGCGGCAATCCTTTCGAAACGTCCAGGCGTACCTACGAGCGCGGGGGTCATGCGGAGTTGCGATATGCCTCCATCCCCAAGAAGCAGGCCCGGTTTTCAACTCCCAAGACCGAGAAGTGACAGACAATTCCATCCCCTGTGTGGATTCAGGGTCCTTTGCTGACAAGGCTAGGCCAAGCTCCTTGCCAAGGCACCCAATCGCGCCGCAGAGACGGTTGCCTCTAGGGGGTCGAAGCTCGTCAGCTGATAGCATATATTCGCACCGATTCGGGCAGTTTGGCTTGAGTAAGCCGGTAACAGGATTACTGTAACCGTCAAATTCGGACGTCCGTCTGATGTTGTAGTTGACATCACCGGAGTCCGAAATCGACGAATGAAAAGTAGGAACCGGTATTTGAGGGGGATTCTGAATTGATTGTAAAATGCTAATAGTAAACTTCTAGATAGATCCATCTAAAGCAAACAAGTTGCTGAGTTAACAGCAGACAAATAACGATAAATCCAGCAACCACCAGGCTGGAAACTCTCAAGCTTCGACCTAGGTGATATTTGGAAAAGAAGATAATAAGTTTAAGCCTTTTCCCTCCCGTCTAAATGCCACCTTGCTTATTGTTCTCTTGGCGGATAGAACGTAGCCAGTGTCCAATTTGACCTTCTGAGTATTGACTTTACAATCCACATCAACAGACTAGGTGCCAAAAGAAAGAATGGCCACCAAGTCATTGGACGTAGGATGACAGACACATCCGCAGTTAATAGGCGACATCCCCCTCGAGTTCTCGAGATTCTTTATCACCCGGTGGTGTTTCATCGGGAAAGCGAATCATTCGGTTAGGTGGAATCGGCGACGACATGTTCGTAAGCGATTCTGGATCCACCCCTGCAGCTTTAGAACCAGTATCGAGGTTATCTCGAGGACCAGCGATCTCACTGGTGGTTGACACGCGTGCAGGAGAAGGCCTATTAACAGCTGAGTGCTCTGGAATTACTGAACCACCAATACGATAAATGGGCCGTAGCGATACGGAACGAGATTCAATAGGGGTATTGCAGGCCGTCTCGTCTCTGGAGCGACTTCGGGGGATGACCCGCCCGCCCACCTGGAAGGATACCAGATCCTCAGGTGATGACAGGGTCCTCGAAATCGTTCGAGGAAGGTAAATACCGAATTTTCCCAAGGGAATACTAAGCCCGTGAACAACCTTTCCAATGATGAGTATGATAATACTAGCAACATACTCATAAACAAGTGGGGATAGCTTACGACGCTGCAAATGACCATGAACCAGACTACAACCGATACGTCTTCTTGAAGACGAGCCACATCCCACCTTGGCGTTCCTCCTTGATCGGGATTCAACGCAGTAATGAATTCCAGCGTTACGTATAGATAGAAGATAGCCGAGCAACCAATTGGTCCGAAGAAACCCATGAAAATAGCTTGTCGTAAACCGTCTATCTGTGGAATTTTCTTATAGGATAATAAGATAAATGGAAGACGCCTAAGCAGTAGTATCAAGATTCCTAAGGGGATCAGCCGGTAAATTGGAATGACATCGTTCGCAATAAAACTATGCCACTATATCATGTATGAGTTAGTATATACCTATACGTTTTCGAAAATGATTTTATTGGGGTATCTCTTGACGTGCGAATCGAGTTTCACGGCTGACTGCTAGACTGATTTCCGACGCAAATACCGAGGCTGGTTCCGATGGCAATTAAAAGTGTTAGAATATTCTAGGAAATACGTACTGGACAAACTGCGCCATACCACATGAATATAGATACGTTGAGGAGCATATCAATGGTGGGCTGAAGCGAACTGAAGAGACATTATGGAATTAGCACAAACGTCGAATCAAAATCAGACAAGCAACTTAATAATCAAGATCGGGTGCATACTGATCCCAAGTCAGTAAACAAAGTCCACAATCGTTTGGGGTATATCAGGCGCTCAAACCTCATCAATCGTTGCCAAGCGGAACCAATCATCCCAGGTGAAAGCATTCCCAGCAATAAAGCAAGCTAGAATGTCGTCGCTCCCGATCATACCGCAGGTACCCGTAATAAGCAGCGCAAGTGAGAACGCAAAAACGAGAAAGCTTTCACGGTCGACAAACTTATGCTCTTCGCAGTAATGCAGTAATTCTTTGGCGATCCAGCCTACGACAGCGCCATATACCACACTAAGGATGATGGTGTAGCCCCAGGTCTCACCAAACCACAGACCTATAGCAAGACCGGCACCGCCGGATTCATTGACGCCGCCATCACCGATATATTTGATAAGGTATAAAGCGAGATATAAGAAAGGGTAGCCAAGCCCGTCGTTGGCGCCTGATTCCGCGATGATGATCGTTTGGAGATTCTTGGGAACGTTGTGATCTGCGAACCTTCCCTTCACAATTACGTTTGACAGGACCGGGTCGGTCGGAGTCACGCAAGCTCCAATCGCAAGGGCATGGAGGAAAGGTAAGTTTGGTAGTAGGGCCCAGACGAGGAGACTGGTCATCAACCACATCGCCGTCATTATCGGCCCTAAAAGTAAAGCTAGAGGCTTCCATTCTAGTCTTAAATAACGACTTGGTAATTGAACTCCTGCGAGGACAAGCTGGACTCCGAGGACCAGGCGAGTGAAGTATAACGTCTGCAGAGAAAACCATTAGTGTCGACGGTTTGGATTCAAGTCGACCGTGGATGACGGGACTTATATGTGCGGCTCATTAAGTCGACTGTTTTTTAGGGGTCACAGAGAGGACTCTCAACAGGCGGGAATATTCGAGTGCTGCTTACAATCGCATTTAAGTTTTCTTCCGAGCCTGCATACTCTAGAGGCCGGACGAAGTTGGCGGCGTGGGGTGAGAAAGTAAGGCCGGCCAAAAGGGAGATGACTAGGAAGGCCTGTCAGCCCTACGCACAGAGCAGCATAAGAGAATATGATATAGACAGGGGCTTGGGGTTTACAAGACGACCAGACTTACGAGCCTCGGAGAGGTAAAAGTCCTCTTTAAGCAGATATGATACAAGACCAAAGAGTGAAATCCACCCGCCAAGAACACTAACAACAATGTTGAAGTTGTTAACAGCAAGAGTCGGCATTGTTGGCTAAACGGTCAAGGCCAAGACCAAGACCAGGACCAAGACCAAACCTCAACAAAGCTTCAAGTGACACCAGAATCGTCCTTGCAATTACGCAAGGAAATAAAGCAGTAATATGCTGGTGAAATGAATGTTATTGAATCATTTGGTTCTGATGAAGCTGTAGTGGTAATCGATAGACCTGCCACTTTGATTTCTGTGTATTGCGATGACACGGTTGACCGTCCCACGATGTTTGGTGAGTTGGTAATCAAGCGTTTCTGATTCTTGACTTTTCCTTGTCTCTTGAAACAGGCGGTATCGCTTTCTGTTTTGCTAATATGATTTGACGACGAAGATATTGATATTGCGACTGCTGAACGCAGGAGATTATTGGATCGGTAAGTAGCAAGTCGAGGAAAGAAAAAGAAAGTTATAACGAATGGAAATAAAGGTATCAGCGTCCCACTTTTCAAGATCGGAAGCTAATCTTGATGGGTAAGTGCTTTCGGATCGTTACGCTACCCAGCCTGCCAAATAAAACGGGGAATTATCGCCTCCGTTACACTGGGAATCTGCAAGATTTTGACATGTACGGCGGTGATCCTTCAGTCACTCCAAAATAGGGTCTCCAATTCTTGCTTGGTGATGCTGTACGTCGTTACGACCACTACCAATTACGATGAAGCTTCCACTGCCAAATGCCTTCTAGAACGTCTTTGAAAACGCCCTTGAAAACGCCCCTTAAGCCATCTGCATGCATACTTGCGTTCTATATACTTAGGAAGATGGGCTTAAAGCACTTGAAGCCGACGGACGTTCCGTGTTGTATTCTTCGTGACCTAATATTGTACGGCGTAAAGGAATTAGGCACCAAAACTAATAGCATCTAGTGACAATAAGGAGGTGGCAGAGTATCATTGTATGTGAAGCCAACAACTCATACGATGCCACCAACTGACAAATCGCAACCTTCCATATTTCCATGTCCAATATTTTCACTAGAAGCCACCAATGTGAGAACCCAAATGGAGAAGAGAGACTAGCTGTCCCTAGATGGTATCATTCATCACTAACTAGCATAATCGTCATTAACCTATCAACCTACACTTCATATTCGATGTGGTCGATGCTCGGTATGCGGCACATGAGTCGTATTGGTCGATATTTTCAGATCATCCGTCTTGCACCCTTAACGGCAAGTTCGTCCGCTGCCACATTTCCGGCCTCGGTTGCGTGACCCTTCACCCACTGAAAGTAAGTCTTCGTTCCGGCTTCGGTGCGCTCGTCGATTTTAGCCCGGACAGCCTCGACGAGATCCTTGTTTTTCACAAGCCCGTCCTTCGTCTTCCAACCGTTCTTCTGCCAGTTGACGTACCATTCGGTCACGCAGCTGATCGAGTACTTGCTGTCGGAGAAGATACGCATTTTCTCATTGACAGGTATGCTTTCTAAGGCACGGAGGATTGCTGTCAGTTCGGCTCGTTGATTTGTTTGCACCTCGCCCTCTAGACGTTCTGAAATATTCCTGTAGAATTTTGTTAGTGGCCCATCCTTTGAACCAATTCCAAATTAAATCACCTTTCATCATCTGGTCCAAAATAGACACCAACCCCTGCAACAGCACCAGCCCGGCCGTTGCCGATACTACTTCCATCCGTATAGACGTGTACTACATCCGTCTCATCTTCGACAACCAGAACTTCCTTGCCTGATGATTTCTTCTTCTTAGTGGGTGGTTCGACTCCTTCTTTCGATAGAGCTTCCTGGGCAGCCTCATTCCCATGGGTCCGTATGTATTCTATTGCGTCCTCTCGTGTACTAAATCTCTTGTATTTTGGTCCCTTCCAGCCCTTAATGGCTAGCGATGCCGTATCCCAATCGGTGTAAACTCCGGGCTCCCTGCCAACGGCTACCGCATAGAACCTCTCTTCACCCGGGGCTGTAGCCGATGTCTTCTTTCCGGCAACGTATGCTTCGGCATCCTCTCGGCTCAGGAAAGACTTATCTATGGAGCAGTTGTTAGCTGTCGGTTAAGCCCAACGGATACTCGGCTCACATACATGAAGCACCTCTGAACCCGGCCGTCTGTTCCTGGCATTCCGGCCAAGTCAGGTAGACTCCTGGGTTTACTCCAGCGCGCACAGCATAGTACTTTTGCGCATCAGCATCCATCTTGCGTTTCTTGCTAGTCTTGGCAGGAGGCGGGTTGGCAGGGCGCGAGGCGGTCTTCGACGCTTGGCCTTTCTTCGATCCGTTCGGCGGCATCCTTAATGATGGAAATATGGTCCTTTTCAAAGCTGGGCAGAGTTCACTTGTCCATAACAGCATGCAAGTACCCGTATCCAGAGAGAAAAGTGATACTTGTTCGAAATAGACCGCTTTGTTGCTGGCAATATAGGTGCGACAGGTTATTGAGCTCGTAAAGGTGCGTGAAAAGCGGTGTCGGAGGAGTCAAAGGAGTATCATTTTCATTCAAGACAAACAATCAAGGCCCCCCCAGAGAAGTCAAAGATGTCTGCCGTTCTCGTCAGCGCCTATCCCTTCTTTTTGCGATGCGAACAAATCCAAGTAGGCCTTAGAGAAGAGGGGGGGGGGATTCCGCGTCCTATCAAAAGGCACTATATCAGATAATTGATTGGTCCAAGAAAAGCTGCTTGGATCGAGTGCAAGGTAACATTGAGAACTTGGAACGTCCACCCGGACGCCTGCACCGCGTACTAGTACGTACCTAGCGATAAGATAACGGATGCACCTTATGTGGGCCAATTATAGCAACATCAAACATTGAACTACATGTACGACCGGTAGTACCTAGTAGGTAGCTTCTAGGTTAGGTGCATTCATACTAGAAGCCGTCAAATTCACCTCTCACGTTAAGAGTGTTGACAGGTACGGGTTCTACCTTGAATGCAGGTAGTTGTAAGATAATGTTCTGGTTTTAGAAAATGTACTATCTACAATTACTGGAGCCTTTCGAACCAAAGATATACAACCGGTACCGGGATATCCTTTTGGCTCAGACGGGTCAGAGTTAAGAAATTGCCCAGGCGACCCTTGATGATCAAGGTTCCAGTAAGAAAAACAGTAGAAGAATAAAAAGAAATGAGCAACAGGATGTCGAGTAGCGAATTCTGTCATGCCCTCGACGACGCCCCCTGTGTGACTTTTGCATAACCGTATGATTTCATCTAACGCCGCATGCATCCCCAACGCCAATCTAGGAGAGCGATTGCCAAACTCCTTTTTTTGCCACGAACTGAACGCCTCCCATGTTCATCAAGAAGACTGAAAATGCCTATGCGTGTATGTGTGGGTCAAGGGGTAAGGAATCTGGGGAGTCTGCCTCCCACTCCCAACCAAGTAGCGTCCAGTTCAATTCCTTACGATAATGTAAACCAAGACCCTGTCCACCACCGCAGGATCCTTCACAGATTCCAGAATCCCCGCATATACCACTGGCTCGGTCTTCGGAAGTCATGCCGCCTGTCAAGGGCATGCGACGACCGAAGACCACCCTGCCCATACGGGAGTGGAGAATACCCATTGAGCACATTGTACAAGGCTCATGGCTTAGGTAAAGCTCCAAGTCGTGACATAGATAGCCATCGGGGCTAGGGTGGTCGATATCAAATACCAGCTGTTCATCATTGAGCAGAGGCTTATCTTGGAAGCATTCAAACTCCATTATCTGTTCTTCTGATTCAGGTCTATTTTCAGACCTCACCAATTTCTGTGCCACCATACTGATGGCTCGAAGAGCTGCATGAGCCATAGGATTCCCCGTGTCTCCGAAACAGCCATGTTTATGCCAACGAGCATCACCAGCAATGGCGACAATTTGTGTCGTCTCTTTCGAGTCCGACTTTGCCTTAAGATTTGACTGAGGCTGGGTTGTCGATTGCGAAACATCCAGCTGCTTCATGCTGTTCGTGAGCTCAGCAAAACTGGTCATGCCGTCACCATCACTGTTGTCAGCGTTCCAATCATCACTACCCTCGTCGTCATCAGCTTCCTTTTGAGTACAAGCTCCTTTCTTAGCACCAGCTTGTTTCGCCGCATTCGATTTTCCGGAGTCAGATCTCCGTGGTATTGTGCGCTTAATGATAACAGCTCCAATTGGCTCGCCCATGCCAGCTTTTTGGGCTTTCTTTGCTGTCTGCTGTGCCAGAGCAATCCATACTGCAGCATCACGAGCGACGGCCGTCTCCATGCGCTGTACGGTACTAGGATGAGGACCCAAAGGGTTGCTTTTCCGATATATTGTTTGCCAAAATTCATGGGACCACATATGAGCCTGGGCCTGAGAACTCGGCGCTAACAGGGGCACAGTGATCTCTCCTAACCAAACCTCTTCTCCTATTCCATCAACAGCACGGAGTGCCTTTTCGAGTTCCTCATACGGGAGCTCTGTCTTTGGGCCAAGAACAATGTATAGCCATTGGGACTTGGCCATGTGGATGCTTCGGCCATTGCCTTCATTGACAAAGGCTGTTTTGAGGTGGGGGGGTAGGTCGGCCGGCTTTATGCAACGCCGCAGGTGTGGAAGGTTTCGAGCACCGTCATTTCCTGCGATGCGCTTAGCAACTCTATAGTCGGCGATGTTAGCTATACTAGACACCCTTGAACAATCGTAGTAACTTACTCGAAAACACCGAATGTGCATTTCTGCGGCGCACGTGTGACATAAACTTGGCAAAGCGCCAAGCCTTCGCGAAGTTCAAGAACGGTCTTTAAAGGCACCAATGTTCCCTTAGGAATCTCCGGTGGAAGTAGACGCTTTGCAATGGGGTCGAGCGTCTCAACCACGGCCTCGATGGAACCGCTCATAGCTAAGGTTCTTAAGGATATAAAGCGTCTAGTCTGATTAGGAATTGCAATGGAGGACAAGATAGGCCTGAGATTTTGGGATGGACAAGGTGAATGGGACGTGCAAGAAAGTTATTTGGGTTAGATTGGCCGTCCGGACGAAAATATCCTGAGTCAGGATCCAATGTTCGGGTTGACGCGATGGAGATTAATACCGAGGATTGATCCAATTGTTAACCATGAGGGGAGCTCCAAGCATAGTGCTCAAAAGATGAGAGATGCATGGACTAACGAATGGATGGGGTGCAAGTAGAAAAGAGTCCGCGTGGGATAATTGGCAAGATGGGTCGACTTATTTCGAGGATGAGGAAGTGGAAGGTGGAAATTCTCGAGGTAGGTAATGCGTAAATAGAAAGGAACAAACTTAACTAACGTTGAGTCTTGAAAGTTGTGAACCTGGAGCTGTTGCGATTTCGAGTGGCTTGCAAGTTAACTGAGCAGGAAGTAACTTGGAAGCAGCTTGGTCTCATGTGAAGAAGGATAAAAGTTGGGTGTAGAAGTTGTGTTCAAGTGAAAATTTCAAGGTGAAGTTCTAAGCTATGTAGATCTGAGGTGGGACAAATTGGAAGATCACGACTAGACCCTTGCATATGCTACAAAATTAATTGGGGTTATGAGGTACGTACCTAGACTAGAGCCAGCCTTGAACGTTAGCGTCGATTTTAGGGAAGTCATCTAGAAGAATAAACCTCCGTACCTTCCCATGGTATTTCAGCACTGCCGGTACTTTGGAGCCATCCATGGGTATTAAACCTTGATTGTGTGAGTAACCTTTCCCCACGTGCGGGGGTTATCGATTAATTTCTATTTACGTACATACGTCAGGCTCGATACACCTGAATACCAGGGCTGCCAGGTGCTTAATTTATGACTCGTTCTTGCTTTCACAAGGGATGACGTACCGCAATGTATGGCATGTTGTTTAGGTACTTACCTATTGAATGTGTAATTATTATATTCAGGGCATACCTCTACTGTACTGGGTAAGTAAGCATGCATAGTAACCTCCTGAGATGTTTATGTGCTACGTCATAATACCTACCCAGGTAGGTACTTATCGTAAGGAGAATTCATCGACGATATTCTCATCGTCACATGCCACTGCGCTGCTTTTTTCCTTCCTCTTATTTTTCCTTTTCCCTGTCTTCTTTATCTTCATCTTCTCCCCCCCTCCTCCATATGTTTGTTGAGCCATACAGCATGTGCATATATTTATGTATTGTGCAGCATTTGGCTTGCTTTCCAAGGTTGTCCCTGCTTATCTGCATAATTCCTACCACCGAGGCAAGGGTTAATCGTGGGGTTTGTTGCTCTTGATTCGCTCCCCCACTATGAGGCTACGCAACAATGATTGGGGCGATGGGTTGGGACGACGTGTGTACAGAAACAGCATTCCGTCGAGGAGACCGGAGGCCTTATCTCCTTGCTCTTATTTCCACACGAATGCTGCGCTCTTGATCCAACACGTGGGTTCGTATCCCTAGAAGAGACGTTTCTGCGGTATTTAATGAAACGGTCCTGTACGTCTATCGACATCTACCTTTGGCCGCTTTGGGTACTTAATAGCTCAGGATTTATATGAACAATACCGAGCCGTAGTTAGCATCCCTTCCCCAGCTTTAGGTTGCACAACTTACAACCGAGCCTTGGTTGGAACGCGATGAATGCAAGATGCCACATAAAACTGCTGCGACCTATGACCATGTGACGAAACTGAGATCGGAATGAAGAAGCAGATCTTGGGTTTTTACGTTATTGCTCCACGTGATTCTATACCGAAGTCACAGCCCTGCGCTGCCGTTCAACAAAAGAGCTTGCACAATGTGTTGGAACTTCAACTTCTGCAGCTATGTATTGGATCTCACAACTGTGCTGATCTCAGATTACGGGGGGTTTGCTAGTTGGTCCCCTTGGGGAAATACTGGGGTACTTATATTCAGCCCCCGGAGCAAATGGTTGGGCACAGAGCATTGTCCGACGGCTCTCTTATATCATATCTATGCATAAAGTCCAAAAAAAGAAGCCATCGCCAAGACGGATCTCCGGTAAATCTCTCATAGTACTCGAAAGGATGAGGCCATGCCGTCGCACTGCGTAAGCCACGCACTCGCGCCCGTCTCGGCGCCGAGAACATAATCTAAAACTAGCATGGGAATTGGGATAAGTAAGCGGAATAAAGATGTCGCCAAGTTCGGAGTTATGTGTTAGGCGTTGTGAGATATGAAAAGGGGCAGGTCAACCAAATCTGGAAGCCCCAATAAGGAGATTGTAGGCCTATTAAGCTGGCCGAGCTTCGCAGTCCCACGCTTTTTATCGACATCCTCTCAGCGGGCTTAATAAGTGTCGTTCTCATTGCGCGATAAATAGGATTACGTCGCAGACTCCCCAGGCACCACCTGGAACTTCAAGTCAGCGAATCAATTGCAGTAGCACTTACATGGCGTACGCCCTGAGACCTCCTCCGGTCGGAATAGACATATAGATCCAATGATAGCGAGGGAATATAGGCGGATGCAATTGCTGTACACAGTAATCGGTGTATATTCACCAGCTTGGAGCCTCGAGATGGATGGCTAAGAATGCGTTGTTTGTTGGCGATTGCCTGCCTGGAAAGCTATCTAGTACTGCTTATACGAGGCACTTTGGGGCAGCTGGGGCAGTAGGCTTTTCTTATACATAAAATCCTATCATCCATCCTTCGCGCTAACTTTGCGACTTGGCTCTCCGTGACTTACCTACAGACCAAGACGCCTCACTAACTCAAGTGCCCACCTATTTGGTTTAGCCTTGTCTCTTGGCTCGAACGCTTAACTGTATCTTAGTGTTTGAAGACAGCCCTTCGGTGAAACTATAACTCATTGCTGTGGCATTCTATAAAACACGCAGGTGGTCCTAAATCCGCATCAGCCGCCGACTAGAAAACAGAAACACCGAACCAGCAGTGCCGTAAACAATATTGTCGATCCCGGCCAAGACACTCAGCCTCTAGGCTTATCCGTCTCAAGTGAGAGAACGCATCTGTTCGACCCTCATCAGCGCCGGATTGGCTTGGCTTTTCATATCGAAGAAACCTGCCAAGGTTGAAACGGGGCCAACTGTTGAGCGCAGCCCCATAGTCGTCAAACAGAGCCCAGAGCCCAGAGCCCAGAGCCTTACCACGTTCCCATATTACGACAGCTTGTGAAGACATATGTAATTAACGTCAGGAAACGCCGCAACCGCTGACAGCAACTTGGAAAATCGACATCATACGAACTCATACCTCATACATTGCCCACTTGCGCCCGCAGCCCACATCTATCAACGTTGTCGACCCACAGATAGAGGAGACGGGGGCCACTCTTTTTTATATCATATCAGCATATTCGCCTTTGCCTCCGGAAGGAGAGGTGATATCACAACCGACGACGACTCTCGAGAATATTCGAAGATCCGATATTTTCGAAGTTTTAATAATACCGACAGCATTCACTGTCCTCGATTCACCTCGATTTCTTTTTGCGTCACCTTCAACGTCACCGTCAACGTTACATTCCGACACTTTTTATTCGCCTACTTTATATTTATTTTATATTTATTTTACTTCGCATTCGCACACGGCTTTGTGTACAGCTTGCACCGCATATCGGTCCGTTGTGCACTGTGCGCTTTGCGCAGTGGGAAAAAAAACTGAAGCAATTGAATCGAGTAATGAGATTTACGCCTCAACCAAGAACCGTTAGACGACATCCGACTTCTGCGTTAGTGGCAACGCTGAGGGAAAGTTTTCAGTGCTTTAGTGCTTTAGTGCTCTAGTGCCAGTGTGAGGAACCGACAAGACGGATACGACGGTCGGAAGCTCCTGTCAATTGGCACAGATTGGCAAGCCTATCGAAAAAGCTCTCCAGGGCTACTGCACAATTACATTACCTTACCTTCTAGCCTCATCCGATTCGCCGGTTTCGCTTCTGCTGGTACTGCTGCGTACATACATAGTACCGCTGGTAGTACTTCTAGGTGCTACCTTACTGCAGGTTCCTACCCTCCTTCACGCTCCTGCCCTTATATTGGACGGTAACCAATCTACCGTACCTCTTGGTATTGACTCTGTCCGCACTAGCGGTCTGCGCTAAGAAAAACCTTAAACCAGCTAAGGTTAAGACCCTGAAAAGTCCGAAAGCAAGACACCCACCGGTACCTAGGTTACTAGGTTACTTTGGTTATTATGACTCCTCGTCTGCACGTAAAGGGCCCTGGTCCTCTCGAAGTTGTTGCGCCAGTCGAATGTGGCATCTCAACTACGCACCAGTATTCTAATAATCCTCAAGGTGAGTAAGTCAAGTTCATTCAGTGGAAAGAAAGTTTTCAAAAAACCCCCCGTTTGAAAATAAAATTTCTTTTTCTTTCTCCGATTCACCATCTTCCTCGTCGTCATCAAATTGCATTCCTGATTTCCTATTCAAACGAATCAATTACTTTCTTTTCCCCTTAATTTCACCAAACAACATCCACCAATACCTAAGTACCTTCTACCCGTCATAAGACTTTCCATCCCACCTTGAATCTCCTGTTTCTGTAAGTTTGCATAAAACTTGCACATCTGCACTTTAGTGCCTCACACCTCATTACCTCACATCTCGGTGCCCCGATTATCGGCTACATTTATTGAATCAATAACTTATTTTTTCTTCCTTCTTTACAGATCGCAAACCCGTTCGCAGACAATCCCAATCACAACAATCCTCGCTTGCCAGAGCGGCGATGAGCAACCAGCGCATAGTTTCCAGTTCATCAATTCCTCGATCTATCCCGACGCAGCCAGAGCAAGCCATTGCAAACGACTCGGAACCTCCGACGACGAGTTTCGACGCCAACCTGGCTACTGCTACCGTTTCCCGTGATGGCGCATCGGCAACACCCCCTACGCCTACTTCCTTGAATGGCGACACCCTAGCTATATCTCGTCATAGTACACCGAGCCATAAGGGCCTTCAGCCGCCTACGCTCAACAACCTTCCACATGTTAGTCTTGGTCCAGTGGCGCATCCCCATGCGCATCCCTCCTCCCTGGCTACCGCGCTCAGGGCCCTGAACGATGGGCCTGGAGGAGCTGCCTTCCGCGATTTTCCCACGCCTTCATCTAACGATTCTCCATACACCAAGAGTATATCGTCGACTGCTCCTGGCTCCCCTAGAATGTGAGTATTCGATTTCGTCATCCATCTGCTGCTTAGAAACAGTTGGTCCTAACCTGCCGGATTAGCCCGCCTATAAGACAGAATTCCGGTTCGCAGACCCCTCGGGTTCGACCTCATGCTACAACACTCAGTATTCCTGGTATGACCCGATCGCTCATCTCGCCCGATGGAAAGATAGCGGATAGAGATGTGGCTGCAAAACTTGTCATTATCATGGTTGGCCTCCCGGCCAGGGGCAAGTCATACATCACCAAGAAGCTTCGAAGATATCTCTCTTGGCAGCAACATAACACCCGAATATTCAACGTTGGTAATCGACGACGTGTTGCGACCGTGGCCTCGCCCACTCTGCACCGTAAGGAGAGTTCTATGGACATCCCACCTCAGGCGGCTACCATCCTAGTGAATGGTGCTCAGCCACCTGAGTCTCCAGCTCGAAAGAAGTCAACTCCCTACGATCAGGACGGCTCCGCTCCAAAGCCAATGGACCAATCCGCCAAATTCTTTGACCCCAACAACGAGCAAGCATCCAAATTGAGGGAGGAGATCGCCATCGATACTTTGAATGAGTTGCTAGATTACTTGATCAGTGGTGGAGGTTCCGTCGGCATTCTCGACGCCACCAACAGCACACTCCATCGTCGACAGAATCTGTTTAACCACATCAAAGCCAGAGAGCCCAAGCTAGGTATTCTGTTCATTGAGAGCGTTTGCAAGAACCCCAATCTCCTGGAAGCGAATATGCGCCTTAAGCTTTCCGGTCCCGACTATAAGGACAAAGATCCCGTCAAGTCATTGGAAGACTTCAAGGAGCGTGTCAAGGCGTACGAAAGTGCCTATGTGCCGCTAGGCGACTATGAGGAGGAGCATGAGATGCAATATATCAAGGTAAGAAATAGCAAACATCCGACGTTACGGTCATGCATATTAATAATGATGGCAGATGACGGACGTTGGAAAGAAGCTTACCCACTTTGGATTAGGGGGCTTCTTGAGCAGCGGCATCGCTCATTATCTATCCTCCTTCAACCTGTCTCCCAGGCAGATCTGGCTCACCCGGCATGGCCAATCCGCGGATAACCAGCTTGGCAAGATTGGAGGCAATTCGGAACTAACCGATCGTGGCCATTTGTATAGTCTAGTCCTGTACAAATTCATCACGCAGAAGCGCCAGGAATGGTTAGTAGAGCAGAAGGACAAGATTGCACAATCTTCATTCCCTCCTCTACCCGGAGATCAGTCGCCTCCTTATCCCGACCTAAACCGAGAGCTTGACGAGAAGAACTTCTGCGTTTGGACGTCAATGTTGACGCGCAGCATACAAACGGCCCAGCACTTCGAAGCAGACGAAGATTACGACGTCAAGAACTGGGAAATGCTCAACGAGCTCAACGCGGGCAAGTTCGAGGGTTTGACGTACGAGGAGATTGCTCGTACTCACAACGACGAGTACACGAAGCGTAAGATGGACAAGCTCCATTACGTCTACCCTGGTGTCGGTGGCGAGGGTTACCTCCAGGTCATCAGTCGTCTCCGAGACATGGTACGAGAGATCGAACGAATCAAGGATCACGTGATGATCATCGGGCATCGTTCGATCTGCCGTGTCCTGATGGCTTACTTCATGGATCTTACCCGAGATGACATTGCGGACTTGGACATGCCTCTTGGCATGTTGTACGCCATAGAGCCCAAGCCGTACGGCATCGAGTTTCACGCGTATAAGTACGACGAGGAGAAGGGATGGTTCAACGAGGTGCCCGGCTACAAGCCTACGAGGACGGTCGACCGTAGTGCCTAAAGGGCGCTCGTTACCGCTATACAAAATCCATATAAACAAACAGCACCCAACTTCCGCTCACTCACTAACAGCAACTCTACATATGTACAATAGGTATTTTCTCACTCATCATTCAGGCGAAGACGGCAATGATACCATGAGAAACGGCGGGCATTTTCATTCCTCTTTGTGTTTTCTCTTTTTCTATCCTTTTCCTCGTTTCCCTACCGAGACAGACTTCTCGCGAGAAAGGGGAATAGGCTTTGCATGCTCTGGGAGTTAGGTACTGGGGGGGTTTTCGATCAAGGGAGAAAGGACATGGGGTTTTTTCGACGGGTTCACGGACTTGATTCATAGGGGATACTATCCGGCCGTGATACAAAAAGAATAAAGAAGAAAGGCTTCTCTCTACCTCGCGGAGCTTTCGCGCGCGGCTTCTTTTGTTGACTTTACTTGCTTTACATACATATACACATACACCCACATCGATCTGAGTAAAGGGGGCGGGGGAGGCTGCTGTGGCGAGCCCAGGCGAGGCGAAAAAAAAAAAACGCAAGACTTTTTCACGGCGCGGCGCGACGGCTAGGCTCGGCTCGTTAGTGTAGTTAGGGTAGCCGCCTGATAGACCTCGAGAATCGGTCTGAGGGTTCGTTAATTAACAGATCTCACTTATAATCTAAGATTCCCCTGCTGTGTATACGTATATATGTAGACTAAACGAACGACTCGAGTACTGGCGAATTGGATAGGTAAGTTCGGCACGTGCCGTAGACAACATGTGATTTAAACGTACAAGCATAAGCACGATATCTTCATATGTAGCATCGCCTTCTAAAGAGGTAACGTCAAGCTTACCTATTTCACTAGTTCTGACATAATTAATAAGGCACTCGTTTAGATATGACCGAGCGGTGTTACATGGAAAGTCAGCAAACAAGTCACGACGAATACGATGAAAAAAACACAGTAGAAGTGCCATAGACAAGCCCCTATTTAGGTAGTAGTTCTCCTATCAGCGAATAAGTAAACTAAGTACTCAAGGTATGTCATGTCCTTGGTTGCTGCATAATGTAACCCATTTGCCATCGAATCATAACTGCCGTAGCACTTTGTGCTTATTATAATTACAAGTCAAGCCGACCCAATCCCGTCCCAACCCAATTCATCCCTGAAAAGCTGAGAAACGCCGGTCGTGAAGGTTCGGATAAGTATGTAAGAGGTTGTTTGCCTTACTTACGTACGCCCGTTCCATGGGAAAAATCTGTGCCCCTTATTGATTGGTTGTCGTTCTGTAAATGTGGTACACGAAGAGGAAATCATTCTCCAATCTTCCTCCTTCGTCCCCAAGTAGTCGAGGTTCGAGATCAAGGCCAAAGCCGATGCCAATGCTCAGGAAGATGCAATAGCAAGAAGAAGGAAAGTCGTAAGTTCATGCTCATAAAATTTCTTTTTTCGTCATCATAGGAAAAGGAAAAAGGAAAACCACAAAAACGAATGGGTGAAAAAGCAGCAAGGGATATATCCATCCTGAAGAATCGAAGCAAACGCCGTGCTTTCCTTTCGTACTTGCTTTCTCGTAAGAGGTCGTCATCATTCATAAAAAAAACAACGAATCCGGAAAGTCAAAGATCGTCAAAAATGTTCGCCGCCGTCGTCTGTTTCTCCGGCTCTGTTCCCATCCTGTTGTCCGGTTGTGTTATTTGCAGCAAATTCTGCTTAGAGGGCTTCGCCAAATTGCCACCCCGAATTCTCAATCTCGTTCTCGAAATCGTAATGGGCGTTCGGCTTGTGGTAGAAGTGGTATTGGTCCGGGATGCGTGGGACTGAGGGGATACCACGGTTGGAATCGGGCACGACTCGAAGGGGCGTAGCTTCTCTAGATCGAGCCATCTCTTGCGCTGCTGCCTCAGCCTCGCTCATCGCCGTGGAGTCCTGGTGGATGCTATCCGTGGATAGGCGTTGGCCCTCCATCTCCCACGTTTCGAATCCTGTATCTCGTGATCGCAGCGAGGCCGACTTGCCACGCTTCCTAAGCCTGTTTCCTTCTCCCCTGCTGCTACCCGAGAACGTCCTGCGTGGTTTGGGCTGGTGATAGTGTCCATGATGTTGGTAGTCGGTGCGTCTGTTGCTAACCTCTGGCGGTGTCGGGGAGGGCTCACGCATGCGCACCGACTTCTCCTTAAGATACATCGTGCCGCCGACAGACACCGAGGGCGGGAGACTGACCATGGCATCCGACATCTCCACATCCTTGGCTGAAGGCATCTTGCGTAGCTTCTTCGCAACCCTCTTAAGAGGTTGGGCAAAGGACGAAGACGTTGAGAGACCCGGTGCTTCGGGACTAGCTACTTCTTCGCTGTCTACTCGATTACGCTTGCGGCCACGAAGAGAGTCGTAGCGAGAACTTTTGTTCTTCACTGCATGGATGAACTCATCTTCAAGCTCCGTCTCTACTCCCACGAGTGCTTGCTCTTGCCAACCTGCTCTCATCGGACTTTGGGACGACTTTGGTGACTCCACGAGTTCCAAAGATGAGATACGAGGTGGCTTTGGAGTACATGGCGCTGAGCCTGGGATCGTAGGCATGGGTGGTGCCGAACGACGTTTATCATCGCGGGCTCCTGGTGCGGCATGGCGGGTGGACTGTATGGCATGTGACTGGAAGAAGCCGGTAGCCATCAAGTGGCTGTACGATTGCATGACATCCTCGCGGGTCGGGCGATTAGCGCCACTACCGAAGTTGGGCAGCTCTGGAAGATTGTGGTAAGGTATCTCAGAGTGTGACTTAGCCGCTCGGAGATTATCCATTCGTGGTGACAGCGGCGGTTCCTGCAGGCTGGTGTGCTTTCTCGAAGAGCTCGTTTTCTGGGAGCTGGCACTGCTACGAGAAGACGAGTTCCATCTCAGTACTTCACGAACACGTTCGAAGAAGCTCGTGGATTTCCTATGGGTTATGATGCGGTCTTGTGCGTTAGTCTCCGGCACGCTGCTCTCGGAGAAGGGCCGTTGACGACGTGGCTTGCGCATCTCGCCTCGTGTAACAGGTCTATCGGTGTAGAACTGCTTCTCATATTCCTTCAACTCCTCAGGGCCGAGGTACTGTGGCGGCGGTGTAGCGCTGACTCGGTCGTTCATAGACCCCTCCACGAAGCGTGACGTCGGTGGACGAGAGCCGCCATTGTCGGCCGGGGGCCTAAGAGTATCTGAGGCCATATTGCAGTGCCTATATTGATAGCTTCTAAGGTAGAAGTTGAGTGGTGGGAGAAGTCATTGGAAAAAAAAAGCGGTGGAGGATGAAGCTGGAATGGGGATTTGTGATTTTTGTGATTTGTTTACTTTGGTCAAAAGTCAACCAATCCCGGTAATTGCATGTGGGTCGGGGAGCAACGAAATCTGCAATTTGGGATTTGGGGTTAATTAAGGTAGGTACCCGCCGAACCAAGTCTAATTATTGGCTATAGTGACATACTGCAATGTACCCCCTTGCTACACTAGTGGAATAAATACATGTGGCAACCCTGGTCACCTATATTTTAGTGCAAATAATCGTCAGATCTTGAATTGACTTTCATCTTGATTGATTACGCCTCGACCACCACCTGGTCTAATCCGCCGCAAAGCATTAACAAATCTCCAGGGCCCAAATACTACGTAAGTAAGTTTACCTCGAAATCCACTGTGTCGCGCACTGGTAACGAACCTGGCAGCCTGGGAAGACGTTTCATTGATCCAAATTCAGATCTTCAAGCGTGTAGCCCTACACACACATGGCTTTTGGCCAATGCTGCCCCCACGCAAGATGTCTCTTTGATATAGTACCTCAAGGCACTCACTGGTTCCGGCCAGGTTCAGTCGTGGACATGCTGTTTAAAGTCAGTAGGTATGTATAGCAAGGGAGACAAAGAACGTGGAATCGATTCCCAGTACCCGGAATGTCGGGATACCATGAGAAGAGAATAAGTATTGACAAATATCCTCTCTTTGCTTCTGTTGAGGCATTGTTCTCCCTGCTTCATGGGAAGCATGTGGATTCTAATCAACCAATTTATAATATTTTATAGATGCGTAGATTACCTTACTACGAGGTTAATCTGTACTTGTCGGTTGTATGGATACTTTCACATAATTTGCTTCCACCATCGCAACCTTTAAATTCAACTTAGTTTACTTTAAGCAACAATAACATCTATCGGACACCTCGTAGCTCACTAAACGAATAATATTCAAGGTTGTTTGTTACGCTTGCCACTTCGGAAGGCGGCTCTGGAGATCATATACCCCTGGTTTTAATAAGACTGTTTTATGACAAGATCCGAATTGAAGAGATATCTCGCCTAACCCCATCCTGCCCATCCTATGTTTCGTCGGTGCAACGTAAAGAGCAGATATATCACAGCAAGCCCACTATCATTCACCCTTTACTAATTCCCCCGATGCATTATTTTTTAACGTGTAGATTTTCCTCGCCGTATATATACAAAAATACCATTGTAATTCACTTGACCTCTGTAAGTAACACATGAAATATGAAAGCCAAGCCTGAAAGGCTAAGTAGCGACCTTGGTATCGCAAACACCCCTAGACATGCTTGCAACATTAAGCGTTGCACCTTCAGCGAACCACAACCAGCCAGTTCGGTCCCATCCTATAACCGCCTGCTTCGTTACTTGCAGAACCTTGCGACCATGGTAAATTCTAGTAACCTTAAGTTATAAACCCCCTGTACATCCGAAGGAAAATTGTAGATATCGGAAGGCATTCCGTAGCTAAAGCCTGATATGCTGGGATGGTGTATACAATATGAATGAGTGATGGGATAAAGTTGTCCAAGACAAAAGAAAAGAAAGCGCCAGCAACGAGGATGGCCCTGGGATATATACAAAAGCGAGGGCCTAAAAAATCATTGGCGCCGTCAAACGCTGAACGCCAATGAAAACATACCCTGGGCATGGTCATTCGTAACATCCATGAACATGCTAGAACCGCTAGATAGGATCGGGGAAATTAGCGGTTCTTTCTGAGCCGTCAGCACGCCTGTAGAAGGGAACCCCGGGGTAGTCGATTGATGGACGATCGCCATTAACATTACGGCCTTGTTGAGTGCTCGACGTAAGCTCATCGATAGAACGTTTCATAGAACGCGGCTCGGGTTGGGGATAAGTGGGTCTTGAGAGTGCTGATATCGAGCAAGATCGGTCGGAATAATGACTTGGTGACATCTTTGGGCTTGCGATTGGAATCAACGACGAAAGAGAAGGTATAGGCCCCATAGACGAAGCAGTGGGAGGCCTAGGAGGAGCCCTTGAAAGAGAATACGGAGCAGGCGGGTTGTTAGAAATAGTCGAGTAGCTCGCAGATGACCGTCTCCTCATCTCCTGATCACTGGCAGAGTCATAATGTGGGTAGCCGGGAGGCGCATAACTAGGCGATGGCGGTGGAGGCGGGAAATTATTGCTCTGGGGAAACATAGGTGCAGCAGGAGACACGGGTGTAGATTGGCCGGAAGTCGGCGCAGGTCCGTAAGGCTGAGCGAAACCAGCGTTTCCACCATGGCCGAAGTTCAGCATAGTCGAAGGTTGCGGGCCACCGTTCTGGTACAACGGGGGAGGAGGCGGGCCATATTCGGCATTAGAAGGACGTCGCTGGTCTGGAACATAGCTGGCCCGATCCATGCTCGAATTACTCATCGAGCGAGCGCGGTAAGTTTCCGGAGTTTGTGTTCGGTTCCGGCGCCTGGCATATTCGTCTTCTGCGTTATTGTCGTATTCACTGGCAGCATTGGCCTTCGTATCACGTCGCCTCATGCGCACGTCACGTCGAATACGGACACGGCAACCCTGCTCGGCAACGGTACGACTTAGCGACGTACTCTCGGTTAGCCCTGGGAACTTCTTCGCACTATAGACAATGAAGTCGGTCGACCTGAGATCCATCCGGTGGTTCGCATTTCCCGCATTCAAATCCGACATGCCATCTTCGTGGTCCTGAGGCGGAGCATCTCGATCCTGGTCTTGTTCCTCCTTAATCAACTCATACAGACTAAACACCAGTCGATAACGTCCTTCGTGGCGGACTGAGAGATCCGGAAACAAGAAGTATCCAGCCGGGTCAGGCCTATCGAGATAACAGCACCCCGACACCGGAAATCCAGTTAGGACGGGAGGTGACGTGGCTGCAGGAGTTTGTACCCTGCCATGAGCCATAGGGCGTGCATGCTCAAGCGACGCGTAACAGAAGAAGTCAACATTGTAGTCGAATGTAATATCCCTAGCCCCTTCAAAATGCTCTCCTTCAAACACCCTCAGAGTGACAACAGGTGGCGGATCAACAGGCCGGCGATCGGCAGAAGCTATTCCTCGGTCAGTTACAAATAAAAATTCGGCATTGGCCAGAAACGTGGCGAGTGGTAAACCATACATTTGGGACCAGAACCACATGCTCTTGCACGCTCGGGCTGCTGCAGAACTTCCAATTGGTACCATAGATGCCTACCGCCCTTAGTGATGCGGTGCTCTCGAACATACATCCTGCTTTCAGCCTGAGGAGCCATGGCGTTGGCCATATTTGACTCGGGCTAAATCATAACCAAATATCAGTTTTGAACTATTATAGTTGGATATGCCACGGCGAGCTTAACCGTTCCAGATAGGATCTCGAGTGAAAGATAAATCGCATTGACTTCGTAGATAAAACAAAGTTGTGTCGCTAAGAATCTTATCGGGCTCGGTTATGATTGCGACGTACCTGAATGGGAAGCATCTTGATTATATGCTGTAATGTTTTTCACTTTTTTCTTAAATAGAAATAGGGTTAATAAAGATGAGCTGAATTTAAGGCGTTGTCAAGCCTAATCCTACCGGCAATCCAACGGGACCCAAACGTTCGGACCGTAAGTTGTAGCAGGATCAGAGCCAGAACCAAGAAAATGGAATTAGGTCCGAGCTGCTGGCGGACATAAATGAAGGAAACAAGCTTGGCGAAGGCAGAAAGAAAATTCCGTCAAATTGGGTCGAGGATAAAGTTTGTTTTGAAAGGAACCCGAAGCGCTGGCTTCTAGCGCAAGGCAACTCGAGAACGATGCAGGACGATCGGCAGCAAATGACGGGTTCGATGGTGGTTGACTGACAGCATTTAGCGACCTTTTCCGGGGATTTGTCTCGTCGTCCTTGATTCGTGGATTGGTCCGGAATCGACTCAAGTTCGACGGCTCAGAACTATCGTCTGATACGACGTTACCGACGACGATGAGTAGGCTCACAGACTACGAATCTGACGGGCCTGGTTGAGTTTTGTCGTCAGGATGATCGGTCGAAAGTTTAATGTGTGAAGAGGGAAGAGGAAGAAAAGAATCGGGCCAGGCAAGCAAAGAAGGGAGAGAGAGTTAGTGTGGATTCTAAAGTGTGGATTCTGAGTGGACTCTAAGTGGACTTGGGACTGAAGTGGGCTTAGTTTGAGAAATCAGAAAGCGTGGGAAGCCACTGAGAAGCAAGAGGGTGGCCCAGCAGCTGCCCCAAGTTACGTACTAGTGAGATTTCTGGCAGATTGGGCGATAGCACGACTGCGCGACTGCACGAGTTGCTTGGGGGAGGGGACGGGCAAGAGCAAGGGAGATGACTTTGGGTTGGCAGGGTGTAGGCAGGGTAGACAGGGTGTAGGCAGGGTAGACAGGGTAGGCATGATGGGATTGGCCCGAGCAAATCAACCGGGGTGGTACGGGAAGGTTTAAAGTGGTAACCGGGATGGCAAAGTGGAGATTGATTGCGTCTGGTTCCCTACCTGTGGGTCGAGTTTCGCCAATGAGATTAACCCTCTATAGGTTTGTGGTGGGCTCGAGTGGGCTCGAGTGGATAATAACCCCAAATCCTTCCCTCGCTTGATCCATGTCTGGGAAAGTCATGCTTACAGTATTCACAGTGCATCCTCACTGCATCCTGGGACCAACGAGACCAATAGGACCAACAACCAATTCCAGGGACAAGGATAGAAGGAACTTTTTGTCCAAGCGGCTTGTATAAGAATGGAAGGTCCTCCACCCAATTTCACACCGGCCAGAAATCCCCGAACGGGTTTCATTCGTTAACAATCATCTTGACCCAGTCCCGCCTCCTTGGACCGGAGACGGTATATATCTGTTGGCCCGCACTGTATATGTATACTTGGACCCGTCATCCATTGATGGTGTCTGATGGGTGTCGGCTCTCTCTCAGGGCTCATGGAACGTGCAGGACCGAAGGACCGCAGCGCTGCAATGTGTAAACCAGTGGAACCCAACCAGGCGGCAGACCAACCAGCAAGTCTCCCAGGAGCCAGGATTTTTTTCTTTTCATCTGAAGTTTCTGAACCATTCGCGTTTTAAAGAACTTTTGTCTCAAAAGAATAAGGCACCAAGGCTGCTTCTTAGTGCGCTTGATCGTTCTTAGCGGCGGCGCCAAAATAGTCGACCCGTACACCCGTCCTGCCGTCTCCTTCCCCCCCAGCTGCCCCCCATTACCCATTACCTATTACCGTAACGGCGGGAGGAACCGACATTACAGTACGCGAAAGCACAGACTAGTACTCCATGAGTATACTAGTAGATAGCCCCGTAGATCCCCTACTCCTGACTCGCGTAATTCCCATACCATGTACATGTCTACATACAGACAATGATCCTACATGTAAGGTATTAAATTATATAAAAGTTTTATCCGCGGAATTGTACGCATACCTAACGTACGAAAGAATATTTTGATGAACCCGATGGAGATGAAAGAAGAAGTGTGGCTATCCTTACCTTTTTGTACAAAGTAATAATTTCTGTGGATGATTATCAAACATCGTGGTAGTTAATGAGGCGCTGTTTGCTTCTTATCTTCCTTCTTTTTTTTTTCTCTTTTTAGCGTGTCTCGCACGTACCTACCTCGGTACCTACTATGAGGTAGGTATGTTTGCATGGAGATCATGTTGGTAGAAATCATTAATGATGAGTCGTATTGTACAGAATTCAGAATAATACCTACAAAATGGATGTATATACCATATATAGAAGTATCTCACTAAAGCCTCATTGATCTCGTCGGTGACGGTTCCTCGTTACTACGCAATAGGTAGGTCTTCTGTAAATCGTTCGGACCACGAGGTATCCTTGTCGCCAAACCCCTACATGGAAATCATGAAACGGATATACACCCTCGGATTTGATATTCCAAAAGCAGATAATCATCACTAGTATTTGCACCAAATCCTTTTAATATTTATACCTTCTCAGCTTCTTAAAGTGGTTTGTTGGTGAGAAGATACGGGGCTTACGTCCAGAGCAGCAGCTGAACAGTTGCTCAAACTTCCAATTATAGAAACCATTTAGAAGAAGGCATATACCGTCTGCTTCGCACGTACCCAAGTATCCGATAGAACTCGGAAGTATTGCACCAAACTCGTCTAATATCTTACAATCCTTGATACAGTATGTATATCTTGGCAGGTAAGGCTACGTATGTGTTTGTTACAGCTCACAAAGTGTGCTGGGCGGTGGCCAGTGTCCAGCCCACCAGTTTGCCAAAGACAGGGTTATTAAAGTGGCTTATCAACGTAAAATAATCTCATATGCACAAGCCGTCCAAGGCCTTCGAGTATCGAGTATCTAGGTATGTAGGATTCTCACGCACCATCTATGATTCAGATCACGTACCGTTGCACCTTCGGAGTTGCTACCGAGACCGATCCCCTTTTCCCAGCAGTCGCAAATCGTCAAGTGTCATGTGCGGCGTCCCGATTAAAAGGAAAATATGGTCCAACTCAAGCCTCTTGCAATGCAATCATTGATTGCAATTGGTACGAAATACGCGCCTGGTGACCAGGAACCGAGGCTGTCGTGTAGTAGGGGGCCAGGGGTGGAAGCTGGGGAGTTAAGCTTTAGGCGGGCTTCTGAACCAACTCTGAATTCGTTGGAAGTTACCGAGACGGTGTCCAGCTAAGTTCTTATGACACGTTGACAAGCGGCACTTAGAATGCACTCATCACCATCTGATGTCAACATGAGACGACATCTATCCCGTTGCCGGCACTTTGCTAAGGTTAACCTTGAGGCTGGGAGAGCCGCCTAAGAGTCCGGGGCAAACCAGAGACATTCTCGCTGTTGGGATGGCTGGATGGTTCGTTGGAATTTAGTTCGTTGATCCGTTGGTCCGTTAGTTCGTCAGTTCGTCCTACTATGTACGATTTTAGTTTCGATCAGGGCTGCATCTAACATCGTGATAGGTTATATCCAGATCATTGCCTCGCACACGTACGGCCGAAACCCTGTCGGTCCTTTCCACTGGGTATACGTACTGACTCGACAGTGCCAAATATCCGATTATTAGACCAGTAAAATTGCTCACCGTCCTACTATCATGCAAAAATTCAACGCCCCTAACGCCATGAAGCCCAGGCTAGCGGCACCGGCTGTTCCAAGCGCACCGATGCTGTACCTGCTGGGCATGATCAGATCAGTTGGGTATCAGTCAACAGACCGAAGGCGATTAGGTATGCAGGTCTAAGCGGCTCGCATTATTCAGATTACTAGAGAGCCCAGTTGAATTTCCGTATGTCTCAGACCATCGCTCCTAAGAAACAAGGTTATGCAGAGCCATTCACCAGGCTGATCTCTAGACCACGTGTTAGCTGTCTCGAAGCATCGTTTCCGCTCCGAACCCAGCCGCTAAATATCTACCATGTGCTTTATTAACCTAGGTGATCGGCACGAGAAAAGTCTATCGATACATAGGACGATGCAAGTCGACAACTTCGCTGGACGACGTGTGTATAAAGTACGAGTACCTTCTATCAACTTTCATTATGGTACTATACCATCTAGGATAAGCTAACCCCGTTCTAGCCAGAATGACAAACCAGATGTTATAAGCATGCTATCATTCAGAAACACCTAGCGCTCTATGGCGTTCTGCCCTTACGATAACTTACTTTGCCTAGCAAGATACTAGGAGAGTCAACGTGTCGATCTCTAGTAAGAAATAGGAGCCAACCACATTGTGCAGACAACACTATCAATTTCATTCTAGGAATAGAACTCCGAGCCGCCTGCAACCTGTACCGGCTACCTACATGAGATATTCACTTGAATACCAGCGAGACTAATGAGGTGACTAGCATGACTGGCCACCATTTCTTACCTGCGGTGTAGCATCGTTCGCTTCTTTCTGCAGCGACGAGTTACTAATAGGATACATTGACCTTCCCGGGCTACCTAGCACAGTCTCGTCCACAACAGATTAGAGGGTATCCGGCCGTCATTAGTCGTCTTACATCAGTAAGATTCCGCCCGATAACTACCACGACATGCTTATAGGTAGTTGGCTGCTCGATCTCACCACGCAGCACAGTAAAATTTTACGAATTCTCGATACTCCTCGGTGCCGGCCTCGGTTGTGGCATTCGCCATACCAACTCTCTGTGCCCAGACCACTCTGCTTGATGTCCGAGATGCGGCACAACCACCTAGGTTGTTACACTAGATCGCTTTCCATATATGTGAAAGCAGGGAGTTCATACCCTTGCTTGGTTTCTAGAGAGGAAATCTCGGGGCCGGCGTTGCTTAAGGTGCTTATCTGCTAGAATACATTCCCGCTCCAACCCACGTTGCTCAGCCCAGACATGGAGTGATCCGTCATCGTCATCATACTTGTCTAGAGGTCAGAGTCCTCCTGGCTATCTGCATCTCAGGTTGCACGGCTATCTCGGTAGCCGAAACTAGTTCGTGACACGTTGGCAGGGCGGTCAAACATCACGCGGTCTCATTTCATATGCTATCATATGCTACGCTCAAAACAATCGAAAGAAATGGTAATAATCACCTTAGTAAATATGTATTTTATGCAGATGAAGCAAGCTATTACTCAGTCAAAATCACGAGAATGACAGCGTATCATTCATTACAGTATATCAAGTTATCACGCACCTAAATTCATAATAATTGCTATATGGACGGCCTGGATAGCTAGGTACCTACCTACTCTGGTAGATAACAAGTAACCCATCCGCGCGAGTCTCTCGCGCTGACATTCCCAAATGGACTCCTACTTACTCCTTCGTCCTGCGTCCATTCTTTAAGCATCCCTTCTCGACTTTCGCTCCTCTCATCCCCAGCTCCAAAGCCAAACGCCCCTTTCTCTGTTGGTCTCTGCTTCGGTCCATGTCTTTGTCTCTGTCTCTGTCTCTGTCTCTTTCTATTGTTCCTAGACCGCGGCATTAGCTGCTGCGGCCACTCAAAAACCGGGTCGACCCATCTCTCAGGGGCCCGGAAGGGGGACTTCGCGTCGCGCCATCGATATCGAAGGATGTATTGCCAGCAGTGAGCGAGAACGCAGACTAACGTGAGAACAATGACCACACAGATAATAGCCACGGCCATCGCTGCGATGAAGGCCTTAGGGAAATCAGCCGGTACGGGAAGTTCTTCGCCCTCTTGCTGTGCGCGACATTGCCTCACGAAGACGAGAACAGAGAGGATCGTGGCAGGAAGTGATACCATCTTCGGAACGCAGCGAAGTGGAAGATTCCCTGCGACGATAGTAAAAATAGAGTTATAATATTCCGTTCTCGAAGATATGAGTGGGAAAAAGGAATTTGAGGGTTGTCTATTCCTAGGCAGGTAGGTGCTTCGACCATAATATTTCTCAGTAAATAGCTAAGCGAATCATCGACACATAAAAAACAACCGGGATATCATATTCTTTTGAATTATCTCACATTTGGTTTTCTTCTCTAACAATCCTTTGATACTTGCCGGTCATAGCCGGATACGAGACTACAAACAGGTTCGTGCAAAACCTAGTTGGTCATTTCAATATGTAGGTCAGGGTCAGTATGAGTTTAAATTGATGCAGTCAACTACTTCGAAACCTTCAGGTTATCGTATTAGCCTTCACTTTCATGATATCTAGGATCTTCCTGCGAAGAACCAACTATGTCCTTGCGCCTCGTACCCTAAGAATCTAGAGCAGTGCTGTCTTTTAAGAACTAATGCTCGAGATCTTAATCTTGAGCCGATATCTGATCCACATAATGTAGATAGCTTTATATAAACACCACACGAGAAGGAACTGAGAAAAAAATAAAAATGTTATAAGAAGAATAAGAATTAAAAAATATATTTTAAAAGAAAACGAAGCCTGACAAGACGGGGATTCGAACCCCGGCCCCCTTCGGGAGTAGGATTCTCTTTTAAAGAGACAAGAGACATTCTCTTGAATCTACCGCCATAGACCGCTCGGCCATCTTGCCTTTTTTGTCTTCTGTGATGCTCGCCATACATGTTGGCATGGACTACATACCCATCAAATTAGGTAGAAGAAGGAAAGAGAAGTGAGAATTCTGTCATTTTTAGCCTCGTTTGTTCGTTACCTGCCTAGTAGTGAAAGAGAAGGAGACCCGCAACACTAAGATATAGTCCAGCCCTAAGTAGCCGAAGACAGAGCCGCAGTGGGCCAAAGGACCATAGCCACCGTTGTCCTGGAAATCGCAATGCTGGCTGTTATACACCAGTATCTCATAGTAATCTGGTATGCATGATTTAATGATTACGGTTTACTGTAGTTGTGGTCGGAAAGACCTGTCTAAAAAACCACGAGAAATGAATTATATCGTCCATTAATACAACTGATTCCATAAAATTTGCTAGATACCACTATTATGGATAACCGGTCATTTTTAACCGCTTGAGAACGAAGTCCCTTTTATATGTGGGTGTATACACTACATGGTCGATACTCACTTGGCCCCTCAACAAGGGACCGTGATTTAACCCTTCCCCATCATCAATGTCCTTGGTCTACCCGAATTGATTGTAGTTGTAGGGCTGGTAAAGGTTGAATATGTTAGAGAATAGCCTCGTTGATATAACTTACGTAGAGGGCGTACATCTTGTCGTTGTGAAACACGTCACGGTATAAGAAATGAGGCAAGCCAGAGCAACTACTGACAGGTCTCTTAATCAGGCATAGACGTTGGCACCATATAATGACATAATTAGGGGAAATTAATCAATGGTGGGCAAGTTCACATCAAGGGCTTATACTAATTTGCAATTGTCGACCAATAACTTATCACTGTATTGGTAGTTTGTCAACACGCGCAGCTTGACAACGGAGCCGACCAACACATATAGGGCAATCACGAGGCCCGATCAAACGTCACGATGAATTGAAGGTGATTTGACGGTGGGAGCCATGTCGATGGGATGAATGGTTATCTATTTTGGAGGGGTGGCAAGCACTATCTCCTAACGTTGACTTAAAAGGGATAACATCACTAGGCCTACTTGTATCATAAGCCACATAGGCCGTGGGATCGACAAACCAACAGCGCCTCCTATGTCCCTTGAGTAAACTTTAGCCCTTGTTTTAAATCTTATATTCTGTGAAAGAAAAGGGATCCAGTCAAGCTTGAAGATATCATGTATGGGGGCAGTGTGGAAATCCAGATGTCCTATTGCAGATAAGGGTCACTTCTAAGCCAAGGAAACATAAAGCGCAATAGCTTGATCCTTTATGCCAGATTACTTGAGATCTGGATCGTAACCTGGCGCGTCTCTGACTGCTTTGGGAGCGTAGTTTCAGTATTTTGACAAGCACCACCATACTGTGGCCGAAGCAACACAAGCATTATAGTAGACGTTGTTTGATTAAAGTAATGTAGCATTTCTGCATGCATTTCCTGATATCTGACTAACTTGTTAGCAACTATGGCTGAGAGTGTCGACTGGAGTAATAGGCAAATGCTGAGCCTTTTGACTTTCATATCTGGCTACGGTGGAGTCCCTGAAGAAATTATGAGGCTAGCTAGATATGTCTTCTGGTGTTCTTTTTGCTGCACATCTGTTGCGCCAAATGTAGCCTTAGTATGTATGGCCCGCCCCCTTTTCGGGGTCTTCGTCACTAAAACGGTTAGAGATAAGAGAGAGAGACCATAGTTAATAGGATAGTAGTACTGCGGCGTATTTACTACGTCGTGATACCCAAAAGATAGTTGAGAAGATGCGTTCAGCTCCAGCTTATACATGCAACACAGGGTTAGAAGAAATTACAAAAAATTGATGTGCGGTGTATGTGGATCGAACACATGACCTTCAGATTTCAAGAGTGAAGTGGACTTCAGTCTGACGCTCTCCCAGCTGAGCTAACCCCGCTTACATGAATATTGAGTCAAAGATAGTCTATAACTATATCAGCTCAGTTGAGCAATTCGTTAAGCGACTTGCACTAGTATAAAGTGTGGAGGCACTAGCACTTGGCACCGAGTCATTGCATTATGTAAATATTCAAGGAACGAAAGGAAACTTCATAGAAACAGCGAGGGGGTATTTTATTGATCTCAACACTACCAACTACCATTAAGTATTACCGGACTACCAGTCCTCTCTTTTGTTCAACTCCTGATTACTACAGTACCAAGGGTATAATTCCGGGGCTCTTTCTCTTCATCCATCTTTCCATAACGAGCGAAGGGGTATAATAGTATTGCGACCTTCCAAGATCCCCGATTGGATTCATTAAGATCGTATAAAACCGTGTGGTTCCGTGACGAATCATGATCATCACTTCCTAAAGAGCGACAGGCCCAGCCTACCATAATTGACACTGAACGAGGTTGGGAGAAAAGAGGCGAGTATGCGAAAGGATAGGGCGACTTGCGGGAGACCTGCATTCGACGTTCAACGCGGCGCAAAGTCGTACGGCCTATATTAATACTCGTTTCGTCTATGCGGCCTGCTCGCCGACAACGGGTTGCGTCGGAGCGGTGGTCGTCTTCTCGGGGAATTCACCGGCTTGGTGAACGCGGCCATATCGAGTGAAAGCGATGTTCAGCTTGCCGTAATCCCAGTTGCGGGCAAGGAACAAGAATGTGAATGACAAGAGCGGAACTAGCAGGACATCCAGAATACCGAAGAAGATGTAAGCTGGTGTCACACCAATCTTGTTACCACCGTCCGAGAGACCCCAGGCGATAGGGTACAAGAGCCATAGAAGGTTGACCCATCCTGATAGTAGGGTGTCTGCAATACCAAAGTTAGTAAATTCCGTTTCCATTGATCATTCAAAGTTTCTATTTCTCAAAATTCCCGAAAGCAAATATGGGAAAGGAGCACGTACGGTCTCTGGCGACGCCGACACGCTTAGCCGCGGTAGAGCCACCCGCAAGAGTGCTGAATGCGAGAAGAGCCCAAGCAGTCGTTCCAAAGGCGTAAAACCCCCATTTGTAGTTGGATGTCGTGAAGGCGCCGACGAGGTACGAAATGACCCTGGAATCAGTTAGCCGAATCTGGTATAAAGTGGTTTATCGAGTTTTAGAAATGCTCACCAGGTCCATGATAGAGCAACGTTATACAAGATAGTTGCCCATGATACTCCGCTCAGTAAACCTAGAGCAATCGCGACGACGGGGAAGCTGACAACCCAGTTGACATATTCTGCCCAGAAGATTTGACGATCCCATGTTGCGACGGGCTTGGAGTTGACGACCGGGATCACCACATAGGCCAGATCAGCAGCAATGGCGAAGTAAGAGATAGAACCGACGAGGAGGGCAATCGTGAAGAGATAGTGGAAGATCTTTTCACCAGATCGTGCCACGAAGCTAGTAGCAAAGAAGATAATGAATGAGACGACATAAATGGCGGTTACTGCCCATAGCCAGTCGCTTCCGTTTAAGCTCAACTGCTCATTTCCGTTCGGGGGGTTGATGTTGAGCGCGTCGTTCGTACGATGGAATAGAATCGCCATGGTGATGTTAGTTTGTTGTTTTGTTGATACCTACTAGGCAAGCCTGAGTGGTTCGAATTAGGGGGATCACTGTCAAAGTGAATAGGGGGAAGTCTTGATATAGCCTTTGGATCACGGGACTTGCTGTGATTAGCTGTGTAGCTGGGCGAGCGATTAGGAAAACGAAGGCGGGCTCTGCTCGTATTATAAGAGAAAAGAGTACCCTTGCACGAGTATTGAAGATCGAATGCGGTAGAGTTGCAACCTCGCAAAGCTCGGGGCCGTTATTGGCAATGACTCAATGGCCAAGGATTTGATGCAGTGGTAACTAAAGCCGAGATCCGCACGAGGTTTTCCGCTAAGATGATCATATGATTCACCATGACTTACCTTTGTATAGAATCTTCCACAAGGTCCGGTAGAGTGCGGGCGGCGGATCACGACGGGAATATGGTGATGCGTTCATGGCATGGGATAAACTACTTAGTTACCCACTCGGAGCTCTATTACGAACTATAGCACGGAAGCCGACGGAACGACTCGGTGTCTTCTGACCCCAAAACAAAGGAAACAAGGTACAGAATAAAGAGACTTTGTAGCACATGGCTCTTGAGCCAATGTGGTTGACGATCCTTCAGCCCCAATGTGGGGATGCTGCTGGATTTAGCAGCCATTACAAGAACGTGGCAGCTTGCAATCGGCTTAAACCGATATCAATATTTGTGTTAAGAAATGCTTTTTTGATAGACTGCTTCCTGTAGCCAAATCTATAATCAGACGCCTTAGCGAGGTGGACGGGAGGTGGCAAGCATCCCTTACAAATGATGTTAAGAGCCTGATGGAAGAGTATTGTTAAGCAAAGAAGGGCGCAACTTTCGCCCTGGTTGGGTCGAAGAGGACGAGGAATCCTCGGCAATGGCGTCAAGGTTCTAGTAACGGACTAAAGGTATGTATTAGCGATGAGAATGTAGCAATAGCTATGGCATTGTTGCGGGAATGGCGACATTGGTGGATGGCTTCACGGCAGCATCGGATGAGCTAGGACAAGATGCACGATTTCCAAATGGTGATAGGTCTCCACCGAAGGCTCGACCACATTCGATCTAACATCGTGAATCAATGCCGGAGCTTGCAGGGGGGGAGCTTCGACAATCGACATCCGATGAATGCCGGTAGGGTAGGAAAGCGACTGGGCAAGGTGCATAGTGGCGTCGACTTGGCGTGACGTGACGTGATTGCGATGGAAGAATTGTAAGAAATGAAAAAAATCGATTATATTACCCATCACAATCCAACACCACCTTGTGTTCCCTTGAGACCTCGAGACGATGGATGTTTCTCACCAACGACTGCAACGCAAGGGCCAAGATGTCGTTTTGATCGATCGCTCCTGATTTATGATTATGGTTCGATTCACTGAGCTCATCTTTACCCCGAAGGTCAAAACGGAGCTTGAAAAGAGAGGGGAGTTGGAGATTGAAGCGTTTGGACCATTGAGAGCCTCAATTGCATGCAGCTTTCCCCCCAGCTGCCCCCCGGCTTTTACGGATGGGCCATTCATCGAGATGTAACGCTAGGCCAGTCTTAGAGGATGATCGACGACACGGTAGTCATACCACCAGATGAGGCTTTTTCTTGGAGGGCTTTCTTCTTTTGTTTGCCGTTACATATTGGAATTGGGTTGAGATTGACCAATGGCCAGCAGCCCCGGAAAAGGTGGAAGTTGGTAAGAAACAGAACGACAAGCTTGTTTAGACGTCCTTCGTCCTTCGCTCCTTCGATATCCCCGGACCACTGACCACGTTAGTATGGCCGGACACACGGGCCACTTCCTCGTTATAAGGCTTATTATTAGTCGGCGCCTGCCGAACAATCCGGAGTTTTTCTTTTGTTAGACCATAAGATAGGTACCTATTGCTGAATAAATGAATGAGTAAATAATTATGTAATCTAGCATAGATCTATCAAATCTTCAACCATCGAAGCCGAACCGCTCCTCTGCAAGCAACCCGGATGGGGTATAAGACAATGAACATCTAGACAATGATCTTCCCAAGGCACCCTAGTCTCGATCTTTAGATGCATTGTTCTCCTCACTTCTCCTTTCCTTAATTGGTAAAGAGTTTCCCTACATGTGGCGTCGAGGTGCCCTCCTACTCGCTCGCTCGCGAACATGGGGAAATGCGGTCGCTGAATCATCCACGTCCGCTATGCTGAGTCCAGTGTAAGGCATAACATTCGCAGAGAATGCCCAGAAAACCATGTCACCCGTGTCACCCACGTCTCTCGCTCTATTGGCTCGCCCCGTCGCAACCTATAGGTAAGTGATATGTTGCTTCTCCGCCCGGCACACATGGCCCGCCCCCCTGAGCAAATACTCCAGCGTAGCATCTTCATCTGTTGTGCTCTCTATCTAGGCAACTCGCGGACCAGCGGTGTGCCGAGGTGGGAAAGGGGTGCCTACTTGGTTAAACACCAAGGCTACGAACGGGCTTACTGTCATTACATGGACGACAGCGTGATGTATAAACTAAAGGGGCTATTACGATAGACTGCGTATGTATAAGTAGTACTAATCATATAGACTGATAAGAATTAACGTTGATACTTTTGCAGAATAGAAGCTCAGAATCAAGTAATTGATAGTATGTAAAGGCATTTATAACATAATTCCATAATTGTAAGGGGTATGCTTTCACATAGACCACCTCCTTGTAACGCCAGTGCGCCAAGAATGCCTCCTATGGCCTATCGATACATTCATCCTGAAGCCCTTGCACGCTAAAAGGTCGCCTTGCCTTGCCTTGCCTTGCCTTGCCTTCGTCCCCATCACCGTAAAAATCGTACACGTAATTATTGTGTTTTCTCCTAAGGGCAATTCATTAAGGAAGGAAGGCTTAATAGTTCGGTTTCATTTGCCATAGGGCTGACTTTGCTCGCTCGCGCACGTCAAGCTCATCATCACCCTCCTTTAAGGCCTCTAGTTTCGTCAAGAAGCCTAGTTTCTTAAGCTCAGTAGCTCTCTGCGAACACCCAGGACCATCGCTGGCGTTGTCCTGCCACGTCAGGTTATTAATAAGATGACACAGAGCAACTCGCACCTCCCTGTCCTGGTTATTAAATAACTTGGCCAACTGTTTGAGAAGTTCTGTTTGCGAGACGACTAGCTGTCGGTGACGTGGTATACTAGCCGCTATATGAACCAATATGTAGATGACTGATTCGATGATCTTGGTTTGCGGGGGGAGAATACGCGTCTCGGTAGCCGTACCATTCCGCTGTTGACTAAATGGATGTAGCACCTTAACCCGTAGCTTCGAGGCAAGAATCTCAAATAATCGGTCTTGCCCTAATGTACTGAATAAAAAGTCGATCATTTCTGTCGTGTCATTTGGCGAATCGGCGTTACTACTCGACTGAGCTCCGCCTATGAGATTCCTTATTAACCCTAGGCCCTGCTCCTGAATAGCAAGATCGTCATGTCTCGCCTTGCGAATCGGATTTATTTCAGCCTCGCGGAGGTTCTCTAGTCGCGCCTCCGCACGCCGCAGTATTCGAGCATCAGCCGGTGCTCGGGCCGTGGGCGTCTTATAGAAAGAGGTCGACAACCAGTTACGACGAGATTGGTCCTCGGCAAGCCCCATGTCTATGTCCTCATCCATGTCATCTAGCATTTCTTGAGCCGCCTCTCTTTCACTCCTCGTCCTTGCTGAAAAAAGTGCATCATCTTCGGTATCGTCGCAGATCAGTCGGACCAGCCATCCGGATTCGAGCTCCTCTACAGTCCTTTTCTTGAGGTCGACACTTGCCGAATGAACCAAGTGCTTAAGTGCCCACAGAGAATTCAATCGCAAGGATGCATGATGTGAGTGTGCATGCTCGCATAACGCCTTTAGAACCCCTTGGTCAATAAGAGGCTAGAACCGGTTAGCATCGATTGAATATATTTATCAGGAATTGCGACACTTACTTCTCTCATCGGGCTAAAGTCCATGACCAGGTTACAGATTGACGCCGAGGCCGCCACCTGCACCTCGACATCACGGTGCCGAAGTAATTGGCATAGAGGTACAGATACTCCGTGGTCGACCAGAGTTGTCCGAAGAATATTAACTGAGCGAGACAGCATACGAACCGTGTAGCAAGCTGCTAGGACTACCGAAATCGGATTATCAGGCGCTGGGTTTAGGGACTCGACGATACAAGGAATAACTTCTTGTTCAACGATAACTTTCCGGTAATCGTCTTTATACGTTGCCAATGCGCCGATAGCCTTGAGGGTGTTTTGCCTGACTTTAATTCGATGAACCAGATGCCTATGCTGGCCCTCCTCTCCTAAACGACACTCAGGGGGAAGTTCTTCCGTCGAATCTCGACTCCGGCTATGTGGGGACCATGACCATGATTTAGGGAGCGGTGGCGGTGGTCCGCAGCTTTCCTTCAGCAGCTTGCACAGTATCTTAACTGCGTTGCAGTCAAACGCTGCTTTCTGAAGCAACTCGCTGTCGGTAATAAGACGAGCCAATATCGCGGGCATCTCCTCGACGGGTAGAAGTCGTGAGGATACATTAGAGCACCAGTCATTAACGTCGGAGAGTTTGGAAAATATGTCAGCTTCGGTGAGAATATTCAAAATAATTGGTATAATAAGCAGACCCAAGTCGGTTTCTCTGGTTTTGTAAGCCAATCCAGCTTTAAATAGAGAAGTCAAGATGGCAGTAGCACCGAGAACATCGGCGCCGCCGACACTACGCCAGGATCGTATAGCGCAAATCAACAAGGGTATGAGGGGGCTTTCGGCTTCTTCGCCATCACCATCGTTATTGGAAGCACCATTCTCCTCCGATTGGGTTCGGGGAGTAGTATTATTCAGATACTTGGATGCTGACCGCCCGTTGTGACCTTGAGTCTCTCGTAAAATACTTGATGGTGGAATCACGGTATGATTGTTGGCTTGAGGTGGATTATAGGGGAGAAGCAAGTCCATGGGCTGGAAATTCAGATGTTTCGTTGGTCGAATCCCGGGTAGTTCCATGAGCCCCAGAGAAGACATGGAAGTTTTGGCCAGATCAATCTCGGCCAAGGGAAGAGTAGCTAGTATCGACGGGGAGTAAATTAGTTTGCATGCTCGATATGGTGACTCGCCTATAATCGAAGCGATTGCACCTAATACTCCATCCAAGCTAGCATGAGAGAGAGCTGGCGCCGGTATATATTCTTCCAAGCCTTCAAGGCAAGCAAGCATCTCAGCCCTTGGCAACACAAGTCCTTCGAAGGCAATAAAGCTTGCTACCTTTGTAGCGAGAGCATCAAGAATTCCGCTACTGACCAACACCGACTGGTGCCGTTCTTCACGACAAAGAATCTTGATGAGACAGGCAATCATTTGTGTCTGGCTATCATTGTCGACGCTCGGGGTTTTCTGGGTGAGAATATGGTAGAAAGACTCCAGATGACTATCGGTAAACAACGAGTCGGCGAGGGAGGCTAGAGTAATCGGAGAGGACGGAGAAGCATATTCGGCAGCCGCAGCAATGTCCCGTACTACTCGGAGAGCAGCCAAGACGATCGAGGCATGGTCATTTTGAAGACATGTGCTACTCAAGACTGCAGGTAATGCACCAGCTGCGTGAAGTGGAGTGAGAAAAGCAGGACCGGCTACGACAAGATATACGTTAGCTCACAACATGGTAACATGGTAAAGGTGTTGGAGTAGCTTGAGTTGCATATGATTATACATACCGTTCGCGAAAGTAGCAAGAAGCTGCAGAGCTTGTAGCTTTGCGGCGTCTTCGTCCGTGAAAGTATTCAAAGCTAAAAATGACGGTCGCGTATCTTCATCATTAGCTTCGTATGCTTCGGGAGAAAGAATCCCAACGATGGGCCGAAGTACGCCGTATCGAACCCAATCCTCTTTCTTCTGACTGTGGCCGACTAGTTCATTCTTTAAGGATCTCAGAGCCGCGAGTCGCTCTGGTGTGGTTGCGCCGAGCTTGGCTAGGATAGATCGAGGGTCAGCAACCATCATCGATGGTGACCTAAGACAAAACACAAAGTCGCGTATTGGTAAAGTAAAGAAAAAGAAAATTAAAGATGGCGCAATTGGAGGTGATGATTATCGTGACATTGAACAGTTTAGAAATGCATGTGTTGATAGCGCCCTAGGTAGTTATCGCGAACGTAAGGTTGTACATGGTACGTGCATGGATCGTGTGTGGGACAACGAAGTACGTGGTACTTATCCAGTCACTGAAGTACCCGGTACAACTATGAGATGGCTCGTGCGTACAAGGCTCAACCGTCATTGTCACACAGCGGCATACACTAACCTAATAGTCCAAAGTCCAGTTAGCCTAGCTCACCCAGGTTTTTCTTCCGTCACTAACAACAGCCCGACGATTAAGACTTGAAAAGTTTACCAAATATTTTGTCATGTTATAGGGTATACCCTGGTCATAAATGGCACTAATCATAGCAAACGTCATTAGGAACATCAGATAGTGAGGGGAAAATATTATAAGTATCCTTGCTGTAGCACTCGATGTAGGAAATCTACCTACATACTTCATACCCTTATGCTTTTCCGGCACCAAAAGAGAATAGAAAAAGGTACTTGTACGGGAGTTCGATATTTTCAAATATTGAGACTGTCGGGGAAGTTTAAGTAAAATCACAGCTCTCGAAAATTTAAACATAAGAAAAAAGAAGTCACCTCAACGTCTATAGTTGATATTTAACCAACATAGATAGTATACGTATTGAATAACAGCCATTATTTGGATATGAATGAATAAAGGTTGGGCTATATGTAGATATTGGATACTACTTTAGTGATATTCATAGGAGAAGCTTAGGTAGGCACTTAGTCCATTGACTTAAAGCCTTGCAGTTTCCCATTCAACTTCTCTCTCGTCGTAGAGTTTAACGGTCCAATAAAAGCTGTTTACCCCAAGTACCTATTAGTCAGATATCAAGCAATATCTTTTGTCTCAACTAGCACATTCCAGTGAGATTATTATGTTCCCGTGATAGAGGCTAAGAAGCTTAGCTTAGGATTAATAGACACCGAAGATTAAACGGAACGGGGATCCCGTTATGCCCCTCCCCCTCAAAGTCCAACGTACATCCGTATCAATTAACAGTACATCAACACGTGGGAAAAGGGACAAGCCGATCTCGAATTGTCTTAAGCTAGATTATACCTAGATATATGCAGTAGGTACCTAGTCCAGAATTCACTCGAACAATTTAGCAAAGTCTTGGATAGCCCTACCTGCATAGTACCTACCAATAAGTACACTATAGGTCGTACGTACCTACTTAATCGGTGGGCTAGAAGGCATTTTAGGTAAGAAAAGCTGGAAAAGGCAAGAACTTGGATGGGTGTGGGTCCTCGACATAGGAAAGGACGTGTTGCCCGAACAAATCAAGCAGCGTTTTTAGATATTTGCCTTCTCCGGTCTTTGGTGCGTTTCTTGGCCTTCCTTACAACCCTCAAAAATCCATCAATCATGGAGTTTGAGCATATCCATGTCCCACTATCGCTTCTCACAAATAGCGAACTTCTCGTCAGATTTTGACGGTCCGTTACCTAGACCGATTCTCCCCCTTTTAGGTAGACCGCAAACGTGCAAGCGACGAAAATCATTCGACACGAGAAAAGACGGCCCGTTCCTATGCACGTATGAAGTATAGAAGAGTCCAATCTACTGCGGCCTAATCTGCAAATCCTGCGACTTTCTGCGACTCTTGCGACTCCATTATCACCGCGGCTGAGACATTATGACGCCTTAGACGCTTTGGGAACCATGTTAACTTCGTCGTCGCCAACTATATTAGGAGCAACAAGCGCATCACCGAGGACATTCCACTATGCAACCCCTCACTCTCCACAACAATCGCCTAAGATAACGGTGCCCCTGCCACGCCGCCAATCTAGACATTCACTATCGCGCTCCTCGCCCTCCAATTCTCTACGATCTCCGTCGCTCTCCAAACCGAAGCAATATGTTGGAGTTGATGCCGCTACCCAATACTCTCCTATTGAACCTTTCGATCCAATGGTCCCCTTACGATCTGCCCAGGTATCGGGTCCAAGGATATCGAGCTCCACCGCTGCAAAGATAGCGACACCGACGACGGCACCACCTCAGCCCAAGCCACAATCCGCCGTCCACGAAAATTCTTCCGGACCTACACCCTCACCCAGCAGACCGGCGAGAAGCCAATCTCAAACACTTTCTCCTAACAAGAGACGCAAGTCACAGGATCCTATCAGACCCAATCCGTCTTCATCGGTAGTGGCATCAAGTCAACCGAGCACGCCCAAGAGGTCGAAACCTAATGAGTGTCCTCCCAGGGTACTACCTCTGAAATACGAGTTATGCGAGGTGGAGGACATGGTGATTCTTATCTCGAATATGCTCGGGGAGCTGATCGAGACCAACGATTCGATAGCCATGAAAAGTGGTCATCTTACACGGTTCCACTCTAGGTATGTCACGAACGTTTCTGCGGTTAAGTAGCGGCACTGATTCACTATATAGGACGGCACCGGCTATCTCAGTCCTGGACTACTTACAACGACTTGCGAAACACGCCACGTTGACCCCACCTCTTCTTCTCTCCATGGTGTCTTATATCGACCGTTTATGCGAGTACTATCCCGATTTCACGATCAACACCTTGACTGTTCATCGTTTCCTGATCACTGCCGCGACGGTAGCGGGGAAGGGTTTGTCGGACTCGTTCTGGAATAACTCTTTCTACGCGCGAGTAGGCGGTGTGAAAGTAGCAGAATTAAAACTGCTGGAGCTCGAGTTTCTAACCCGAGTAGACTGGAGGATAGTACCAAATCCCGAAGTACTAGTTGCCTATTATAAAGGGCTCGTCGCACGTTGCGCCGGATACGTTTTGGAGGGGGAACAGTCCTCTTCATCCAGCAACGGGGATGAAGTCGAAGAGGCGGTGGATTTATAGCTTACGACGCAAGACATGAAGGGAAGGTAACAGAGAAGACCCCGCAGTAAAAGCAAGTAAAGGTCTTACTCGGGACACTACGCATATCGAAAATATTTTGATCCAGGAGTTTTCCGGGGGGCATTGGTTGCATTTGGCGTTAAATGCACAGGGATTGGGTTAGTACGATCGGTTGGTTAGAGGCATGGCGATTCTATTTTACGACAAGGAGATCCTAGGACATACCCAATAGTTGTGGTGTTCATAGTGAGAGTACGAAGTTCGAGGGGATATCTAGTAGCGTACTAGGTATCCTCTTCATGACCATACAGCCGCGATGCAACAACCAGTTAATGAACCTCAATGTTTTTCTACATTTTAACACAATCCCAATTCAAGTTTAAAGATTTATTTTTATACGAAAATGGTGTGAACAATGTTTTATGTACTAGGTATAATGCATATGATATTGAATAGAGCGTTGAGGCTCAATCAGCCAATATTACCTAGTGCAACAAGGGATTGGATGGTACCTAGTAGCTCTGACCAATTTGCAGGGCTCTTAAAAAAAACCGGGGAATCAGCGGCCAACGATTACGAAACGTCGAAACAACATTGAACATTTCGAAGCTAGACACATCCATCAACAACAACCCCTCCACATATCGCATTTTCCCAACACCACATTTCAGCAACTCGCATATAATTACCGAAAGCGCAGCTAATGAAGTTCTCGTCCGTTTTCTCCGGCCTCGCGGCCCTGGCTCTAGCCAGCTTCGCCAGCGCCGCCGACCGAACGGCAGCTATCTACATCCAGCCCGTCACCCGATCGCCCGGCGCGCCAGCACCCCTCGCGGAAATCCGCTACGACCCAGCATTAGCGGCAGCAACAGCGGACGCGGAAATCACATCGTACGAAGCGCCCGAGATACCGGAGGAGGCGCAGCTGGTGCGCGTCGGGGTGTACGACCCGTCGGCGAAGCGGTGGACGTCGTCGACGTCGGTGGCGTCCGCGGACAACTTCGCCAAGGGATACTCGCCCACGCTGATCCTGTCCCTGGACGCGAAGGGGGACGTGTTCGGCGCGGCGCTGCGCGGCGTGCGGATCGACGCCGGACAGACGAGGGATTTCGGTCCGCAGGTTCTGGTGCGGCCTACGCTGCCTGGGAAGCAGCCTGAGCTGAATAAGCCGGTTGTGCTGTCGCCTGAGGGAAAGAATGTGGAGCAGGAGGAGAGGAGTTTCTTCCAGAAGTATGTATATCCTTTATCCCCCGGCCAACGGGCGTGTATGGGAGGCGTGAGGGTTGCTGGTCTGGATCTGTTTGCTAACTATCTGTTGCAGGTATTGGTGGTTGATAGGTATCGTTGTTTTGATGACGATGGCTGGAGGGGGCGAGCAAGGCAAATGATAGTTTATACGACTATAGCAATACTTAATTCAGCAACATCTGGCAGAATTTCTTCCAAAGATGTGATCCATCGTCCTCATCTTGATAATATGGTCCATGGATGCTCTCTCAACGCTTCCTTTAGTCTACGAAATTACTCGATATAGAACATGCTTCGGATGCTGAAGTAATCCTATAGTGGGAAGCAATTCGTCTGAGTACTCAATATTATCAAAACGCCTACCTATCTTACTCACATCCACTGTGTTGAGCATGCGCTGTCAAGTCCGTTATGAAATCAGTCATTCCGAAAAGCACGGTGGGTACGTACCGTAAGTGAATTAGGTACTTCAGTACACGGTAGCATCACAGTCGGCATCCATGCACCGGGTCCGGCAGGGCTAACTTCCCACCCGCCTCCAGCGGTCAACCAATAAATTCACGCGCCATCCCTAAAACATGCTAGCATGCCTTCTAATCCTGGAGTAACTCTGGAGACCGTAGCTACAGCGTAGCACTGGACCGCACCGACCAATAAACAGAAGTTCGCGGGTACCTAGTATACCGTACCTTTTTTCAGCGCTCTACCTGCCTTTTTTTCCAATTTGATCTTCTCCAACTTTTCGTCCAATCCAAACATTTATTTGCGCCGTTCTTTTGCGACTGAATTCCAAGTTTGCCATTGATCAATCGCAACGCTTTTCTCATTCTCACAAATTCTACTTTGAACTCCTGAATACTCATTCACTTGTTCACACACCTATCTACGTCTCTTCCTGAACGAATATCGTCACGATGGCCACCGATAACAGCGCTACCGTCCCCCAGGACAGTTCCGCCACCAAGGCGTCCGAGCAGCCTCTGAAGGGCAAGGGCAAGGCCACCGCCGCTGAAGAGCCCGCCGACACCACTATGGATGAGGATGATGATGACGACGAGGATGAGGATGAGGTATGTCTTTTTTCCCCCAGATTACAATTGTATGTATGACAGAATCAAGCAAGTTAACTAATCATTTTGTAGGCCGAGGAAGGTGGTAAGCTCTTCCCATGAATTGCGACGTGCTCCCACATGCCATTTTACTAACGCAGTTCTACGCAGGTGATGATGACGCTGATGACAACATGGACGAGATTGATCTCAACAACATTGTCGACGGTGGTCGCCGAACTCGTGGTCGTGTTATCGACTGGGCCAAAGCTGCTCAGGAGCACCCTGCCGAGGACGATGATGACGAGGATGAGGATGACTACGAGCCCGCCGGCGAGGAGCAGGAGCAGGGAGACAAGATGGATGAGGACTAAACTGGTTCGCCAGTTCCTCTCCCCTCGTGCGCTAACTCGGTAGATACGGGACTTCCAACTTGTCTACCAATCGGATCTGCATCGTCACACATTTCCCCTCGGCGTTTAGGAGCCCTCATCACTCACAATCGGCTTTGCTACGACTTCCGGCTCTTAAGTCTCAGGTATTTCACGTATTCCGGACATGGATGGACAATTACGGGTGGAACGTCATGGCTGTAGCAAGCATGGTAGCTCAAGGTCTACTCTGGACTGGGTTCGGCCCAACTTATGAACATGAACACATGCACATGAAATAAAAACGACTTGCACAATTACTGTCTTGATATACGACACATCATAAGTGATTTGATCGAACAATCGTCTTTGACCTATTTATGAACTTAGCCAAGCTCTACTCCCCTTCTCCGCTAAGACGTACAGTCTATATCGTTTTCACCGCCGAATCACTTTTATTCTAGGTAAGGCTGTGAACTCTATGATAAAAGGCTAGGTATGTGTAAGATATCTACTCATCAAGAGTTCTGCCAACTATCACTGTCCCTTAAGAGATAAGTCAAATTGCTATGTTTCATTGCTGCTCAGAATTGTTTGTACGCCTTGGCTCCTATGGTGATACATGAGACAGCCTGGGAGCTCTCAAGAGCTACCAACACACAACTCACCGACTATCAGACATTGCTTTTCCCCTCAAAATTCAACAAATTCTACAAGACATATCCGGATATATCATACATATATTTACATGATCTACTAGGTACACGTCTATATCTTCCTCTCTCTTCGAATATACTAGTATGAACAATCTTATATCCATCCCGTCATTCGTTCCCAGCGCTTCCCACCTCGTGGCGGCGGCGAGCGACTGCGGAAATGCAACCCAGCTAACGTACGGATATTCGCCGATACGGCAGGATCTCCTTAGTTCCCGGCCAATCAGACCTGGCTATGCGTGCCGTCCAAGCCCTAAACAGGTAGGATGCGATCAGGCACACTGCCTGTTGTAACCCATTACATACTCCCAAAGAGAACTTCGAATGATTCGATAGAACAATCGGCTATAGAAATATTGATCAACAGATATTGCCATTCATAAATTACAACTAGAGAAATTTATTTAACCCTTGTAGAAGAAGGGTCGGTATTATTTTGACATCTCGCCTCGTAAAATATAATTTCTAATACCTACCACACGACAAGGTCAGGAAGACACATCGCCAGGACGTATCGACATAGTATGTATCAAGTATGCATTCATATACAGCCCTCCATCTGGCGATGAAGGGATCTATTCTCTAATTGAACAGACAAATATGCTCGCCGCCCAAAACGCCTTGCTCATGCTTTCGTGTCGTTCCGACCCGTTCAATGCTGACCTCGCTCAAAATAACAGGGTATCTCAACTTGCATGCGAATCCGCGATGCTTCTTTGTACAAATTCAACGATTACCATCCTTCCATCCCTTCTTTTCCGAATGGAGACAACGGGTCTATAACTTCGCCTAAGCCTTCGCACTCTCCGTACCAATTGAGGTACTTCCATTACCCCAACCCTCGCTCAGTGTGACCCGATCAAACCAGAAGCGGCACTCCGTCCTGACTCGGTCGGTCAAATTGCTCGCCTGCACCGCGACGCCCTTGTTCTGACGTCCGCGTGCACCCATGCGCTCGTCGTTGCCCTCACCAAACAGCGCGACCGTCTTCGCGGTCTCGGCAGTTGCTGTAGTGTTCTCGAATGGGCTGATGAACTTAGCCCATGTGACGGTTGTGACATTGCTGCTAGCGCCTGCTTTGGGGTTCGGATCACCGGTAGCTGCGAACCGAGCCCAGTATCCATTCATAGCGTCTGCCATCGCGAGGACGCCAGGGTAGTTACCGATAACGTCCATGTCGTGTGTTACGACAGGCGCCTCGTCGCCGTGATCCGCACCACCGTGGGCGTTTGATCGAGCGGCGTAATGGTAAGTATAAACAGGCTGGGATTCATTGGCATTCGAAGCCATATCTGCTGCCTGGAGTACTGGGCATATATACGCATAGTGCGCATATGAATCGTCTAACCTCCAGAATTGTGTCCCAAAGCCAGAGGGCGGTTGATAGACGTACAGCTTCTCCCCTACAGTAGTAGTAGGGTCTGGGTACATTGTGTTGAGAGTACTCAAATCTGTTTTGTTAAGGGCTGGGATGATAGAAGACATAAGGTTGTCCATTGCTGACGCATTGTTCGCATGCGTCGGGACGAACACGGCACCTTCATTCGTATTGAAACCCGTTAGGATCGGGATGCGTAGGACATTTCCTTTCCGCCAGGACTGGGAAGGTAAATCTGGGATTATTCCTCCCGGTCCGTCAATGACAGGTTGAAAGGGCCAACGTAAACTGGCATCCCAACGTTTCCATACGACATTAGAGGCATTAGCAATCTTGTTTAAAGGAAGAGCGCGGAGTTCATCGAAGAGCTTGTCTTCAGCGGTGTCATTAAGTCCGGCTGCTGTTAGAAATTCTTGGAATTGCTGTTCGTGAAGTGGATGAGTAGGTACGAAGGTAGCCCGAGCTAATGAGCCACCGGATTCGATGATAGCTTTTTGAAAAGGTGGAGGCGATGAAGTTAGTTTGTTTGCGGGAGAGTACGATATCAGATGGTGTCCAACCTAGACGCGCTGTTAGCTGTATGTTCTCCCTGGTTTCCACGTAATCTAGAATCCTCATATATCTCGCAATGTGATAACTTACCGAATGAGCACCAGCACTTAATCCCATTATTGTAACGTTCTTAGGATCACCGCCAAAGTCAGCTGCGTTATCCTGCACCCATTTGAAGAACGCCTGTTGATCCTTTAATCCCAGATTTAACAGACCAGCCTTCTGGGCCGCTGCGCTGGGCAGGAAACCCAAGGCACCAAGCCGGTAGTTAAAGCTCATTCCAATGATAGGCGTCTCCGACCATGATACAAAACTCATCATGTTCCGTTCAGCGCCACTTCCACCGTTGAACCCACCGCCGTGGACGTAGATAAGTATTGGCAGCTTGCCAAACCTGGATACCTCGGCAGCAGTAGTGTTTGAGTCATTTTTGTAATGAGGTCTATAGAGATTGAAAACCAGACAATCCTCGCCCTGATTCTTTCCACCGCCACCCTGGGGACAGACATGACCAAAGCTGGTAGCGCGTTGCGCCTTGCTACGGTCTACTGTGCCGTTCAATGGCTGGGGAAGTCTGAAGCGGTTATCGCCAGCGGTCGACTGTGCGTATGGTATTCCGCGGAATGCTTGGACGCTACGGGGATATCTTGCGCTCGCCGGCACAATTTCGCCAAGGTAGTTTCCCTGAGATAATTCTAAGGGAACGGTTTTCTGTCGGGTTATATTAGCATGGGAGCAAACACGTGTGTTGACAATCGGGGTTAGATGCAATTAATGAAATGAATAATAACGTAGTGTCGGGTCGGGTCAATTGGAGATTGGAAATGCCAAGCACGGGGAAGCGAGGCCAAGAACAGGATTGGCACATCGATCTTTTGGGCAGGAATGCCATATGGCACTTGCACGCGCCTGCCAAGCCGATGTGCTTATATAAAAAAGAAAAGCAGGTTTATATCATTCTTCTTATCTTTTCCTTCTTACCTTGAAAACTTCGTGGAAGTGACCACTCGTTTCTAGCCATATCAAAACCGCGAGAAGTACGGCGGCAACAATGAAGAAAAATGCTAGAATGGCCTGGCGCGTCCGGCTCGTGCGGATCTTGGCAACTTGGGTTTGTAACCACAATGGTATTTCAGAAGGCTGCTTTTGCTCTTCCTCTGTAATCACCGCTTTTGTTTTCGAGCTGGCGGTGCTCTCAGTGTCCCCAAGTGAATGATGATCCATAACGGCGTCCCGTCCATGGAGGACGTCGTGTTTTGCGATTTCAGCGATTTTTGCTGAGTGAAATTGGGACGGGGGCGGTTCTATGTTAATAATAAAGGCATCTTCCTTGGGGGGTGTCATTTGCCGGCGATAAAAGGGAATAACCGGGGACTGGGGTTCCTGAAGGTCGAATCCTTTTTCGTAGTAGGACTGTAGCAGCCAGCAGCGCTAGGATGCCGTGCCGTATCTGGATATGTGAATACTACCTGATTGGGACGGGGCGGTGCATAACACGCAAGGAGATTTACTGTCGTCCAGGGGTCGAAAAGCTTAGAAATGGATAATAATAGTAGCCCAATAGCCCTATGAGTCCTTGGCTACACTGTATGCTGGAGCTGAAGGCGGGTAATGAGAAGAATAATCGATTGTAGGATCAACCTATGAATCATATCGGCAAAAGCCATCGTTCTATGAATAGGGCCAAGCGGCACATCCCACAGCATATGTAGTTTTGAATGTCTTTGAATTTACCTGGTAACACTCTCGGTCCTTTTTGGGCGGTTTAACAGTCTCCATTCTATCCATTGTGAGCCTGGACCTTCCTGGACTTTGACCAGGTCCTGGACTAGGGGAGAAACAAAGCTGCAGCAGTCACATTAGCGTAAAAGTACAAATTGTACCACTTCAGATACTTATGACTTCTATGTGACGAGCCTACACTTTCCTTGTACTCTATTCAGAGAGAGAAAGTATAACAAAGCCACAAACTTGAATTCAATAGTCCAACGTTCTTTCTCATCATCTCGTAAGTGGTGATTGTTCCTCCTCGGGAAGACCTTCCGATAGTTTGATATGGCATCATTTGTTCAAAAACTCGCAAAATATCTAAAGTCTAAAGAATTCATTGAGCTGATTCTTTCTTCCTCTTCTTTCACTCATCACCATCCGTGGTCTTGTCACACAATGCATTATGTTTCGTATCTGAATTAAGATCTTTACATATATTAGTCTAGTGTGTATGACAAGATCACCACGGACCGAGGAGCTGAAGACAAGCCATGATAAGCAACCGCAACCATTGGATATGCAGCGAGCAAACTGCCTGGACGCCGTCTCACTCTCGGGTTGAGTTACCTGGCTGCCTGGTTATCTCGATTTTTGAAGGCTGTTAGCCGGTGTCACTGCCGATCAGACGCGAAGATCATGTTGGTGGTAGGTATCAAACCCAACCATTTGACGCTGTGGTTAGTTTCCAGCGTTCCCAACTCGCGGTTGCTTACCAACTTATCTGGAAATCCTTCAACTCAAACGTGCTTTGGCCCCCACTACCTAACAGCTAAACGACTTGGCAAAAGGGGTATGTTCCGTGATCCTGGGCCGTTCTAGATCAGACCAACCAAGAGGGGTGATTGGTTGCCAAGCGAAATCAAGCTTCCCGAATCTGACCAACGGGAAACACTCCACGACACCAACACCCGAATTCTTACTCTAGCCCGATCAGCCACGATGTTACATTGAAGAGGAGGTTTTGCGCAATCATTGGCCGAACTCCGCCCAGCAGGTTGATTGCGCGCTCGTATTACACGTGCATAGTACATACTATTGTATTACATTACAGCACAACTTCCTAAACTGGCTCGCTGGTTCTGCGCGGGTATCGTGGCCTCCTCTCCGTTGCTCCAGACTTTTAATATTCTCGCTGTCGCCGCAATATCTTCGTCCGGATTCCCCTCCACAAGAGCTAGATCAGCTCTCAAGCCTGGCGAGATCCGCCCTCTGTCAGGAAGATTGAAGTGCTGCGCCGCCAAAGACGTGGCTGATCTCAACGCTTCAAGGGGCGTTAGTCCGGCTCGGACTAACAATTCTAATTCGTGGTGTAGCGACTTTCCAGGCACGATTGAGAAGATGCCGCTATTATTCGCATCCGTACCTGCGACGATGGGTACGCCTGCATCACGCATCATCGTCACACTGTCCAGAGACGCTTGGAAATTCCTGCGGCCGAACGATGGCAATATCCAACTAACTAGCCACAAAACCCAGCTGTCTGCCATCACTTGCATCATGGTGAGGGTTGGTACCGCGACTGTCTTCTGGCTCACCATTTTACCAATGATATCATTGTCGAGGGCTTTGTCCGAAGGCACGTGAGTTAAGATATCGAAGTCTGCTTGTACACCGCGTTCAAATGAATGGTATTGGGCCGTATGGGCAACCGTCATTTTTCCATGCTTCTTCGCTTCGACCTGGATCCTATCGAGAACGGCTTGCTCGTGTCCCGGAAAATCTGCAATGATCTTTATATAATCGACCTCTTCGTCGACTCGATCTTGCACGAATTTAGCAGCTTCTTCGGTGTTGTGGACCGCGTGATCTGGAGTGACTCTGGCAAGTTTGAATAGCATGCCATGTCTGGAGTTTTCCTATCATCGACCCCGCAAGTTAGTAATCACTTAGCGATACGCGAAGTCCTGAGGAATGAAAGCCCTTGAGATGTTCTAAGGACTGAATCCTATGCTCAATGGCATGATTTATTCACTGACCTCATAAGCAGGAAGACTTGAGCTCAGCCAAGTTGTAGGTCCCTTTGCAGCTCGCAGCTTAACATATTTTTCTAGCGGCACACATCTAAGCAATGAAAATTGTGAGCTCGTATAAGTTGCAATGCTCAGTCTGGCCATACTGAGATACTCACGCCATATCACAGACTGTTGTGACACCATAAGATGCACACGCAGCTAACTGAGCTTCGTCGAGGATGTGCACATGGCAATCGATCAGACCAGGCAGCAGCGTACAGCCAGATCCGTCAACTACCTCCACCGCGGACGGGTCCGGGTCATCGGCTAGCGCGTCATTGCCGATGCGCGACCCTTCGATGACTGCTGTCTTGGGACCATGAATAGACTCGCCGTCGAAGACACGGACGTGTTTGATAATGGTCAATCCGCCCATTATGAAGTAAGGTATTATAAAATATGTATAAATGATAGTAAATTGTCAACACCTAGAGTCCTTATTGTGAGTGATGGTGTTTAGGTAGGGTATATATGAGGAGGCTGAACAGATCCCCAGTATGAAGTGACGATGTAATTCGCAAATACCCCAGTTGCTAGCTTTGACAACTAACGGACGTCGGTCGAGATCTAGCTCCGTTCCTAGCACATGGCTCAATGATAGATATATATGGAAGATAGCTTAGCTGATGGCGCCATCACACCGTAAGTCTGCAGTAGGACCAGAGAATCGTTGATAGTTCGCAACCTCGACTATATTAGGCTGTGGGGTATAGGAATATCCGTCGTAATAGATACGGAATTCAGTTGACGTACCGCCGGTTTTCGAGACGCCGATAGCACCGGTCAGCTGCGGCATTCGTATATACAATCCAAGAACCGTATTTCGACCATTCGTTCTCATTTGCTTTCATAATTGCTGTATGTACATACGGAAGATTAAAGAGTGTAAACCTGGATATACATAATAATGCTGGTTCAAATCGCCGATCGACCTTGGGGGTATCTTATGATTCCAAACTCCCTCCCCTCTTCCCCCCCTCCATCACGACTCTCAATAGTAATAATCTCAGGGACTAACTAGGCCCTTAGCTACGGGTCATATGAACCGATAGTCAAATAGCAATTCGACCTCACCATGTTAATAATAACATTTGGATTGATCTCCAACTAATGCATTAAAAACAATGATACAACCGTGTGAGGCCAACGCGAAGTCGGCAATGACCGTACCTGTACCTATACCTGTACCCTTTACCCCAATAATGCCTCGGAAAACACCAAGATGATCAGGCCATGACGTACCAGTGAACGCCGGGCTCTGTCCTTTCAAAACACCCCAACGCAGTATGCAGTCGCACGAAATAATACACCCCAATCCCCTCGCCAATATTCTTACATACCTGTATCAGCACAACGTTTATAATTGTGAGCTCTTAAGCCATAACATCTCGCAACGAAGCTATAGTCATCCTTTTCTTCGCTTGCTTGGCCGCCCATTCGCGGCTCTGCTGTCGGGATCGTTCTGCGGCTTCTTCTCGAGCGAGTTTGGCTAACGCTTCCCTTTCGCGCTTTTCCCGCTCTCGTTCACCAGCCCACGAGTTGTCTCGCTTGTATATCTCCTGACCGCGAAGTCTCTGCTGTTGTACTTCTTCCGTTGATACCGAACTACGCTGTGCGCTAGTACTTCCAGACGTGGAGCTTGATGTACCGCGAACCGGCTGCACTCCGATTGGATCAGGATGGAGTCCTCGGCCTCGCGGCTGAGTCTGGTTGTTCGTCTTTGAGAGGGGAGGGCGCGGAGTAGTATTCAGGATTGGAGATACATCTTTGCTAAAACCAGACGCAACTTGGCCCGAGTTCTCTACCAGGTGCCCCTTATTCTGTCGAGCTCGGCTCGCAATCGTCTCACGAGGGAAAGTACTAGGCGCTGCGCTTGAGCGGATTGGTCTCGCCTTGAATTCCCGTCTCTTCCGTTCCTCTTCCTCTTGTGCCTTTAACTGCGCCTCGCGTTCTTCGCGCTTACGACGGGAGATGGCCTCTCCTGGCAACTCAAAGTTAGGTCGGGGTAGAGTTCTGGCTGACTTAGCACGTCGAAGACTTGATACAGTCGGCTTTGTCAATTGCTCTACAGAAAATTGTGTCGAGACTCGGGCCTCGCGCTTTTCTTTCAATTTCCGAGCGACCTCATCACCAGGCAATTCAAAAGTAGGGATAGTGGGTTTCTTTGTTGACTTGGGAGGCTGTTTTGGCGGTAGGAGACTTGCTATACCCTTTGTAGTTGATTTCCTCGGTGGATCTTGAGCCGCTGGCTTACCCTCGATCCTCAGCTTTGGAGGGTCCAGGAAAACCATCGATGTCGCCTTACGCACAGATCGTCGAGGTTCACTGGTCGCCTTGACTCTAACAGAAGAGGCAGCCTTTGATGGGGTAGTTTGCTTTGGTTGTGGTGTCACGGACCGGGACCTCTTCGCTTCGCTGGTCTTAACGGATAACGATTGCGTCGAAGACTTGTTTTCTGGGCCCTCCTCATCCGGGGAGACGATTCGTCTGAAATGGGCCGCCACATCGAACGCTTCTAGCTGCTCTTCGAGTTTATCGAGCGCTTCCACAGAATCCTCGATTCTAGCGATAGGCTGTGCAGGTGATCTCGGTGCCATTCCCTCTATGCGCTTTCCCCTGTTCGCGGCGGGGCTTGTGGATGCTGACCTAGGCTGCCGAGTTCCATCCGTTGACGATGTTTCCAACTCTTTCACCGGCGCGAGTTGACTACTCGTGTTAGGTTCTGCAAGAGCCATGTCCCCTTCACCCTTAGGTCCGACGTCAGCTAACAACTCTTCTCCCGGAGCCAACGGCGTCAAGAGTATTGTAAACTTCACAGGCGCAGCAACCTCGTCTGGATTATCGTGTTTGGTGCTATCCTCAGCCGGTAGGAGATTGAAGCCGAAATGAACCTTTCTGAGCCTAGGAGGTGTGGTGGGGTCTGAAGTGGGAGTTGTGATTGGAAATTTTGAAGAAAGGATACCCTCAAACCAGCCGTCGCGATGCTTTGCGATCTGTTCCTCAGCTGAGGGAATGCCTTTGCGCGCAAGCACAGCCAATGGGTGATTCGGGATTTCCTCAGCTATCAATAATGTTGAGTTAGTACAACTCAAACAACTACAACTCTGGTGCGTTGATAAGTATTAATAAAAGACATACACGGAGCTGGAAGTTCGAGATGTTGTGTCTTGCCTGAAACACTCTTCGTGGCAGATGTTGAAGCGCGTTGCGGCTCGTCTTCTGGAACAGTTGCGAGAACCTCGAAGGTATTAGCTGCAATTGCTGGTCTTGTTAAGCGACGCCGACCCTGGTTCTTGGAGGTATCTTTCCACTTGAATCCGTTTCTGCACTTCTCAGTATCTATGTGAAGTTTCTTCAGGTCAGTCGTGAGGGAGTCAATTGTTGAGCTGGAGTCGGTACTCGAAGGCCGATTCTGTAGTTGAGAAACAGAGAGTTCACCAAGGATAGAAGAGTTGTTTAATTCGAGGCTGTCATAAGAAAAGTGATCGTCTTCATTGGAGCTCGTATCACTGGCTATATCGAGCACCACTTTTGAGGGAACAACGGTCATCTTCTCGGCCTTCGATTGCTTCGATTGGACGCAATTGACCAATAATGGCGAGGCAGCTGGGGTTGCACGGCTCAGGGGCCCAATACAACGGAAGCAAGGGTTTGATGAGTTATTACCTAGTAGCCCCGGACCAGTGACAGCGAGCACGGGTATGCGACGATGGCGAATAGCGAGTATGTATCAAAATTGTAGTGGGGTTTTGGGATCCCCTGCAAGATAGCAAAGAACTTGTATTATTGAATTCTATCCAACTGTGGATGATGTGCGGGTTGAACTCTTATGATGCCTGGTGAATGATGAATGTTGTAGAAGAGACGGGTTTCATTTAGGCGGATTTGATCGTCAATATTTCTATTAGTAGGATTCACAACCGGACTTGGCAGCACCTGCACTTTGGTCCTCAGAGTTAAATTTTGTTGGAAACTTCGTTGCGTAATGCGCGGTATGAATTGATCGCTTAACTCGAGCTAGTGCTATTGACTTTCTCGAGTGTAGCTTTCCCCTGGATACATGTACGTAGTACGTCAGATCTTTTTCCCGAGGCAATGGCTCTAGTAACGCGATCTGACGCGAATCTAGACGCGAACTTTCCCCACTTCAATCCGTGAAAGACACCCCCTGCATCGATTGTGAATCATAAGCCTATGACACCGTGATCGATCTTCCCCAATCCCACAGTAATGTCTAATAGCCTTATAGAAAAGAATTGGCTGGGTAGAACGGTCAGTACATAATTGCTTCAGCCTTATACATATACGAATGCCTGCGGCTGATATATACCTGGGTAGCGGTTATCACTAGTATAGATAGTGAGTGAGCACGGGCGCATGAGATCTGACCCCCTCTTAAGACTAGATCTCTATAACCCAGTGCATAGGTAGTAAAGATCTTTGGATCCCAGTCTTAAGAGAGAGATGATGAGTTGTTCTCGTTCTCTGCAATGGCCTCTGCTTGGGCCTGCAGGGCTGGTGCATGCTCTGTTGGTATTCGAACTAGAGTCTGAGGTAAAGGAAGAGTGTCTTGAGTCTTCGTTTCACCCTCATCTTCTACGTTTCGCGGAGTCGGTATTTTTGCTGTGACAGAGTCAGAACTGCAAATTCCTCCCTAATACTAAAAATTGGACGTGAGCGTACTTGATGCCATGTTGATAGCCCGAAGCACATTATGCCAGTTACTCACTACCGTCGCAATTGCTGTCACATATAGGTCAGTCAAGAAGAAGCCAAACCCACTACTCATGCACTCGTACCTTCTGTTCCATCCGAGAGAGTAGCAAGCTTCTGTTCTAGAGCTTCCATCTGGTTTGCTACGGCTGCGCTTAGATCTCGCAGCTCCTTTAGATTTTCGAGCTCCGCCTTCTTCTCATTGACCCGGGCAACAAGCGCCGGTGATTGGCCCGTAGACTGGGCACCAGGATTGCCTGAAGTAGAAGCCTGACGTAGATGGCTGGGAATACCGCGCGAGGAGAATGCCATGTTGATTTTGGTTAACCGTCTTTAAGAAGTTAAAGTGCCTGGATATAAATTGGCTTAGGATGGCTGAAATCCAATATGGATTAGAGTGCCCTTAGCAACGGAATAAGTGGAGAAATAAATGCGACTTGATGAATTTCCCAATTTGAGGTAAACAGCAAGTATCAGACGCTAGAACGTGTTAACCACAGATATTTTGACAAGTGCCTGAATACGTCGGGCGCATAAGGTGACGGGTGCGTGTTACGTGAATGCACAAGTATTGTCGTTGGAAGAATATGAATATTGCTCAAGATAGATATTTGCATGATGTGATAGGCTAGCACATAATTCCTAAGGCTGTCAACCTTGGGAGATTTTATCGATACCCGATTTGGGTGTGTTGTTTGTGTGTTACCTACATAAATGCTCTAGTGTGACGTGAACATGTGCATGCTACTGCGTAATGTGGACAAATCCCTGTACAGCCCCTGTATAAATAGGTGGTCATAGCTCTGAACTATAACCCATTCGGAAGTTTGTTGATATTCACTGTGGAGACGGATCCCTTGCCAACTCATTTCGCCCACCAAAACTTTGAAATTCTTCACCGCACCTCAATAAACTACACCAACTTGCACCCATCGTCTTGCATGCTACTGCTCTCCGAAGGAGACTCTGGATATCCATTCGCTGTTCACGGGGCTTTTTGCATGATTACCAAACTTCAAGATTATTGCTGGAATAGTTAAATAGCCTCAAAACTCCCGCCGCCTGATGAATCTTCACGATGGCACGACTGAACGAACCAATGGTGTCAACAGATAGCGTTGAGACGCGTATGTCCCCTCAAACATTTCACCACTCCTCAAAATATAATGAAGCCAGCATGTTAACGTTTGTTTCTAGTGCGTCGAAAGTTTCTACGCCAGAATCGCGACATCGCACGAGTAAACTCGACTCAATCGCTGAAAATACGATCCTTGGAAAATGAATGCGTCCGTCTTCTATCCGAAAACCTCGACCTTCGGGGCCAGGTTTTGCGACTTCAGACCGAATTAGAGGACAGCAAAGCTCAGAAAATCGCCGATCATGCCCTCGAGATTAAGGAGAAGATGGAAGCGCAATTAGCAGAATGGGGAACTATGCTTGCCAGTTTGGGACACGAACCGATTCCTAAGAGCCGATCGCCCAGAGAGCCTAAGAGGGCGAAACATAGGTCTAATATTGGTCGCATGAGTATGTCTGAATGGAAGAGAAGAGATACAATGAGCTCGAGCTCCATGAAGGACTTAGAAGCCGCCGCTGCCCAAGAAGGCAGATTGCCGCCCATCTGGGAAAACAAGCCATGTCCTCGTGAGACATTAACGTAAGTCGCAATCATCGAACAACACAAATAACACATGCTAATAATCTTCCCAGCCGAGACGAGATCTTGGCATTACGTTCTGTAGTCGATGATAATGACGATTCTCCGGATCTTGGACCTCCGCCTGTATCACGATTTGTTGATGAAGATCCCGTAAAGATCGATCTACCAGCCAGACGCCTCTTAAATAAGCCGGATTACTCGCCTCAGGACAATGCGTCGTCTGAGCTTCAGGACAAGCCAGAATTACCCCCTTCCCCTAAGGTCGATGAACGAAAAGATGAAGTAATCAATGATGCGACTACCGTCAACGTCGAATCCCAGGAGACTAGAGCAAATATTGCCGATTCTCCTACCAACAACACTGTGAAGGCTGGTCTTAAGAGGAAGCAGAGAGAAGAGGATGAGAAAGAGAACGCAGTTATTTCCAAGCCACCACCCCTAACCGCTGCAGTTGTAAAGGGCGAGCCCCAAAAGGCTATGAATGTCAAGCCCCGGAGTCTTGGCAGACCGATCAAGCCTCCCTCGAGCCGAAAAGAGGCTCGAGACAAGACATCAGGTTCCACGGCCCCGAGGAGACCGTTGTCTACGAAGAGCTCAAACGAATACATCAAGTCGCCGAAGAAGACTACGAAGCCTTCCGCCCCGGAAGAGGTCACAAAAGACGATTTAAAGCCAAAGAAAAGCTCTTCGCTAGTTGTGATACCAATCCCCCAATCACCTGAGCCAGTAACAGTCATGAACGTGGAGACTGAGGCCGAGACTGAGGCGCTTTCTGCAGAACCTAACTTGGCCGTTCCCGACACACCGGAGCCTACGCCAAGGGATGAAGTGAGAGACACGCCACCTCCGACCGACCTCTCATCTAGGGGAGAGAACGCGCGGGGAAGTCGCAGGGCTAGAGCTGCCGTTAGTTATGCTGAGCCGAACCTTCGGGATAAGATGCGACGGCCCTCGAAGCAACTACTTGACGCTGTGTCGGGTGAGGGTAAGCATATTAGACGAACTAGTCAGTCCTCTTCTGGCCCTTCATCCGTCAAGTCAGAGGAGAGGCCGGAATCATGGAAGGAGCTTCCCTCAGCTCATAGCGCAAGATCCACTCCGGATGTTATGGCTAGTCCCCTAGCCCAGAAAGGATCGAGGAACTGTTCTACGGATGATTTGTCCACAAGCGTGGTGGTGAATAGAAAGACTCGAAACCCGCAAGGAGCGGCGGGCGACGTTGAAACCAAATCAGGCCCTCGATCAGCCAACCGCCGTTTACACGACATCGCAGCACGTGAAGCCGAAGTCGCGAAGATGTTCGACACTAGCTCGGATATCTACGATATTCCCCACACATCGCCGATCGACGACTCAAAACGCGCGATAGAATCGGAGGATTCGATTGCCAAGAAGACCGGTAGCAGCAAGGGAGCTCGACGTTCGAGATCGAGACGATTATCATCGGCGATCCGGGAGGACTTAGATCCTGAGCCGGAAGTCCAGACCAATCAGAAGGCTCCGAGACAGACCGGTTCGACCAGACGAGCGACCATGGCAGCATCGAAGGAATCGAAAAGCGAATTAGAACACTCGGGACTCGAAAGTTCTATGGAGGGAGATAGCCTGACCAGCACTTCTTCCGGTTCGTCCGCCGAACCAGATGGCTCGACTAGAGATCGCGCCGCGACTAGACGGAGGAGCATGATGTTATGAGGGAAAAGAGGAAAAACAATTGCATTCCACTATGATAATGATTCGCACGGTCGTTTGAGCAAGGCTTTTTTCTTTTCAGTTTTCAGTTGGGAGTAATTGTATTGATTAAATAATCACCAAGGCTGAGACAGGTGTTGTTGGCTCATCATAGTTCATTTTCGTGGCGTTCGGTCGTACGCACGTTACTCTTTAGGAGTGCACAGGATACCAAATCAAGTCTTCTTCGTTTGTCTGCCAACTTGTTAATGTTGGGTCGTTTCATTAATCAAGGGTATAAACCTGCTCCTATGTATCGTAGGAGTACATCGTGTTCTGGTTCATCAGTTGACTCTCGGAGAACTTGTTAATCTAAATAGCCTCTTCTTAAAATTACGATGACCCTCCTGTGGGCTCTACAGGTTTTGTGTAAGTCACCTTCTCTACGGCGACGTTCTCCACCCCATTCGCATCTTTTCTCAGCTGGTAGACGTAGAGTGTGAGTGATATACCTTGAACCTGTATTCTGTCAGTGAATGGTTATAAGAGCAACCCAAGTGCCTTATTCAATCCAAAGTGTTCCTCTTCTCTTCCGAAAATTCAGAGGATGGGAGAGGCTAAAGCGATAGAAGAAGGCTATCTGCAACTCACATCCATCAGACAGAAGCTAGGCACCATATCTTCGCCCTCCTTAGTCCAGCCTGTCGTGTAGGCTCCCGTGGCGCTGCCGGGATTCACGAAGAACTTGTCCATGTACTCGAAAGCATCGAAGCGGTGGGTACCTCCCCAGCACAGCACGTCCACGTCCAGCTTATTCGCCTCGGCCAGCAACAAGTCTGGCTCCGTCGATACAAGCGTGAATCCTTCCACGAACCCGATGCGCAGAGATCCGTGCGTCACCACCTGCGATAGGGGGAGGGAGGCGGCCTCAACGTCGAAGCGGCCTTTGACGATTTTTAGGTCGGGCGCGATCGATCGCAGGTATTCGTATGTGGGCTTGTCCGTCAGGTTGCCGAGGCAGAGCGTCTGTCCGATCTTCCCGGGAGAGAGGAGCTTCTTAAACTATGAGAGGGGGAATTGGTGTGAGTAGTAGCACTACCGAAAGACGAGGAGCGGAGGATCACCTTTTGTGGTATATCGAGGGCACGGTCGGGAATGTGAAGATCCCCGATTACGAGGATGAGGAAGGCCATTGTTTGTATATTGAAGGATATTAAAGATCTCTGTGTGTGTCTATGATGTGTACCGTACGTCCCGGTCTAAAGAAAAAAAAAGCTATGCCTTGCTTAATCGTATCAGAGGAAGAATTGCGTCTTAGTAGGCAGCACCGTTTCTAGATGCGTGAAGCGGTGTGGTTGGGGAATAGCGAATTCGGATATCAACTAGAATCCAGCCAATTCTCCCAATAGCCTCGAGGATTGTATTATGGCTGTGAAAAAGGTGTGCCTCGTAACAAGGAAGTTGTAGACTTGAACATGAATACTGAAGCTATCGCCAAAGCTGCGAGGCTGACGTTTAACTTTCAGGGACCGGGAGCATCGAGGGCCCCGCAATTCAAGCTATCGATATGTACCTACGTACCAATCCTCCTCTCCATTGATGTGGGAACACTTGCAGGAATTGAGGCAGGTACGCCACAGGGAATCTCATTAGGTACCTTAGATAATCAATCAAGTGCTACAGGGCATACGTAGGTAGCTTCCGTCACTTATTATGTTATATTTTAGTTTCGGGTTAATAAGAAGCGGCCGAAGACGGAGACCACGTAGTCAAAATGAACATAGCATATCCGATCTATTCGCAAAAAACAAGTACGTATAACTGAGCTTACTCTATGCGATACGATAAGACCGACAGTACGGGTGACTACATATTGCGGGGACGCTTACTCTAATCATCTCACCTCTAGAAATCGAGAGATTATTAACAGCATCTAGACATAAATCCGGGGGGATCTCCGATACACTTTATTTCCTATCTCTTCAAGTTCTTATCCGTTGAGGAATGAATGGGAGTTTCCCTTTTTGCTAAATCTAGATCTTAAGTGGTGGATATTACTTGAATTAGACTATTCAGGGGTAAGAGTCCCTTCAATTCCCTTAGTCGAAGGTTATAGGTTACACGACTCAAACTCTTCAAAAGTTACCCTCCATTACGACTCCCGTAGAAGTCTTAAAAGCTGGCTTACTCAACTTTTGTACGGAAGGCTGCCGGAGCGGTGGTCGGCGATATGCCCCACCGTCTTCTCCAAACATCGTCCAGCTCCAACCCCGCAGCCCGAGTTTCTATTATATCACGACACCTTTCAGGCGGCGCCCAATCTCCCGCCAACTCAAGCTTTTCAAGCAATATCTCCATCTCTTCGACCCAGACTCGTGACTTTTCTTCGTCGCCTACCAAGATGTCGTCTCAACCAGAACACCCGACTTTGCTCATCCCGGGCCCCATTGAGTTTGACGATGCTGTCTTACAGTCCATGAGCCATTACAGGTCTGTAAGAAAATTATATGTTCAAGCATACGCCCATATCTCAGGAAGGCCAATTCTAACATACCGCAAATAGCGAGTCTCATGTCGGTCCAGGCTTTGTTGCTACCTTTGGCGAGGCCTTGTCCATGCTTCGCAAACTCTTCCAAACTACCTCGCCCTCTTCGCAACCATTCGTCATCTCGGGATCGGGAACGCTTGGGTGGGATCTAGTAGCGGCAAATCTGGTCGAAGCTGGCGAAGACGTCTTAGTTCTAAGCTCCGGTTATTTTAGCGACGGTTTCGCCGACTGCCTCAAGGTCTACGGTGCCAATGTCGATCTCCTTAAGGCCCCCGTTGGTAGCCGGCCGCAGTTACCCGAAATCGAGAAGGCATTGAAGAGCAAGAAGTACAAGGCAGTCACAGTTACACACGTAGACACGTCTACGGGTGTGCTCAGCGAGCTCCAGAAACTTTCCGAGACAGTTCAAAGTGCTTCGCCTGACACGTTGCTGATTGTGGACGGTGTTTGCAGTGTAGCTAGCGAGGAGATCGATTTCGATGCGTGGAAACTTGACGGTGTAATAACAGCCAGCCAAAAAGCTATCGGTTGCCCTGCTGGCTTGTCAATATCGATGTTCAGCGGCAAGGCAATGGACGCCTTCAAGGCGAGGAAGAGTCCGCCATCATCCTACTTCGCCTCCATGAAGAACTGGACACCTAGTATGCAACATCCCCTGAGGTCCACGGTACGTCGATAATGATCACTGACCATTAACCTATTGCATAGTCATGCAGAATTACGAAGCGAAGAAGCCCTCATACTTTGCGACTCCGTCTCCACAACTTATCCATGCCCTCCACACAGCGCTAAGTCAGATTCTTACCAAGCCCCTCTCCGAGAGATTTGCTAGGCACAGGGAGGTGTCAGACAAGATCAAGAAAGCCGTGGCAGACCTGGGGTTGAAACAAGTTGCTGCCAACCCAGACGATCAGGCCCATGGAATGACGGCCATATACCTGCCCGAAACTGTCAAGGCCACTGATATACTCCCAAAGCTTGCGAAGAGCGGCGTCATCTTTGCTGGCGGCATCCACAAGGAAATCGCGCCTAAATACATTCGCTTCGGACACATGGGTATCAGTGTGGTATGTCAAAGATGTTTCTACCTAGTCGTGGTTGGAAATGATAGAAGCTAATAGTAACAGACTGACCCTGCGAGAGGTGATGTTGACAAGGCAATAAACGCGCTGACGAGTGGGTTGTCTGACTGCGGATATCAGAAAGCATAAGCCTGGAATATACTCAAGGTAGTTAAGGCATGCTTGAGACGCTCAAGACGGCCACTCAAAGGCAGTAGTTATTTCTCACAACCCGTTTCTAGAAAAAAATATTGCTCAGCTGGAGAAATAATATCGTATCGTCTGTCAGATTTAGGGCAAATGACAACGAAAAAGGCTCACAGTGTAACCATTCTATCAGAAAGGCATAGACTAGAGGATTTAAAGAGCGGAAAATGGAAAATTCTATCATTCTGGGAAACCTATTGGGCAGAGATCTACTCCATTCGATGAGATAACGCGAGATTTCTTTGGCCACGTCATTTGACCGCCTTGTTCTCTTTGCTTCCCGTCTAATCACAGAGGAAGAGCTAGAACTTATCATATATCATCGGGAACCTACTTAGGTAAGTTCCCGCAACTCCAGCGGCCCAACTATTATCGACATTCCTTGTGTAGGATTTTAGTTTTTCTCCCATGCCCAACGACTCGAAGTGGCGAAAGACGGGCGATGTTGCGTGACCTGATGCCTTCTGCGACTTCCGAGTAATCTTTCTCTCTCTGGAAATGACGGGACACCGGTCATGAATGTAGCAAGTTGGAAAGAAAGGTCTAGCAAAAAAAGAAATCCTGAGAGATTGGGAGGAGTATTTATGTAATACTTCGGTACCATTAAATCGGGACGATGGGTTCTATGTAATGCGCAGTACATATGTGCATAAGGCATAAAATACTATGTACATCTTGAAAGACCCAAAAATAAATTGATGGCCAACCAAGAAAGAGCGCTGGGTACCTAACTACTAGTGAAAAGCAGCTTCCAGTTGGCAGTTGTACAGGGCTGATAGGAACCCGTGGCAACCTTAAACCACACGTGAAGTACAGTATGTAATGTACGTCGTTAGTAGGTGTCGACGCTATTACTAACACCGGGAAGGTACACAACGTCAACTTTAAATTATTCATTTTCAAATCCGAATCAGCGGTGAGCTTTGATAAGGAAAAAAAAACATCTACCCGCAACCCCTCCAAATCGCCAAATCGGATAATTTTCGTGGAGTTGCAGGCACACAGTTTTTCATATCGATTGTTTCCCTTTGACCTTACTTTGTCGACTTCGCTACAATCTCAGCAAGACAAGTCCCTTGTCAGTCTTATCTTTGCATCGAAGTCGTAGTTCAGCTCTTACCTTTATCCTTGTTTTCACAACGAGGCGGGCACTTTGGCAGACCTCGGCGTTTCAATACCCTAAAGCTCTGACGTGAAAATCGGAGGGGTCAATCTTCGTTCGTAAGTAAAAGTGGTGACCTCGGAGCCTTGCGTGAGAGACCAATGACATAATTGCCAGGGTGGGATCTTAGGCTCTTGATTGGTTGCCGCCAAGGTTATTTAACGCTGCTAACGACGAGTTTCAGCCGCTACCGCGCTACAGCAGACAATTGGTAGGCTAACGGTAGGCCAGCCTCTAAGCATAAACCGTACCTAGTACCGTGCTCGGTAAGTGCGAAGGTGGATACCTGGTAGGTACAAACATTAGGTATCGGTCTGTGCTACAGGCACTCATGTACGTACCTATGATAGCTTTTGACCCAGCTCCAAAAAGCCCCCCCAAACCCCACTACCAACTGTTCGAAGTAGCCGCTATCATCTCACAGACTGCCTCTTTGAATTCTGGTGATACCTTTTTTTTCACAACTCAACCGTGCAATCCATTCCACTACTAACATCAACCACTGTACCCGTCAAACCTTCCACTAAACATCTTGACTACCAGATTTTTCCTCCATAACCTGCGCATAGTCGGAGTAAAGAAGACACGCAACTATCAACTACATTTCTCCTCATACACAATTAGAGCGAGCCTTTCTTCGGACTTCTAGGCGCGCAGCCTACCTCATTCTCCCCCCGCCACCCCATTCGAGATGGCGCCCACAATCTCGGAATTGGACCTCATGGTCCAGTCCTTCTACGAAGGTCGCGGCGAACAGGTAAGCGTATCATCATCCGTATTCACCCATTTCGCAGTGGCACATACCTGCGAGTATGCGAGTAACTAAGCTACTAACACTTGAGTCTTCCCCGCCTTCAGCAAAAAGCCGCCCAAACCGCGTTGAACCAGGTAAGTTAATGCGCCATGCCATCCTTTTTTTACACCTACAGCAAGACTAACGTATATGGCGCATAGTTCAAGGAAGATCCCGACGCATGGCTACTCGTCGACAAGATTCTTGCCGAGTCAAGGCACCCGCAGACAAAATGTACGCCGCGCCCATCCCACAACATTAGTAGATATATGGCGGAGGGCTAACGGGTTGCAGATCTCGGGCTTCAAATATTGGATAGTGTCATTATGACGAGATGGAAGGTTTTGCCCAGAGAGCAGTGTCTAGGTTCGCCATCTAGCCTCACGGCCAATATCACCGTGGGCCAACATAACTAACCGGAGCGCAGGCATTCGCAACTTTGTTGTCAACTTCATCATCCAGGCGTCCAGCACGGAAGAATCACTCCGAGCCCAACGAACTCTCCTGAACAAGTTGAATCTGGTCCTAGTCTCGATTCTGAAGCAGGAGTGGCCTCATAACTGGCCTACGTTCATTAACGAAATCATCTTAGCCTGCCGCTCGAATCTGTCTATCTGCGAGAACAACATGATCATCCTCCGTCTACTTTCCGAGGAAGTCTTCGACTACTCGGCCGAACAGATGACCTCAGCAAAGACTCGAAGTCTCAAAACCACCATGTGCAACGAATTCTCCCAGATCTTTCAGCTATGTCAGGAGATTCTTACTTCGGCAACCCAAACGAGTCTAGTTAAGGCTACTCTAGAGACGTTACTTCGCTTTTGTAACTGGATCCCCTTAGGGTATATCTTCGAGACACCGCTCATCGAGACTTTGCGCACACGGTTTCTCGAGGTTCCCGAATTCCGTAACGTTACCTTACAAGTGTTCACTGAGATCGGCGGGCTTGTGACTGGGGGACCGGGACAGGGAAATGCCTACAGCGAACAGTTAGTGAAGATGTTCGTTGACGTGCTTACGACCATTGCCGGTATCATCCCCTTGGATCTTGACCTCAAAAGCACTTATCCGCAGAGCAATTCCAAGGACCAGGAATTTCTCCAGGAGTTGGCATTATTTTTGTGCAACTTTTTCGGCCAGCATGTTGACGTAAGTTCACTCCGGGGATGGCTGCGATAAATATGTGCTTACTTTGTGTTTAGCTAGTTGAGAATTTACCTAACCGAGACTTCCTCACACACGGTCACTTCTATCTCATCCGAATCTCTCAAATTGAGGACCGCGAAATCTTCAAGATTTGTCTAGATTATTGGCTCAAGTTGGTCCAAGAACTATACGAGGAGATGCAAACTGCGCCCTTGCCAGAGATGAATCCCCTTATGATGGGCGCTGGCTCGACCAATGGAGCGGTTAACCCAAGCCTGCTGCAAAATTTCCCCCTCCGCATGCACAAGTACAAGGAGGTTTTATCAAACCTTCGCGTTGTTATGATCGAGAAGATGGTACGACCCGAAGAGGTTCTCATTGTTGAAAACGACGAAGGTGAAATTGTGCGCGAGTTTGTCAAAGAGAGCGACACGGTGCAATTATACAAGACTATAAGAGAGTGCTTAGTATACTTGACGCATCTTGACGTGATTGACACCGAGACGATCATGACCGAAAAGCTACAGAAGCAAGTCGATGGCACCGAATGGTCATGGCATAACTGCAACGTTTTATGTTGGGCCATCGGCTCGATATCACTCGCGATGAACGAGGAGACGGAGAAACGATTCCTCGTTACTGTGATCAAGGATCTTCTGGGGCTTACGGAAATGAAACGTGGCAAAGACAACAAGGCTGTTGTGGCCAGCAATATCATGTATATTGTTGGGCAATATCCTCGTTTCTTGAAGGCGCATTGGAAATTCCTTAAGACGGTTGTCAATAAGCTCTTCGAATTCATGCACGAGTCACATGAAGGTGAGTTAGTTCGTTTAGAGATAGCGGACAAGAGCTAACCCTATCACAGGAGTGCAGGATATGGCGTGTGATACGTTCATCAAGATCGCAAGACAATGTCGACGACACTTCGTGGCTCTGCAGCCTAGTGAGAGTGAGCCCTTTATTGAAGAGATCATTCGTAATCTGCAGCGCATTACATGCGATCTCACGCCTCAGCAAGTCCATACGTTCTACGAAGCTTGTGGTTATATGGTTGCTGCGCAGGGTAACAAACACCAGCAAGAGAGACTACTTGCCGAACTCATGAACGCACCCAATGCAGCCTGGGACGAAATCATCAGAGCAGCTACTCAAGATCCCCAAATTCTGCAGGATGCTGATACGATCAAGATTATCGGAAACATTATGAAGACTAACGTATCGGCTTGCTCTTCTATCGGACCTTACTTCGGCCCGCAGATTGGCAGGATATATCTGGACATGCTGCAAATGTACCGTGCTACCAGCCAACTGATTTCCGAGGCTGTTGCCTCCGATGGTAACTATACAATGCTCACATTTTTAAAGTCACGGGCTAATATGCTGACACAGGCGAACTTGCTCCTCGTATGCCCAAGGTTCGGGGTTTGAGAACCATCAAGAAGGAGATCTTGAAGTTAATTGAGGGCTACGTCGACAAGGCAGAAGATCTACAAGCGATCCGTCAACAAATGGTACCGCAGCTCCTTGACTCGGTCTTAGTAGACTACAACCGCAACGTTCCGGGCGCCCGCGACGCTGAGGTTTTGAAAGCAATGTCTACCATCATCACAAGACTTACAGTAAGTAGACTTGTAGGAGTCACAGTCTTGCGATTTTGCTAATGGTGTATAGGGTCTTATGGAAGATCAAGTGCCGATTATTATGCAGAATATCTTCGAATGCACTCTTGAGATGATCAACAAGGACTTCTCCGAATTCCCTGAACATCGAGTGGAATTCTTTAACCTCCTTCGAGCCATCAATCTGCATTGCTTCCCTGCGCTGCTTAAACTTGACAACCGTCAGTTCAAGTTCGTCATTGACGCTTGCATGTGGGCTAGCAAGCACGACAACCGTGACGTTGAGAGTGCTGGTCTCAATATGTGTCTCGAGCTCGTTATCAACATTGCCGAGAAGACTGATGTGCAGACCTCTAATGCATTCTTCCAGCAGTTCTTCATCGGTATCTTGCAGGACGTGTTCTTTGTCCTAACAGACCCGGATCACAAGGCTGGCTTCAAGACGCAATCCTTGTTGCTAATGCGGATGTTCTACTTTGTACTCCCCGCAGACGGCAGCACGCCAAAGATTCAAGGCCCAGTCTACACAGACCAGGCTCCAGCTGGCACAAGTAACAAGGATTTCCTTGCCGAGTTTGTCGGTGGTCTTTTGCGCAACGCATTCCCTAATCTTCAGATGTGAGTATTACTGCAGTTGATAGATTGATGATCGAAAGGCTAACGAGTCTCCTAGTCACCAAATCGGTGCATTTATCGATTGTCTTTTCACGATGAACACTTCGTATGAGAAATTCCGACTCCAAGTTCGAGATTTCTTGATCTCCCTCAAGGAGTTTGCCGGCGACAATGCTGATCTCTACATCGTTGAGAAAGAGCAAGAAGCAGCAGACAAGCTCACTGCCGAGCACGAACGACGAGCAAAGGTCGGAGGCTTGTTAAAGCCTTCCGAGATCGAAGACGACGAATTGTGACTACGAGAGGAATTTAGAAATGAATTCGCCCCTCGGCACTCTTCGAGCACATTTGACTTGCCCGGACAGACGGAGGGTGACCATCTTGATGGATGGGACATTTATGGTCTCTGATACCCTCCCAGTGGCACTCGGATGAGATTACTGAGGGATTGACTTTATACTTTCTGTCACGTCTTTAAGTGGCTTTTCTATTATACTTTTGTACGTGATACCAAAATAGAACTGCCATGGCTGACTACTACCACTATTTATCAACGGCCAGCTGGTATGCGGCCTAAGGAAATTGCGTAGCTAGTCGTGTTTTCTCTTGACCCAGAGTCTAAACCTGCCGAAGACCTAATAGTCTGGTAAGAGAGAATGTGCCATCGGCTTGACGGAGACGAACTTAAAAAAAGGGGCGATGGCATGGAGGGACGAATGAATGCATATATGCGGCTTTATGAAGGTGGTGACATTGGCAATCGTTAGGGGAACGGGAGGTCTAGCAAGTACGCCTGAACGCGGCAAAGAAAAAAAATGTTAGGGGCTGGGCAGTTTTCTGTTCCATATCCCGAACACGATCTCTTTTTTCTCGTTTCTAGCTAGGTAGTCAATGGCGAACTGATAGGATTAGCCTTGGGAATCGCTTGTTCGGAATAATGGAGTTCTTTTTGCTTTAATGGATGTGATGACTTGCTAATACGTGAGGTTTCAAAACGACACTTCGCATGATATTTCGATTTTGTTCGGTTCGTTCGTGATCCTACCGAGCCATTGGGCAAAGTACGTTAAACGAGGGGGATGGTAGATCGTCTCCTGAGATCTAAGTTTTCTCAGATGAGCAAGTCTTGCTTCACCTTAGAGTAATGGAGGATACCTGAAGAACGACGTAGTTATCTGTTCTGTTTCGCTGTTCCTGGTAAGTGAATATGGATATGTCTGAAGCCTATTGCGTACAGAAATTCTTAATCTACCTACATATATACCATCAGATGGAATATCCTTCGAAGGGCCAAAACCCAGGAAAGAAATAGGATAGAATTGAAGTAAAACACATCCAAACAAGAATTCAACAAGAGATCAGCAAATTGTAAATCTCTATAGATGATTCTCTGGTTTATCTATTATAACGTATTAGCCTCTCAAGCACACCAAAGGCTATTTGAGTAATTACCATAGATTGTCGTCGATCTAATCACAACATACACACCTAGTTGCGGGAAAGATAATATCATTATTTATTCTCTCGTCAATCTTGAAGAAAATGTCTGGTATAGTTATAAGTACATAGTTCGTAAGATACGGGAGTATCTTATTTATATGATATACATAGTCATACACTTGTATCCTCTTCTAAACTCTCTGTTACCCAATTCCCAACCTCTTTCCAGATCAAGTTTGCCATCGGCACCGCACCGGCGGAAGGACCCATCCGACTTCGTCCCTTATCTACATCCGTCCGTCGAAGGCCCGGCCGATTCCGAATGGGGGATGGAAAAGGCGGGGCTCGAAAGAGAATGTGTTTAGAACTACGTACTTTGTAGGTATAACAATATAACTTGTTCCACAGCCATAGAAGAATGCAAGTTTTTATTCTACCTCACTAGACCTTCAGAGGCTAGATCTTATTACTTATAAAATAGAAATGATTATCACATAGCTCATGGATGTTCAAGTAAACCGTGTCGGACGTCCCGTCGTAGGTGATAGGTAATTATATAGATTTCTATTTGATGCCTCTCCTGCGGGGGAACTCCATCATGTTGCCTTCGACTCCACCTCGGAGCGGGACCTTATCACACAGTTGGTGCGCCCTCCAAATACAAATGCTATCTCTTGCCTTATTACACAGCAAGCTTTGTTAGACAACGCGTTTTTTTCAAGTTGTCTATGCCGGTCCGTAATCATAGCCAAGTACTCGAGAAATACCGAACTATTGTAGATTGTTGTCTGTTTGCTATCACGGGAAATCATGGCTCCCTCAGCGATCACCGAAGAACCCGTTTTGGGCGTCTCGCCGCTTAAAGGCCAAGACAAGCCGTCCGTCGTGGAAGGCAAGGAGAAGACCCCCTTAGAGGCTATTTCTCACGGCATACTCATGCCGGGGATACCCACCTTCCCGGACTACACCTCCCACCGGAGGCACATCCTAGTACATATGGCCGCTACCTTCCGCTTCTTCGCACGAAGTGGCTTCACCGAGGGGCAATCGGGGTAAGTCAATAATACTTTGCCGTACTCACCAGTAAATGTCAAAGCAGCCGTTTTAAGTCCACAGCAAAATCCGTGCCCTGCCAAGCCCTACGTCAGTCTCCTCAGGAGAGTTCGGTACGCTAACCTCACACCGCATAGACACATCTCGGTGCGGGACCCGGAGTTCAACGGGCTCATGTGGATGAACCCGCTAGGCCGGCACTTCGGCATGCTGACGGCCGGCGACATGATCTGCCTCGACATCGCCACCGGCAAGATCGTCGGGGGCAACACGTCGCGGCCCGCCAACGCCGCGGGCTACCTGATCCACTCCGCCGTGCACAAGCGCCGACCGAACGATATCCATGCCATGTAAGAGTCCCTCTCTAACCTCCCCCCCCTTCATCCCTCTCAATCACTCTCTTTATCAGAGAACGCGTAACCCCTCTAGCCGTATACGGCATACGTCGCATGTTGTTGCGTCCCTGGGTAAGTAGACGCGCATGACGAAGGAATCAACCTCTCTTCGGTAAACCAAAAACGTGCCGACCGAGTCTCGCATGAGGGGGGATTCGCACATCACTGCAACTGTAAAAAAAGAGAGGGAACAAAAAAGACCAACGCAGGAAGAAAAGACAATTCCAAAACATAGCTAATAGAACTTTTGCGTCCGAAAGATGCCACGCCCACTCCAACGCAGGTCGAGCCTGGAGCGTATTTGCCCGACCCCTGGAGATGCTGAACCAAGGTACGTAGACATGAGAGGGACACCCCGAAGCCCCACCGATCCAATCCAATCCTTTCCAACACGAAACCAAATTTTAAATCAACCTTTTTTCGCTGTCCCTGTTTCGAACCTTTGTTTTCTGCATCGTACCTGCGCCGGGGCGGAAGAACTTGCATGATACCGTAAATGGTATGGATGTGATAGTGCCCCTTCGGAGCTGCTCCGGAGGAGTCGCCCCCTGGTCTCTCTCTCTCCCCCCCCATCCCCACCCGTCTTGCCTTCCCGCTTTGCTCTATCCTGGACAAAGAAAGAAGATGGACGACGTTGCGCCGTCCGAATTGGGACGGACTTGCATGCATATCATTTTTTTCTTCTTCAGACATACCTTAGTATGTGGTTAATACTCGGTACACGCTAACGAACCCCATACTAGACGTCTGCAACTTCCACAACGCGCACGCAGTCTACGCGCGCTACGGGGGTATCGTGTTTGCCTCGGAGGAAGGCGAGTATATCGCCGAAGCCCTCGGAACCCGTAACAAAGGCGTGATCCTGATGAATCACGGCCTCCTAACCGTGGGCCACACGGTCGACGAGGCGGGCTTCATGTTCGGCCTGCTCGACCGCGCCTGCGCAATGCAACTGCAAGTCGAGGCCGCCGCCGCCAACGGTATCCCAAAAAACATCATCAGCGACGAGGAGGCGGCCTTCAACTTCAAGATGGCCAGCGAGTCTAACATCCTGTACCGCGAGGCCCAGCCCGATCTTGAGTACGAGATCGAGGCCGCTGGCGGGGAGGATGCGGTCGCCAGGGGGTTCGACGCGTTACAGCGGGTGGCGTCGTAGATACCTGGTTAATGGCAGATGACATATGGCATATGGGAGTGAGCACGGGACAGAGATCTCAGATCGGAAAAAGGCAAGGCAGAATAAAGCTTAGCAGGGGAAATGAAAGAATTATGGCATGATTTGTATATAACTGAAGCACTGCTGTCGGCATTATCTCAACTTGATCACCCTCCCTATCTACGCACGGCGCGTTCTGATAGGCGCGGTAGGCATTCGCTAATCAACGAGCAAGGGAAGGGGGAAATTGGAATAGATTGCAGATTGAAAGATTGTGTCAGTGCTCGGCTAAGACATACCTACTGTTTCCTTGATTCGAGCAAGACGATGATACCGAATCCTGGCGTTTACCAAGCGCTACCCTAAACTCTGTGCTCATGTGCATAATCTACCCCGAGTTTAGGTATGGGGTTCGCGGTGAGCGAAAGCAACGTTCGCGAGACTATTGACATTAGTTGCGGGGTGGAGGTAGTATTTTGAAGATTGAAGTGGACGATGGATGGCAGGTGATGATGCAAGCTTGACGACGGAACAGACCGAAGAAGAAAACAATGTGTTCTCCTTGATTTTCTGCACTTTTTCTTTGCGTTGCCGAAAGGTGTTCGTTCGGGCTACAAATAGCATAGCGTTGTAACGGGGAGATGACGGGATGATCCCGCAGATGGAACGGCCCGCATTTTACGTACCTAAGAAACCTGGGGAGGTAGGTTTGAAGCAAGGGTGTTCTGGTGATGCAAGCATCGGATCGCCCGATGATGATCGAAAGATTAAGTCACGAATCGTCCAAGACGTGACCAGCAATCCTACCTAAAATAAAAACCTCCTTCCTCTCTCGCCGAAATATGATGAATATACCCGGTTGCAGATCAAGATCACTTGGGGGCCATTATTCTGACGCCGATGTTTCACAACGAAAATCGACAGGGACTCACCGAAGAAAAAAAAAAAAAAAAGTAGAAAATTTTTTAGAATAAGGGGTCGTCTAGATGTTCCCCCAGCGCGACGCATAGTTTCGCACATCGCCAATGCGACTTCATTAGATAGACGTTGCTTCGTGGGAGACGGAACGCAATCTCTTCGTTCTCGACCGCACCCCCAATCTGCAATCCTTCTATGCTGCGCTGCGAGCCCGGAATGGCGGCCAAAGATGAGCCCATGCAATGGACCTTCGGGCGAGATCCGCGATCAGATCAATACGACCATCAACCTCAAACGTACCCGGTCAGAGCCGTTATGAAGCGACGCGATAACAAAGCAACTCAGGCGCTAAACCTCAGTCGTAAAATTTTTTTGCGATCTCGTGTTGAGGCTCGGCTCGTGCGGTCGCTTCCCCCTTTTAGAAGATAAGCACACTATCTGCGAGTAAATCTGAATTGCGTGCAGGATTTTCTCGCGCGATCAGGGGTATTATCGTCCTTGGCAGATCGACAACCTTTTCCCGCCAACATACGGTTCAATCGCCCAAAGCGCCGGTCTTCGGCCATCAACCATAGTTGACCGGTCGACTCCCTTAGATGGCTTAGATAGCTTTTGGGGGCGATGGTTGTACGGCAGTGAGTGATAGACAACCTCGGGCGATCCTGCAGCAAAACGCTCGGTTCGACGCAGCATAAGCGAGACTTGGATATCATCTAATGACACATTCGAATGCACGAAATGCATAAGTAGCTGTTGGCCTGGCTATAATAGTTATGTATGCCGAGCGGGAAGGTGTGGTGGCTTGCAGCCAACTTGTCCTGTTCCCTGATCAGCGCAGGCTAAGGCTGGGGTAGAGGGTGCGGCTCTAGATGGAAACCCTAACGAGTACGTATCATGCAAATGTTGATTATGACCCCTGAATACAGGTGTAGATCTAAAGATGACTAGAATTCGTAGTGTCGCGATAAAGTAAGCGCGTAAAAGTCTATACAGGATCGGTACTCGGTATTTTCAAAGCGACAAAGTGTGGAATGTGACAACTCCATTGAATTCTAAAATACCGGTACACCGAGAGAGGATTCGTAAGTGCGCCGAGTAGTCTTGCTGTAATTGACAACATTCAAGCCCACTTCGTCGCAAAATTCATGCACGGTGCAAAGCCACCGAGGTAATGGTGAATCGTGACAGAGACAGGTAGTGGATAGGACCTACGATATGAATTAATTCGAAGCGAATTCAAGCTCAACTAGAGCTCTCACTGGATCAATATCCGGTTTCCAAATGCCAGGGTAGAATCAAGGTCACTAGACATCTCCACATGTGTAAAAACAGGCATCGGATGCCCCTGTAACGACGTCAACCAGACGCTATTCCGTCGAAACGAGGCAGGAAACATTCCTTAACAACTTAAGCAGATGAGTCACCTGCTGTAGAACTGTAATTTCCGTTTCTCGCCGTGACGAATTCGAGCAATCCAAGCAGCGACAAATTTGTTTGGGGTTGCGTCAGTGACACTATCCACATTCCCAGAGAGAAACAAGCCAAAGGGTGGAAACGTAGTCGTGGAATGGGGATAAGGCGGGCGGATGGGTTTCTGGAAATTTCCCATTTGCGTGAAATTCGACTTCAAGACTCATCAATAGGCACGGATGAGTCATCCGATGTGGATCCGGGCGGGTCTTGAAAGAAGGCTCTCATTCTTTTCTCTCCCAGCAGACCGGTGTGAAATCTCGTGGTTCTCGATAACATCTAGAGACCATGCTGTGAGTATCAAGCCGGCTTCTATCACCGGCACACAGGCACGACGGCACACAGACGTGACCCAGGCGGAAAATTAATCACGATTTGAGACTGTTTGCGTGGAACGGGTGGGAACCCATCCGATTGCATGTCCTCTCATCTCCCCTTACCTAAGAGCCTCTCAGAACGACACGGTATGTAGTACTCTCACACGGCAACGGCTGTTACTAGAAGCGGCCCCTGGTGCCTGGATCATTACTAGGTGACGACTCATCGGCCGAGTCGGATGTTGTGGGAGCTTAAGTAAGACATTCGCTGATGCCATCGGGAGCTTCCGCCATTGGCACAGTTCAGGAACGCACGCAGCTAGATCGTGGAGCACCCAATCTGGCTGTTCTAACGTTGTTCCGACGCAGGCAATGAAACAAATATCCACGCTAGAAGGATCCGTGGAAGGAGTGGAAGGGAGGTAGACGAATGAGAAAGGCTGACAAGAAACTAGCCATGGCTTATTTCAATGACTGCTGGGGCGAACCCGCATTGCTTCGAAGGAAGGCCAGTTAGAAAAAAGCCTCTGAAACGTGGCATAGCAGCGGCCCTAAGAAACGTGCCTTGATAATGATATGTAGCAGTGATGGGTCCAGGTTCTAATGTGGTCTGAAAGTGGATAACGGACCCGACTGGTTCAGTGGTTCAGCCTTTTCAGCCAACGAGGCCCATAAGATGACGGATGGAGTAAGATGGATCCAGACAAGCCTGACCGGTGTCGGTGAGTTTCTGGAAGTCCGGATATCTTCCCTAGGTTGACACGTCGTCGACGCAGATTCGCTCGAAGGAAGCATTGACGACTTCCTGCTATCTTAGAGACGTGGTCTCGGTAGCTCGCGATGAACGAGTGGTCTGCACTCATGGCCATAGTGTCATGGTGGGAACTCTCCGGCAACCCTTTAACCCTTTAACCCTAGCACAAACCCCATGGATATGCACATCTGAGGTCGGACCGGGGGCCACCGGGGCGCGGAAGACAATCCGGGACGGGAGGGAAGAGACATAAGATCTCGCGGGCACTCACACACACATCTCAAACCGGTAATTGAGCGAGTGCCGAGATGCCTTGTTGCCTTGTTGGAGTTCCCTTAGAGTGTGATTGAGTCCTAATTGAAAGAACTTGGATTGACCCGGGGAAGACATTATGCAACATTAGAACCGTTGTCCTTGTTCCCGAATCTCGATGCCGTGGCATTGAAAAAGCCCAGATCCATAATTTTAATAGAAGCACCATTGTCTTGGATTGCACGTCAAAGAAGAATTGGATGGAATGCTTTTTTAGGGTGCCTTTGGGTATTCTGGTACTGTAACACCATTCGCGCTAACGGCACTTGGGGAGTGACGTGCCAGCATACCAGGGGTATGGTTGGTAGATTTCGAGAAAATATTCCGAAAGCTATGGGTAGCCCTTGCTATTTTCATTTAATGTCATTAACCGAGGGAGCCTTACGGCCTATGTACATAGTATCATAATAAGATTTGAATGCTTGAAGCGAGAATTATCGAGGTAATAGCTCATGGCAATGGTGAAACTTTCGAGGTTCGCACTTTCTGCTTGGAACAACTCACACAACTCACGCGGGCTGCACGGTACCTTCTGGAATGATAGGCGGAATATAGTGCCGTATCTAAGTGATAGATATGGAGAGGTACCACGTCTGTCGAATTAGGTAGGTAGGTACACGTAGACGGATAGTGGAGCATCGATTCATTAATTTAGATGTACATCCTAGCCTTAGCTAGGCCAGAAGTGAAAAATTCACGATGTTCATGCGATAAGGCCATAAGGCATCGCGTCTAGAACTTACTACACTTACAATACGTGGGGACTATCATTGCTTTTTCGCCTCGTTTCTCTCCCACCCGAGTTGTTTATGTATATTATCTTTTCCTTTGGGTCGATATGGATGAATCTTGTGGGGGTCACCCTTCTCATCTCGGCATATGCTCCGCTCACGAACCTGGTAACGAGGCGGGTTAATAAAAGAATCGAAAGAGCTGGAAAAGGCTAAGGGACCCTCAATGTTTGGTTGTAGGCCTCAATTGAGTAACACGTACTCAGAACTGTGTAGGGCTTTTGCTATGCCTGTAAGCCGAGGTGAAACATGCTCTTTGGAGTGAACTTACGATGCATAAAAAACGCATCAAATGGAATATGTAATTGTTAGAGCCCAAGCGTCGTGTCCGTATCGTATCGTGTCGAACGAGTGGGAACGCTCATACGAAAGGCTTTAGCTCTTAACACCGACGTCATGTTCCATATCTGGTTCATCCTCACGAGGCGCTATTCCAACGGACGCCCTTCAATCCCCGCCTTAGCCGCAAAACACACTGCGTATTAATAGCTATGACTGGATGTTTATTGCTCTTAATATGGGATTGATTACATCGTACAAGCTTACCGGACTAAGTAAGCATAATGGGCCTATGTTGTGTGTCAGGGACTTTCATCTCTTTGGCTAGCAAGCTATTTCTGATCGAGGCTGAAGTGCAAGAAAAAATTTTCATCTCTCTCGAGGCCTGAAACATGGCATCATATTTTCGTACCAAAACAAGCGAGACCGAATTAGGGACACGCCCTCGAGTTGCCCGGCGCATTAAGAGACAACTTGCAAGACAACCCGATTCTGCATACTGTCCAAGGCAAGGCAGGCAGCTAGGCTTTTTTCTTCTTTCTCCTCTTCTTCTCTCGCCTGTAGATAGTTGCCTCGATCTGGGAACGTCTGTGGCATTTCCAATCTTTCGATATTTCTGTCACTGTCCTACCGGAAAATTCCCAACAAATTTTTACAGTCTTCAGCCTGCTTGTGAGAAATTTGCATTGAAACTGTTCAACTTCGCTTAAGGATGTGTAGGGAGAACAAAGCATAACAATAAACATCAATAGAACACCATAGACCAAACATATCCGAGTATGGGTATGCTGGGGGCTGCCGTGTTTCTTGGACATCTTACGAGACACGGGAAAACTCTTCAAAATTTCTGCCGTTCACAGTATACAATCAATAGTCAGCAGTTCGCCTGTCGTCTGCGCTGTCTGGATGTCTATGGTAATATGCGTACAGTGAACCGGTACTATGTTCACTACATGTATACGTCTCGGCTGAAGTTATTTGTAATATGTAAAAACAGGTTTATGACGGTTTAGTGAATAAGGCTATCGTCGATAGACCAAGGATGATATCTAAATTTATCCCAATCCATTTTTATGTAATTAGGTAGGTAGGCAGGTAGGCAGGTAGGTGGTATTAGTGGATACATGTATTTGGTTAGGTATGCAGCTGCACGGTCTGCACGGCCTGCACAGCCAGTGCTCTTCCCCCCCCCCAGGAACCCCTTGCATAAACACACGTTCGTACCTGAGCTGGCTCGACTTCGTCTAAAGCATAACTTTGATAGGACTTCAGCGCCTTCATAGCGGGTCACCAGTATACATACCTACTGAGTAGATCATACATACCTAGGTCCATGGATGTGCTACCACGGCATTAGCAGTTCGGACCATTGAAAGTTAGCATGAACTTCGATAACTTGTAAAACGCCTATTAGAGGGACCCCTACCTAGTTCTAGGGCTCCAGGAAGTTATATGGCAGGATTGGGTTGACGCCAACCGGCAGATGCTCATTGGACCGATTGTCCGTCTGGCGTCTCGCGCGGGAAAATTGGTTTCGTTGACGCAACTCGGAATGGTGCAATTGGCCCTAATCTTGAGCCACTGGACTGGCATATCCATCCGCCAACGAGCCTCTTGCTTCTCGCTTCTGCTATGCTACTACAGCGTATTACTCAGGCAGCTCACGTCCATCGGCAGCTACGAGATTCTTTTCGACTCGTTAGCACAGCAGCCTTAGTGAGACTGGGCGCTGTGCGTGCATTTGACAATATCTACGTGGATGGAGAACTCGCTCTAGACTGTCTGGACCAGACGGCTCTCACCTCATGTCCGAGACCCCGGCGCCGTGCCGGAATTCTCTCTTGGTTGGTAATTTTCCGTACGACATGAGGCCTACCGCAAAGAGGTAAAATACGTTCCTCACAGTGTTGCTACGCATGCCCAGGTGCCCAGATATGCATGTAGCGAATGGTGCTGCAGGCGAATCCGTTTTTGGCCTCTCATAGAGTAGGTACTATAGTACTTCATACCATGGCCTCATTCTCAGCAGATCCATCTCTCGGCTGTGGTCGACAAGTAATTATCTAGTAATGTCCCTTATGTCCCCTAAAGTTCCTGATGTTTCCAATAGTCCTTGGGAAATTATCGCACCATTTCCCTCTAGGCAATACTCCCTTCCAAAGGGACACCGCATAGTGATATAGTAGGATAGATAGGACGTACATACTCTAGACTTCTCGGCCGCAGCGAAGCGAGAAGTGCAAAAATTCCTAATACAAACACCCCTTTTTCAGAGTTGACGTCCCCACGGGGCTTGGGGGCCAGTGGCGATCGTGGTGTTGTTCTAAAAGGTTTATCCCTGACTGAGAGTTATTGGAGCTAAAATAGTATGTATACTTGCGATTGTAGGTAAAACATAATAACCTTGGAAGTCGTTGAAGTTTTTTTCTTCTTTCTTCTGCTACCTTGGCACGCCGTTGTAGAACTAATTGTAGAACTTGGAATTAAGTGGTTTAGCTTCAGGGCGGTCGATAGCTCGTGGGCGGAAAACAGCATTAAGCGTTCCCACTACCCCAAATGCTAAAGGATGTCAAAGATGAGCTTAGCGATTAGGTGTTGCGCCTTGGGCACGATGAGTCTGACGATCACTTCTGAGCATATCCGGGGCAAAATGATGAAATCGGGCACATTTAGATATTCGCAAGAAAACCCCACCATCTATTCAATTTCTATTCAATTTTGCGACTCTGTATCCACCTTGAGCACTAAAATATGTAGCCTGCTAGAAATAATTGACTTTATAGTGATACCTACCGCTTTCGACTGGGAATTCCCACCAGAAGATGTCACCCAAGTTTCCCTCATTAGGAAGGTTGCTTGCTTAAAGTCTCCAAACACACTAGTAGCAACATCATAAGTCACAAAGTCACAAAGTCACATATTGTTCAGAAACATGAGCATGCACATGGACCATGGGAATAGACATAATTATAGCAAATATGCAATTGAGTAGAGAAACGCTTTTGTGAGGGGCTTGAACTGTTTTTCGATTCTTTATCTGAACGAAGCTCCGATGGTTCCGCATGAAGCAGAACCAGTTCGGAGAGACAAGCATAGGCTAGTCCTAGCTGCCTGAAACGAGTATCAAGTCCCATCAATCCACGGTGTACGCGGATGAGCCTGTGAATCGGGGATTCCCGTCACGGCTGCTTTGTCCTAATTCTAACGCCATCGCCTTGACAAGACGGCTTCCAAAACATTGTTCTAACCGACTGGTCTAGTCGGTTCCTGTGCCAAAACCCCCGGTTCCCGGCATCGACGTGCCATGCAAATAGAAAATCAAGTGATATCTCAATATTGTATCGTGGTACAACAAAGTCCGTGCCTATACCGGTAGCCCCCAATCGTACGCCCGCGGCTAGAAGGAAGTCGAAGACAGAATCCCGAAATGACCCAAACTTTTTATGATGCTGTGCTCCAAAAGATGCTCTTGTACAACAAAGTAACAAATAAAACGGAAATGTGATCCTTCATGCCTAGTCGTTCTGGTAAAATAGAGAGTAAGGAAAATCGAGAAGTGAATGAGTCGTGTAGGTTGCGTAGAACCGAAAGTTATAACATGCTTATTGGGTATAATAAGTGGAGTGTTGAATGTCGAATTGCGAGTTGGAATGTAAAATATATCATTAGTTCGGTTCGTCCACGTTTAGTAGGATCGTCGTCGTGATTGTTGAAGGCGGGTGTGCTCAAAGGAGCTGGCGTAGTCCCTCAATTGCTTCTTTGCCTTGTCTGACAGCTGTGACCCTTCACTTCCCGAGGAAGACGTGCTTCGGAGGGAGCAGAGGCTACTGTGGGAGCTAGATGGGGTGAGGATTCGGGCAGAAGACGACGAGGACGATTCCGAGCGCTGGGACAGGTATGACTGGGGTAGTGGTGTTGAACCGTACGGTTGAGCGTTGCTGAAGTCGTAAGCGGGAGGCAGGAAGAACTTGGCTTGAGGCCTTGGTGCTGTCCAGTTGTAGGAGGACGGGCTGCTAAGTCCCGGGGTAGTGACTGGTGTGCTGGCTGTGGACGACGTCTTCTCGAAATCAGAGAGCCTGCATGACTCAGAGCAGTAGGTAGCGCCGTCTGTTTGCCTGTCGCAGGCAAGGCAGTACTCGGGTTCCCAAGACAGATCTGAAGACATGGTGTGCGATGTTTGGTGTGGACGTTGTTATGTAGTATGTGAGAGGATGCGGTTGCTGCTTAGGCCGTGGTGTCGAAGTCGACTCGGTGGTGGTAGTTGAAGACGAAGGCGGTAAGAGAATCCGGCTGAACTGTTTATGCGTATAGGAGGCTATTTATCATATCCAATTTGGAAAGGTCGAGGTGAAGCCTTAGCAGATCGGAGCTGTATGTGTTGTATATGGTCGACGAGACGAGAGACGACAAGACCTAGACGTCCTGGTTGAAAGTTTTATACTCTTACAAGTAGGCGGTCGACAGATTGTATCATGTTCTACTCTGGTGTTGCAATGAAGCACGCAATAGCGGAGCAGCAAAGGACGACTGGTGAAAAGTGAGAGTTGTTGTCGAAGTTTACGGTAGCTAGCAGTAGTCCTGTTGGAAATAGTTGGAGGAGACGATGTTCATTTGTATGAATCCAGCTTACACAGCCAGCGGGTTGTACCTATGTACACACGACTTCTTGGTTGGGAAGGGTGCATCGATGAAGGTAGTCACATCAGAGAGCGTTTTGATCAGCGAAAGACAAGTTGACCCACATAGCCCACATAGAAAAGACAAGGGCAATTGGCTCGGTGGGGCCATTTTGCAACTCTACGACAGTACGAGGGTACCTACAGGGAGGGTAGGAGAGGGTCTGCTTTCCAGGCTTCCCTTGTCCTTGCAGGTGAATTTCGCATACGGGCTAGGCCGTGTTAGAATTAGCGCCAGAGCTGCTGCCGATCATAACTGGAGGGTTTAGCACCTGGGCAGGACTAGGGCAGGCAGGTACCAAGGTACCGTGCAAGGGCCTCCTCTGACGATTTTTTGACAACTTGGAAAAAATGTCTGCTGCAGGTGTGTAAGGAAAAATTAGAAGGGGGGCGAGAAATAGAATGGTGAGAGAAGAGAAGGGGAGGGGTGAGGGAGGATGGTGGGGAGGGGCGTGTGATCTATACCTTCCCCATTTTATTCTACGAGGCACACCCCTTTTTCCTCTCTCTCAGGCCTCTAATCGTTCATTGCTCCTGGCTATTCTGCGACCCTGATGGTTCTGCAACTGATCATTAGCAGATGTTTATGTATGTACATATCCTACATATCCTACATATCCATCCATGGATATTTGGCGAGTTCCGAGTTGTGGATGAATAATACGGACTTGGGTAAGAAAATAGATCAATTTGATGTATGTATTTCATTCAATTGCTTGGATTCTTGGATCCGTTCGGTATTCGAATCGTGATGCCTACGTATTCTCTCCCTGTTTTCCCTTGCTGCCTCACGAAAAGAGAAAAAAAAAACTTTTTCATAAGGGGTCTTTTGATACGCTGAAAGACTATGATCCCCTCCAGTACCTCGAATCAGAATGGCCTCGAAATCAAAGACTATGCGTAGCTCTCTATGTACGGTGCCACCCACACACGCTGCTGGCATGATTTGCAGATAATATGCAACATAAGAGGCTGTCGCCTCGTCTTCTCATTGGTCCCCTGGCTTAATGATAGTGTTTACTGTAGTCGAGCTATGCAAGCACTTGTTCTATGCTTGTTGCTTCGCTCGGTGAATTGGTTGGGTGAATAGTCTCTTCATCTTATTCTGGTATATTACGGGCTATCAATGCCTGTTTTCTGCGACTTGCATAGCAATGTCGCCTTTAGAACAATTACACAGTAAAACACTAGACCAGGTAGGATATTCCTAATACTTACATACATACGCACGACGTAGGTAGCAACAGGTTAGTAGCAGAAGAGAAGCCGAGAGACGAAGATGGAGATGGAGTGGAACCCGTGGGGGTGAATTTCTCAAGAGTCGACACCTTCAACCACGGTTGCCACATCGTAAGTGTAGAGCGTGCGATCGTCAATTAATTAGTTTACTGCGTAATGTCGAGCCGGAATTAGCTAATGCCCGCAAAGAGAGGGAAAAACTTGCGCTTCCTACATATGTCAATCTGGTTGGGCGATCTAGGCAGAAAGGACAAGATTGGTTCGTAGAGGTAGGCTAGGAACTTGGCAAGTTGCAAGTTGAGAATACGCAAAGGCGCAAGGCAGGACAAGACATGACAAGACAGGACTAGACAAGGCATACGTAAGGGTATGTAGGTCTATAGAATGTGTATATGCGAGTATGGTTGCACGATGATTATCATTTCATCAGGGTGTACGCGTTTGCGCAAGACGGGCTAAAGGACGAAAGGGTCGTCAGGAGTAAAGGATGGCGGATGGTAGATGGCGGATGGGGAGAAAGAAGGAAAATAAAAAAGTGGGTTACGTAGAAATTACGAGCAATAGAACAATGGGTAGATGAGATTGATGAGGAGGCGACGATGAACTGCGTGTATTGTGTTGCTGTTGCACTCGAAACATAAGAGAAAGCGCTCTCCTTCCCAGCCGATTCCGTGTTTTGCGGGGAAACAGCCAATTTTCGCACGATAATCAAACCATAATGACAGTCTTCGTTGCACAGAGCACTTTGTAGTGCGCAAGTAAAAGCCACAGGATACAACTTGGAACTCTCGGCCGACCACTCACCATACAAAATAAACCCTACCTACGTCTACTATACCTGGACATCTTCTACCTACCTATACTTTTACTGTCTTATTCGACGTACCCCCGGAGGAGGTACTGCGCTTTAACTAACGAAATAGGCAGAGAGTTGCGAAACACCCGAAGTACTTCCGGATGGGTGAGCTTTGCTATTAAAACTATGTATATAAGCCTAGATACATAGCCCCTATAATTACATAAACTATTTATTTAAGAGTAGATCAGCCATCATAAGCCCTATAATGCAATCAAGTAACACTTATTTTATCTACTTAAAAAGCATAGGATAATCTTCGGGTATTTTGCAACTCTCTGCCCATTTCGTTAGTTAAAACGCAGTACCTCCTCCGGGGGTACGTCGAATAAGACAGTAAAAGTAATGCCCGCGGTCCATGGATAGTGCATACCTAGGTATATAAAGGGACTGGTAGGGGATTAAGATGGGATCCAGTAGGATAGGATAAGATGGCATGGCATGGTATGGAAGTGGCAGCATACCACCGACGAAGACCACCTGAACTGCCCACGATGTCCATACAATCCACACAATCGTTGCAGGTCTTGCATGCGCTTCTCCGGACGCACTATCCGATCTGGACAATCTCATTGGTTCGAGCATACTTCTACGCTGGAGGATGGCAATTTATGAAAACCGCCTAAGGTGGCATCGAAATTACCACCTCTCTCACTATATTCCAATCATATTCACCCTCTCCCCACGAAACTTCTATCCAGGCTCTAAACGTGTGTGGCTATACCCCCTCTTTTCCTCTATCAGTTCCCTACCAGCATCGTTGTCGTTCGTGGGAAATGCCGCTGGAAGATGATACATACGTTGGAAACACGACTACATACATCTTCGCCTGCATCGATACGGCAGTCTAGCACGCATTGCGCGGAGACGAGAAACCAACGTCAGACAATAAACAACAATGGACATAGATAAAGAAGTCCATTGTTACGTATTTAAGGGCGCCACGGCTTGTGACATCATCGTACTTATTCCAAAACTTGACTGCTACAACGACACTAGCTATACTGAGCGGGAAAATCCCAGGATAAGGTCATTTTCATTTCATGGGTGTTTCCAACCACATCCACTACGGCCGGTACCTTACATCGGCCGACCAATCTACCAGTCATTTTCCGACCCATCCGATGAATCACGGGGAAAGGCTGGGATGGAGGGACCCTTCGTTATCAACATCATCACGGGTTGCCAAAAGGAGATTTTGGTGGTCAATTAGCTTCCCCTTCCTGCCTGCGATCCAATTGGGAAAACAGCTGACATCCCCATACTCCCTAGACTAATAGTATTAGCAGTATGCTGCCAGCATGAGCTGCACGATGCTCACGTCGTCAGCTCATCTGTATCATTCGCCCTAGTCCTCGAGGTTAAATCTATTGGGAATATTGATGCTGAAATGCTACCTACGCGCATTTCGGGGGCACGGTAGATCTACAAGAAAGGGCATAGACTATGGGGAAGATCTGACGCCTCGTGCGAGTCTGATCGTTGACTAAACCGAAATAAAGAAAAAAGGAGGCCATTGACGAAATCTTTTCCGCGTTATTTCCTCTAGCCTGGAGCTGTGTACGTAAGGTCCCTGGTACGCTAATCGAAACCCCAGCTTTTCATCTTTACCACTATCACTATGTCAATCCGAGGCCAAGTGGTGCCATTGAGAGCAAGCCTTTCAGAGACGAGCTTGACTGGCAGCACAGCAGTGGTCTAGGATGGTCGATTCGCAAGTAGCACGCAAAAAGCTCTTAATTGTGTGGCATTCGAAGGCGTGGCGCTAGGCCGAAACCGATTCGACCTGCGTCGAAAGGCGGGGGAATCTCCTGCAGGTTCTCGCAGCACTACAAGCAAGTTGGACCAAATGGTTCCAATCGACAGCCATCGTTCGTTCGTTGGACGTCGGTTTGGGAGTTGGTAGTGTGTGTGGATGAGCCACACCTTTTCACGTCGACTCAAGCTTGCCACCTGATGGCTCGTACCAAACTTGTCTGCTCCAATACAAATTGTCCTCGTGGAAACAAGAGTCTACAACCTTCGGTGCACCAGCAGGAAAGGAGACCGCAGGCACTCATAATCCAACAGGCCAATTCTAGACCTCTCATTTTGTCAGGACCCTGAATCTGCAGTTCTGCTATGTTTGTCGCCTCTTATAAAGCACATCCACTGTCCATTCGGCCGACAAATCTCAAGGCTTTCCAGGGACCGCAAGGTTGTTGAGATATGGTACTAGGTTGACGAATGCTATAACGCTACAACCTCGTCTAGCGCCATTGGCTTTGTCGATCTGCTGTAGCGGGTTACGAAGCCAACGGAGGAAAGGTGCTTAGCATACTAATCCTTTCAATTAAGCAATGCTCGATGATCCTTTCGTGCTACTCCATACATATTCCGCACTTGGACTATTAAGAGACGAATTGGTGTATCGATACCATACCTAGTAAGAGTCGACAACCATAGCTTACGTTACCTATACAAGGTTGATCTAGTCGGATTCGAAGAAATGCTAGGATTAAGTCCCGCGACGAGGCTGCCGCGGTTAAGACATAAAACAGAATTGAGATCTTCGATGGCATTGCATCTAACGTGGCCCTTCAAAGTAGTGATAGATGCTAGCATAATACTGCACGCAATTGACTATGGCAATATATCCAGAGATAACGTTCTCATCGAATAATTGGGGTCGTAAAAGCTGCTGAGCTGACATGCGCGATGCTGCGCGGCAGGCACCTGCGAATGATACTCGTTTCTAGAGGCCTACATACAGAGGCTGCAAGGCTTCGACCACATCCCTTGTTTCCAACGCACACCCA